AAGTTATTAGATAATTTAATCCTTAATATTACTTTAGTCCTTAGTAACTAGTTTAGCTTATATCCTGTTAGATATAAAGAAGCAGGAGATAGAGAAGATAAGTTTTCTTTATTTACCTATTAATACTAATCTAATAATCTTAGGGATAATGGATAAATAACTCTAAATAATTAGAGAAGTTAGGAGGAATAAACTCTATAGGGCTTAAGACTTCTAACTAGTAAGCATCTATTTACTAGGTTTATAGTAGATAATTACTACAGGAATATAGGACTCTCTTAGGTTACTAAACCTATACTAAATAATATACTTTTAGAAGAGGTTTATTAGCTCTAGACCTCTATTAAGTAAGTATCTATTCTAGTAACTAGTAAGGTAGGTATACTATAATAGAGTATATAAAGCTAGTATAGGCATAGAATATAGCACCTTAAGAGTAGGTAGGGATTAGTAATCTATTAGTATTACTACTATATCCTCCTGCTAATACTATAGGGCTGTAAGTACCTATAGATTTAATAATTTACCTAATCTATAAGCTGATTAATAGCAGCTAGGATAATTAGTAGTATTAGAAGGAACCCTATAGGCTTAAGGCTTCTAACTAGTAAGCATTAGGGGCTACCTATAAGGTTAATATTTATTATAGTAGGAGTAGAGCCTTTAAATTATATAAGGATAGGAGGTAGGCTAGCAGCTGCCCTATATATACCTTATTATATTAAAGGTTTTAGTCTGCTTTTATAATTCTACCTAAATAGCTATATAAATAATGATAATAATTAGTAGATATCTCTGTATATACTTATAGATTACCTTAAACAATCTATATACCTATTAACATTACACTAGTGCCTACCTATATATATTTCCTTATATATATAATACTATATATACTAATCACTATATAGAATATACTAAGTAAGGAATTCATTCCCTGAGGGTCTATTCTCTATAGTCTATAGGATATAGATTAACTTAGCTCTATTACAGATGTATTTATATAGCTGAATGGGTTAGAATAGTATATAATACTTAGGTAAATAGCTGCTATATAGGTGTCCTCTATATCTAGAATCTTTCCTTTTTCTCTAGTTTCTTTGCCTGGTATTATCTAGTATTACTCTTATATTATACTACTATGCCTTAGTAATAAATCTAGGCATTATTTATTACTAGGAAGGTACCTCTATATAAAATATTAATATCTAGATGCCTTGAGTTTAAATCCAGCCAGACTTATTTAGAAAAATCTTTTTCTATTCTAAACCTAGATCTGCTACACTGAGGCGCCCCCCTATAGGGAACATTACTTACTAATATAGATATCTATATCCCTTTAAGAGGTATTATATTAGTATATTAGGTTATTACAGGTGTGTAACACCTAGGCATGCTAGTAATTATTATTTAATTATCTACTAGGTACCTAGATATCTTATACAGGCTTTACTAACTAGACTACCTAGTAATTAGTTAAATTTAAAGCTTCTTAGTTAAATATCTGCCTCCTACTTTGCTCTGCTGCCTTAGGCTGGCTATATCTTTTAATTACTAACTAGGTAGTGTGTGGCTGCTTGGGAAGCTGCATGGCCACAGGTATTAATAGTAAAAATTTATTTTAGCCAGTTTTGTACATTCAGTCCGCTGTATTAAGCATTTCTCTGGATCACTCGGTGATCATTTCGAGATTGAGCGAACGATGGACTTTCCCTAATCAACTCAGTAACTCCCAGGCGTAAATCCTGCGGAATGTACAGGTATTGAAGCCCGGCAGCCTGATTCTTAGGTGAATGCTCATCAGCTATACGGGCAGGCGATGACACTGTACTAAGAGTAAGAGAACCGTTAGTTGGCAAACTTGCCGGGTATGACTAAGTATGATGAGGATCCATGTTCTTCAACGGCACCGTGGCTGATCTCAAAGGTAACAGAAATGAGAGTTAAGGATATTCTTGAGCATGAGAGGGGGCAAAGTAGTCTCTTTATATATCCATAGGGATTGGCACTAGCTCTTAGTGGACACTGTACTGGGCGCAACAGTGGAGCTACTGACGCGTATATCACTGGAAGAGTGCGCAGTGAGTTTTTGGCCAGCGAATCGAAACTAGGAAAGCAGTAGCTAACTAGTTAATGACATCTAGCTGACCCTGTGCTAGATATGGGCACGGGAACATCAGAGCGCAGTGTTATACTTATCAATGTAAGTATACGCGTAGAGCTCAACATTTGCGAACTCATGACGCAGGCCCCTAACGCATCGCTGTCTATAACCCAGTTTTTAGCGTCTACAGCTGGAGCACGTAGGGACAAAGGTCAGCCTGAGTTACATGCTCTAAGCGTTGTTGCCAGCAATGCAGCGCTCACTTCAGGAAACCAGAAACAAGGAAAAATAGATGTTTTAAAGCACTTTAGTCTGCCATGAAACTAGGGGTATAGTGCCCCATGACTGAAACCGCTCCAAAAAGCGCAACTGAGGGTTTGAGTTGCGGGACGGCCGTAGATCCACATATACCCAAATTACCAATATAATGAACCGACCATATTCACGTGACCTTAAAAGTCTTGCGGAAGCAAACGAATCTTGCCAAGGCTAGCCGCAACAAGTGCACGTGCTTGCTGTAAATAACTGTTTCGTCTAACGCCCGGTATATATGCATAACCATGTATTGATTTTCTGAGCGATACTCACCTGCTTGCGCGGGATTAGTGAGTGCCAAGGCGCCATTCATCCTTCGCGGTGGACCTTAGGTGTTCCTTAGGGTTGGATTCTTGGCAGTAATGCAACGACTTCCACCCTCGCTAGGCTGGAGGGGAAGGCACCCACCATGCCACGGGTTTAGTAGTTTTCTTCCTTGCTGTTTAGTGGCGGCTCTGTCGGGCCGTCCGGGCGGTGAGATGTGGGGTGCGCAGGAACCTGGACCCTCTTTTGACTATCACCAAGCATCTCGGTCAGTCAATTCTGACAATTTTGCCTCGGTTCCAGGTATAGATATTCCGAGCATTGCCCATATCCACTCGCCCTGTCCACCTCACCCAACCGTCACCCATGCTGTCTCACGCCAGAATCATGGTCCACAAGCTCCGTGGTAGTGGCAGCCGTAGCTGCCATAGCAGCGAGCCCACGCCATCAGCACCGGCCACGATAGCAGAGAGCGAAACTGCTAACCCTCACGCCATCCATATCAGCAACATGAGGTGGTCACCCACCAAACTACCCTGCAAGCGCGGTGAACAATCCATGGCCATTATTATCATGGATGCCAAAGGCGCCGCTGACTACTTGCATCTTTACAGGGTATGTACCTGGTGTAATATGCTCTGAGTACCCCCAGCTGAGCTTACCCTGCGTGGTTCAGCTACTCCCGAGAGAGACGGTGAATGGGAGGATGACCCTACAGACACATGTCTGCCTCGCCCTGGCCAGCGGTCTAGGATCTAGGTCAGGTTACCTCTGCCTCTTTCAGCATATCTGCCTCATCTTCACATATGACGCTTCATCAAGGAAATCATGAGACGAAATGGTCGCTGCCTATAAGAGGATGCGCAGCCGCTGCAAAAATAGGGTCCTCCCCTTTCTTGCGACAATGATTGCTGGTACGGGTGAAGGTGAAGCCGCAACATTGCATGCAGAAGCTGAGGCATTTGCAACCCAGCAGGACTGTCTCTTTGTCGAGGTCTCACCCACAACTGGGCGCGGCATTTGCGATGCAGTCATTTGCGATGCAGTCAGTTCGCTAGTTGAGCTGGTATATGGCGCTCGTGATCAATATACTAAGGATCAGAAGGGTTATGCCCAGAGGTATAAGAGGGCGGAGGCACTGGGGACATTATTCCCCAGCTAGGGACGCCCAGCTCAAAAAAGGCCTGGATAGGACCGGTGCGTTCAGGTGGGTGAAAGAATGGCCAGGAGATTAGGCGCTGCTAAATATACTGAGTCCTCTGCTTAGGATCAATGCAACGTGAAGGAGGTCTTACAAGTGGTAGACGGTTCTCAGACTGTCTAATGTATCCTTGAAGGCACTCACGGACTGATAATACTTGCTTGGATCAGGCAATCTGTGTTTCCTATAGCCACAACTACAGTACTACTCCAGAGGAAAAGAGCACATGTGTAATTTGTAAAAGATTCTGCTTTTACAAGGGAAGAATAGGAACGTCGAGGTCATGTTAGTTCCACTCATTTGATGCCTAATCAAGTGCAACCTTCATCCTCAAAAGCCAGCCCAGGTGTACATACAGATATCAACAGTGCTGCAGCACCTTGTTTGCTCCTCAAACAGGCACAAAAGGTGCATCTAGTTCATCTAGTTAGAGTTGCATAACCAAACCGCTAAAATCAACCCAACCCTCACTGAACTCACAGCGGTGAGGGTTCGGTTCCTAGTCTAGGGAATCATCTTACTGATTTCAGTTTCTTTCAGGTGAACCCAATTCAAGTTTGGTTAAAACCATTGGTTATGGTTTTTGAGGATTTATCAGATTTTATTAACCAAACCTCGCCATTTTAATTAATAATCCCTAATTTCTGGGATTACTCTGGAAATATTAATATCACTAGATAGCCCTAGATCCATGCTATCTAAATATATAAATATCAATCTAAAATATTCAGTGGTTGTCGAGATACAAGAGAATTAATTGTATACGTTTTATTTAAGATTAGCTATGGTTGTGGTGTTAAGCCAAACATGTCCCTAATCCCCTCAGTTATCCCCCTAAGTAGCCCTATAATATACGCCAATATCCCTGTCAAGGTAGAAACACGTTCATTGTGTTAGCGTCAATGAACTGCTCTCCCACTTAACGATGCTTGTATTTACAAAGAATTTGTTGAGAAAAACAAAAGGTTAGATATCGATTGAGATATTAAACGAATATGGACACTATTCAGGAAAAACCAGGAGCCTCAAGTACGCTAAAGCATATTTGCCGGTGACTCAAACCTCTGGTGTGTATTCCTTGAAGATACACTGATTCTGTTTCTTTTTAGTGCAATCTTACAAGTTCGCTGGCCGCTCCGGCACAGTTCTCGACCTTGGTTTGAGTCCATCGAAGAAGTCTATTAACTCATGAGTTTCTTCGAAAGAGGCGATGAGACTGATATATCCATCCGGCCTCAACAGAACCAAAGCGCCGTCCTCCTTGCTGATTCCACAGCGCTCATACACATGCCCGTGACCCTTATGATAGCTCTCATCATCGGCATACACAGCCCAGTAATTCCATCCATCTTCGTCGCTCCACGGCCGGAAGGCTGGATGAAGATCCATCAATTCGACATTAGCGCGTTTGGCCCCATGGATTGTGATTATCTCCAGACCAGAAGTCTGCGGAACATGTGAGATGAGCCAATCTCCTAGGAGGTTGAAGCGGCTGAGAGCAATTTCTTGGGAAATGTCGCCCGGGAAAACAAGCAGGCGGAAACGGCCGTCACTGGTGAACCGATGATATGCTTGGATAGGCACCGCGTCGGATTGATTGACCATCTGGAAATCAGGCAGACGCTTTCCCGGTGCCAGGTTCGTGGCTCGAGGATGAGCTGGCGTGAGAAATTGCTTTGTTTTCACGATGAGCGACCGCGGATACTGGATCTGAATCCCCGTAGTGAATCTCTGCCCGGCAATATATGCCTCGAGGAACTCTTGGTGGGTGATATCCCTTCGCGTAAATGACTTCAGGTACTTTCGGTCGAAGTCAATGAGCGCCTGCGCGATGGGCCGACGCTCGGTCTGGTATGTCGAGAGCAGGGCCCGGCTCGCCTTTTGCTCCAGACAATACCGCAGCTTCCAGCCGATGTTGTATCCGTCTTGAATGCTGGTATTCATCCCTTGACCTGCCTTGGGAGAGTGGGTGTGGACTGCATCGCCGGCCAAGAAGATCCGGTCATGACGGGCGAATTCGTCGGCCACCCGCTGCCCGACGCAGTAGGCCGACCACCATGTGATCCGCGCAGCGTCGAGGGTATAAGGTGCCAGGATTGCTCGAGTGGCCTTGAGAAGAATCTCTGCCGTGACGCTCCTGGCATCGGTGGACGTGTGACGGTTTCCTCCGTCCATGCTGATGTACAAGCGGACGAGTTTGTCTTCGCGTGGGACTCCCATGACGGTTCCCACGCTGGAATGGACTACAAACACTTTGCGAATATCCGGGAAGTCGGTCTTGGGCACCAGATTCATAACCCCTAGCCAGACCCAGACCTTTATCAGTGATCAAACCCCAACGATGTCGGTGGAACAATCCATCACTCACCCCAGGTGGAGTCTGTCAAATCTCCTGAGAATCCGATATTGAGATACTTGCGCAACCAGCTGTGCGCACCGTCCGCTCCAACCACATATTTCGCACGTATCGTCTCTTGGACGTGGGTTTCCCTGTCCTGTACCGTGATGGTGAGAGGATATGCCTCGGGCTCGTCTTTCGTCAAAGGGTCGATTTGCAAGCTGACAGGCTGGGTGTTCCAACTGACTTCGACGGTTTTGTGTTTGTAGAGGTTTTCCACCATGACGCGCTCAATTTGTCCTGGAAAAGGGAGTCAGCCGGTGGCTTGGTTGCCTTCAAGAATCACGGTTTCATGCCTTGGTCCAAAGTCACCTCTCGCGCCTTACCCAGCTCCTCCACCTTGTCTGGGATGGTCATCGTCCGTGTAATCACCCCATCCCTGCCCGGGTTCCACAGCACGATCTCTTCGCAGGGCTGGCAATCTTTGAGTACTGCGTCACCAATACCGAAGGAGTCCAACACCTCGATCGAGATGCTTTTCAGACCGTCCGCTCGACCAGTCTCGAGCGGCGCCGGCTTCCAGTCGATTAATCGCACGCGCTGGTTGCTGCCGTTGAACGAGTTCGCCGTGGTAAGCCTTTTGCGCATCCGTTAGCCTACTCTTCCTCGCCTAGGAGTTGTTGGAAAGAGAGGGGTAGATCGCAACACAGACCCTGCTGGCCCAGCGCCGATGATCAAGACATCGACATAATCACTTGTTGTGGCCATCGTCACGTGGGCTTGAAGCAGAATCGCTAGACGCTGTGAAGTTGTATGGTTCGAGAAACTAGGGTACCATGTGTTCGATAGCGGCACTCTTTTTACTATAAGCGGCTCCTCCTGCTGGTGCTAATGGACCAATACGGACGCTCTGTGGCGCATTCGGACCGACTGTCAGCGCTGACCGAGCCGACTCCGAATAGTCGGACCGGTTCGTACGCATGAAGAGGTTGGTTCTGGAAATGGAATGAAACCGCCAGAGGCAGTGTAAAAGGTACTGAGCTTACGGTAGTGGTAGTAGCGCAATAGACAGCCAACGGTATGAAATATCGGGACTTGCATACATGAAAGATATATTGTTAAAACCGCTTTACCATTTTTAATTAAGGAACCACTAGTAGCTAGTATACAGATGAGAGAGCAATGAGGTACGGTTCTCTTATCTAGTAGCCCAAAAGATGCGTTTATATGATATGAAGGCCTCCCCCCTCTGAAGCTACCCAAATCGTACGATATCAAGGTTTGGGCGTTGGCATCTTCGGCAGCATATCCTGTTGTAGGAGAGAAATCTACACGCAAGGTCAAACGATTTACCCAAATGGGTAAGCTGGAAATTATATCGTTACATACTCTTATTAGGTGCACAGAATTAAAAAGATTTCATCATTCGCTTGAATGTTTGGCAGGCACCAGGGAATGGTATCTTGGAGAGCCTGTGTATTCCCTCTATTTTCCAGCTTTCAAAGTCTCCAGAACCGAATCAAGCTCCACGCAAAACTCTTGCACTTCCGCAACAGTGTTATAATGCACGAAACTAACCCGGATGAGACCTTCAGCGCCCAGTCCGAGCACATCATGCGTTGGCCTCGGAGCCCAGCAATTTCCAGACACAACGCGGAATCGCCCCCTCTGATTGACCTTGTTGGTCACCACTGTAGACGAGTGTCCAATCACCTCAAATGTAATCACGGGCACGCGCTTCGCAGGGTCCGATGACTTCTCGCCGAAGATGCGAAACACCTCTGACCGGCGTCGGAGATACGCCAAGAAAACATCCTGGAGCACCGTCTCTTGGGCAATGATGTTGTCCCAGCCGACCCGCTTCAGGTATCGGGTGATGGGAACCAGGGCTTCCTCAAGCTCAAAGGAGTTGGCTCCGAGACGCAAGCGCCAGTCCAGACCCGGCATCTCGCCGAGGAAGAAGTGGCTGATGCCCACAAGAGCGCGCTTTTGAGCGCTACGCCGGCCGTACAGTTGTGCGACATGGGGTCCAAAGACCTTGTACCAGCTGAAGCAGTAGAAATCCACATCCAGGGCCTTGACGTCAATGGGTCGGTGCGGGGCCCATGCCACTCCGTCCACCACGATGACTGCCCCGGGAATCCTATGAACAAGGTCCGCCACCTGGCGGATTGGATGGATGGTACCCACAACGTTCGAGACGTGGTTGCAGGCTACCAGCCGAGTCTTGGGCGTCAACAGTGGCCTCAAGGTGTCGAGTGACAGAACAGGGTCGTCACCAGGTGGTGGGGCCCACCATTTGATGGCGATGCCCAGATCCTTAGCGAGGGCAAGCCACGCCGCCGCGCTGGCTTCGTGGCAAAGAACGGAAACGATGATCTCACAATCAGAATTGAGCAACGGCTTTAGTGCCTGGCCGAGGGAGCGAAGTAGGAAGGTAGTGGATTGGCCGAAGGCTATCAGGATTAGTTGATTGGCACTTCCAACGCGGGAAACATGACCTTCGTCTGTGACATGATCTACGGAGGTACTCACCTATTTCATCGGGATCGGCATTCATGAATGCTGCGAGCTCGGCGAATCTATCCTGAAGTCGCTGCGTTTTCAAGGCACTCGCTGGATCATCACGACCCAGCTCATAAGGAAATGAGGTCATGTATCGATGTGTGCTCTCAGCAGCCTCCCGATGTAACACAGTTCCCGCAGCATTGTTGAAAGCTACGACGCCGTGGTGCAAGGCCGGAAACTGCTCTCTCAAGCTTTGAACATCAATGACATCCGTCACGGGGACAGTACTCGCAACTGATGTTGTCGGAGTCAGCACCGAGTCCGCTCGGATCAGAAACCTCGAGTTGATCAGATATGTGATGTTTGCGTCAAGCGCCGCTTGAACTCCTGCACTTGGGTCCAAAGGTCCGTGAAACACCCCGATTGGCTCATCACTAGCCTCAAGCAGGTACAGCAGCGGAAACAGCACATGCTTTTCTTTCTTTTGAGCAACTGATTGTTGGAGGCGTGCGAGCCATTGCTGCCGATGAAGGGGTTGAAGTTCAAACCCGAATTTCTCTTGGAGAAGGGTCCACAGAGTCTTGAATCTCAGGCCATCCAGAACTTTTGTGACGAATTTAGCGTCTTCTTCAAACACACTGTGCAGAATCACTTGCGCTACGCGGGTGGTGTCAGAGATAAAGAGCCAGCTGTCCGCTTCGTCCTCGTTGTAGAATCCAATTTCTACACACGCAGCGATCAGTCTCCAGATAAAATCGGATTGATTTGCATGGCCTCGCTCGGAGTCGCCGATGATGAACCCCGGTTTCACAATTCGAACATGCCGAGCCTTGGAGCCTTTTTGATTGGCGAATCTACGGACAATCTGTTCAGAAACGGCCTTTGATCGTGCGTAGCCGGATCCTTTTAGCGACTTCGACGCGTTTTTCTCGTCCTCGCTGTCGTCGAAGCTAAGCTGCTGCCCTCCTGATACAAAGACAAAGCTATGCAAGGGTTCTTCGCGATTATGTACGGCTTTCAGCAGCTCGACCGTTGGCGAGACGTTGGTTTTCTTCAATGTCTCATAATCCTGGCTGTAATGCACCTTTGCGCCGTTGTGGATGATCGCGTCAATGCTCGGAGACGTTTGGCCCTGCAGCATTTGCCATTGAGAGTGACTTAACCCAAGCTGTGGTAGGGTTAGATCACCGTGCCAAACGTGGAGTCTGGTATGATATGCATCCTGCCACCAACTCGCCGAGATTGCCTTTTGCACGAGATGTTCTCGAGCTTGACTCTGCGATGATCCCCGGACCAACGCATAGACGTGCGTGTTTGGTCGAGCCAACAATTGCCGCAGGATCTCAATGCCAAGGAAGCCAGAAGCTCCTGTGAGAAAGACCCTGCTGCCCTTTATTTCTTCCGGAAAATGTTGGCTGGGGGCCGGCATGCTGGATGCTAGTGGAATGCGGATTTTATCCCGCATACTCAGTGGCTGCCCCTGGCCTATTCCAAGGTTGTGACTCTTGTTCGCATCAATCACCGAAGCAATTGATCGTACGGTGGCCCTCGAGCTGAGAATATCAGTCATGGGGACTTGGAACCCAAACTGTTGGGTAATGAACATCGACAGCGACATGATCTGGATCGAGTCAATGCCTCCTCCCTGCAGGTTGAAATCGCGCCCTTCGTACTCTCGGCGACGAGACACATTATCGCCCGCGACAATCCTGGCGTACTCGCGAGCAATTGCCCTAGCCGTCGATTCATGAGCCAGCAATTCATTGCTCGGAGTATGCGGATTCGCAATTGCCTCCGAAGGTCGGCTCTGCATGTCGGAGATCCACTTGGTGACGCGACCCCTGTCAAGTTTCATGGAGCTGTTGTGTGGTAGCTCGTGGACCACCAGCAACTCATTCGGAATCATGAATTCGGGTAATCGTGACGACAAGAAGCTTCTCATATGAGTGATCGTGATGTTCTGATCATATCTTAATGAGAGCTGATTGCCGTAACTGTTGCCGCCGCTGGACTTTCCAGCTTGCACCACAGCTACTAGCCGGTCTTTGAAGACCCCCGTTTTGATAAGGGCAACAATGCATGATTCTACACCGGGGAGCCGGCTCAAGTGGTGCTCAATCTCTCCCAGTTCGATGCGCTGACCGTGATACTTGACTTGATCGTCAGTGCGACCAACGAATTCGAGCCGACCATCCAGGGTGTCGACACTGTATCGGAGCAGATCACCCGTCCGATAAAATCGCCGCACAGGAGTCATGAGGTCGAATGCCCAAGAAGGGCTCTCAATCACAGCGGCGTCAGTTTTGCTTGGATTGTTGATGTATTCTCGAAGCAAGCTGGGCCCTCCGACGACGAGCTCACCTACGGCCCCCAGTGGGACCAGTTGGTTCGGGTCACTGGGATCAACGAGGATGCAGACTGAATTATCGAGCGCATAGCCCAGAATTTCCGGCCGTTCGGCCAAACGCGTAGCGACACAAGGCCCAGTCTCTGCTGGCCCGTAACCTTGATGAAGTGAGATGCCATCGATTGCTTCCCACTTTCGAATCACCTCCTCTTTGAGTGCTTCTCCGCCGAATATCAGTGTCTTGAGGGTTGGGAATCTAGTAGGTTCCAGGAGGTTTGCCAGTGACGGAGTGATAAGTGCCAGTGACACGTCATAGTCGGCACAAAACTTGGCAAGGTTGAATCTGCGATCTTCTTCACTCGGAATGCAAACGCAGCCGTTGAACGCCAGGGTAGTGAAGATATCCGTCATGAAGATGTCCCATGTGGAGGCGGCGAACTGTAAGGTTCTCGCACCATGGTACTGGAAAGCTCTGCCCTCGGCCACCATTCGGGTAGCGACAGCGCCGTGCTGGATGACAATTCCTTTAGGCTTGCCAGTTGATCCTGACGTGAAGATTATCACGGCAGGGTCCGCGGGGTACACTTGAGGCAACGGTGTATGCAAGCCGGTATCGTCCACCGTGTAGTGCACGGAATCCGCCGAGATGGGCACAATGGTATCGACGAGACCTGCAAAGATCGAAGCTTGAGCATTGGAAGCCACAATCACCGTTGCTCCTGTCTCTTGGATAATTTCCCGGGCCCGAGACTGAGGTTGCGAAGGATCAATCGAGGCGACCACTCCCCCAGCTCTGAGAATCCCGATAATTGCGACAACCATCCACACACTTTTTTCAAACGAAAACGGGACGTACTGACCCTTGCGCACACCTCGGCGCAGGAGCTGGCTCGCAACATTCTTGGAAAGCTGGTCAAGTTCAGCATAAGTAAACGATCCATCCCACCCCTGCACAGCAGGCGCGTGAGGAGTAGCCCGAGCCGACTCGAGGAAGAGATGGTGCAGACACTTTCTCTCTTCAAACACCGGTGTGGTAATAAATGAGCTGATGGCTCTCTGATCCGCTTTGCTGATCAGACGCTTGGAAAGTAGAGGATCTGCAGTCCTGACTCGGGTATTGATTTCCAGAAGCGTCGTCCACAAGGCAGATGCAAACTTGGTAGGCACCGACGGCTGCTTAGTGTAGAGGCGCAGATCTCTCGCACCTTCTTCCGACCAGTGGAGAACATAGCTGAAGTCATTGTTGGAGTGATATATGGCGGAGAAGTCAAGGGCAGTGTTAACCCTAGTGCCATGTTGTGAAGGATCAAATGTGACAAACTGAAATTGGGGCCCGCTGCTTTGGGCAAAAGCTGTCGGGGTCGTGGACCAGTGCGAGACCAAGACCTGTGTAGAGGCTTGCCCACTAGAGTGCCCCGAAGGGCCGGCTTTACCGATAATCGCAAATGCGACCCTATCAGACGCCGCATATTGGTGTAGCAGGATCGCCCAGGTCTTGATGAGGACATTCTGCTCTTCGGTGGCCGATCTCGGCGCATCAAGGGATGCGTAAGGAAGGGATTTTGCCAGTCCGGTGCGGGAGTTGGCCGTTTTGGATCTGGGGGTCAAGACGGGCAGATGTGTCAATGGAACGTCGATGCTGGACACATCGGCAAAGTGCGAAGACTGTTGCACAGTTCCGTTGATTTTCGAGAAAGCATTGTCGACATCATCGTCTAGTTCCTCACGGTGATTAGGGTCTTGTAACAACATATTGTAAAGAAAGACCAAAAGGGGTAGCAACCACAGTGTTACGGGTGCTGTGTATGGCCCTACAGATACGATGAGCCTGTAGGTGCGCGGAGTCCATTTCATATGCAGCTTCAGCGGGGGTTCGATCTATCAGGGAGGGCCAGAGCTCGTTGTTCGGCATGCAGCCCTAATATCGGCATTCGGGGCGCCTGTTCGGCCACTCCACTCCGACAGCGACTTGGGGCCACCTTCGGAAAAGTAAGTCTGACAAGGGCAATCTCCGATGGGAAGCGCAGGTCGTGGCGCCCATGCCGATAGGCGGATTCTCTGTCTATTGATTGCAAATACTGCTGGGTTGGAGATGGTTGAAGAAATCTGTACGGTGGGTGAAATAAGGTGTCGCTATGCAGTAATAGACATTATTGATTGGATTCGTTTGCACCTTGGAGCAAAGGCATCAAACCTGTCCTCTACATACATGTATGAACGTGCATCACCACCGCCACCTGCAGTAGAAGCTCCTACAGATCTGCGCCCTTTGGCAGAGGTTATCTTCATCTCCGAGCACCGGTATGGGCCTCTGCGGAATCAAAAAATAGTAGAACGACTACTATTTTATAACTGTCCAAGCCCCAGTCGGCCGATGATATGGCTTTAGATAGGAAGTGAGGAATGACAAATTGGATATCAGTGCAGACTCTGCATAGCAACCATTTCCCAGTACTTCCCCCGCTTCGCCATAAGCTGTTCGTGGGTTCCACTCTCCAATAACTTGCCATCCTGCAACACGCAAATCACGTCCGCATTCTTAACGGTACTCAGGCGATGCGCCACCATGATTGTAGTCCGATCCTTTCTGATTGTATCCATGGCTTCTTGGACAATAGCCTCCGACTGGCTGTCGAGTGCCGACGTGGCCTCGTCAAGTAGCAGGATCTTGGGTTTTCGAAGAAAAGCCCGCGCAATGGCGATGCGTTGCTTCTGGCCTCCACTCAACATGCTGCCCCCCGTGCCAACCAAGGTCAATAGTCCATCCCTGTTGATGCGATGAGTTCATGCGGAAAGAGTTTGCTTGAAGGATTTCGGGGGATGACTTACGGAAGGGACTGCACAAATTCAAGAATATTCGCTTGTTTACAAGCCTCCAGAATCTCGTTGTCGTGCACTTCATGCCCTGCCAGACCAACGGCGATATTATCTCGGATCGTGCCGGAGAAAATAATCGTTTCTTGGCTCACAAGCGAGATATCGAGACGATACTCGTCCACATCCCGCAGTCTGATATCTTGCCCGTCGATGAGAATCCGGCCCTGATCTGGATCGTAGAAACGCTCGAGGAGGGAAACACATGTACTCTTTCCGCTTCCACTTTGGCCGACCAGGGCCAGCGTTTGACCGGGCTCCACTGTGATGTGGAGATCGTCCAGGGCACGTCTCGTTGGTCGGGATGGGTAGGTGAATGAGACATGCTCGAATTCCACCCGACAGGCGCTCAAACTCTGCTGGGTTTGTTTCTTCTCTGTGCCTGCCTGGGTGGGCGGTGGCGTGGTCGGAACCGTGTTATTAATCGTGGGCTTGAGATTAATAATATCCTGAATTTCTCGGCTTGCATGCATGGCCTTGCTTGCATCAGGGGCATACGTGAAAATAGATCCGGCGATTTGCGAGCCGGAGATCAGACTGACAAAGCAGATATAAACCTGGAACGTCGAGTACTCGTGGCTTGCGATTAGCGTGCCACCATACCAAAAGGCGAGCGCCGCGCAAAGATACACAATCGACGCAGACGCGGCATACAGGGCGGAGGCCAACAAGATGGAACGAAGGGATTTTGCGGCTTGTCTTGCCAGAATGCCTTCATAGCGGGCCAGAGCATGCTCCTCGAGCCCCAGCGACGCAACAGTTCGCACCGTACGAACCAGCTCTCCTGCGTAAGCTGCTGATTCTATTCCACTCTGCCGGACCTTGCTATCGAATGTGGATAGAACTTGCAAGCGCAGCCAGCCACAGGCCACCACGATCGGAATGGTTGCAGTGCAGACAAGAGCCAGCTTCCACCCGATAGCCAAAGCGAGGACAATGCCTGCAATGATCGTCGAGATGAAAGTCAGAATCCCGCCCAGAACAGGTCCTCCCATACCTGCAAGATCGTTGGTGCTCTTTGAAAGCACACTGGAAAGCGCACTGGGCGAGTTGCCTGGTACGTCGAAAAAGGACATATCCTGCACCAAGATAGAGCGAAAGCACATCTCGCGAACTCGCCCAGCGAGTTTTTGGGTGGCGTAAGATAAAGTAATCTCGACGCCCATCCAAAAGAGAAAGGTGGTACCGGTCAGCATGACATAAAGTCCAGACCAGAAATTGACTTCGGACCGGAGTTGTGGATACTGAGGAGGGGCGAAGCCGATGGCTGTCAGGATTTTCGCAAAGAAGACCGATTGCCTGCGGGGAGCAACAAGGTTGGTCTCAGCCAAAGTAAATGGGAAATGTAAAGGGAAACTCACACTGGGATGGTTAAACCCGCAAGTATGGCATTTGCGAGTCCGAAGAGCAGAACCCTCCAATCTCTCTTGCTGAGACGTGCAATGAATGCGATGGTTTGCGGTGCACTCATTTTATGTGATTCTCTCTGTGTTCCCTCCTCTTGAGCGGCCGAAGATAGCGCAACCTCTTCCGTTCGTATGTCTTTCTCATCGACGTATTCAAGATTGCCACCATAGGGGGATTCATCATCGTCAATGGACAAGCGGGTGCCGTCTGGGGTCTTGTGGTCATTAGTATCTCCAATCTGCTGCTTCTGTACCAGGGCCGCATACGCCCCGTTCTGCGCAATGAGCGCATGGTGCGTACCCTCTTCCACAACCTTTCCTTGGTCCAGCACGATGATATGGTCCGCGTTTTGAATCGTGGATAGCCGGTGAGCAACTATGATGGTCGTCCGATGCTCGGCTGCCGCATCCAAAGCTTTCTGGACCATTGCCTCGGACTTGGAATCGAGAGCGGAGGTTGCCTCATCGAGAAGAAGAATTTTAGGGTCTCTGATCAAGGCACGTGCTATGGCTACTCGCTGCCTCTGCCCTCCGGAAAGCTGAAGGCCCTTTTCTCCCACGTGGGTGTGGTAGCCGTCCGGCAAAGCGCTGATGAAGTCGTGGGCGTTGGCCTTTTTGGATGCTTGAAAAACCCTTTCATGCTTTTCGGACTCTGACAACTGATCGACAATGTCAGAACACCCGAAGAGAATATTTTCCAAGATTGTGGCGTTAAAAAGAACCGGCATCTGATCTACGAGGGAGATCTGGCGTCGCAGCCAGCGAAGGTTGAGAGACTGAATATCACGTCCGTCCAGCACTGGCCGAAGTGAGAAAAGTGTACCTGCGACGGAACCGGGGACGACTTACAGACTGTTCCACTCGTCGGCTCGTAAAAGCGTTCCACCAGGCCCAGAATACTGCTTTTTCCACTGCCGGACGAGCCTACAATGGCTGTCTTCTTCATTGCAGCACACCTCAGGGACACATCATTGAGGATATCAACGTCGTCCCGGGAGGGATAGATGAGGCCGACGCGGTCCAATACAATGTCGCCCACTACGGTCGAAGGCTCGTCACCTTGCTGTATCAGTGGATCTTGCGGAGACCGCCGCGCGATCGACTTCAGGATTTCCCCCGTGATTGCAATCCCAGAGAGCAAGGCCTGCGCGGAAGGGGCAATTCGAATAATGGCAAAGGACCCGATCGTTACGGCCAATGTCGTCGCGCTCACTTCAGCAACGGACATCTGGCCGCGGGTCAGGTAGATTGAGCCGGCCCAGAAAGCAAGAGCGTAGATAAGATTCGGCATGGCATTCATCCAGGCGATCATCCCCGCAACCATGTTTTCTGCCTTTCGGTCTGCCTTGGCGGCCTGCTCCAGTACGGACAAGTAACGCTCGGAGAGGAGGGTTTGGATTCCGAACGCGGTGACATGTTTGATCGCGGCGATGGCCTCCTCGGCAATCCCGGCAGCCTGAGTATACAGTTCCATCGCCCGCTTGTGATGTTTGACCATATACGCTCCTCCCAAGGTCTCCGTCACAATCATGATGACAAAGAAAGGGCTGATGATCAACGCGGTCTTCCAATACATGATGAAGGCCACAACGAACGCAGCGCAGAACGTTGCGATAGCGGTCAGCATCACCGCCAGCTTGCTCGTGACCGCTTCCTGCACTGTCCCCATATCCGACATGATGCGACTCGTTATCTCGCCGGGGCCCAAGAGATCGAAGAAAGCCATATTCTGGCGCAAGATGGCGGCGAGGTATGTGGTCCGTAGGGCCCGGGCAATGCGTTCTCCGGTGTAATAGTACCCCACCGTGGCGACGTAGGTGAAGACAAACAGACCGATGCTGAGGTAGACATAGTACAGACTGAATGTGGCGGTTTTGGAACGCAGTTCGGAAGCGGGAACGGTTCCTGCGGCGAACCCATCGTAAACGCTGACGAGAAGACCGTAAATGACCTGCCGCTTGAGATGAGTTCCTACGTGGGGGCGCAAATTATGAGACTTTCCATCATGAACTGACCGGGACCAGAGGATTCAAGGCGCCCGCGAGGATAGCACATATCGAGCTAACAGACAAGATAACTCTATCCGAGAGTGTCGCGTACGCAAAGACATTCTTGCGTTGTCCTGCCTCTCCACCAAGTCCATTCAGCTGGCGGTCAAGGATCGCTCGCTGGCGCTCGTCCAGGCGAGCAACGTCCTGCTGTGAGACCATTTGTGGCGGCGTCTTGCACTGACTCGGCAAGAATGGAATTGACGACGAGATCCGGCATTAAAGCGGTAAGAAGCGAGAGGCAGGAGGGAGTCTAGGGACGAAGTAGGACGTGTTGGGGCAAACGCCCAGGATATTTGCGTGATTTTCGCTTACAGGGGTCCTTACAGGGGTTAACCATTAGTGTCGGTGGACAAGGCTCCAATCCGGTCCGAATGCCATTTGAGCATCGGAGCCCCGACGGTGTCAACTGCTGCTCGTTCTTGGGCTTTCGAGATGATGACAGAACAACAGGGGGCACTTCTGGGTATATTTTTTCTTTTTTTTTCCCTTTTCTCTTTCTATCCTCCAGATCTACATCTTACTCTGTACTTTCCTGCATCGTACCATGTCATGTTATGCCATGCCATCCACCATGGCGGAAGCCAGTGGTTCCTAGTATTCGAGTATATTTGATCTACTGAGGGAAGCTTGAAGTGGGCGGAACCGGTGGCTACAGGCTATTGAGCCTTTGTATAATAGCTAGTGTGGCTTTCTCTGAGGTTTCCTTCTATCAACGCCCATGATCTTCATTTAATGCGCCCTTCCTCCCATGACGCACTGGTCGTGGGAATTTATCATCGCGTTTACAGCGGCTGTTAGACGTACATGAGACTCGCGTAGCAAAAGTTCTAGCCATCAACAATTCTGAGGGACTCCTTCACTTCACCCCCCTAGATGCGTGAGGTCCGCTTAGAGGAAGGAATAGCGGACCTCCTCCCGGATCTGCCGCGCCAAATCCAAGGCTTCCTGTCGACCAGCCCTTGAAAAGACGTTGAAGTAGGCCAAAAATGTATGACGGCCCGTGGTTGGGTGAGCAACCTTCTGGCCTCGCTTCACCAAAGTGGCACATCGACTGATGTGCTTGGCCAAGTCGGGTCTTCGGGCGATCAAGTCGGCGCAGATGTCGTCCGTATCAAAGATGCCCTGGCTCGAGGGTGGGAAGTCTGCTGGAATGAAAACCATGATACAGGTATACTGTGGACCACGCCGGTACGGCTTCGACAATGCACGCGCTCTGTCCTTATCACCAACCCCCAAGACCAAGGCCAACCCCCAGTAATCAATGCCGTAGGTAGATTCGATGATATGCGAGCCGGTCATGCCAAGAGGGCGGGGGTTGATTTCAATGAGCCAGGCCGATGATTCTGGCCGAGTAGCTTGGGGAGCGCGCGGCTGTAGGTCCAGCATCCCGTTCTGCTCCCGGTATTCCATCGACGAGTTCTCCACCCGCCCTTCCAGGTGCATAACACCATTTCTAATCCCCAGTTTCAGGAGCGTGCCAGCAAAGCTGTTGATGAGCAGGTCCAACTCCTGAGACGGCAGCGCGGAAGGGTACACACTGTACAGCTCGTGGAAATTGGTCAGTGATCCCACGGCGCGCCCATTGATGTCCGCCGACTTGGGGAGGTCATCGCAGATCTCGGCAAAAAGGACTTGGCCGTCCAATAAGACAAGGTTGACGTCCACTTCTGGCCCGTCGCAGTATCTCTCCATCACAAACTGAGTCCCATGACGCGATGTATCGATCGACTTGATAGCTGCTGGGAGCGCATCGGGGGACTCGACTCGGGTCACTCCTTCTGAGCTCCAGCCATCGCAAGGCTTGACGATGAGAGGATATGGAAGCTCAATCTCCTTTGCTATTTTGAGCGCTTCATCAATACTAGACGCCGAATAGGCTTCATGGCCCACATATTTGCTGGTCAGGAACTTGTTGGTGGCGATGCGCATTGACTCCGGTGGCGCAGTTTCGACTCCGATCTCCTGGGCGATTTGAGCAATGTAGTACCAGAATGAGTCCGCAAAGGTGACAATCCCGTCCACCGGCTTGCCATAGGCCCTGATTGACGCAAGGATGTGGTCACCCACATCTTCCTCGGGGGGATTCGTCAATCGAGTGGGAATGAAAGCCTCGCGCCACTGTGCCTGGGCAGGGTCTTCCAGCCAGTGTCCTGAATTCTCCAGCACGACCACGTTGATCCCAAGCTCCCTAGCCGCACGGTAAAAGCCAAGTCCGTCTTCGGGATGTGAGCTATTTGCGTCGACTAGCGCAAGCGTCCTGCGTCGTGGTGTTCCCGGCTGTATCCACGGAAACGAGAGTCGGTTTTCAAGGTCTGACTCGACAATCCGAAATAAAGCTTGATGTTCGGCATCTGAGACTCGCGTAGAGCCACGACGGAGGATCAGGCCGCCGGCGGCGGCGGCAAAGTATGTCGTAAGGTCCAAGGGACTGGAAATGGCAACTTTCTTGCCACTGTAGGTCTGCAGCGGCTCCGCAAAAGAAAATGCCGACTCGACATATTCAGAATCTCGAAATCGCAGAGGGATGATATCTGAGCGGACGATATACCCACTGTGCAAGGGCACAATCAGTTTCACTGCGCACTTGGCCCCTGAAGCCGACGCGCGAAGAGTCTGCAACAAGAACTCCAAAGCTTTGGGCGAGCCAAGAGAGTCTGATGTGATCTCCTTGGACGCTTTATCCTTTTCGAGTTGAAAAATGCGAACGTCATCCGGCTCATTCAGCAGGTCAGGCCCGTGATATCCAGGCTCGCCCCAGAACAAAAAGTCGAGTGATTGCCAGGAGGCTTCCGTAGCGGAAGAATTTAGGATGAACGAGAACTCCCGGAATAGGACTATTTATTGTTAGCGTGGAAAGATTCCAGGCAATGATACCCTGCTTACCCTCGTCTTTCTTTGACCTGACTTGAAGACTTCCCAGACTTGCCATGGCGATATAATACCCTTCCACTTCCCTCTGTATCTATGGATCCAAAGCCAAAAAAAAAAAGCTCACTCAAGTCGCTCGCGGAGAAAAGAATGATGACAATATTTCTTATCGCCGCATCATACCCGCAGATGACCGCATTATCATCGCCTAGGGCAAGCCGACAGTCTCGGGACCTAACTATCTTTCGGTTGTCCTTGGATGAGGAAGAAAGCTACATTGCTCGCATCGTCTGACTTTCACCGTGCAGAACTGAACCTTACAGGTTCATCAGTTCATAACCAGTCAGGTACCAGGACCTGTGACAAGACCCCGAAGTGGAGTCTTCGGGGCTCTAGCTGGCCGAAAATCAACGATGCCAAGCCCGAATATGCGGTCCGAAATATAGAGCGCCGACTCTTTTGAACTCCGTTTACCATCCTTTCTCTCCTATGGAATATTGCGTAGTTATATCAAACCTCTACACCCTTTTTGGTAGGTATCGTATATGCCTTAAAGAGGTAATAAATCAAGTAAGATAGTTAATCTCTTTTTCGTGGCTAATAGTCAAACCACATCTTTTGGAAGGGGCAGGGTGACCAGCCTAGTAGGCTTGTTAGACCTAATATATATAGAGGTGGACCCCTAGGTGCTCTATAATATCTTCATACTTTATATTTAGTAAGTGCGGGGTTAGGACTTATAAACACCCATCTCTACCTAACTAAAAATAAGCAGTAGAATGAGCCATATTACTCTCTACATATATGGTAAAGGATTAATCTTCATAGTCATGGTCTATTGAGCATCCCTAAATAATAACGGCATAGAGTTCATCCTATTTCTATGCAGTTCGGCGACCAACCATACTAACTACGTACTCAACATACCAGAGTACAACAAATAGAAGGAGGGGATGGAGCACATCCTGGCTGAAATACCTCATACTGTGCAGTTGGGTGTCAAGAAGACTTCATCCATAGCAAATTCATAGTTCCGAACGCATACTTTGCAGCCCTAGTATTTCTGTGGAATATTCTATTAGGTTTATAACTGGCAAAAATACTGCATGCACATAAGTCTAGCATGATTCATAGACCTGAAATATCATTCTGCAAGCAAACTTATTCGTACTCGCTCGATTTTTGCAGCAAGTAAAAGCCTAGTCAAGAGAGAGAATCAATTAGCGCATGGGCCAGGTACCCCATAAGATTAGCAGACTTGCCGTAAGACTCATCGGGATTCATCCACCAGTCAACAACGTCCCCCCCAGCCTCTCTGCAGATATCCACCACCTTCGGTTTTGGCCACTTGCCACTTCGAATGGAGCGAATTGTTTCCCCTTTCCGGAACGAAAAGGCTTCCCCACCGATCGTGAGGGTCAAGTCTCGCTCTGCCACGTAGAAGCTCTCATGCATCCAGAGGTCGGGGTTCCATCGACCGAGAAAACTCCAATTGTTCATATCGAACGCGTCCGTGTCGAGCACGTCGTTTGCGTGCCGCAGGCCATTTAGAACAAATTTCTGATTCGACGGGCCCTCATACGCGCGTGAGATCTGCTCGTGGTCTTGACAACCGTCCAAGGCAATAATCATGGAGGCGCCGGTGCTGAGAAAGCTCCGAATGTATTCGGAAGCCTCTAGCGGGGGGAAGTTGGCCATGCTATTTCCCAGCCACATCAACGATGTGTGTCCACTTCCTGGGTTGCGCTTCAGCCAGGCAGCGCAGTCTTCATACGTGGCGACTAGACCCTGGATTCTGATACTCGACACCGAGGGGGGGAAGATCGCTTGAAGATTGCGGAGGCCTCTTTGGAGGGCTGCGCGGTCCACATCGCAGGCAATGTAGTGGATGTACTTTCTCTGAGACTGCAGGATATGTAGTATCAGGGCCGTCTTCTTCATGTTCCTTCAAAGATACTCGATGAGCAAAAGAATTACCCACTCGCGATAAAGACGAAAAAGCTCTCGTCACTTACCCTGCACCCAGCTCTACCAGCCGGTCCCCGGATGAGATTGAAGCTACTATATTTTGAACTTCATCGCGTAACAAGCCCCATTCTTTGTTAGCAAGATAATAATCGGCAGAGTCAAGAACTGCATTGAACAGGGACAAGCCCTGATCGTTCCAGAGCAATAGAGATGGCAACTCTCGCTCTTCAGCCCTAAGTCCCTGGAGAATGGAAGGCACTAGACTGCCGGTAGCAGCCTGGCGACGAAGGTTATGTACTTGTAGCCCACCATAGCGTACTCTGCGAGAAGAAGCATCTGGTTGGTAAGCCGCGTTTGCAAATGGCGATGGCCATCCACGTTTGTCTTGAACGTTGATCGTCATAGTTGTCAAAGTGAGAGAACGTTTGGGATGAGCGTGCTAAAGGATGCCAAAAGCCTACAGATCAAGGGACACAGTTTTGATAGAGGTCTTCTGGACGAACACTCGGCATTTAGCCTCTGCCGGAGATCACCTCATCTTCGGTCTACCAACAACCGCACTGGTAAGCAGTCGGGCTCAATATTCCGTACGCATTCTACTAGTAGTAAGCTCACTAGTATCTGTCTAGTGCACAAAAACACTACTAGCCCTCAAAGTCCATGGACTAGAACATAGATTGTCTGCCATGTTTCATGATTGAACACCGTAAAAAACATTCGGGTCTCACTAGCACGAGTTTGAGGCATTCGGTCTCGGATTCGGTCCCAGGATGCCGACATCTGCAGGGTCGGGGGAGTAGCCGATATATGCTGACTGGGACAAAGGGTTGTCCGGCAAGAAGGTTGCCTGATCGGAGCCCGGTTTTCTCTTGTCATTTGAGATCAACTCTATATAGTGCTTGAAAAGGGTTCAAGGAATACGTGCCGGGTTTCAGATTAGGACAGAATTGACGACAACACAGCAGTGAACATGTCTATCCCTAACTCTCTCATCATTGTGGGGTCGGGTGTTTTTGGCCGTATGATGATTCCCCACGCACCTTGTTTTGTCTTTCGTCACAGAGAACCTTCCCTAACCCTTAGACAGTCTCTCTGGCCTATACCCTAAGTCTGGACGATCAATTTGCCGACAAGAAGATCATCCTCGTGGATCGATGGAACTTCGAGCCATCCAACACCACAGGTTCGGTCCACAACCCGGCGGCCGCAAACGCAGATACCAGTCGCGTCATCCGGCGTGACTATCCGCATGGTCCATACGCGTCCCTTGCCCTAGAGGCCATGAAGCGTTGGCGGGGAAAATTCGGCGAGAACAACCGATACGTAAACCAAAGACTGCTTTTCTCCGGGGTAGGCTCGTCACTGACGACACCGCCGAAAGAGCTGGAAACGGTGAACTATATCAAGAAAGCGTATGCCATCAGCTGTGAGATGACGCCTGGTGGTCGAGACGCGATCCAAGTGCTTGACTCGCTCGACGAAGTCAGAGCTTTGCTGGGTAACACTCCCAGCCAGCCACCCTATCTTCCCGCGAATAAAGACCCGAGTGCCCGCGATCTGAGAGGATATATATCGAACGATTGCGGTTGGGCCGATGCGGGGGCCAGCATTGAGTGGTTGCGCCAGGAGGTTATCCGCCTGGGTCGTGTGGAGTGTGTAGTTGGTCAGGTAGAGAGCCTGGTTTACAGCGACGACCAACAAGAAGTGAAGGGAGTGAAATTCGTCGATGGGAAAGTTTTGACCGCGGAGCTGACGGTTATCGCTGCGGGTGCACGGTCATCGCACCTTCTCGGCATCCCGAAGCTTTGCGACGTTTATAGCGAGTTTGTGGCTTACATCCAACTCACCGAAGAGGAGGCCCACGAGCTCCGGCGCAGGCAATGGCCCATCCTTGTTAACTGTCACCGTGGCGTGTTCGCCGTCGGCCCGGATCACGACAATTGTCTGAAATTTGGACACTTCTCTTACAGCGGGATTGTCGACGTGCTGCGCGAAGCGAGCATTCAAGTACCGACTCGACCAGACGGATGGGAAGCTCAGCAGAAATACTGGAGCGATCCCAGATTTGGATTTGGCGGAGAAGTCAAGGTCTCCGCGCTTGGCGACGTAGATGACTACGAGAATCCAGCCGCGCAGAGGGCGTTGGCAGATTATCGCCTTTTCCTACTGGAGCTGCTCGGCCCCACTGGGCTCCAGGGAGTTGACACGCTGGGACTGGACCAATCTGACAATCTGCTCAATAACATTGCAAACCGGCCCTTCACTCGGGTTCGTAAGTGCTGGTATAATGATACCCCCGCTCTCGACTTTGTCGTCGACTACCATCCTTCCTATGGTAAGAGCTTATTCGTTGCGACTGGTGGTTGCGATCATGCCTTCAAATTCCTTCCCATCATCGGGGAAAAGATTCTCGCTCTCGTTCTGCGCAAGCGCGGTAACACCTCGGTATCACTGCCAGCAGGGGTGGAGCCCTCGCTGGAGGAGCTATCGGAACTCTGGAGATTCCCGGTGGAACTACTACAGGGCGAATAGACCCGCGGGGAATAAAAAGAATTAAAACAACCATTGAGAAGTTTCTACAGCGGGATTGATACTGTTCTCCGGTTGTACGTGATGAGAGACTGGTTACCTGTCGCTCTCTAGAAACCTTTTATGTACAATCCCCAACGTTCCCTTCCCACACCCTGAATTGTTCTCCCCTTTTTCAGCATCAACTCGTCGTGTGTACACGGTGCATCATTCAAAGATCAAGCTGTTTGAGTGTAGCTTGAATCTCCCGAATCAATCTTTTGGCAGCTACCTCCCTCTTTCCATGGCCGTGGGAGAAGCTGTTTGTTTCATCGTGCTCGAATAGCACGTCAATCAAACCAGCAGAGAGTTTGTCTCCAAGAATGCCACATTTGACTGGACTTGACACTCCCTCGTATCCCATCGACCCGAATAATATGTTCTCAATCTTCTCGAGAAGGTTGTAGCTCACATGCATCAGACAGTCCAGCTGAAGCGTGTGGTGGCCGTCAAGCTGGAACCCGTCGATGCGGAACCCGCTTAATGTGGGTGGTATAGTCGGAGTAGGTCGGGTGACTGCGTGGAGGATCGATGTAAATATGTCTTCGTATGATTGGAGAATATAGGTGTAGCAGAAGAGGATCGACAACAAAGTTGACACCTCGAGAGACAAGGTCGGCGGGGTCGACGATGTCGAAGAAGATCTGGCCGAGGACGAGGAGCAGGGCGTTGCGCCACTTCCTAGGCTTCGTCGTGCCTGGGAGTCCGGCGGCGCTCCATCAGCCAACCTGCTGCCCTCTGACAGGATCGGCCACTGTGACCTCGCCCGGCCTCCGCTGAAGTGCGAATCGGGGCGTGAATTTTTGATACGCTTGAGGATCAAAAAGAATTCCTGACAGTGATGCAGTGTCCGCCCGATGGAGAGCCAGCTGTATTCGTAGCCTCTCTGCGTCGATGCATCTTCACGGCGGCATTTGTCGCGCAGTAACATCTCGTTGAATTGGGCGAGCTCCTGTATGCAAGACCTCGCTGACTCGGCGGCTTGCGTCGGTCTGGGTGATGACGGCCTGGTTCGGCCATAGGGGTAGTCGCCGGAGTCCGGGCTGGTCAGCTTTCGGGCTTTCAACGAAGCCAGGTTTGGAGGAACGGTTGAGTCTGTGTACATGTCAAGCTCAGGTGAACCGGAGTTCCATTCTTCCGGGGGGTCTTGGTGTATCAGATCGATCGTGTTGTGCTCCTGCAAGTTGTCCATTGCTGGATCCCGACCAAAGTTGAGGTCCAACTCAATCAAAGGAGGCGTTTCTATACCCAAACCATGTCCGTCCATCCTATGCTCATGAAGATACGTCATCCATTCGTGGGATATGCTCGGCATAGCAGGTAGTGGATCACTATCGTGGGACTGCCGTCTAGTGTGCAGATCACTGTGGGCGGCGACTGAATCGCTTCGCTGATGGTTGAAGGATAGGGTGTTTTGGTGTAGCTTTGGGGCAGAGGCGACTAGACCGGTAGGAGGAGAAAAGACTGGGCTACCGTGTTGATGGACCGACATGGATCTTTCCAGCGCTGGTTGCGTGGCAATCATCGGCTCTTTGAGGTTCGAGCCAACACCTCTCCGCGGGGCAGGCCTAACGCTATAACATTCAACCTTGGCCCTCTTGCACCGATCACATGGTATCTCATTGCGTAGGAGGCGACTACTGGAATTTAAAATTGGCTTGCCTGCACCCACGCATCGCAGCTTTTGGCCACGGCACCGGTCACAGGCACCGTGTCGGCCGTGCTTGTCATCCATAATTTCCCAGAGTTTGCGAGGGGTGCTTTCAGAACGTCACTTACACATCAAGTTGTACTCTACTGCTGGTTTTACAAGGGGGCTACGAGCGTTTAAAAGTTTGAGCTACTTTGGGGGCCAAAACTGTGATATTGCAGATCTGAGGCGCTCGAAAATACTGGCGACATATGGGATAGGATGGCGTACTCCTAAATGCCCTCGGAGGACGGTGGTCTTGGTCGGAATAAGCCCCAACCCATGCAGAACACCAGTAGGAGCAATCGGATGATGTTGGGACCTACAAGGGTAGGACTGTAGGAGCAATCGGTCCCCGAGGCTACTCTGAGTAGTCGAGCCTTCTTCTCTGTGGTTGGCCGGCAGTCGGTAACGATATTTTCGCTGAGTGAGATTGCGCGTCCAAGCGTGCGAGCGACTACAGGCCATCTCACCTTTCCGGAAAAGTCGAGGTAAGGTGGCCTGAAACCTGATCGTGCGACTAGGGCGATTGCTGACCTTGTTTGACGCGCACTTACTTGCGCGATGGTACTGCAGGCGGCCTCGTCCGCTCGCTAGCCTCTCCTGGCCGTGATTTTAAGCGACTACTTCAGCAGGCCACCTTCATTGCTTATAGACGAATTAGTTAGTCCTAGCTTATCTTCATGTGACCCACTTATGGGGGGCTTGTGCGAGCAAGAGAAAGCTCCGCGTTTTCCGGTCCGCAGCCGTCGTACAATCAGAAAGCTGTAATTCAGAGCCTCTTGATCCTTCTTATAGGCCTGGGCCTGCCTACGGCCCTTCTCCTGGGTCCAGCAACGACGCAGCATGGTTTCTATGCTAGTGGCCACATACTGACACTGATGGTATGCTGGCTGGCATAGTAATCCATTTGGCTAGCTTGGTAGGAGGCGACCGAGGGGTAAAGGATAATTTCAAGGCTGACACACATATAATGATTTCCAAACAGATAAGAGCAAAGAAAATAATGTCTTGGAACAAGATCTAATTTTTTGTGGCACGCTCATGCTTAGCTGCAGTAATTACAAGAGGATGGTTGTCACTCTTGTGAGTGAGACGGATATTAGCTGATTAATTCTCCAATTTTCTATTGCAGAATGATAACTTAGTCAAGCGTAGGCCATATTTCAAGTTTAAGTAATGAGGACAATATTGTGGCACCGACTACTAATAAAGTGAGGAGTAACAACCCCCTTAGAATGTTTAGGTGTCCATATTTCAAGCAATATTAGAGACCTTTTGCAAGCGGAAGCAGCAAAGATCAAAAGGGGTATGGATGCTTACCGCGGACCCGCCTCTTGTAAGAAATTTGAAAACGAATTCAGCTGAATAAGCCGTAGATCACCTGATTCTCAGCCGATACAAATTGATGACATGGCCAGCCGCGTAGACTTCTGAATCCCCAATTAGGGAGGTAAGACGGCCACAATAGCAATGACAAAAGCAATTATACGTGCCTCAGCAGTTACCGGTGCCGCTGCTATCATATCTGCTATCCATACACTTCACTTCGTGTGATATAGGAAGAAAAGGCGTCAATATAAGCAAATTGGGTAGGAGAAGATATATTGATATCATGCTGCAGGTAAGGGGTCCCCCGCTCAACTGAATGATAGATTTGACTATCTTGCTCACTCATTTTCATGCTTTTAGATAGTGCATACGAATTGATATCAATGAGAGACATTCTAATAGCTTCAACTATCGACTAAGGGACTCTTCTAATATTTAGTGCGTGCAAGTCAACTGCAGAGATCTCTGCAGTTGAACGGAACGTTACAAGGCCTGCAGCCGGAGGTACAGTTGTTTTGGGCCTTAGGGGGGGTGTTTCCGTGGTGAGCCGCTATACCTAATACAGGGTTTGCTGCTAACTTTTGGGTGCAATCTCTAATGAGGAAGCCAGAACATCAAATGAGTCGACAAACAAGTAAGCTTATAAATGCACTACAGACAAATTTAATGTTCTATTTTCAGTAAACTTCTTTGATATTTGCTTCAAGATTGAAGTCCGCTGCTGTTTGATGGCTTTGTTAGGTGGGGACCTAGTTGTCATGTGACACCAATCAGTTGGTGTTAACCAATCCAAGATAAAAACGCTTGTATGGTAAACGCATATACGCGGAATATTAAGGAATGAAGGGCTGATTTTTCTAATCTGCGATCTCATACTAGAATTTGAAGACAGGAAAGCTAGATTTCAGCTAATCAGATTCAAATCAGCGAGTTGGATCGCCATATGATCTACTCCTTGTGATCTGATTGGTCAAATCAGAAGTCCGGAGAGTTCCGTACATCCTTTACTAGATTCAGTAGCCTAGCTGGCTGACAGTTAGTTATCCGACGAAGATAATACCTCGCTCTTTCCATACCTAGGTTCCCACATGTTGTATCAAATAACTGAATGTGTTTGCCTGGCTAGAGTTGCATAACCGAACCGCTAAGATCGAATCCAACCCTCACGGAGCTTGCAGCAGTGAGGTTCGGTTCCTAGATCGCGCGAACTCGCACCAGGTTAGGGGCGGGTCAGGGTCGGATTCAAATGGGGGCATTGGTTAAACCGCTAAAAACTGTTTTGCTTGGTAATAACTAAATTCTAAGATATCTTTTATAATTTTGATATCAGTAGATAGCCTAGTATCTAGTCCTTCCAAATATCAAATATTAATTCAGAATATCTAGCCTCTGCTGGGATATAAACAAATATTCATTTCTGTCGTGGATTGGTATGAAAGTCGGTGGTTTATATTTATGTGTACATCAAACTTCAACATCACTATAGTCTAAGGATATTTCTAACCACCACACATTCAATTCGATAGATATTGAATAGATATCTTGAATATATATTAAAATCACTATAATCACCATATATTTCATATAAAATTAATGATTTTTTATAAGTAGACTTATTAGGCGCTAGGCATAGGCCTAAGATAGGAGAAGTTGAACTCTGAAAACCATTGAAATATTTAATATTGCCTAGGCCTACCGCCAGTCAGAGAGGCTAGTTACTGCCTATCTAGGCCTAGTAGTAGGTTTTGCAGTGAAACTTGCACCAAATCGGAATAGTTCAGGTTTGGTTCTGACTCGAAATCGCAGCGGTTTGGTTTGAGCCAGCTAGGGTTGGACTCACCTGACCTCGGACCAAATGCAACTCTATTCCTGGCTCCATCTCTACGTTTGGCTGTTTGCTCGACGCTCGGGCAAGTCTGCCCTCATGGATATGGCGGTTGTAACTTCAGACCCGGCGTGGAGTCTTGCGGTTCACCAGTAAAGTCAAAACTCACGGTGCAGTCAATTCATGGGGTGTAAGGCCTTCCGCACTAGCACATCTAGAGATTGATGTACACCTGAGTTGTTAAGTCTGTCGGCCTAAGGCAACAAAATCAAGGTCAAGTCCTTTTATCTGTCGCCTGACTTAGATGTCTCGCTTCGCCCAGCTATCACCACCTTTAGCCCACATTAGTCAATTGCGCTAGGCATGGTTATCTTAACCCACCTACGGCGAAGTTAGTCGCTACTGCTCTGCATGACGGGTAAATGCTAGCATGAGAGCATGGTCATCGGCCTGCAGTGCTACAGATTGTTTAAGAAGTCTTCAGCTTTCACCTAGTTTCTACCTCTCGTTCAGTATTTTTTTATCTATTATAAGCTTATTTTATTGGCACATACTAGTGTATGGAGATGGCCCAATGACGTCTCTTTTTTAAGGTGTGCCTCCCCACGTATGTTCTCTATTAGTAGGCTCGACCTAGTACTCTTTTTGGTTTTTTAGTTTCTACGGAGTATCTTATCTTCACCCCTGGCTAATTGTTCAGGCAGCCACTTAAGTAGGCCAAGTATTTCATACAGGCTATACCTGCGGTGAATGTATGAATTAGTGCGAAGTCTGCATGTAACAGAGCATATTAGCCATCCCTAGGGCCATCTTTGGGAGTGCTTCTGCACTTTGTTGTCCTCTTTACCCAACTTGAACCGGGCCAAACGCCCACTGTAATGATTCCATCACGCATGTTGACCTAGTCATCTGGAGAAAGGGTTATTCACGCTCAGGTTTTAAAAATCTGTCTTACCCTCTCATTGAGCTAATACTACTCAAGACTGGTCAAAGAAAAACCTAGGGTGGCCAGGCAATCCCTGCTCCGGATAACGTGGAGAAACCTGGGCTTTTAGTCTTCACGCCAGTGGTTTAGTCCATTCCAAGGAGCAACCAGTAAAGGAACCAGGAGGGTGTAAAGGGTCTACATGGCCAATCAGTCTTGACATTACCTGGTTATGTCTCAGCGTGTTTACCGCGAGTTCTTTATTCCTGGCCATTTTGCCCACCGTACTTCCTCCAGATCTGCCTTCGATCAGCAGCTCTCTGGATAGATCGATTACGGGGCTCTTCTGGTGTTCGAGGACGCCGGCGGGATCCCACTGCTCCGTGTATAGACTGCTTGCTAACAGGCAATTATTGAATGTCTTTGTTCACTTACTGGTATGGGATGGTGATGATTGGGGTATCCAGCTTACATTTATGCACCACAGTTTACCGCAGGGCTTCCCAGGCGCCTAATATGCGACACATTCATCCATCCGCTAACCAGCCACTTGCTTGGTCTTGTCCGACGGGGCCCCATTCACTGATACATCCACGCCGATAATTCGGTCTTGAAGTTTGGGCCATTCTTCCGGAAGCATGCTGTCAATCAGGACCACCCCCTTGACCTCCAGCTGGAAGGGGCATATTTCCGTAGTCACAATTCACGCACTCTCTGAAGAGATCAGGCCACCCTGCGGCCAGTCCCCGAGCAGAATGGGCGTGCGTGGTACAGCTGAGCAAATGAGGGTGGATCAGGGTTGGGTTAGGGTGAGGATTGGTGGAATATGACGAACCACGGGGGCCGGTAAAGGAGATACGGAATGTGGAATAGTAGCCAAGGATCTAAAGAGATAGATGTCAACGTCACCTTCCTTTCTAGATACAAGGCTAAGCGGGATCCCAGCGCATTAGGATAGAACGTTGGCGACCATCACAGCCGGCCATTTTCAGATGTTGGCCGCAGCTATTGGCGGGACGGGCCGTAACTCAAAAGCGTAGCATTCCTTTACCTCATTGGCTCCATTGTTATCCGTTTTGGTGTTACCGGTCTTTACCAAAAGGGAAGTTCCCATTTCCCACAGTGCATTATGGTCAGCAAAACAAGGAAATTTGTAAGGATGAGGAAAGCATGAAGGAATCACGCAAAAAGGAACAAGTAGGTAAGTAATATCAGCAGCATCTAACCACTCCTTTCATCTCAAAGAGAACGCCACATCGGGCTGTCCCCTGGAATGAGATACTATATATAGTAAAGGATTATAATCCCAGCATATTAGGAGAATGATGAGTTTTCTGTAGGTAGATAGAATTAGAAATTTCCTTTCTCTGCTAAGCTCAGTATAACCTTATTAGTAGGGATGATGATATACCAGTATCAGGGCATGCAGTATATCTACTAGAATTCATAATATTAAGAAAATCCCCGACTTCGAGAATGCTCCCATGTATAACTACTTAACGACTTAACGCTAGAAGGTGGTGGGCTATGCAGATAATTATCTTCTTAGCTTTCGTATTTAGGACGCAAAACTCAACAGCAAAACTCAACAACAGGATGGGATAAGAGGTAGGTATACGCTCTGTTCACCACCCCGGTCGTATAACCATTCATGTAATCGAAAGAGGGAGTATATTCCTTTAAAGTTTCCCCTTTGGTGCATTCTATGGGAGTTTAACCCTAGCGTATATTCTGCAGAATATGATATGTGTTAACTACTGTGTAAGCTGTCCTGGATTACTGGCGTGGTGTTTAAGAGTGGATGGACCGTCCAGGAGACCAAGAAAGTGTATATAGGTATGAGTCAGCTTGTTTACACTTAGTAGTTCTGCCTCTGAGGATTTAGCAAATAGATATCTTTATAATTTGCACAGCGACTGCACTGACCGTCCGCAAGGACCTCCCTTCTCTTCTCACCATATGAGCAGGCTTGTGTGCTATGCGCAGCCTCTCATGTTCTCACTGTAGAGGAGCCATCAGACAAAGATAGGCTCTGGCTCAGAGGACTATCCATATGAACCTTTGTTGTATATGGGGTACTGGGGTGTTCCCTGGGCCACGGCGTATGACCTCGAGACCTTTGCTCTGTTCGCGGCGGGGTGGCCGAGTTCTGATGACGGAGTGTGTGGTGGGAATCCTGTGAAGATTAGAAGTCTGGTTGGCTCGAAGGAGCGGCCACCTGGGGGGAGTATTGGGCAGTTTTTGACGATTGGAAAGATTGATAGGCAGTGGAGGTTTGTGGGGAATGCGGATCACGCGTCTTATAACGCTGGGACGGAGTTTGTTAATGGGAAGGTTGTGTAGGAGCTTTAGACGCCCTACATGTCTGTCAAATGTGTAATCCAAATTTGGCTTAAAACGAGCATGTGATTAGGGTTCGGAAATCAATGCATATGCTTTTGCTTGGGAAGCAGAAGGCACATGCCACCGTACTTTGTGAATAGATGCCATAGAAGTCTTCTCTTGGTTCTTTTGAGGAAATTCTGCTTATCCAGGATCAATGCCTAGTTCCATTGCATCTGACTCTACTATATCTCCTGCCGCCAAACCACCTCAGCTTCGTAGTCTGATACAACTTCAGAGTGAAGCGCCCAAAGTAGTAGAGAATAATCAAGACTTAATCTCCATCATTAATAATAGGATGGCACCTATTAGAAGCATCTATAAGCTCCTTAGAAGTTTAAGGCTTATACTTATATCCGGGGAAATATTTATATTCTTAAATAGAGCTCTTATAAGAAGATAATTCACAGTAAGGGCTATAGTTTAATATAAATATATGATTATCACTGACTGTAGAGGCCATTGCCACTCAAGAGCCATGCTTTTGGTTTCTTGACATAGGGGATAGTTTGTTTACTCCCAGGCTGAAATGCAACATACAGCCCTGCTATGTCTAGCCAATGACATCGGGCTATTTCGGGACCTTGAAGCAGACAGGCTGGCGATGGGACTTGGTGGTCTTCCTACCGAAGCCTTGATTATGGAGCCTGGTTATCAAGGAAAGGAAGGCAGAGATGGCTTTGATATTCACGTCCGCAATAGACCACATGGGATCCTCGATTCAAGGTCGTCCATTTGCCGCCCAGGGTAGAGAATTCCGGCAGAACCTGGGGATGGCCGCCGATGCGGAGAATCAACGACTCCCCAGGTTCGAAGGCAATCCCGGCCGGCCAAAGGGCAATCTCCAGCCGCACCACCTGTCCGCGAGGTATCTTGTCTTCCTTGTCATGTGCGTAGACCGGGTAGAATGCTTTGGACAGACTGCAGTCCAGCTGCCGGTGGCTGGCGCGCAAGATGCCCGTAGGACCGAGATACTTGAGCGGGTTTATCTGCTCGACATTGTCGATGCTAGCTAGCTGAAGCGCATCCAGAGGGATGTTAAGATGTTCCAGAATAGTGCCGTGCGTATCGGCTTTGCGGAGTTGCACGAACACATCCAGATCATTGTGGTCTGGAGCGGACATGTACAAGACTGCTTTCGAGTGTCCGAGAAGTGTTTTAGGTGCCGTGAAGGTATACACGAACTCAAGTTCTCCCGGATCATTGCCCGATTGCATCCCAGCGATGTCAGCGGGATAGACTACCGACGACCCTGGGCGGTCGTCCGGATGAGCGGACAGATTCCCCCCTGCATGCAGATATAAAGTCTCATAAACGGTCTCAGTGGGCGGCCAAGCGGAATATGGCACGTTCGTCAAGGCGGGCTTGTTGAAAGGCAGGATCGCCGCGCGGACGCGCGGGGTGCGCTCCCAGCTGTTTTCTTCGTCCTTCAGATAGTGGCCGAGGAAGAGCGCGAGGTCCTCAATACGTTCCTGGGAGTAGAGATCGTACCACTCTTGCGTCGCGTGCACCGTGAGCCACTTCTGCGAAGAGGCGAGGTCGGTGAATCCGCGGAAGGAGCCCTCAGTGTGAATCATGGTCGAGTAGCTTGCCAGGATGTATGCAGGAATAGTAATCTTCTCCAGTCGCGCCCGTTTGTCCGCCCAGTAGGAGTTCCACGTTGGATACCGCTCCACCATTGCGACCGGGTCTTCGACCCGGTTACGCCCGCTGAGGCATGAGCGCAGCATCGCCCAGAACGGGGTGAAGGGAACGCCCCCTCTGCACAGCGTTTCACGATAGAAGTCGGTCGCACCCTCAAGAGGCGCAATACAGTACAGATGAGGTGGTCGCTCGGCAGCGATGAACCACTGGGCCATCGCGAGCCAGGAGTTGCCGACCAGGGCGACACGGCCATTGCACCAGGGGAGACTTGCGATGGCTTCAACGGCGTCGAATCCGTCCTGTCCTTCTCCGGTCCCTAGCCATCTACGGCCGTCAGACCCCGATGCACTCCAAATTAGGGATAGGTTTACCGTATATCTCCTTCCGAGTCAAAGACCCCACGTGCATCCACATTGACCACCGCATACCCGCGCCTGCACCACTCGGCCGGATCAGGAGCCTCCCATTTCTCATAGCCGGACAGTTGCGACTTGGGGACCCCGGCTCGATGCGGAATGAGGTCCAAGGAAATTACACCTGAGAGATTTAGATAGGGACCGAAGTCTTCATAGGGACTAGTTACCTGCTCCAGTCTTTCCATAAGGACTCCATGCCATCAACGCAGGTAGCGGGGTTGTCGCATCTGCTGGGCGGAAGATATCCGCAGCGATGCGAACTCCATCTCGCATCGGAAGCATGACATCTCTGTCCCAGATCAGGTCAATCGGTAGGGCTCTGCATTCGCTAGTCCTTTGATGCCCCTTTGGAAGCACGATGCTTGACGGCTTGAACCCTGCGTAGGCTGTTCCCGGCTCTTCCGGTGCCTTTGCTGGCTGGTAAATGATTTGCTCGGAGAAGGTTGGTGAGGCCATGATTGAGTATAGTGTTTTGTCTGATGGTAATGAGGTGGTGAACGAGCGAAGGATGATCCTATTTAAAGGCTTTCTTATCGTAGCCTTTGTATAGTTGGAGGGCACGATGAGTATCTACGGATGCTGGATAGATCCCCACAGGACTCGGCGCAGGGCAACTTGGGGGTTGAAATTGTGCTATTCAAACTAACATCTCGCTCACTTCATCGGCGCGTGTACTAAGGACTCGGTCGGTCGTGGTCGCTCTCCGTCAAAAAACCGGTCCGAGACAGCGGCGTAAGAGAGCCTATCAGTCCTTCTTTCCTTAGCGTCTCTTCCCTCGTCCCAGCGGCTTTTCAACTCGCTTTAGTGGAATTAAACCTATCCTCTGATATGATGCCGGACTAGCCGCTCATGGCTGGCGGCGGCGGCTCGCAAATCGATCCGCGGCCCTAGATTCCGTCCGCTGCCGAACATACTTCCCTCTTTTTGGCCTGGCGACGCGTGATCCGCAAAGCTCCGCACACCGATGCCCTGAAACGATAAGTTTCAGAGAAGTTTAAGCGAAAGATTCGAGGTACGAATCACCAATCACGGGCCACATTGGGCGCGAAAGTAAAAAGCGTTGACTGACGCCAAGGACTCAAAACGGCTACCACCACTGGCCAGGACGCCGAACTCGGAAGTATGTGTTGCTTTACAACACGGCTCTCGAAAGTACCGACTGTGGATTGCTGGAGGGGACACACTCCTGGAAAATCTGGATTATTCGGGAGCGTTGTGCATGCGGGTCCAAATAAGAGACCGCAAGACACTACCGGGTCTTACAAGGGCAACAGTTGTTCTTCAGTTGCCTGAAACTGGGCTGACTATATGTATATAGCGAGGGACGGCTGGTCTCAAGCTTGGATAATCATCCCTAGGGGCTGGCTATGGTTCATATAGGCCATCTCTGGCTTTTTGCATGATTCGCAGTATGGTCAGCCGTACGGTCTTCTTCTACTACGATGTGGTCCATATTGATTACTCTATAATGGACCATATGTGCCAACCAAGGTGACGTTGGCCACACGCGATGAGGATATCATGCAGCATCTCAGATAAACAACTATTTATATAGCAAGTTATATAAGGGAGAGCTTAATATTATAACATCATCACTGCAGGCAACAGGGGCTAGGGTTACAGTCTGCAGTAATACTATTAGAGAGGCAAGAGCTGGATGCAGAATCTGACCCTTTAAGTTTATAATTATTATTGCATTGAAGTCAAGGCTAAGATACTAGAAAGTAGACAGTATCAGCCATCAAATAAGGAAGTACTTATCTCGACCTAACGAACGCAAAAGCGACCCTATATTTATTCCCTCTTGTATGTTGCATTTCCTTAGTCCAATCTGTATCCAGCATTGACAATTACATATTCTATTTCAATAAAAGCCACCGAAGGTACATATTTCCCTGCATCCATGAAATGGCACATTTGTAGCATGTTTTTCTGCAGGATATACTTTTGAATTTCTACATAAAGTACACATAAACAAGGGATCTGGGAAGAGCACTGGTTACCACAGAGTCATGGCACCATGGGTTTGCAGAATCATTACATTGAACAATTTCCAAAAATGTATATCACTTAAACTATATCTTTTCTTTAGGGTTTGTAGCACATGGATAACTCATGTACAATACTATAACTAAGTATGTTTGTCTTAAGATAATGCTATGGTCCGTGAGTAGTTGCATGCTTGTTATTACCTAACATATATTATCCCACACATTGTTGACAGAACTTGCGATGTTAGAACCCAGCTTTACTACTTCAGGTTCGATGGTAGGTTCCAGCATCAGGTCCTTGAGACGTATCAACCGCGCCGATCTGGTTGAAATGATTTAGACGCAACCTATTGTAGGGTCCTACAAGGTCCGGACGAATTATGGCATGGCCTGCCCATTGAACCTTCCAGTATTTCACACGAACTTTGTTATAATGCCGTCGGGAAGCCTGTACGGAAACATGTTACGACGGCGTGTACTCCATGTAGAGATGGCAAAATACTCATAAGTACTTTGCTTAAATGCAGCGTAATCATACTACTCCATACTGGCGCTAGCAGTAACATACCTCACCTGTGGCCTCGCCACATACTCAACAATAACAAACGGCTTACCATCAAGTGGAGAATAGCCTTCTGGTATTCCCTGCCTGGCAATCAAACAAGTCCATGCTACGACAGCTGGTACCCCGAGAACGTACTGAATCCTGTCATAGCTGGCGGGAGCTGCTGCAACAACGTGGTGCAGGTTGGATCCGCAGCTGATGAGCGTTACATTGGCGTCCCGATCCTCGTTGATAACCTTTGCTCCGTGCAGGTTTTTCAACCGACTGGTATTTGGCACATCCCAAACTGGTTCGCGTGCTAAGGATATCATGTTAGGCTGGTATTTGCGCCTATCCGTAGAACAATGCTCCGAGCCTCCACTGCGCCTTAAGGTCGCATGAGTGTTAGATTAGACATGGCCGGAAAGAGTGGGCCGAGTTGCACTGGTTACTGTGTTGGTATGGCCCCACCCTCAGTTTCATACTTGTTAGCAAAGGTCGTTTTGACTCAAACCGTAAGGTGGGACGCGTACTGAATAATCAAGGTAGCAATATGGGTCGCGGGAAGGTGACTGAGGTCTCCCCTCAGGGCACCAGGTGCAACACACTTTGCACCTCTCAGTGCAAACAGAATCTACGTCGAGACAACAATCAATCGCCACTAGCGCTTTGGATAACCCTATATACTTTTTTATCATTCAGGTCTTGTAATTGAGGTGAATCTATCGAGCGAGCCACTAGTCTTTCGAGTATATCAACGAAAAGCCGGGATCAGTTTGGCAGTAACCATCCGATCAAAAACAATCGTATAGCCCTCTACAGTGTCAATGGTTTTCGTAAACCCAATAGACCTAGCTTTCTCCAACGAATACTCCCTATTGAAGTCAAAGTCGACGAGCATAAAGTGCGTATGGCCCCAGTTCTGGTTCTCCACAGTGTCGCTCTTCAACCCATGGACCTCAGCAAGCCGCTTCCACTGATCCATGTGCGCATTGACAAAGTCCTCCATACTTGTCTGAGAGCCGTTCTGCGGCTCACAGCCAACTAGGCCGAAATACGCACAGAGACCCGGCCAAACCTGAGCCCAGCTCACAGTCTGCCCATCAGCAGCGTTGAAAGATGACCCATTAACGCACTTCTCCCGATGCAGGGCAACATAGATCTCCAGCTGCGACAAAATATCCTGGAATGTGTCGGAGTGCGTCGAGTAATATCCTTGCCGCGTCCCCGGGAATGGAACAGAAGCCCCGACGCCATGAACCTCTCGATAAAGGGTCAGATAGAATGCTATGCCGTGCGCCATATTCATGGCATTGGAACTGGGAGCAAATCCGACAATTCCGTCAGGCCGAATTTCAGAGAATGTCCACTTTGACCCCTTGGATAGCTCCATTAAGAGGTCATATTGATCGTAGTAGAAGATTTTGCTTCTCCATGGTTCTGGGATTCTGGGTAGGTCTTCATGTAGCGGAGGCTGGACCCGAATCTTGTCTTGGAATTCTAATCCATAACCTTTGCCACCAGTTTGAAGAATAACTACCTCAAGGTTCGGTGCCACGGCGCTGGTGGCCTGGATTGCTGTACGGAGCAGGTCCGTGTTGATCTTCCTCAGTGATGTGTAATCGGAGGCTTGGATATAGGCTGTCCGAAGAAACCTAGATTAGTCACTGTCGATCTAAGTATACTTAAAAGAGTGGAGGCTGCCTTGGCTCACCGCAGAAGAAAACAATATCAACCAACATGATGTCTTCCACCTTTGTCTTCAGCTGTTCTATGACTGTCTCGACTGATCCTGTAAGGTCGATGCCAGAAACGATATTGAGGCGACTATCATTGGGTAACAGCATGGTTTTCTTTTCAATATGGCGATTGCACAAGCCAGTAACGCGATGGAATGTCGACGGCGAAGGATATGAGAGGCACTGCTTCATCAAGGACCATCCTGAAATACCAGAAGCCCCGAAAATGAGAGCGTGCTTCCCTTTACCAGTCATGATTTCGAGCAAATGACCTGATGCAATCTTCTCAAGCTACTTTTCCTCAGACCAGCAGTCTGTCTATAAATACCTCGTAGTTCCATGATCATGGATTCGTAAGCGACTCGGGTTTCATTTCCCGGAGTCTTTCCGTCAGTTAACTAGTTAACTAACGGATTGATACGTGAGTGGATCAGCATCATAGTGTCTAGACGCTATTAAACCATCTAGGATGACCTTTGGGGCTTTACATTTGGCTCGCTGATGGTTATAACGCCCAGAGAATCGGGATTTAATCTCTTCATGCCGATGAATGAAATTACATACCCATTTCTCTCCAACTGTCCGGATAGTGCTCCTCTAGATTTTGAAAGAAGGATGTTTGCCATTTTTTCATATATGAGATGGTCGGGGAGCTACTCCATGTTAATCATTGATATAATTCCCTGAAGAAGCGGTTCCTCTTCGTGTTAAGTCATTTTAAGACTATTTGCGCGTAAGTCACCAGTACGCCCCGTTAGACGCCGCTGGAGGGTAGTATAAGGCAGATTGTAGGCACGCGCAGCTTCACGAATATTAAGGATTCCTTCTTTTTCAAAGCTCATGCTGTAGATAGAGTCCTTCCGTCCTGCTCAACTAAATTCTTTGATTTTGTACGCACCTTTAGTGGCATAGTGGCAGGCTGAATACATGTCGGCTTTATGATCCTCTTGCTTACCGATCAGCAACATTCCTGCGGATTTCGGATCACAACCTTTCCGACTGACAAATCTGAACAATAGGGCCTATTTATTAACAAGCGGGAGTCCGACGTCTAGTTGATCTAGAAATTCACGTTTGATTTGTAAAGCAGCTTCCTACATCTGCTCATTGAACAAGATTATTAAGTCGCTCTCAACACTTGAACACCATGGCATCGGAAAACCCAACCAGCGGATTTAGACTGACGCATGTCGGCCTTCGTGTTACGGATATCAACAGATCCGTTGCGTTCTACACGGATGCTTTTGGCATGAAGGAATTAGGCCGCATGGCATTGGACACGACCACGGTTGTTTTCCTCGGTTATCCTGATGCAGCGAACCCACAAAGGCCGCTCTTCGCTAGGGAAGGTGTACTAGAACTAGTATGCCCAAAGGTAATCATAGTTCATCAAAGATTCTCGTCCGCTTTCGGCAAGACTGTGGCTGACCTTGCCTTCAGAAGTCCCAGAAAGGCATGACCGACTCAAGTGACTATCCGGATTTCCGATTTGTCAAGATGGCAATCGGTGTCCCGGACATGACCAAGGCCATGGAGTATATCAGAGGACACAACGTTAATATACTCAAAGAAGTTGGCATGACTCAGGGTTCAGAGGTTGTGGCCGCCTTTTTGGGTTGCGATATGCCTGACAAGGGGTTTGACAGGCCTTTGTGGGAAGCCGCCGTGGCTGTCCCTTTTGTGGAAGACCCAGATGGATACCTCATTGAAATAATCCCATATTGAGCTATATTCTGGGTTATTCGCAGCAGTGTCATATAACAGCGTTCTGCACCAAATATAGGGACTCCTTGTCTGATGAAACGAAATGAGTGTATACCTTGATGTGACATGTGAACGTCATCATGTCTATGGCAACGGTGCTTGAATATTACTAGACTTTTCATATTTCACAGTGTATTGTTTTGTCCTCGCCAGTTACCTATTAATCCACAGTCTATTCTACTCACAGCTGCTCTGATACTAAGCAATAATAATTCCTAAGCATGGCCTTGCCTAAGGGCGCATTTCACTGAGTTACTGCGGAACTCTGCTCTTCCTGCTCCATAGAACGAAAGACTTCAGCGACGCGATGGAAAGACTCCTTCGGTACCCATGGAGGCATATCGTTAGATCTTGAGTCCTTCTTAGGAAAGGTCTTTACCAGCGCGAAAGACATCATGTCCAGGTCGCTCGCCCCTTGTCCTGCCGGCATGCAAGGGAATGAAAACAGGAAAATGAAGGCCGCATCAACCCCTGCTTTGTTGAGAAGCTCAAGCTGCGTCCCGACGTAATCGGCCTGTTCCTTCTCGCTCCGAGTCGGGACAATATCGTTCTCGAAGATGCCAGTGCCGTCTGGATTCGTGCCTTTCAAGAGTGCGAACCCGCCATCTCCGCGCTCTGCTGCTCCCTCGTACGCGCAGCATCCGACTTCTAAAACAGCGAGAGGCTTTCCAATCCTGTACCGGTTGAGACACGAGACATACTTCTCCGCAGTCTCCCCTCTGCGATAATAGTCTACGCCGACGATGTCAAAAATATCCCAGTCCACGACTTCCCAGGAGCCAGCTGAATATGTGACCTTTCCTCCGAACTGGGAACGAATCACCTCAACGAAAGACCGCAATGCCATGTTCAACTCAACAGACTTGTCACGCAGAGTCTGGGGAATATCCTCGATCATGTGGCCGCTAGGAAACTGCCGGCCGAGGAACATTACACGGTCGTTGAAAGAGTCTCCCGGGAAAACACCTTTGCTGAAAATGGTGTATTCGCAGCCGGCGATAAAGACCAAATCAATGCCTTCGTTGCGTAATCTTTCTGCAGTTTTTGCTGCCTCTTCGAAGTATGCGCGGGTCTCCGCGATGGTTGCATTCATCTTCCATGGATTGAAAAACACCGTTAGTCCCATCGATTGCGCTGACCGTGCGGCAATCTCCAGCCGAGTCAGCTCCTCTCCTTCAATCCGGACGGCATTGGCATGCAACTCGTCCCCGATTGTTTTCATGTCGTATTTGACTAGTGCAGGATCGAATGGCTCGACGGAGAATCCAGCGCCATTGAAATTGAGGCCGACATCGTAGACAACACCGCGATACTTCATGGTGGGGTATTTGGTGGGAAGGACTGATAAGCGCAAATGTCTGCGGGCTCACAGAATATGCAAGGATAACAACCGCGTCCAAACGAGCATGAGGCAAGAAACAAGAGGCACGTAATAGTCAAGTATATAAGGCCCCCGAGGGTGTCTCCACTCTTCGGACTGCGCACTCTTGGCGCCCGAGTGTCCGGCCATGGCTCGAAACTTCATCGAACCTGCAAAATTTGGCCATTGGGCAGCCTCGTTGCGGAGGGCTTCCAAAGTCTGGACTTACACCTTTTGACAGTTCCACCATTCGGCCTGCAATTTGCCCTGCCAAAACCGGCTTGAGAGCGTCTCTAGATACTGCTGTGATGATGTCATTCGGACCTGGAGGCACCGATTACGGATCCGCTGGCCAAGAAGCAGGGGGAGAAGGTAGCCTGGATTCTCAGTGGAACGGGGTAGACGAGCATGAGGTTGTGGTGAAGGAGAGGGTGGCAGTATGCGAACATTTCCTTAATCGCGTCACAGGTGAATTAGATGCTGACATGCTCCACAGTGTGATCGTTGCCGTCAGCGGAAGGTGCGACCCTTCTATCTACCTGCAGCAAAAATTGTTCCCCTGTGAGGTGTAGCCGAGGTCGGTCTACTGACTTTCTAGCTGGCTTAATAGACCAAGTGTAATCGCGTTAATCCGTGCTCACATTGTACCAAGGCGGAGGCGCAGTGTACATTCAGACTGGCTCACAAAGCCAAAGAAAAGCGGCAACGCGTCCTGATATCGAGTGTATAGTGAGTTATCGCCCCAAGTGCATCTATCTAAGTATTAATAGACCATCAGCGAAAGGAGACTGGAGCATATTTCGAACAGAATTGAGGAGCTCCACGGAATCATAGGGCAACTTAGAGATGAGCGCCATAACGGTGATAGTAGCCTTATGGCCCCAACTAGATTACGAGCACCATCGTATTCATCGCTCCAATTTGGCAGTCTTCGGGCATCCACCAAAGCTCCAGTTCCAGCGGAAGGAATTGAGTCCGCATTGTTTGCCCATGTCATTTGCGCAGCAAGAGCTCTTGAAACGGCTGTGATGGATGACCCATACTCCAGGGCGATCGACGACATAATTTCGGCGATAACTACTTTGCGGAGCACAGTCAATGACCAAAAGCAGCATAATAAGGCCCTGGACGGGTCATGTTCTTTTCTTAAGGCGCTGCCTTCTGGTGTTAGTCTTAGGGATTTGCCTATCCCTTCCTTGGATAAAATCATGGCATGCCTCAGGATCACCCAAGGTGCGTCTCTCTTTTCGAGGCTATGTTGCACTCGTTCTGATAATCATCCCCCAGAGAGCTCGACAAGCGAGATTTACTGGCCCTTCGAGTTTGGATCTCTGGGAGACTTCACTCAGAAGGTGATCAGAGCCTGCACACCCGGTCCGATCAGCGATATGGAGCTGATTATAGTCCACTACGTTCTATACGTGCTCTTCACCCAATGCTCGGTTGGTGCCGACGATGAGACACTCAGACAGGACTACGATGTGCAAGCTGCAACGTGCAGAGAGAGCCTCGAGACAATTCTATCAAGTCTTTCCTTTCACATCGATACCGATATTGACTCTATCTGTGCCTTGTACATGGCGGTGCGTTTATCCCTCTTAGTAGCAATGCATTTTCCACGGTATTAATTTGCGATCTCCAACATACAGTCTCTTCATTGCCTGCACCGGGGGAAAGTGTCCACAGCCTGGACGTTTATTTCAAGAGCGTCACTTATGTGCCTGGCCTTGGGGTTGCATAGCAGTCACGCCCTGGTAACGGAACAAGAAAGCGCAGTGCAGCGAAAGATATGTCTTTTCTGGGCTGTGTACGCCTTGGAGAAAGCTGTGGCTTTACGGCTAGGCAGGCCATCGACTATTAGAGACCAGGATATCACCATCCCACGACTCACTTTGGACCGCAAAATGACCTCCCTAGCATATAACCGGCTGCCTGACTGGATTGATATCGCTAGCCTCTACGGCCGCTTGTATGATAGCCTGTATAGCCCGACTGCATTGACACAACCGGGCTCCGTTCGAGTGTCCCGTACCAGCGCACTGGCTTCTGAGCTGGAGCGTATGATAGCCGCAAGAACCGGATATTATGTAAGTATCTAAACAGTTCTCTGTATGCTCCCAACAAAGGTAAGCATACGGAATCAGTCCGTGGACACTCTGACTAACCACCCTTCTCAGAGTCGTCCAGACCTGTGGAGTAACCATGTGCTAGATCTAAATTTCTCACAGTTCATGATACACGCCAACAGAGCTATAGAATTCTCAATTTTGGCGTCCATCTATCGGGGAACCCCAACAGAGAGTCCTTCGGGTATAAAATTATGTACTCAATGCATCACGGCTGCTCGAGTAGCTCTTGAAGAGAGCGAAGCCAGCATTGCTATACTTTTACGTGCAGCAAAATGGCCGACTGGTCTTCACGAATGGGTCAACGAGATTCTCCTCATAGCGCCATTTATTCCACTCACAATCCTGGTTTACAATGTTGTTGATACTGCTGACGCGTCAGACCTGGGACGCTTGAAGGGAGTGATTGAGGGTCTACAGTCTCTGGCACAATCGCCGCACCATGCCAGCTGTAATAGGCAGCTACGTGTTTTCAAGCCACTGTACGATGTTGCAGCTCGTTACGTTGAAGCAAAGACAAGCCGGGAATCAACAGAAATGATTAGCAGTCTATTCACTAATCCCTACACCGATGTCTACTTCGATGATGACACTTGGTTACGGAATGAATTCTCTCCTGTCTCGTCGTTACCGTTATCAAATATGTTGTCACTCGATTTGCTCCAAGCTCCAGCAGTTACATCATATGATGAGACTCCGGAACATAGCCAACGTGACCTCATAAAGTAAGGTCCACTCTCTTTGATCTTGCACACGGGTTCATCCGCTGTTCCCCTCCAAAGCAGCAGGTGCCGATCTTAACGCCGCTCTGCAGTTCCTCGAGTACCAAGAGCTCGCGCAGTTTGAGGCTAAGGACGCATAAAGGATAACTGAGAAGATTTGGGACGCTTTTTGGGAAGCTATAGGGCTACCGTTGTTATCGTTGTGAAGGTATCCGGGTCAGCGACTGGCTTGATATCCCTCTCAAGTCACAGTCTGGCGATATACGGGCCTTATTTCAGGATAGTTAGGTGGTGGACCGCGAAGAGATTAATGATTATAGCTCTTGCAACTCACTTTCATTTAGATGAATACTATGCTATGCTAGAATCCCATGGGCTTACGAGACCGCTTGTAGAACAAGGGACGCGGACTCAAACTTGATCATTAAGCCTGCTGTCAACCTTTGACCATCCTGACTTCCGATGCCATCTTTTCAGTGCTATAAAAATAATAATAATAATCATAATAATAATAATAGTTACAGTTTGCACATGTCAACCAGCTAACCGAATGCTCCTTGTCAAGATTGCTAGAAATTGAGCATCTTGCGTTAGTAAGTAATAGTACATGCCTTGTGATAGTACCTTGGCTTTCGTTTTGTTTATGACTTGGGCATTTTGCTGAAAGTCCTCATCCTCATGGAGGTCTAAGATCGAAAATAGTATCGGGACGGGCAGAAATGAGTACATCGAGGCACTGAACTGATTTACCTTCTCCAAGCTGACAGGGGAAATCAATTTCCATCCGATACCTTCAGGAAATATTAAATTGTACGGAGTCTTTGGAATCACGTATTTCCGCTGCCACTTCTTGGGCCACCGGGAATGCAATCCCGGGCTAAAATCGCGGGGGCTTCATAGTTTCCGAGATAAATTCCTAATGTCTTCCAGACCCGCCTCGGAGTTTTCATCTCTATAGAAAATCGATTCAGAAGCTAAAGTCATCTACGAAGATGGGCTCCTACAAAGTTGGTCTTCTATCCGTTAAAACATGTCTGACAATGAGCATGCTGTGCTTACATTTGTGCTCTCCAACGGTAAGTTAATCCGCACTGGACAGGTTTTCGTGCTAAGTAAGACTACAGGGCACTGTGCGATGTTCTTATACGTGCTCAACCATTTGACTGGGTACGAGGCCTGGACAATAGATGAGCTTGAGGGGTATGGTAGCGCAAAGAAAAATGACTACACCACGCTTGTCCATGGTCATCCGGAAATCAAGTGCCCAGGCGTTGAAGTTACTACTGGGCCCCTTGGTCAAGGGATTACCAATGCGGTTGGTCTTGCTATTGCTTCTAATACCTTGGCAGCGCATACAATCAACCGGGCTACGATATTGTCCAGCTCAAGGATCTATTATATGACTGGAGATGGATGTTTCGAGGTCAGAATGGGCGTGCGCTGCTAGAAGGGCAACTGGGCCATCAGAATAATGACCTGGGAATCCCTTCACTTAGAAGAATGTTGCATATATCAGGATCCATGAAATCCACCACATCCAAGTCTTCGCTAACTGAAGTATAGTCTTGCGTCCAATAGCCACTAGGCGGGTTCAGGTCAATGGATCCAGCAGCCTCTCTTGACGATCGAAAATGATCATACTCAGAACATTCTTGAGCATTTGGTCGAGCCCCATGAGGTGTCGGGCCGGCGTTGCAGTGCAGGTGGCGCTCAGAAGCTCCTTTGATACCCTTTTCGGTTACAGCCTGTCTGCGTTTATGCCACTGCTGCTGAAGTGTACTCAAGAATGTGCTCGTCCGTTTGGCATTTTCGAAGCAGAAACCCATTTCATCCAGAGCCCAGAAGCATGTACCGAGGTAACTAGTATGCTCTTTGTCAGGCTTTCTGGTTTGAGACGGGATGGTAATGAAAATCAGGATTAGTGCTGCAGAAAATGTAAAAGAAACCATCTGCACATTTGCTTTTCTGAACCCGTAGAGCCTTTCGTAAATTATCAAAGCTTTGACAATGGCAACAGCAGACTCAATGCACTTCTTGCGCGCATGGGAAGAACCAGGCCCTTGTGGTGGTTGAGGCTGGATGTAGTGCTTTGATATGTAAGGACGATGGCAGTGGATCATGAACTGGTGGTATTGCATACTTGATCCATGTAAGCTAGGGAAATAAGACAAAGAGTTCAGATCATGCAACTTACTGCAGGATGAGAACGTGCGGTAAGCACTGCTGACATTCTTCGGTTAAGTCAACATCAAGGCCTTCCGGGAGATCCTTCTTCCATTCATACAGTCGTCCAACGGTGGCAGCGGTTAATTCTTGAAGGGCATGCTTCGACACCTCGAAAGATCCATACCTTGACCAGATTATTAGTACGGCGATGCGTGGAAATACCTGGATCTGCGGAAAAGGCTCACAGGACGTCTGTAAGAGGCATCATGAGGTCATATAGAGTCACCCACAAATGACATATTATCTCTAGAGGATTATAGATGCTTGCTATTTCAATTTGCCGGCAGCCGTAAGGCTTCCATTCCGCTGATGATTGAGAGCTGTCCCAGTGGGGCTTTTGAACTGTGACCCCTGCTGTCGGGCTACGAAGAGGGCGGCCCAGGTAATACCCCCAAAACCTAAATCAGTAAGAAACATTACATTACCAGGGAGATATGTGAGCAGACATACTGTTCGTTAAGGTATGCAGCCCAAAATATAGTACGTCGGAGCTTGCATTCCTCAGCCGAAATGATACCACTCTCAACGTAGGGTGTCATATCAAGATGAAGGCCTAGGTCAAAAGCAAGTCGCATAGCCATCCCTTTGTATCATCAGTGTCGCACTTATTTAGTATTGTGGGCTTACTCACCACTATATAGCCATCCTCGAGTATCCCTTGTGCGGGATGCTTCGTGGTTGCTAAGAATAACCAGCGTTTGTATAGTCGACAGCGAAGGTTTTTTCGAATTCCCACTCTATCAAAGTTCTGGCTCTTTCACTAAAAAGCTCTGATAATGATCGGGGGAAGGTAACAAGTTCGGGGTGATATTTGGGCACATAAGCTGCGCCCAAGGCACACCTGTAATGGTTGATTAGTACGATGCTCTCTCATTATGTTGGAGAATTTTACATTGCATCAACTAGGGCCCGCGAGCTATACGAAGAAACTAAACCGTCGTGGTTGTTTTGTTGTCTCGTCTTCCAGAATAGCTCATAGTCGACAAGATACAAGGAGGGGTTCTGCCACGCAAAATAGAGCTCAAGCAAATGATGTTCCAGAATTTCGTCAACGGCAATATTGAGGCCTGCGTTCTCTAAAACCTCTTGTGTATCTTTCTGTGTGTTGTTTGAAGTAGAAGTGTTCAAGCTGACTAGACCATCCAAGAGGGTGAGATTAGATGTTGAACCGAAGTATCGTAACTGCCCATCTTGAGTCAATTGGAGTCGGCCCAGGCGCCACGAGAGTTGATTTGTAAACTCGTCATCAGCATCAGCACCTGGGAGATCATCACTTGTCGCATTACCCTGCTGTACATTGCCTGAATCGCGCCCGGATGCCATCAGATCTGGTGGCATATTGGGGTGAGTTCCTTCAATTGCATTCACAAACAAAGGGTTGCTAGAGTCGTGATCAACCAGCACAGCGCCTTGCTGGCCTTCATCTGGTGTTGGGCGGAGACCAAGGCTTGTCGGAAATGTTGTCGCCGGTTCCCTTGAATGGCTGATATTCCTGCTGGAAGCTGGCACGAAGTCAGGAGAACTGTTGCTGATCACATTGCCTCGAGTTTCGCCGTCCTGCTCAGACGGGCAGACGGAATAGTTATCTTGATCAGTGAAATTCCCCGCCTGATTTACTATGTGGGAGCCCGATCGGATCTCCCTGTGATCGAATCCGAGGGCCTGAAGAATGCTTTTGAGATTCTGCTCGTCTTCCCCACTCATACCGGGAATCTCCAGACCATGCTCCCGGATATATTGGGACAAATCGTCCACTCGTTTTGCGAGCAGGTTTACCGCAATCCGGAGGGGTATTCTGGTAAGAGTCTCAGCAAAGGGAAGAATTTTGAGCCTTTCTGCACATATAATGTCATACGTTCGTTTGTCACTGCGCCGTTGATAAGTGCAATCTTTTCCTTTGCTCTGACAATTTCTGCAGGCCGGTATGTTACCATCGCACTAGCCAGCCAAATAGTCAGTTTGTTTTGGGAGCATCCACAGTGAGCTGAATGTGCATACTTTGACTTTCATCTTTCGACACAGGGTGCAAGCTGTTGTGACATGCTTGCGTATATGGCTATCGCCTTTATTCCTTCGTGGCATATCTAACAACGGTACTTGCGTCCTGTAATCTTGGAGAAGGAGGATCCTTGACTAGGTGGTTGAGATGAATGAGCCCGAGGTGGCGACTCCCCGGAAATCAACTTCCGAGCCCTTGTCAGCCTACATGCTGAATGAATGAAGCACTTTATCAAGTATAATAGTTTGTCTCTGACTGAAAAATGCTCTATAAAACGGGATCATCATCATAATAATAATAATCTACTTAGTTAAGTATTAGGGAGGGAGGAGTATGTTATTTAATAGCGACTTTGTATGTAAAAGTATATAGATATAGGTGCTCCTGTGCGTATAGTTTAGAAGAAAGCGGATATTATTATTGCCTTGTTGATACAACTAGCATGTAGTTCGCTGCCTACACACGCGCCCTACAAATGGTGCAGCACCTCTTAGATCAGATATACAAAAAGTAAGCCTGGTACTGTAGCAGGCATTAGCGATAAAGGTAGAGGTTGCAGTACATTCGGACGTGATGCTCTCCCTTTAACTCATCTTGGAAATAAACCACCTGTAAGTATCTAGTAAGAAACTCATCCCTACCACCCATTCCTGCACAAGCAGTGCCACTCAGGCTTCTCCGAACAGCAATTTCCATCTACTCATCGTCGTTGAGATCGACGACCGTCTGCTTCCATTTGCGAGCCGGAACACGTCGCTTGAACAAAATGTCGATCTCACGGAAGGACCTGTCCTTCATTTCGGGAATCCAGATCCAGGCCATCAAGGTGCAGATAAAGGCGGTGCCAGCCCAGACATAGCCGCTCTTGCCGCCCAGGTGCCACTTATCATCGTTGAGCATGTAGCTGGAAAGGAAGATGCAAGGAATATTGACAATGTAGTAGGCACCTCGTCCAATACCGGTTGTCAGTGGCCTGAGACGAACGGAAGATGTCTCGCCGATGATGACCCATGAGGCAGGGGCGGGTCCCAAGCAGAACAGGACGGAGACGATCAAGCCAAGTGATGCTTGCGCATTGCTAGCCGCCTTACTAGCGCCAACTGAAGCCGCAATACCGAGTGCGATTAAGAATGCACAGTTGATGAATTGACCATAGACATAGATGGTGCGTCGGCCGAGGTATGTGGTGAGGATCCAAGAGAGCATGACGAAGATCATCTGGAGGGCCGAAGTGATGAGACCAAGTGCAAATGCGGTGTCGTCTGCCATGCCGGCCTCTGCGCTGGTGTTAGTCTGCTATGGGGGTTACAGGAAATGGTTGGACTCACGTTTGAAAAAGTAAACTGCTTGGTTAGCAATCAGATTGCCCGTCAGATTCTGAGATGCATACACACCGCACACAATCAATGTGCGGTAGCAATCGGTACCTCTCCACAGTTCAATGAGACTGGGCTTCTTCTGGGTCTTTTCAAGCTCGATCGTGCGACGCATCATTGCGACTGCGTCAGCGGGATTATCATTTGCACTCGCGCGTCCAAGGCGTTTGACAGCCTTCTCTGCCTCAGCCAGACGGCCCTTTCGTACGAGCCACCAGGGTGATTCAGGCGCAAGGAAGAGTAGGATAGCGAGAGGAGTAGGAAACATCCACTGGAGTGCAATGGGCATTCTGGTATGACTGTTAGTACAAGTGCTGCTCGATGGCGTTTATGGGAGCGGACGAACCTGTACGCTGAGGAGTTATCCTTGGATTGGTAGTGGTAAGTGATACCGCCGACAATGATCGACCCGATAGCCCAGAACATCTGCAACATCTGCGTCGCTGGAGCTCTCAATCTCATTGGCACAATTTCGGCACAGTAGGCGGGTGCATTGGCGATAAAAATGCCCCACGGGATACCTTCCAGGATCTGGGCCGCGAAAAACATCCCCTGGCTGTTGCCGAAATAGAAGATGAAGATGAAGGCGTTCAGGAACATGAGACCGCCAATGGTTGCCCATCGATATCCAATCCAACTGGTAATGGGACCTGCGATGAATACACCGATGAAGGCACCGACTGGTCCGCTGCACTGGAATGCTGACTGCCATGGAGCTGAAATAATCCAATCCTTTTTAACATCGCTCCATACTCCAAAATCATGGGCGAATCGACGTGTGGCTATGAACTGTCCCATCAAGAAAACGCAGTATGACTCCATGATCTATCGCAGCGTTAGAAAAATGATCAGCCAATCATGGGCAAGAGCTTACAATGGTGCATGACATGACAAATGCCCACCAACTGGCAGCGGGATAGGCCTTGACAGCCTCCAGCACAGTCATCTTATGTTCGATATCCTCAGCATTGATGGCGCCCGCTCTGTCCACGCCGCCCTTCTCGTCGACATCGTAGACAGGTCCACCCTTGGAGGTGGGCTGCTCCTCGAGCTCCAACGCTGAGGTCGGCTTCTCTGTGACGACGTTATCCATGGTGACAAATTGAGAGAAATGTGAGAAAGAAAAAGAGGCAGGCACGACGACTGGGTGTTCAGCTCTTTATCCCTGCGACACCACGCTCGTGATGGTAATCCTGCTAAGCTCAATTGGTGAAGCTTACTCCGGACTTTGACCTCCACAAACCAACATCTCCACCAATTAGGGCCATTTTTCCGGCACCCCAGGTAACAAAGTCTCACTCGTCTCGCCATCGCTTCAATCCCCCTTGCTTATTAGCCGTAGCGGACGTCGGGGCATCTTCTTCCCGAGTAGGTCTAGTGCGTGGAATGGTGTGGTTTTACTTATGGTGGCTGGCCTCTTGTGTCGAGCGGGGTAGTCTGATACTAGTACTAGTCGGGAAGAGATGCTCCGGTCCCACACGGAATATTTCCCCCGCAGTGTTAGTTGTGGGGCATTTTCCTATCGGTTCTCCGCACTCAGTTAGCTCCCCAGTGTACAGGGGAGTCCGACTTCTCTTGGGCGACCTCCTATTAGCCGGAGATGACCACGTGCTGCACAGTCCTGCCTTTGGACGGCGGCACGGCTACACTGTAATATGCCGGGGTAAAGGGGGGGGGGAAGCCCACCATCACCGCCTTGTGTCTACTCTTCTCCGCTTCCACTTCATCTGGGGCCCCAGGCTTCTGGAGGCCCTAGTCTCGCTCGTTGTATCCGCCTCTCAGGTCTAAGCCGCGATAGGTATCCCTTATATAGTCTGATGGGATTGCCAGCAGCGCTGCCTCTTCCCCCTGATTCTAACCTTGGCCATAGTCTGCCTTCGTACCTGATGTTGCAGGTGGCCCTAAGGATACGTAGCTATATTGTTGGAGCAAGGAAGTGCTAGTAGGCGCCACCAAGCGTTACTGTCAGCCTTCGGTTAATTCAGCTCAGGGTTCGGTTAATTGAGACTATAGATGCACTACATGTGACGTTGAGAGCTTACTAGCTAGGCTCAGCACTGCTCAGTGCAGGACTCAGCAAGAAGGACACGCCTTGTAAAGCTAGAATAGGGGTAAGATTGCAAGACCCTAGAATGATGAATAAAACAGTAGATCCTATGAGGGTGCTCATCCCCATCTAAGGTTAGCTAATCGACGAAAAACTAAGCATGGGAAGAAGGAAGGGGACTATGTTATATAGCTTGCTGCAACGCTTCTTATATGCGTCTAGTTGCCTGGGTAGAGTTGCATTCGGTCCGAGTTTGCGCGAGTTCAAAACCAGTTAGCACTGAACCATTGCGATTTCAAGTTGAAATTTTAGATTTCGGGTCCAAATCGGATCCGACCTGAGTTTGGTTGGTGTGGTTTTAACCAATAAAACACGCCATTAGGCCTGGACAGGCCTAGCCTAGCCCTTACTAACTAACCATGGTTAGACTCAGTTCGGTTTCGGGTTGGTTAAACCGCCGAATTTTAACCATTTTAATCTTACCATTTCCCCAGGGACCCCTATCAAGCATGCTCATATAAAAATATCCTTTTTATATGAAATATATAATCATTATCATCATACTAATCTACATCTAAAATATATTCAATATCTATAGAGTTGAATGGGGGGTGGTTAAGAATCATTCTTAGACCATAGTAATTGTCAAAGGTTGATGCACATATATATATAAACCACCCCTTCTTTCATACCAACCCCTAATAGAAAAGACTATTCCCTTATATCTCAGCAACCATTACGTATTCTGAATTAATATTTTAGATATTCAAATAGCGTCAATCCAGGATTATGTAATGATATTGAAACTATTAGGAAAATCCTTGAGATCAGGAATTTCTAAAACAGTGTGGATTAGTAAACCTAATCTATAAAAACTGCAAACACCATAACCAACAGTTTTAACCGAATCCGAATCAGTTCCACGCTAGGGAAACTGAAACAGGTGCGATTCCCTTGGCTAGGCACCGAAATCAAACCGCTGCTGTCGGTAAGGGTTGGATTCGATTTTAGCAGTTCGGTTATGCAACTCTAATTGCATTTAATTCTATGACAATACAGCTCTATTTTTGCTACTCATAAACCAATCTATCTTCATCCAAGCGATGCCTTTGCAGGCTATGCTACGTTTTGCGTGCACAAGGCTCCAGGAAACGCCTCTCAGGCAGACTTCCAGGCCGCTTCCCTTCCCTAGACAATAGGGTTGTAGAACCGGAAAGCGTTATGCGGATCATACTTAGCCTTGGCAGCACGCAGCTTCTTCAATCGCCACGGCTCATCTCCATACATCTGTTCCAGAGGCTCATCACCGAAGGCATAGTTGACATAAGTGTGCTGCTGGCGGTGAGGCTGACCATCGGCCCAGAACTGCGTGATCTGCTTTCCAATGGCGATTGCTTCCGCATCAAGGGAGCTGTCGGGGTCATAGGTAACAAGAACATCACTATGAGTGTGAGTCAAACGGGTCTTGGTTTTGCTCCAGGAAGATGCTCACCATAGGATATTGTCATCGCGATGAGGGAAAGCAGTAGATGCTGGATCGACAGCCTTCACGCCCTCAAGTGAATAAGCCTCGAAGACGACGATGGATTGCTTGAACAGCGGCTGTAAAGTGGTGACGTTTCTAAAATAGTCGTAGATCTGACGAGTGGCAGTAATGTTGTGCTCAAGTAAGCCAAAGGGGAACTGCATGTTTGTGTGGCCGTCTTGACACATTGGGCTGTTCATGCCAGTGCCGGTTGCATCAAGCACATCGGGATAGGCATAGTACTGGCCCTTTGAGTATAGAGGATTCAAATCTTGGAACGGCTTCAGGTACGGTGCAGCCTCCTCAGCCGAGCCGACATAGTGGATGAAAAACTCCAGAATAGGCTGTAGATGACCATTAGTGTTGAAGTGGAATGGGATGACGCAACGCTCACCTCTGTCGCACTAAATTCAGAAGCCCAAGTGAAGACACCATAGTTCATCAACTCCTTGGGCTGGCCGCCATTCTGTTGCTGGGCGTTGAGCACCTCGAAGACTGATTCCAGCTGATCCTGGGTGAAGACGAATTCAGTAATGTACCATTCATCGACAGTGCGTTTGTGAATTTCAGCATGGAAACTAGTCACAATGCCAAAGTTATGGCCGGCCCCGCGCATAGCCCACCAGAGATCAGGGTGCGAGGTGTTAGAAACAGTTATGGCTGACCCATCAGCCAGAACAACGTTCATGGAAATCAAACCATCAATGATCAACCCGTAGAATCCTTGGTAGCGACCATGGCCTCCACCAAGTCCAGGGCCCATAACGCCCACACAAGCACAACTTCCCGTTCCTATTGACTATTAGGCCGGCACTCGTGAAAGAGGGTGCTCAACAGTACCGGTAACATAGCCTTCCGCCCAAAGGGCAGCGATGACTTGCCCATCCCATACACCTCCACCAAAGAAAGCCGAGGCCTTATCGTCGGCGATCTTAATGTCAGTGAGTTGGGCCATCGAGATCTCAATACCATTCTTCAGTCTGCCCAGAGTCTCGGTAGAACCATGACCTCTGTTGACAGCAAGAAATGGGATGCCGTGTGAATTCGCATACTTGACCTGTGTCGGAAATCGATTAACCGAGTCAATCTTTTACCGCAAAGGAAGTAAAGACATACTATGATGGGAATATCGGACTCCTTAGCAGGCTCAACCACAACAAGGAAATCAGGCTGAGAATACGCCTGCCAGCGCTCCGTTGCATTGAACCACCGCGGATCGGTTTGACAAAAGATAGAAGAATTGGCAGACAATTTTGGACCCAGCTGAGTGATGATCCTTGCAGGTGTCAGACTGAACGAAGCAGTGGACCGCTGCTCAATAACAGAAGAACGAAAAGCTGTTGCAATTGTGGGCACAGTTGCCAATGCCAGCCACCAGAAGAAACGGCGCATCCCGGGCGATGAAAGACGTTCGAATTTCCCAAGTGAAGTTGAGCCTGTAAAAGTAGAACGACGAGATGAATAGGTCGAAGTTATACCGCGTTTCCTGCCCTGTCCAACACGGATATAAGCAACATCCAATTCAATTTGCTGTGAAAACCACGCCGAAGCCTCATCGGAGTTCCAGGTATCGGATCATAATCGCTGTCTCAATCAGACCATTATCCAAGGCAGCCATCCGACACGAGATCTCGAGAATTACTTCGCAATGGACTGAACCAGGACGCTAAGCTAGTCTAGGTGGCTTACAATTCGTCGTTGGCTTCAACCCCATTCGGCGCTGGCATAATACCACGCGGGCCCCTGGGGATCCGGGTCTGCCGCGTGGGCGAACCACGTGGGTGAACCTTACAGAAACGAACGAAGTTGGCCAGATTCCTTGCCCAGATGCTATACTTTCTATCTGCATGAACTCATCACCAGTAGCCAATGGTTGGGTGTACCTAAACTTGGAATCAGCCTCACATTTGCTTATTCTGTTCACCCTAGAACTACGTGGTTCTGAGATGAGTTTTGTATGTAGAAAGTATTTTGTATTACCAGTATCTACTGGCCCCTAGAGTCTACTACTACTACTACTACTTGACTAGGACTCATGTCTACTACATGTATTGATTTTGTGTAAGATACAGCTAAACATCTGACAAATTCTCAAAGTAGCTGAAGGAATCGAAAGTTGTGGATTTGCATCTATGTAGATATTGTCAGCCAGAGAGATATCACTATCGAGCATCAGCTTCCGATTTGCCTTGATAAACGGAGAAATATGCAGACCGATTCATGAATATCGGGCACCTGGGTCCCTCTAGGTACTTCGGAACATCCGATCCCTGTACGGACACAGGTAGACAATGAAACGACTCAACCCGATTGCCAGGTCTCAATGTCCGATTTCCTCTGCAGACGTAGGAAAAGAGAAAAGAAAAAACAAAAAAGAGACCAGATCCACCTCCGGACTCGGCTAGAAATTAGCCCGAGCAAAAGGAATTAAGCATGCTTACCCGTTCCACAGACCGAAGGAGTCCGATCCCTGCTCAGAACCCACTTGCTATCCATCCATTAAGGTACTAGTCTAGTAGCCCAACAACTCACCCAGAACACCGACTATGGCCAGAGCCTGTTGCGATTGATGGTAGAGGCTTAGAGCCGGGTGCAGCGCTAGCCGGAATCCTTCTTGAATCGCGTATCTTGACATTGAAGGCTTTAACTTCGCGTTCCACTCTATTTGTTAAACCAAATGAGACTAAGATGGAAGCGAGGCGTTCTCAGTAGTGTTAAATTGGTAATTTACGATCAGATGCTATTTTGTCGTTGTTACGGGTACCAGTATCAGCGTGGCTGTTTTGCGGGTCAGAGGGATGGGATACATTCAGGTGCACTAATCTATTTTCCAGGGCCCTAAAAAAGCTTCACGCTTGGCGAAGGTTGCAGGTTTTTGTGGAATAAACAAGGCTGGATTCTTCACGAGAGGATAATGTGTAATTCTCTTGCGAATTCAATGGTCTAAGATAGTACGAATATGCGTCAAAGGTAGCATCAGGAATGCATACTAGAAACAGCTGTTCAGAGATGGATGCTCCTGCGTACCTCTCCCGTATATAAATGAATGGCGTTTGATAACTTGTTTTTACCTGGGATGTTTAAGGATAAGTTCAAGTAGCCTCACATCTACCTCTATTAGTGAATGTATGCATGTGTAAATAAATCCAGCCCTGGCAGCTGCTTCTAATAACTTAACCGCGTGCCAAATCTAATGAAAAGTCGTCCATATACGCGGGGCATGAAAGGAAGGAAAAGAGTAGTTCAAATCGCGAATGGCAAAGTTTGTGGAGTTCCACTCTCCCACCGATGTGCCATAGTGAATAACTTTTGCTGAACTCCGAGCGTGAACTTTGTCTTGTTATCTGTGTCAAGGAAACGGGCAAAGTGCTGTAGAATACCGACAGAGTTGTCGAGGGGTACTATCGCGCCATTCAAGTCCGCAAATACAGGAATGCCGCCTTCATGATTTAGATAGCTTACGATGGACGCATGATCCGGCGTAAGCATATCCAAGGCCACCGTGGCTTGAGTGTCTATATTTCTCCGGTTTTGGGCTTCGTCCCCATCGGCACAGGCCATGCTATTTGCCCAGGTGATCAGTGCCACTCGATACACGGCACCAGCCCACCAGGGCGGACGAGCAGGTTCCGGTACGGAGCGGACATGGCGCAACACTTGTCCGCAATGAAAGTATATCTGTCGTGGATTCTCCAAGTGGTAGGCGTGTTTAGTGGGGAAAGCTCTCGACGATCCGGTAACCCCTTCATTGTCGCGACCGGTGCGTGCCAGACGTTCTATTTCTGGGAAACTCACGATCATATTGAGCATGATAAGATGGTAGAGCATTATGTTGGAAGCAGTTACTGGCGTGGCCGTCTCATTCGGCTGGTGCATTTTGGCAAGCTCGTACCACTTGTGTAGAAGTTCTTGAACCCCTTGTACCTGCACTGAAAGGAGAACAATCGACATGTGCTGGGATCCTCTGTGAGTACTGCCTCTACCCGCGGCTGTGTCCATGGCGGATCGCAGTTGGATCACTTGGTTCTGAAGATGACAGAGCAGGAGTCGCAGTCTGACAGGGGAAATGTGTGCCTTGGTGCTAAAATAGTTCGTTTCCGAGAACCATTCCACCCATTCGCTGAGAGAAGGAGGGATTGTGACTCGACCCAAAGACGATGGCATTCGTTCGATCCAATGCTTGTCGGAAGGGGCCTGCCATGCGTCATCTGGGCTTGGAATCGGTGTGTTGAGGCTGGCGGAGGAGAGAAATGAGATAGATGGGGCATCTTGGAAGAGACATATCTCGTGATCCAGGATCAGCCATGCATGCGTAGTTCTACTCACTCGTTATTCTATCCCTGCATTCTTTAGCGGCGGAAAAAGATGATTTACCTGTTTGCCCTCTCCTGTTCTTTCCATGTCTCCCAGGACTGTTGGACATTATTAAAGGATTCTATGCGGGCGACCTGGGCTTGTCTATGGTTGTGGTGCATTGCTTTCAAATGCATCTGAAGAGTAAGAAGGGTGACTTTGGACGGACTGAGGTATGCCTTACCTCTAAGAACATCGATTTCTGATAGTGTGCAGTCTCTAAATCAGTCAGTGGCAGATCCTTTCGCAGGGGTTGATCAAGCCGAAAAGGAAAAAAGATGAGAAAGCTTACATCCATCTGCGACTTGTCGCCACTCCACGCGGAAACGAGAAGGTTTAGAAGCGCGCACTGCGAGACCTCGTGATCCAACGCCGAAATGGCGTTTTGTTCGATGAGGTTTCGTAATGAAATGCGGCATATTTCAAGCAGCCCATGCGCCAATTGCACGCATGTCTCACCAGCTCCGGCCGTCATACCACCGCCGGCGAGCATAAGAAACAATTGCATGCTTGGCAAGATAGTGTTTCCGCCTTCCATGCGCTCATTCAAGGACACCGTAGGTATAAAGGGGTAGTATGGTTCATAGCTGGTGAGGTAAGCCCTCAAAAGAGAGTCTAGCACGGGTGGGGGAGGCAACACGACAATAGATGGCTCAGCAAAGCCACGAACCCCGTTGTCTTGACCTCGCAGCCCGTATAGCTCTTGGGCCTCAGTACAAAGCCACTGCAAGGCAGCGATGAGCTTCTCTCTAGTGCTGGTGAGGAGAGATTCAACGACGGTGTGGGAATCAGCTACTGGGCATTGTTGGATCGGTATATTGCCACCCCTGAGCAGAGAACCTAGGTTTCTGATGTGGTTCGCGGCTGCGGGTTCGCACGCAGACGACGGCATAATTGGATTGCATTGAAAGAGTGGCCAGCCTTCTAGCGTATGCAACTGGTCATGGTTGGGAAGACTACCGTCTAGAGACGGGAACAAAGACGCTGGCGGAACGCAGTCATCCATGGCATAGTCTCCGTCGTCGTTTGTCGACCTTGCCAGCGCGCCCGGGGAGACAGGAAGTGCGTGATTCCACGAAGGCATCCCGGTAAGATCAGGCAGCTTGGTTGTTGTTGACAGCACTTGTGTTGGAACGACAAAATCGAAATCATCAGCTGCGCCGAACATCCCCGGCTGCATGGGGTGTGAAAAGAGAGAGAGGTTGGGAGGGTAGCTTTCATCTACGCGAGATGTAGCCGCTACGAGTCGCGCCAAAGGATCTTCCACTTGCTCCGCCTCCGATGTGCTTCTGGGGCGATTTCTGGCCCAATCGTGGAGGATTGAATGAGACCAGTCGATATAAACGCCATTTCCCGTAGGATAAAATTGTGAGGTCGACTTGGGACCTCCATCGGTGGTGGTAGATGTAACCGGATCGCACTCGACGGGATCGGAGTTCTCGCTGGTGTCGGTGGATGGCGGCGCTTGGGGATTATCATTATTGGCAGACGACGGTCCCCGGCCTCGCTGTGGAACCCGAGTCTGGCAGGTGAGCTTCTTCAACTTGCATCGCGAGCATGGTACCTAGTTCGCTGCGTCTTAGCCTATTTCTCAGTGATATCCTGATTCCTGGCACGGTGGCCCCTTGTACCTTTCTGTCGCACTTAACTTTGGACCTAGCGCAGTGTACACATGCTAGGACTGAATCCAGCGGGGTACATGCGGGGGATGCCAACTGCGACATTATCCGAATAATGGCCCTGTAACCTGTTATCTCAGGACAAGGTCGATCTGACCTGTCCTAGGGGAGGGGGCGGCATACTGAGGGTTAAATAAAAGATAGGACAAACGAAGAGAGAACCTTGGGAAGTGGTAGGTGTATCAGCTAGCGCTCGCATGCAACACGCGATTGTAAGATAAACCCTCTCGAATCAAATGGCCCATAAGGAATATTAGCTGTATCCAATGTGTTTCTGATTTAATTTTTTTGCAGGGCCGTGATATCTAGTACATGTGATTTTCCACTCAGGACACCTCCCTACCTACACATGGCTTCAATGCTCTCTGCGGGCGGCCGCTCCGAGCGCCCTGTAAGTCGTATTTGTACAGGGATCTAGTTCCTGTCAGACTCAGCACTACGGTAGATAGCAGCCACACATACCAAGTACCTTTAGTTCCTTATCTCCGAACAAACTTCTTCTGCCGAGTCTTCAGGTTCGTAAGTAGTGTGTGTAATAGCTTATAGAGAATTGGGTAACCCCACCACATCTTGAGATGACAGAGCTAGACGTAAATTTGTTCCTATGAGGGATCTTGATTCAGAGCCAAGGCGAAACGCAAAGCTCGGGATTAGTATGCTCTAACACATCAGCACAAGGACTAATGCAGAGTAGGCACAGTAAGCATATGAATTATCCATTCACATTCGACCCGATCCGTTGGGTGGCGGTTGAATGATGAGACGCCCATGTGCATGCAGATAATGGTCTTATCAGTGTAAACTACCAGGTGTCGTGTCTACAGTCCTACAATTAATTGGGCATTTTTGAAAGGACTTGGGCTTCGCTTCTGTTAGTACGGACCAAGGACTAGCCCCTCCTTCTACTGAGTCTCGTCTAGATGTTCCACTTATGTACGGACTTAGAATCAAGTCCCTATCGCTATCCGTTACTAATGAACATCATTCTTTGGATGTGCTCGGCCCCTACAATAGTCTCCTAGAACTCCGCTAGGTTTTTACCTGGTAGCTAGGATTCATTACATGGCTAATCGGGCAGACATAGTCCTTAGAAATATAATGACTGGGGGATAGGGGTGACTCTGCCGAGTACCTATATGTAGACAGGGATGGTTGCTGGGCATTCTTAAAGCGGCAGTGTATATCAATGCATGCATTTTTAGCCCCATGAGATTATACTGCGGGTGTGCACAATGTTCAATGGACTGCATACCTTGTAGAATTTTACGCTAAGTCTAACATAGTACAACATCTATCATACCTTATTTATACTAGCTTGTATGCAACAACTTAATGATACTGCGCCGAAGTGTTCCGAGACTGAGTGCACCAATCCTCTCTCACATACCTCCCACCGCGCCATGAGTCTGACTCATCTTTGTGCGTCGCAGAAAAACAGCCACCAAAACAGCAATGCATCCTGCAGTCAGATCCAGGATCAGTGCATCCGTAATCGCGTTGACAATGGCCTTCAAAACATCAGTTCTTAAGGCCGCACTCAGCGACTCCAGGAGTGCAGCATTTGCGCCGGAAATCATGGCCTGGATGTTGGTCTCGCTTTCAGTTGGAATCAGATCCATGATCTCAACAGTTGCACGATTTAGGAAGAGAGTATTGGCAATGGAGAGAGCAATGGCCGAGCCTCCCACCTGAGCACAGGTCATGAAGCCCACTGCCATGGGAATCTCCTCGGGGGGAACTAGAGATTGCGCCACAGAAAACCCAGCCTGGGAGAAGACACCAGTTCCAATACCGCCGATAACAAGGGCACCATATATCTGACCCACACTGGTCGTCAAAGTGGTGATTTTGAGCAGAACGCCGCTGACGAGGACAAATATGCCACCAAGGAGGTACCAGGGCATATAGTAGCCCAACAGGCTCATGCCGACTCCGTTCACGAGATTGAACACCACCATTGGAATAATGAAGGGAAGTAGACGCACTCCGGCGTCCAGGGCACCATCACCCTTCACAAATTGGAAGTAAAGGGGAATAAAGTAAATGGGAACAAAAGAGGAGGTTCCGGCTGCGGCAGTCTCAATAAAGAGGAGAATCATCTCTTTGTTTCGTAGATACTGCATTGGAAAGATCCGCTTGTGGTACGTTGTCAAAATGTTGAATCCTTGCTGAATGAAGAAGAGGATGAAGAGGACTCCGGAGCACACAAACATGCCGATGATACGGCTGTCACTCCATTTGTAAAGAACTCCACCAAAGGCAATGGCCATTATGCCCGAGACATAGGCGCCGATGAACAGGATGGGGCCTAGCCAGTCAATCTGTGCGAGTCGGTCTTTGAGTGACGTTCCTGGACGGGGGTCGACACTGGGGATCATAAAAATAAACACCGGGGCAAAGAGACCTCCGATGCAAAGATTGATGTAAAAGGACCAGCGCCAGGTTGCCGAGCTATCTGTAAAAGCACCACCGATAATGGGTCCCAGGCTAGAAGCATTGGTCAGAATATAGCCAAAGCAAACAGGACATTGTTGATAGAGGTGCTGCATACACTGTGCCTGCTCCCCAGGTTAAGCCAACCATTCCAAGATACATTGGTCGCTCAGTAGGCGTAGTGAGCATCGAGAGGATGGTCATGACACCCAAGTACATGCCTGCGCCTCCCAGACCACAGATTGCACGTCCCACGATGAGCGCATTCATGGTCGGGGCAGCACCACAGACCGCCGAGCCAACCTCGAAAATGGCGGTTGTGACAATATAGAGCCATTTACAATTGAACTGACCATATGCCTTACCCCTGAAGATTTCTTAGTGTAAGACCTCGGAATATAGGAGCGGACTAGATAAGTACCAAACCAAGAGCGTACTGGCAGCTCCAAGCATAAAAGCCACAGACAGCCATGGAAGCATTGCTAGGTCCTCAAACTCTTTAACAATTGCCGGCTGCACATCCGCTACGATTGTGTTGTCTAGGGCGAAGAGAAACACGCAAGAAAAGATCGACATAACTAGCAATACCCAGGCATTGTCAGCCACTTCTGATCTATCTTTTCAGTTCTCCAGTCCTTGATCCACTTACCGACTAGCACCCACTTGAGTCCATGAACATCCCGTGGAGGGCTCTGGGAGCTCTCAAGAATCTCCTCAGCTATCAGTTCATTCTCTTTCCCCGACATATCTATAGGTGAATCACCCCCCCCGGACGAGTCGGTCCCCTGGGCAGTAATCACAGCTGTCGACGACATTTCGGAGTCTCAAAGATGTAAAATCGCGTACAGGAATAACAGCGTATTTCGACAATAAAACCACCAATAAAGCCTACTTTATATACAGGCTCACATCCAATAGTATATGTCCATAGCTTGAGGACATATATGCACGTGATGAGACCGGTGTATAATGCTTATCTCCGTACATTGCAGTGTCTGGCGGACTCGGCCTGACTTCCATCCGACTCCGAAGGTGCTGAATGACGAGACAGAAAAAGAAACAAAGAAGTCAGGCAAGGGTGGCTGCAATGCCCTGATTGATTCATCGGTCAGGCATTTCTCCGTCGGGTAGAAGTTTCAGTCCTCCCCTGAGAATGGTCTCATGATGCAAGGCGTTCAGGCAGGTCTCCAGTTCCTGAAATAAACAACATTCCATACTCCTAAGAGCTTACGGAGTACTGAATTTCAATCCTCTGCTCGATACCAGGGTCATACAGACCAACATGAGTGGTTTATTCGGCCTCCTATTTACCAGGCTGACTCTCCCAGCTCCCTCGGTAATCCAGGGGAAGACGATCCTCATCACCGGTGCAAACACTGGCCTCGGTCGGGAAGCTGCCAGACATGCGCTCGCCCTGGGCGCCGGCACGGTCATTTTGGGCGTTCGAACCCTGAGCAAGGGTGAAGATGCCAAAGCCAACATCGAAGCAAGCACCGGCTGCACCGACAAGGGAAAGGTCCTTGTATGGCCGATCGATCTCGAATCATTTGCTAGCGTCCAAGGCTTCGCAGCTCGAGTTCGCAAACACGTCATGGAGGGCGGCCGACTGGACATGGCTATCATGAATGCTGGAATTGCGTCGGTCGCGTACGCTGTTACCCACGATGGTTGGGAGAGAGGGATCCAGGTCAATGTTTTATCGACCGCACTCCTCAGTCTGGAGCTTTTGCCGCTACTACTGCAAACAAAAGAGCGAGATCCATCAGCACAACCGCATCTGACCCTTCTTACGAGCGATATCCACAAGTCAATCAAATTTCCCGAGCGGAATGAGCAGCACATTCTTTCCACCTTGAATGACGAGAAGCAGTGGAAGAAATCCCAGGCTGCAGGCGGAGCTACCGAGCGCTACGGTGTCACCAAGCTCATGGATCTGTTCATTACCATCGAAATAGCTCGACTTGTGCCTCGCGACGAGTCCGGAAACCCCCTTGTGATTGTCAATGCCGTGGCGCCGGGATTCTGCAAATCGGATCTCCTGACTAGGGAGAAGGCCCCGTGGATCCTGAAGCTGATCCAAGCTCTAATTGCTAGGACGGTGGAAGAGGGCAGCAAAACATTGCTGCATGCAGCAAGCCAGGGAGTGGAGACGCATGGGAAGTGGTTGGAGAATCAGGTTATCACAGAGTACGTCGTCCCTTCTGTCCAAGAACTGATGGTTCGCGCCGCTGATATGTGTGTTTAGCCCTGGCAATATCGTCACAAGCCCCGAGGCGGCGGTCGTGAGAAAGAAGGTGTGGGCAGAGATCATTGCAGTCTTGCATGATGTTGATCCTGAGGTCCGAACAGAGTACTAAACACTTAGGCTGGCGTGCTTCAGTTTGCGATAATCCAAGGTTGTAGAGCCAGTTGTATTCTCTCCTACCTCGATTCAAACCAGCATTTTTTGTCTGATTAACTACAGAACTTCTTCTAAATCTTCCCAAGAATTTGTGTAGACAATGATACGATAACAGCAGCCACCAGGGATGGTTACGATTTACCTACTTAAGATTCAATGATTTAGTGAAAACAACCCTGTTTCCGAGTGGCCTAGCAACCTTGCCGGTCAAACACTGGCGACCGCAACGACAGTCTCATCCATAAGAGGTTTCCAGTCTGTCTCCTGAGGTGACCATCCAATAGACCGCAGACGAGCAGCTCTGCTACGACAGCTTGCCCCCCATAGAAGGCCGGCGTAGGGATGGATCTCAGTCGCATGAGGGACAGTCAACTCATCGATGGCGTCGGTGTCCAGTTTACCAAGCTGCTGGAGCTTCGTCGCCACAGCCTGGGCCTGCTCTCTGAAGCTCACTTCTCCAGTTTGGACAAAGTAATACCCATCCTGTCCATACTCTATATCCGGAGAGCCACTGATAACCTTGCCCAGGGTGAAGACGATGGCGGAAGCGACATCCCGGACAGAGCACCAACTCCACACATTCTCGCCCTTCTCGACCACAAAACCTTTTCCACGTCCGAGGACTGTCTTAACGTATCCGTGGCCAAAGGACTCCTTCTTCCATGGTCCCGAACCGTTGCCCATGATTTGGCAAGAGCTCAGAATGATTGTTTTGACGCCCATTTCTTCCGGAGCCCGCATGATGCTCTGGTCTAGCGCTGCGTGTTCCCGATCCGATCCAAAGGACACGATTTCCGCTTTGTCATCCGCATCGTTGTAGACACGAGGTGCAGCGTAGCCTAGATTGAGACTGGCTGGGTCAAGGAGACAGGTGATCCCGGAGACGTGGATCAACGTGCCCTTGTCCCGCTTACCGGCTAGCCCGGACAAAATGTTATGAATGCCCGATTCATTGTCTCCAGCAATGTCGATGACAATATCGGCTGCATCTGCGGCGGCTGTCACAATGTCCTTCGAGGATATGTCACCCAGAATTGTCGTTACGAAGGGGTAGGCCCATGTGATGGCGTCAGCTTGTGCTTTTGTTCGCACCAGAACAGAGTATTCTGCGGCTGGGAAAGTCTTTGACAGCAAGTCAAGAGTTGTACCACCGAGATACCCGGTTGTACCGGTGATGAAAATCTTCGGTGCTTGCATTCTGGGAGTACAGGAAGGAGAATGTGGAAGTGATTGAAGGTGAAGGTTGTTTGAGCTCTGCTCCGCGCAGCTGAGCTCCAGAAGATGGTGGCAGTGCTCCAACATTAAAAAGAGCGTAAGCTCTATTTGAATTGAGTGAAATGATTCGGAAAAACAGGGATCGGACGCCGCACTTGGGATGTAATGCCGCACACTTGGCTTCGGGCAAGGAAATGCAAACCGGAGCTCCGATGTAGTCCGATTTAGAGATTCTCAGTTATGGAGATTCTCAGTTCTCGACATAAATTCTCAACCTTGTGTCATGATTCACTATCCAGATTAGCAACTTTGCATACTATTGAAAATGTCGTCCAAAGTCTACGCCGATATCTATGCCACTCCGGGTCCCTTTACTCAATTCCCAGGAGCAGGTCTGCCCGATATCAAGCGCTTCATCACCACTCACAATGCTCAAGGTGAAGGAGTTTTCCTTCCTGCCGATAATGGCGACCATCAGGCCCTGATGGCGAACGGCCGTGGCTGCCAAAACATCCTTTACACAACCCATGGGGCAGCAGTTAATCTCAATGGCGAAGTCGATATCGCCTGGGCAAAGAACAATGCAGTGAGTTTCCTGTAGACACTTGAGGACTAGTAAAACATTTTGCTGAGTGATCCTTTCTCAGCCGGGTCTCCACGTCCCTGGTGGTACGCTTGTGCGCATGATCGACTTCGCACCTGGCGTGGAGTCTCCCATGCACCGTGCCATGTCGTTGGACTATGGCACAGTTATCGAAGGAGAATTCGAGGTTGAGTTGGACAGTGGTGAGAAGCGTACTATGCGGCGAGGCGATGTCCTTGTTCAACGCGCCACGGCTCACCGATGGCGCAACCTGTCGCCCGATAAGCCTGGGCGTATGCTTTTTGTGCTGTTGGATTGCCAACCTATGGATCCCATTAACGGCAAGGAATTCAAGATTGAGCTGAATGAGCTTTCCCCTGATTTTGAAGACGATCACTAGACGGATTTTGGACAGGACCTGTATGTGCTCAGAGGGGTCAAGGGCCGAGGCAGAAGGAGTATGAGCATGACGAGAGAAGAGAGGAGAAAGGAATAGAAAGAAGTCGATATCTACTCAGACGGAGATGGGACCACCTTATCAGAAGTGTATGTCTTGTATACTCTTAGTAGTAGAAAAGACCTATTCTTCTAGGGAATATCTTCGCATTTTCGAGATCCCGAATCTTCATGCAATTTCTCTCTATGATATTGAACTGGGTTTTTTTTCAAGTGCTCTGCTTTCTACTTCTTTTGCATCACAAGCTCACTAGCAGCATTGGGTATTTATCTATAAATAGCCAGGAATGTTGAGCTCGCTACTAAGTAGTGAGCCATGGGTATCGGTAAGGCGAGCACGACTGCCTTCAACAAGCTTTTAACAATTTAAGCGAAGCTGAAATCTGCGGCAACCGGTTACAAGGCGCTTTAAGACATACCCGTTGTATAAACAATAGTACAAGGGACATAATACTCATATTGATCTAGGAGCTGTGATAGAGGAATATAATGTATCAGCGAAGTTCTGGCTCGTAGCAAACTAATCGCAAGCTTCGGGAATCATCAACGACCAAGGCCCAAAAACCCAAATGGGACACTAGAGTAGCTTGTATTCTTGCTTAAAACAATAATAGGAGATCCCATAATGGAGTCCAGGTTTACTAAATGCGTTCAGTACTGGCGGTCTTGATTCTCATCCCTTGTGCCGCAACGACGCCTAAGTGGCACGCTTTGTGACGCGTACCCACATATCCTTCTGCATGAAAAGAGTGAAATTGCTGGTTTTCCACGGGGACCCAGGGTACATGAGCTCAAAATCGAATCTTCGAAGAAGCTTCAGGTTCGTTAGTCAGGGGGTTGACTTCTCAGGAGGGATGCAAAGAAAACCAACCTCGACAAAGATCTTGTCTAGCTCAACCATCACTATTGCTTTTCCAAGACAGCCCCATCGACCGGTGCCAAAAACCAGCTCCATGGTTCTCTCCATCTCATTTCTCCGCGAATCGGATGCTTCGATCCATCGCTCAGGCCGGAAAACATCAACGTCAGTCCCGAAAACCTCATGACGTTGGATTCCCCATCCGCAATGTCCAATGCCAGTCCCCCCCGGAACAAAGCGGCCTTTGATTGTCTCGCCGCCTGGATTGACTACTTTGGTCAATAGGCCAGTAATGGGCGGATGGATTCGCAAGCCTTCTTTGATTACCGCTTGCACGTATGGCATTTGGCGAGACTCGGCGGATGTTATGGGGTACGAGATAGACCCATTTCTCTCCGCTTTCTGGATCTCTTGCACAAGAGTTTTATAGACTCGAGGGTTCGTCATGATATGTAACATGGTTGCGCGAACTGCGGTGGCCGTCGTATCGGATCCAGCCAGACTTCCGGAATGAGTGACATGTCACATTGCGTATGATGGGGAAGAGCGAATATTTGAACATACATGGTAGTGAGAATCTCAGATTCAGCTTGACGTTGGTCGAGGCCGTTTCGGACGAAAGTTCCTAGCATGTCGTCTCGTACGACCTTTTTGGGACCGTACCGATCGCCGACAACCTTCTTCGCTATTCTATACCGTCGATCAGTTTGAATCCCATGAGGGGAATGTAAGAAGCCGCATCTCACCCCATGAGTTTACCTCGCCCAGCTTCATCTTTGGGACTTGGCCCTATAAGGTTGACGAGTCCCGATCCAAAAACAAGATTTCCCAACGTGGGTGTCGACGAGCAGACTGTCGCGAGCGGTAATTCGCCTTGGATAATTTTCACAAAGTCATACATGTCTTTGTCTTCTGTAAGATACCCAAATGGTTCACCAAGAGCAATACTGGTAATAACGTCCAGTGACCAATACTGAGCTGCCTGCGCTAAGTCAATCGGACGAACCTCATCAGCCGTGGAGATGTACTTTTTCTCAATCAGGCTAACGAGAGAAGCGATTTCGGCATCAATTTTAATACCGAGATCTCGATTTTCTTTTAGTGAATACTGTATGGCGTTTTCCCGACTTGTTAGCAAATACTTGATATATTCAACAAAGTGGAGTGGAGTGCAGTGCATACCCCGGATTGCATCTTAACTCGCAGCTTGTCATGCTTCTCTAGGCTAGTTTCCGAGAAGACACTATGCACATAAGGATCGACCTTCAAGGATGCATACCAAGAGGATTTCTGGTGCTTGTATTTCGCTGCACTCATGTAGCGAATTATCTCTGGGTCACTTGTCATGAGCCAGTTGGGCCCAATTCGAGTCAGGTCACCTTCAATATTATCAGCGCTGGACGATGTCGAATAAGAACACGGCTCAATATCTTGGATAGTACGGACCATATTTCTTATTGACCTCGTATAGTCGCAGGTGCAGTTCCCCGGTCGTCGTGGTGTGAAAGAGCCAAGCCTCTGTCAAGCCAGCTAGCCATGGTCCCTTGAAAGCGCGAAGACGATACCATGATCGAAAGTAGGTATAGATTATACCGGCTATTGCAATTGCCGGAAGCCAAATTGGGAGAAGAGAAAGAACCTTTGGGCTGTTGGCTTCCATCATGATAACATCCAGATTGAGGCTATCGGTCCTGGCCAAATTCGTTGGAATGTACTGAACTGTACAAGAGACTACGACTGCTTTTTTTACTCGGTCTGCAAGTCCTAGAAGTCGTCTACTTGATTGATCCCTCTCGTACCGGATGGTCGGATCTTCATCTTGTCATCATTAATAGTCGGGGTTGGTCCACCCCGAAGCGGATATCCGACCCGGGGCCAAGACGAGCAACAAGGGTCCGTTGGATAAGCAGAAGCTAAGAAAAGAACATTGTAGCGATGCGTGGTACTAGCGTGGTAACGATTAAGCGCATGAATGGAATTCAGCAAGATCTCAGGCACACCTGTCCTATCTGTCATCCGTGTTTCATCTGCAAGGTGGTTCCGCCATCGACAAGCCACCCAACCCCCGTCACATAGCTAGATTTCGGACCACTCAGAAATAAGACCACATTGGACACCTCCTCGGGGCGAGCGAGGCGTCCGGCAGGAATACTGGCGGACAAAGCTAGACGTATTTCGGGATTTCCCGCAAAAGCCTTATCGATCATGGGGGTTTCCACCCACGACGGACAAACTGCATTGACCCGGATACCGTGAGGGGCATTGTCCAGAGCTTCTTTTGGTTAGCCTGCATTGCAGTCTTCGGGTCCGGGGAATTCGCACCAGCCGTCTTCGTAATCCCAAGCACCGCATGCTTCGCTGCAGTGTACTGGACGATTTCGGGGAAGGCAACAACCGAGTTTGCCGAGGCGAGGTTGACAATGCTCCCCCGACCGACGCTGCACGGCCCGGTCCGACCAGCCACGAGGCGTTCCTCTTGGTTCTTCATCGCTCGGCTAAGAGCACGGACGCAGAGCATGGTACCTTTAACATTGACGGACATCAGATTGTCGAACTCCGCCATGCATGTTTCGGACACTGGTCGGGCCTGTTTGATTCCGAGCTGCAGTATGACATGCATTAGAGCGAATCCTCCGGAGTGGAGACCAACTCACTCCTGCGCTATTGACGCCATAGTCAATGCGGTTAAACTCTTTCAGTGTGGTATCCACCATGTGCTGGACGCTTGCTTCACTGGATACGTCCACCTGCACAGCAATAGCCCGATAAGCCGAGTTGGTAGCCTGCGCCTTGCTCTCTTCGGCAGCTTCCAGTGCCGCTGTGAGATTGATGTCCGCAAAGGCGACGCCTCTGGCTCCTTCACTAGCGAATGCCAAGGCACAGTCACGTCCTATTCCGCTTCCTAGAGCCTGGGTTAATCCTGCTCTGATCTGGGAGTTCCTCATTCTGTACACACCCGCACCAGTTACCAACGCAAACCCATCAATGGACATTTTGGCTTGTCTGTTCTTGCACTCCACGGCAGATCCAATAGTTCAAGATTATAGAATGCTTCGATTGATATACTCTGACGCCGCAGTCAAACTGGCTGCATAGTAAGCACTTGCAGCGCCCTTCAATCTTGCTTCACGGTCCTCCGCTTCGGAGCACCGGATATCCGTCCAGATGTCGTAAACCGGACTCAATTGTCCCTTCAATGGCGGACTAATTGATGGATATTCTTTTTTTTTACTTTTACGTAGCGGGATCTCATTTAGGGTTTAGATAGCTTTCTTTCATTTCTTTCCCAGAATTACTCTTTCGAGAACATTTGGACTAAGTGGTGTCTCAAATCAAGTTAGCTTCACGCCACCGGACTGCAAATCAGCCAACTTTCCGAGATTGAACAAGCGGCCAAAGAACCAATCCTAAGTCACAAGTCACTATTAGCCCGGACGTTTGAAATTCGCTTAGAGGGAAAAATAGGGACACACCCAAAATGTTCGCGGCAGAAAGGCATCAATGCACCGGATCATGCCTGATGATGCACCAAACCAAAACCAGGGTGCTGGTGACTTTTTCAATATCTCCTTTACCACACCAGCTGCATACTCATTGGGGGTGATGCCATCTGAATTACCAATAAGTCTATTGCTACCATGGCAAAATGCGTGGGGCTCACCTGGCTTTCGGTAGAGATGCGCCTGGAAAGCGTCGTTCATCGGATAATAAACTGAATCTATAACACCGCGTCATTGAGATGACCGCTTCTTTGGGTAGAAAGATGGCTGATCAGACTCACTGTCTGGTAGGCTTCTACCATGGTCATTTTTGAGGATGTTGGTATGTACCTCCCCACTGATAACATTCACGACGCGAACGCTGCATGGGTCAGTATCACGCGGTGATCAGGCGAAAGTGGTGTCATACCCAAATGGACGCATCTCCACACGCAGTGTATTGCCATAGTGATGCAGAGCAGCCTTGCTGGCATTGTAAGATGCCCCATATACATAAGGGCACACCCCTCCGATGGAACCAATGTTGACAATGACGCCTTTTGCCTCGATCACAAAACGATGCATGTAGTGCACCATTCGCATAGGTCCGAAGACATTCACTTTGAACATTTTCTCGACTTCGGCCACCTCGGTGTCTGTCGCAGGCATGGTATAGCCTACCAAAATGGTCAATAGGAAGGTCGAATCAATATCAATTTTGCTTTGCACTCTAGAAACTCACAGATTCCCCTGTAGAAAATGGTTAGACTGTCATTTAGACTTGGAAGACTGGAATACTACTCGCGCATTATTGATGAGTATGTCCAACTTTCCCCCTGAGAGCTGCTGGACCGTCTTCATGAGTTCCTCTACACTCTCATCCTTGGTGACATCAGTGCGGGTGACGTGCACGCCTTTTGAAATAAGATGTTCGTCTTCCTCATGGGGAAGAAGAGTCGCGATAACTTCAATACCTAATGAAAGAACAGTAAGAAGGATGATAGATGAAAGCCTAGGAAAATAACTGAATGGACTACTTGCCTTCTTCCCTCAATCTAGAAGCAAGGGCATGGCCAATTCCACCGCGTCCGCAGCTACAAAGGTCAGAAAGAATTCAATTGTGGATATGGTCCTTTAGATTACCCTGTAATAAGTGCAAGCTTTGAGGGCTGCATTTTGCTGTTGTAGAAGGTAGGCAAGAATATGACAAGAGGTCGGTCTTCCTATGACCATCTGTTTATGAAATCCACTGTTCAGATATTAGACAGAATAGACCAACCTTTGAGTCCTGGGAAGCGATGGGTTGCAGAGCGCGTTAGAATTCCTGGAGACGGATCGGACATGGATGGTCCCTATCGGACGGACATCCGACAGTTGAGTGCTAGTAAGACAGTCCGATGTAAGCCTCGCCTGACGGGACTAGACTCGGGGAAGCTGGCCGACTGCATGTTAGTATTGTGCAAATCACAACTTGGTATGGATCTCAGAATCGGACTAGGAGGCCAAGGGTATGTCTCGCGCGTGGGATCGCTGTAAAGATAAGCACTGGCAGCCGTCCATATAGATATATATAGAGACCATTGGAAGAGGAAACTCAGACTGAACTGAGAGCCATCGTGTGAGATCCAAAGCAAAGGTATCTGCGGAACATATCATACCATACGATCAATCATGTCGCCCTATATTCAAGGTGACAGTTCTTCTAGCACTAGTGGAGCATCGACCCCTCCTGCCCTGGTCCAAGTCGATGATGCCTCAAAGTGCGAACCGATTGCCATCATTGGCATGGGTATGTCTGTCCGTGTTAATTGTTGCTACCTTTGCTACCGTGGGATATATCAAGTGAACAGGCCTAACCCCCGCTCCGGGAAATAGCACATTCGTTCTCTCTCTTTCCTCTCTTCTTTCTCCGCGCTCTTTTTGCCTAGCTGCCGGGTTTCTCCAGCAGAAACTAATTCCTTTTACAGGTTGTCGTCTTCCAGGTGGCATTGCCTCGCCCCAAGATCTCTGGAACTTCCTGGTCGAAGGGCGCTCCGGTCAGTGTGACGTTCCGCCGTTAAGGTGGAACATTGATGGCTTCTACCACCCCAACAGCAACCGACCTGGAAGCATGAACACAAAAGGTGGATACTTCATTCAAGAGGACATTCGCCAGTTCGACAATGGTTTCTTTGGCATCAACAATCTGGAAGCAACATTCATGGATCCTCAGCAGCGTAAGCTACTAGAGGTCTGCTATGAATGCTTTGAGAGCGCCGGCGCTACACTGGAGGACATCTCCGCAGCTAACATTGGATGCTACGTTGGCAATTTCACTATTGATTATATTACCATGCAGGCGAAGGAGGCCGACTACTTCCATCGCTATAATGCTACTGGTATGGGAACGACCATTCTGGCCAACCGAATTAGTCATGTCTTCAACCTCACGGGACCCAGGTATGCATGCTATCAAGCCTGACCCTAAGGATACAAGACTCTAACTAGTCACTGTAGTGTGGTCCTTGATACAGCTTGCTCTTCCTCTCTGTATGCTGTTCATATGGCCTGTGCCGCTATTGACGCAGGTGAATGCGACGCGGCTATCGCAGCTGGTGCAAATTTGGTCCAAGCGCCGGAGCAGCACCTTGGCACGATGAAGGCAGGTGTCCTTTCCGGCACGTCAACATGTCACACATTCGACGCTTCAGCAGATGGATATGGGCGTGCCGATGGAATCGGTGCTGTTTACCTCAAGAAGCTAAGCAAGGCGCTTGAAGACAATGACCCTATTCGAGGCATCATTCGTGGATCAGCGGTCAATGCCAACGGAAAGACCAACGGAATCACCCTCCCCAGCTCTGACGGGCAAGAGGCTGTTATTCGCAAGGCCTACGCGAAGGCCGGTCTGGAATACAAATACAACGAAACAAGTTACGTCGAGTGCCACGGAACCGGAACCGCCGTGGGAGACCCTATCGAATTGGAAGCCGTGTCTCGAGTGTTCAAGAAGCGGCCAGCTCAAGCTCCTCTGCACGTTGGCTCTGTCAAGACAAACCTCGGCCATTCCGAGGCTGCGTCGGGATTCTCTAGCATTTTCAAAGTCGCAATGGCGCTCGAGAAGGGCGTTATCCCACCCACTATCGGCGTCAAGAAGATCAATCCCAAGATCAAGGCTCAGGAGTGGGGGGTCAAGATCGTCACAGAATCGACCGAATGGCCAGCTGAGAACCTGTCCCTTGAGAAACCAACTCGTCGGGCCGGTGTTAACTCTTTTGGATACGGTGGTGCAAACAGTCATGCCATCTTGGAAGCCGTTGACAATTTTATTCCACTACGCAAGGGGCCCTCCTCCGAAGCCCTGTCGAAGATGAAGTCAACCTTCATTCTTCCAGTTTCAGCTAATTCGGTCGCATCTCTTGAGGGTCAATTGAGCAATCTGTCCTCGCTAGATCTTGACAGTGCAAACGTTGTTGATTTGGCTTACACCCTCGGTGTTCGTCGGTCCAATCTTTCATGCAGAGCCTTCACGCTTGCTGGACAAAGTACTCTCCGGGAGAACCTGCGCTCGGAGAGTTTTGTCCTCCCCATTGAGGGAGCAAGCTACACCAAGCTTCCTTTCGCTTTTGTCTTCACGGGTCAAGGCGCCCAGTGGGCTCAGATGGGTAAAGAGCTCATCGAAGAAGTCCCTTCGTTCCGTAAGAGCTTGGTTGAACTGGACAATGCTCTGCAAAGGCTTCCTCACGCTCCAAACTGGACCCTAAGACAAGCTCTCTTGGACCCGAAGGAGACATCTCAGATCAACCATGTCACTCGGTCTCAGCCTGTTTGTACAGCAATTCAGATTGCGTTTATTCAACTCTTGCGTAAGTGGGGTGTTGAGCCAGAGGCTGTTATTGGACACTCGTCAGGTGAGATTGCCGCAGCATATGCTGCTGGGCTTCTCAGTGCAACAGACGCAATTATCATAGCCTACTACCGTGGTTATGTGGTTGGACATTCTCAACTTCCAACCAAGGGAGGCATGGTGGCTGCGGGTATCGGGAAGGATCAGGCGCAGATTGAGATTGACAGCTTGGATTTGTCGGATGCGGTCAAAGTCGCCTGCATCAATTCTCCAGAGAACGTCACTATCAGTGGAGATGCCGATGGAATCGACAAGATTGTAGCTCATTTACAAGGGAAGGGCATTTTCGCCCGCAAGCTCAACACCAATGATCGTGCCTACCACTCTCATCACATGGTCCTACTCGGTCAACAGTACGAAGATATGCTTGTCGACAATCTGCCGCCTCCCCCGCCCTTTCGGCTGGAGAACAAAGTCCGATGGATCTCCTCTGTGACTGGCCAGGAGGTGACTGGAAAGGTCCAGCCTTCATATTGGAGAGCTAACCTCGAGTCGCCTGTCCGGTTCAGTGATGCGGTTGAGGGTCTCATCAAGGGAACCAAATACCACCTGATTGAACTCGGCCCCCATTCAGCTCTGGAGCTACCCATCAAGCAGACCATGACCAAGTTGAACATTAAACCTGGAAACTATAACTACTCGGCCGCTCTCACCAGAAACAAGAATGCCGTCACTTGTTTGTTGAATACAGTTGGTAACCTTTACTTGCATGGCCATGCAATTGACTTTGCCCAAGTCAATTATGTGGAGACCTCTACAACTTCTTCAGCGCGGAATACTTCCAAGTATCCCGTGCACAAACAGGGCAAGGTCATTAAAGACCTACCGCCGTACGCCTGGACATATGACACTCTTCTATGGAGTGAGGGCCGTGCGAGTACTGAGTACCGTGAGCGTAAGTACCTGCACCATGACCTTCTCGGCTCGCAGAAACCGGGAGGCAATGGACTCCTCACAACGTGGAGGAATGTCCTCAAAGCTGAAGACAACCCTTGGCTTCTTGACCACAAACTGGAGGACACTGTTGTCTTTCCAGGAGCGGGCTACATTGCAATGGGTATTGAGGCTATCTGCCAAGTCACGGGAAGGAAGTCTTCGGATCCTGGATCGATCGCTCTACGACAGTTCCAAATTCTCAAGGCCCTGCCACTCTCTGCAGACTCAAATGCCCCAGGCGTCGAGATCTTCACTCAGATACATCCGATGGCTATCTCTGCTTCGTCAAACTCCAAGACATGGTGGGAGTTCGAGATCACCAGCTACAAGGATGGCATCACTACCACTCACGCAACCGGTAAACTCAGCGTTACCGACACGCCGGAGTTGGCCAAGCCCAGTCTTCTCCCGGAAAACATCGATCTTGAGGCTCTTGCCATTCGGAACTGGTACGGACAGTTCACCAAGGTTGGACTAAGCTACGGTCCCCAATTTGCGGCTCTCGAAGAGATTCAAAGTCCGAGGGCCAGGGTTGGCAAACATTGTCGCGCAAAGACCCAGCTTTTGCAGGGTGGTGGAGAGGGGAAGGAGACTCAATCGACATATTTGGTTCACCCCATCACCATTGATGTAATGCTGCAAGCCGGCATCATCGCCAGCACGGGGGGCATTATCAGAAACCTTCGAGCTAATGTCCCGGTATCCATTGAAGAGGCTTACTTCCAAGCTCCTTCGACTCCACCAAAGGATTCTGTCTATATCGATGCGGAGACGGATAGAATTGGCTTTGCTGCATACATGATCAACACTTGTCTCTATGATAACAACGACCGACCTTGCGTTGTATTGAAGAATGTTCGGGTGACTGGCTACCAAGGAGCCGCGCAGGTGACCGATGAACTGGAGCGGGAGCCAATGCTTCGACTCCTATGGAAGCCCGATGTAACCACTCTGTCCAGCGATGGGCTAGCCCAGTATCTCTCTTCTTACAAACAGGTAAGTAGATTAGCCCCGAAACGCTTCAAAGATCTAAATATTCACTTATTGTTCTCCTAGACTGGCGTTGACCAATTTGCCGCCATGGTCGACATTATCTCCCACAAGAATCCCAGACTGCAGATTCTGGATGCCACCAACTCGGACGACCTTGCAGCAAAATTCTTGGATGTTCTTCGAGTGGATAACGCATTCAAAAGATTCCGGTCGTACGCCAGGGGCCATTTTTCCGAAGAAGGCGAGCTTTCTTTGGAGATCGTGGACGGCAAGCAGCCCCTCGGTGAAGGCAAGCAGGTCAAGTCAAGTGGACAAGAGATATACGACCTTGTGATTGCGGGAGGCACTCTTACTGACACGCAATATTCCCATCTGGTGGAACTTGTGGCGTCCAGTGGCGTTATCCTGAAGCTGGCTTCCAACGTGTCCGAGCCCTTGCATGGGTTTGTGACTGTCAGTACGACCACAGCTACTGGAGAGAAGCTGGAGATGTCTAGGTTGCTCTCTGATCAAAAAGGGGAACTTGGCTCACACGGCATTCTGATCGTTGAAGAGACAGCGCAAGAGCCATTCAACGATGCGCTAGCTCAGTATCTCTCGCGCGAGGTCGGCTGGGTGGTGAAGCGCGTTCTCCTCCAAGACCTGACCGCCAGCATGATTACGCCCAAGACTCTTGTTATCTCTACCATTGAATTAACTCGGCCGGTTCTCTCAACCCTGACTGGAGAAGAGATGCAATATGTCAAGCTTGTCACGGACAACGCCCTCAGTCTTCTGTGGCTTACTGGTGGCGACAATATGGAAGGAACACGCCCAGACTTTGCACTGATGTCGGGACTCTCCAGAGCGCTCATGTTGGAACAACCCTCGCTGCAGATTACAATGCTCGACCTTGATGTTGTGGAGCCATCACTGCAGACATTGCAAAACATATCCACCGTTCTGCGTGGATCTGTCGAATCAAGCAGCCCAGATTTCGAGTACGTCCAGAGAAACGGTCTTCTCCACATCAGCCGAATGCTGCCAGAGGAGGAGATGAACCGGGCTTTTCGCGACAAGCAGGGCCAAGTGCCGGCGCTTATCCCCTTGGGCGAGGCTATGCCAGCTCGCTTGACCATTGGAACCGTTGGTCAGTTTGACACACTTGCATTTAGCCGCGAGGCACCAGACTTTTCGCCTCTGAAGCCAGGTACTGTCGAAATCGAAGTGAAGTCTGTCGGATTGAACGCCAAGGTACGTACCAGATTTTCGAAAGCTTCTTCTTCTTCGCCCGATCCCTGATTATCAGTAACTGATCACGTCCAGGACTTCTATGCCCTTGCTGGGAAGGTTAACACGAAAGAAGCCGTGTGTAAATTAGAGTGCAGTGGTATCGTGACCCGGGTGGCTGACAGCGGCATTGAGCGACTGGCGGTTGGTGACCGCGTCGTCGCAATGGGACCAGGTCACTTTTTGACGCATGAGCGGTTCGCAGAATGGGCGTGTCAAAAATTGCAAGATGACGAAGAACTCCACGTCATGACCACACTTCCCTTGGTCTTCTCCACTGCTATCTATGCTCTGCATCATCGCGCCCATATCAAGGAGGGAGAATCTGTGCTGATCCACTCGGCAGCGGGTGGTCTGGGCAATGCTGCCATTCAGATTGCCCAGCTGGCTAATGCGGAAATTTACGCGACTGTCAGCACTGAGGAGAAGAAAGACTATCTCGTAAAGACATTCAATCTGAAGCGGGAACACATCTTCCATTCTCGCGACTCCTCATTCCAACAGGCCATTCTCGCAGCCACTGGAGGCAGGGGTGTGGACATCGTACTCAACTCTCTCACTGGTGATCTTCTTCATGACAGTTGGAGGGTCTGTGCTCCGTGGGGTCGGTTCATTGAGGTTGGAAAGCAGGACATCGTCGATGCAGGAAAGTTGGACATGGAGATGTTCCGCCGCAATGTCACCTTCTCTGCCTTCGATCTCAGTGAGCTTTCCGACGAGAATCAGCCAAAGCTGAACCGGATCGCTGCAAGGTTGGTCTTCTCAAGCCATATTCATGATCTTCTTTCTAACAATATACGTTAGCCTGCTCGCCGAGACTCTGTCCCTCTATCGGCAGAAGAAGATCAAAGCCATCGAGCCGTTGAAGGTCTTTGATGTCTCCGAGATCACGCAGGCGTACCGTTTCTTTGGACTGGGCAACCGCATTGGCAAAATTGCTATTTCTCTGGAGAACGCGAACTCGCTGATCCCGGTAAGTGACGCGATGCCACTCAACCCCTTTCAGCATAAGGACTGACAGTATAGACTCTACCCACAAAACATGATGCGACATTCAGTGCAAACAAGACCTTTCTTATGATCGGTTGTCTTGGTGGGCTAGGTCGCAGTATCTCAAAATGGATGGTTAAGCGTGGCGCCAGAAAATTCGTCTTCGTCGGTCGAACTGGAACCGACCGAAAGGCCGCCCGACAACTCGTAGAAGATTTGGAGGCAGAAGGGGCATACGTCTCAGTTGTTCGTGGAGATGTCAGCATCTTGGCTGACGTTCAGGCAGCTGTCGCTGCTATCAAGGGACCTGTCGGGGGTGTAATTCAAGCCGCAATGGGACTCAACGTTGGTCATCCCGTTTGCCTTTCTGTCTTCAAGAATACTAACTCCTCACAGGAAGCGCTATGGACTACGATGCCTGTGGAATACTGGCACACGGGAATCGACCCCAAGCTCATCGGCTCGTGGAACCTCTACAATGCTCTTCAGGGTAGAACAGATGACCTTGACTTCTTCTTGATGACCAGCTCCGTGTCCGGCAGTGTTGGAACAGCCACGGAGGGCAACTACTGCGCAGCCAACTACTTCCTGGATGTCTTTGCTCGTTTCCTGCGAAGCAAGGGTCTACCTGGCATCTCGATTGGCCTGGGCATGATTTCGGAGGTAGGATATCTGCATGAGAATCCAGAGATCGAAGCCCTTCTCCTACGAAAGGGTATCCAGGCCATTAACGAGGACGAGTTGCTGCAAATCATTGACATCGCCCTCTGTAGCAAGAACAGCACACCGTACGATACTATGGCATCCTGCCATGTGCTGACTGGTCTGGAGCCTTTGGGTCTTAAGCTTCTTCAGAAGGCTGGCTTCAGCGGTACCAACCCGACTCTAAACGATCCCCGCGCCAGTGTTCTTGCTTCTGTTCTCGACAGTGACAGCGATAAGGATCTGAAGAATGGATCCGGCATGCCGGCTGAGCTGGCCGCTGCCCTGGAGAATGGCCATGAAGGACAGTCTGTTTCTGAGGCTATCGTCCACCTTATCGTGAAGCGCTTTTCCAATCTCGTTCTCCAACAGGCTGACAAGATTGACCCTTCCAAGGCCTTGTCTAAGTTCGGAATGGACAGTATGCTGGCAGCAGAATTCCGGACCTGGTTCTACCAGGCTTTCAAGGTTGATGTTCCTTTCCTTACCCTGTTATCGGACGAAACTACTCTCAACTCACTGGGCAATCTTGTCCATGTAGCTATTACCGAGAGTCCGAATTAGCTTGCTGGTTTGGAGCGGATTGTTTCTTACCACGAATTATGGTTCATGCATTTATAGAGGTACAGAACTCAATAAAGATTTTGCTTGAAATGTCAGGACTTGCTTGTTTGTCTCTTTCATGCTCTATTTCGAAGTAGGTCAAATCAATCTTGATGCCTGACGCCGTCTAAGTGGTGCTTAATTACTTCCATTCAATTTCGTCACTTTGCGTCCCTTTGTAGCAACACAGCGGTAGCTGGAGTCAATAGTTGATGGGTCATACCCACATCAGTCTAGCCATGTTCATCTGATGTTGGCATGAGATACTACCATGTTATGGATATAGCTGGGGGCACATACACAGCCAGACGCCGTTGCTAGATGGGGTGTGCTGAGGAAACGTTTAGATGAAGCAAATAGAGCAATAAACTAAATGTTATAAATAGAGCAAGGTGTGGCTGTAACAACTGATCTTGGAACAGAATGTAGGAGTAAGCGCATGTATCTTAAGTAATTCCTATTTAAGTATATCTTATATTGACCTCCCTGTCGAACATGAGAGGCAGGAGTCACCGTTAAGTATATGTCTAATCTGGGTATGGCTCCGTTCAGGATTGTTTATCCTCTTGAGTAGATATTTATCCTTGCAAGGAGGCACTGATATGGGCCAACAACGCTAGGAATCAGCATCTTTAGACTTCACACGGCGGAAAGTAAAGAGACAACAGAATCTTTGCTAAAGCATCAATGAATTTCTAGGCCTCCCTAGGCACAAGGTGATCACAAGCTCACTCCCATACATGATGGATCATGGACACATGCCATTAAGTTAGAGAACTGATAGTATCAAACACATCCCAGGATGTCAAAGCTCACAGCACTGTACATCTCAAGAGGACAGAGGAACTACCCTAAGTCTCACAACTTCAGAACCAGTGAGGATACTTCATCCTTCTTGGACATATATATATATAGTCCCTCCATAATTATTTGCCTCATTCATCATGGCGGTTTGACAGACTGCCTTAACATCATAGGATGTAATTTCAAATCCCCCTACTCCCAGGACTAAAACTTTTCCCTAAACTGTCCCTCATAGTAGTACTAGATCAGGTTCTTTATCAACCCCTTCAAAATGATCGTTGTTGGATGAAAACGGCAACAGTTAGGCAAAGTGATGACAGATAAAGGGATCGGCCCGCCTTTAAATTTGATTAGTTGCCTTAGTGTGTTGTCTAATAGAGCTACATATTTCAGATTACACTATAAATTAGTTCATCCAGCAACTGGTTGGATTTGGACTGTGCGTATAGATTGCAGACAGTAATAATGTAGAGGAAGGTTGACTACTTGACAGTGTATTGTCTATAGTCATAGCATGTAAATCACATATCAAGGTTTTCTAGGGGGGCACTCCTGTTATCCTGGTCATTTTCCGATTATTCTACGAGAATAGGTCTAGCCTCAACCGACGAGTTTATTATGATCAGCACTGACCTAACTAGCTTATGAATCACTTGATATAGACTCTCAGTAGACTAGACAAGGACATAAACCTTCACTTCCTACTGATGGACCGACGGCAGTGGGGATTGCCCCCCTTCCGTAGGCGAACTCCCTGTCGATACAGGGCGTCCGAGACTCACGCATGTCTGCCTCATAGTAGCCCGTCACATGGCCAAGTTACGTCCAGATCCAGCATGGATTCTTGTGTTCACACCTCGCGAAGGTCACCGTCTTTACTAGGGACTGGCGCAAGCTTGCCTAGATGTGTCTCCCATGCTGTGCTGAGCCGCATTTCGTGAACCAAACAGTTGCCAAGAAACCACAGCCTTGCCTCCAGCACACTAGCCCCCGGAGTGCTCCTGCTCATCCCTCCAAAATATCTATCGTGGCATGCAGAGATTGGCTGTTGATGCAAGTACTAAGCCTTTTAGTCGGACGCGGCAATAGAGATAAAGCGGGGTATTGTTTGCTTTTTTACACATAGACAGTCGTCTATTCTCGGGATTGGTAGGATTTTTGCTTTGGTTCACAGGTTGACCCCTGGAAATTGCTGTCATCAGCCTCACTAGGTAGTCGGGGGAAACTGGGATGGGCGAACAATGTGGAATGAGGCAGTACCCTACAGAGGGTTGGAGTTTAGCAGCGGCGGTTCGGCCCAAATGTTTAAGTACAAGGACCGAAACTCGTCGCTTTCTCTTTGACTCTACCATTTGTCTACCTTATATCCTGGTGGACTGACACGCGTGGGTGAAATTGAACCTTTTTCTTTTTTTTATGATACCCAGCGAGCGTGTCTCCCTGATCGTTTTAGAGACCGCGCAAGTACGAGCTGGCAAACATGGCGGACGTTCTCGCAGTGGCTGGCCTTGCCTACCCTATTGCTAAAGACCTTCTCAAGCTTGCGAAGAAGTTAGCAAGGCTGCATAGGCAAATCCGCAATGCGAAAAACGATCTAACCAGTGTGATCAAAAGAACAACATCGGTGGCCCGAACGTACGACTTCTTCAGGGACACTATGAAAGTTGCAAGGAAAATTCAAGAGCTAGCGTCCATGTTCAACCGGCATCAACAGCTCATGGAGAGTATTGATGAGGAATCAATACGAACCATTCGAAGGCTGAAGCATATTACCAGCAGGTTCCGCTCTCTCATAGATGGTGAACCTATCAGTACGGTTGATAGATGGATTGCACAGTTTGAATGGTCTAGAGTGAGCAGGAAAACTGTCCCCTCCCTTTTCCAGGATATGGAGGTACTAGAGAGGTCTATGAGAACTATCGGAACCCTGGTGCACATTCAGTTGCTTTCCCAAATACGGCAAAGGGATGGATCGGATGTAATTGTGGCACAACTGTAAATTTCAAATGTTCCCCCAATTGGTAGATAACGTTGAGTCCTATACTGACTATTTGTTGGCAGTGGATCTTTCCAGAAAATGCTGGGTATCGAATTTGACAAGCTTCAGCAAGCGCAACGGGCCCAAAAGACGCTCATGATGCAGCAACAAACCTCACCGGGTCAACATCTTGAGGCCAGGGATTTTGCCCAAAAAATAATGCAGATTTTGGAAAAGGAGATTCCTCGACTGCAAATTCAGCAGCCCGCTGAAGGCCGGTCCATGTCTAATTTGCGGTCACCACCAACCTCACCGATATCAAACAAGCCTTCACCCATTACAACTCGCTCACCCCCTACCCCTAGTAGCTCTGGGAGCCAGACGTCTGTCTCCAAGTTGCAGCAGGACGAGAATGTCTCATCACCCGGGAAGCGGATTCCGCGACAAAGAAGCACCCAGTCAGCCCCTTCAGTGAGTAGAACAGATCTGAGCACTTCCCAGGCGCATACTAATGGTGCGAGTAGCGAATCCCTTCGAGATCGTCGCCCCCTTCTCTGTTTTTAAGTGACGGAGGATCCGACAGCCATGATGATCTAGGCGCTAAGTCAGAAACGCCTTATCAAAACGCAGGCCAAGATCAGGGAGGTGCATATATGCAGATGCCACCTTTTGGACCACCAAAACTGGTTGCTCGCACGTCACTTAGACGACCCCCTCCTGATCGTCCCGATTCATCTAACGATACATCTGACCAGCAACATACAATGCATCGAGGTGGCTCTCATCCACCTCGAAGACGGCGGAACAACAGCAAAATATCTGAATATGGCGACGGAGGTGAGGTAACTGCTACACATAAAACGGGCAGTATTGGTCTACCATCAAGGAGGTGGAAAGGAAAATCGAGGCCGGATCAGTAAATAAATGTTGGCCCATGAGATGTGAATAAGCTTCTGCGTTTTTCAAGCGTCCGTGTCATCGAAATGGACTAACCACACGGCTGGATACCATAGAATTCATTGGGATTTCCTTTCATAAGCGTAATGTAATCTTATGTCGCATATAACCGTTAAGGTAAACGGCGAACCTTACCGAGCCCCTCAGAGGGCCGCTCAATAAATGATCTGCCCTTCAGGCCTTGGGCGGCGGGGCATGGAAAGGGTTTCCAGTGTTTATTGGTCAAGGCGATTTCCAAAAATGACTGTACGGCCGCCCTGCGTTGTACAGCATGATCCCTCCCCTTCATAGACCGGGGCCCCGTGTCGTATTACCTGTGCCCTGGGCCACACCAAGCTGAACGAGTCCTTTCATTCTTAGAATGCTGTTCGAAGAACCCCAGCTATAGGCAGGCACCTTTGAGCGGTGCTGACGACTAGTAATTGCCAAAGTGTACCCACTCAGCAAGGAAGCCAAGGTCTACACGTGCCATGCCGTCTGTTTTTACTAGTATAGGTGTAACATCTTGCATCACGGGGGTCGTTCCACCAGAAGGATGAATGGAGGTCTGGATCCAAGTCCATTGATATGGTTAATATTGACTCCCACTGCGAGGAGGGGCTCAATAGTTGCGTCAAATCCTTGTTCGACAGCCCGTTAGAGAGATGCAATAAGGGCCCTTTCTTGGACCTATTCGCATAGCTGGTCCTAATAGGCGCATACGGGTTCTATAATTAGTTATACTAGTAGACTGGACTCTGTAACTAGCATAGATGCAGTATAATACTCTACTAGATAGCTGTGGGCTCGGGCCCAACCAGATGCCGTTGCTAGATGGGGGGTGGTCGATCCCTTAATCTGGCTGCTGGTAGGGCTGGCTGGTGTCTTGTGTTTATAGTAGGAGTGTAGAAGGGAATCAGAAGCCTAGGCGGCCGCAATAGCTAATGGTGTTTTTGTAGGAGCTAGAGGTATAGTAACTGGCGCAGAGGAGTTCCGAGTATGGTATAGTTGGAAGACAATTATTTTATTATCATATGAGTTTCTGCTCAAATGAATAGTTGGTTCAAATTTGATATTATCTGCACCATTATGCGAGTCTACACAATATGTCATCATGAACCCCAAGTAGGTGTCATATACTTTTGTAAAGATGGTCCGCCGAATGCGGAATATTGCCACCAACCGTCCAATGAAATTGTCTACGGCCTTTCCGACCCATTGACAAGTGCTGCTCGCATTGCGCTTTGTCTTGATTTGAATTCCAGGGTACTGATAAATCTTAAGTATTACAAAGGGTTGTGATCTGGGGATGACGTGAAGCGGCGGAGAGGGCGGAGGGGAGTTCCAACAGTGGGTTCTCGATTGTTTAGCTTGTCTCAAACGAACGCGTCATTGAAACCTGACAGCGATGTAACTGTATACTTCCCACAGAGTACTTAAGGAGGATGTATGACAGGCCTCGGTCACGAATACTTCTCGGGTTACTCCAATCATTTGGAATTCTCATATCGATTGCAAAGAGTTACCGGATACAATGAGACCAGAACCACAAACAGAGGGCGCGAGCAGTAAGCCTGGTAATGATTTGCAGGCTAAATTTGTTGACACTGCGCCCAAACGTATCCATGACCTGCAACATGTCAATGAGCAGTTGCGAGAGCCACCAAAGGCCGACGTGGGCGCCGAACAAGGCGGCGCAATTGGGCGTTTTAAGGAGCTTTCCGAGGTGGTGCACAAGGCTACCCGCCCTCTGCCAACTGAGACAGGTAATGGAACCTACATAAAAGATGACTCCAAGGGTAGCAGCCTCTGGGAAGATCTTCGTTCCCTGGGCATAGAAGATGCGAAAACCGTAAAGGATCTTGCCAAGACTGAGGCCCTCGGACGACCGGTAGACGATAAGACAATGCTCATGGAACGCATCATCCAGGTAAAGCCAACTGATCCGACGGAATGCCCAAAGAAATGCTGATTATGTTATGTCTAGATGGTGGCCAAAATGCCTGACAAGTCCAAAACGCGGGAGAAGGCGACTCATAAGTTTCTGGGCCAACTCTGGGACTCGCTACCCCATCCTCCCCTATCGTAGGAGCCTCCTAGCTGAGTTCGATGACCCTGTCGGAATAGTACTAAGATGAAGTAGATATGTCGGTGACAAATACGCTTATCGTTCGGCTGACGGGTCTTACAACAATCCCACCTTACCACGGCTGGGTGCAGCCAATACGGAATATGCTCGAACAACCGAAGCATCGAAAATGAGGCCAGCAAGTATGCCTGACCCAGGCTTAATCTTCGATAGTATTTTCGCGCGGGAGACTTTCAAGCCACATCCGAATAATGTCTCAAGCATCTTCTTCACCTGGGCCTCGTTGATCATTCATGGTACGTGCTTGAGTAGTGCCCTAATTTCGGTCCAGAACTTAATAGGACGACAGATGTTTTCCAGACCGGCTATCCAGATCAAAACATCAACAAGACATCATCATACCTTGACTTATCCACTCTTTACGGGGATAATCAAGACGAGCAGAACATGATGCGTACATTCGAGGGTGGCAAGATCAAGCCCGACTGTTTCTCTGAGCCACGTCTCCACATCCTGCCGGCAGCCTCGGGGGTCATTCTGATTATGCTGAACAGATTCCACAATTATGTCGCTGAGCAGCTAGCCATTATCAACGAGAATGGTCGGTTCACAAAGCCCAAAGCTGAGATAATCGACCCAGTCGAAGCCCGGGCCGCCTGGGCTAAATATGACAACGACCTCTTCCAAACTGCACGCCTTATCACTTGTGGCATGTATATCAACATTACCTTATATGACTACCTGCGCACAATCATCAACCTCAACCGCGACACCAGTACTTGGAATCTGGATCCCCGCACACATGACGATCAGGATGAAATTCCCACCGCACAGGGCAACCAGTGCTCAGTCGAGTTTAATCTCGCATATCGGTGGCACTCGACGATTGGTCGCCAAGATGAGGCGTGGACGGAGAAGACTTACAGAGAAGTTGTTGGGAAGCCTGGACAGGAAGCCACTTTGCAGGATCTTATGGAAGGCATGAGGAAATTTAATGCGAGGATGGACAAAGACCCTTCCAAGCGTACATTTGCGGGTCTGCAGCGCCAGGGCGATGGTACTTTTAGCGATGTAGACCTGGTGGACATATTGACTCGCGCCATTGAGGAGGTGTCCGGCTCGTTCGGACCCAACAACGTTCCAAAGGTCTTGAGATCAGTTGAGATTCTTGGTATCCAGCAGGCACGCAAGTGGAATGTTGGGTCATTGAATGAGTTCCGCAAGTTCTTCGACTTGAAACCCTACGAAAGCTTTGAAGAAATCAACTCAGACCCCTATGTGGCAGATCAGCTGCGGCACTTGTATGAGCACCCAGATTATGTGGAGCTGTACCCTGGGATCGTTGCAGAGGAGCCCAAGGAACCCATGGTCCCGGGGGTGGGGATTGCTCCAGGATACACTGTCTCCCGCGCTGTTCTGTCGGACGCTGTGGCGTTGGTTCGGGGTGACCGATTCTACACAGTGAGAGACTTCACTCGCATTCGAGCTCAGTAGCAAGCTGACAGAGAACCAGAAGGAATTTAACGCCCGGAACCTGACAAACTGGGGTTTCAAGGAGGCCGAGTATAACTTGGAAATCAACCAAGGTTGCTCGTTCTACCGACTTGCATTGCGAGCATTTCCCAAGTGGTTCAAGTACAACTCGATCTACGCTCACTATCCAATGACAATCCCCAGTGAGAACCGCATCATTATGAAGGCGCTGGGCCGCGAAGAGGAGTTCTGCTGGGATCGTCCAGCATATATTCCGCAGCGAACAGCTGTCTTTGATTATGCCAACGTTCGTCATATCCTTCAGGATGCGTCGAATTTCCGGGTGGTGTGGGGTGAAGCAACCGCGTACGTATTTGGGCCACAGGGCTGGGACTTTATGCTCTCAGGCGACGCGCCCACCCATGCAAACCAGCGCAGTATTATGTCGCGGGCGCTCTATCGTGGCCAGTGGCATGACGCCGTCAAGCAGTTCTACCTCGACATTACCCAACAGCTCTTGACAGAAAAGTCATGCAGGGTGGGAAACGTAAATCAGGTGGATATTTCGCGCGAGTGAGCCTACCTATACCCTGCTACTTATGAGAAGATGTCCACTGCTAATGCTAATATCTCCCCGAACTTATGAACAGTGTTGGGAATCTTGCCCATGTTCACTTTGCTTCCAACGTGTTTTCCCTCCCTCTCAAGAGTAGAGAACATCCGCATGGGATTGTAACAGAACACGAGATGTTTGAGGCAATGGCAGTGATCTTCACGGCTATTTTCTTTGATGCGGATCCTGTCAAATCGTTCGAGCTACGCCATAAGGCTCGCGAAGCAGCGGAGAAACTGGGTAAGCTCGTCGAGATCAACGTCAAAGCCATCAAGTCGTCTGGTCTTATTGCCACTCTGCTTGGCAATATGCATGCCAACAAGAATGCACTCTTTGAGTATGGCGTGCACATGGTGGAGCGGCTGTTGCAGAGTGGCCTGGATCCTGAACAGGTGACATGGTCGCAAATTCTGCCGACTGCCGTCGCCATGGTGCCGAACCAGGCCCAGGTATTCACCCAAATCATTGATTATTACCTCTCCGATAATGGCCGGAAACATCTGCCGGACATCAAACGCTTTGCCAAGGAAGACTCTCCCGCTTCGGACGAGGTGCTTCTCCGCTACTGCATGGAAGCAATTCGCCTGAACGGCATCTTTGGCTCCTACCGGAAATCCCAAACCAACCTAACCCTCGACGACAAGGGTGGCAAGGTCCACATCAAGGCGGGTGACAAAGTATTCGTGAGCTTTGTATGTCTTCTTCGTGCAGATCTACTATTGACGAGTCGTCGAAACCTGGCGTCCGGTGCTGACTACCAATAGGTCGATGCAAACCGCGACCCTAAGGTATTTCCAAATCCCAATGAAGTCGACCTCAACCGTCCCATGGAGTCGTATATCCATTATGGAGTAGGTCCGCACACATGCTTGGGTGGCGACGCCAGTAAAGTTGCTTTGACGGCCATGCTCCGCGTCGTGGGCCGTCTGGACAACCTTCGCCGCGCTCCAGGAGCGCAGGGGGAATTGAAGAAGATCCCGCGGGAACATGGGTTTTATACTTATATGCGCGAGGATCAAGACAGCTTCTATCCGTTCCCAATGAGTAAGCGTCTTCCTCTCTTGCAAGTTGCTTGAGATACAGGCCTAACAGGATGACAGGCTGGAAGCTCCATTACGATGGAGAAATCCCAGGAAAGGAACAGCCGGTTCGTGGAGACTTTGTGTGCAACGTACCGGGACATTGGCAGAATTGATAGTTGCGGTATATCATGGCATGGGTGCATTTTCGTCGTGGCTGTCCCTTGTTACTCTTGTTGAGCTGCAGAGTGTAGAGGCACTACAACAAACTTCGGAAGCCATGGAATAAACGGCAGGTCTGCTCCTTAACTGCTGTATACGAAGTCTGGCAGAAAGGGCTCGGATAAAAGTTATGAATACATCGGGGTTCATTCATATTCTCCGACGGAATAAGGCTTGAGTGTTTCCAAATGCAAGGTTTACTCATTCTTAAATACGTCTATCGTACCACCCCATGAGGCTAATGGGAAAAAAGAAATCCCCCTAATAGCGTTATATTCCATGTCATTCAGAGTTCTTGTCTCAATTGCAGCGTCTGATTCCGGCTTCCCTGGTCCTTCGTATGAGAATTACTAGCAACACAAATGTAAGTTTCCCACAGCAAGAGACGAACAAGTGTAGGGAGTATGGTGATAGAAGTGCATAATGCAAGGCTATATCTACAGTACATGGAAAGACATTCGGGAGAAAGACCTCCTGTCTGATATAGCCAGCTGTACTTATATTACACACAATGAACATAGTACAGTGCTAATTCCACTGCTACTTGCTATTGAGACACTTTTACCATTAAATAAAGGGCTCTCTACTACATTACATAAATTTTCCTAAAGAGGATCATGTGTGATGTAGGGTCTTCGTTCCCCTTATTTCATGTGTGATCTGGCCAGCACCTCGCATCAATACAAACCCGCCAACCTATGAGTTCTTAAGCAGGAGGCCAGGTCGGACCATTGTACTATAATTGAACGTCGAATTGCTTATCATTACTTTTATACTCACAATCTTCCTGTTATATTGAGAGGATTAATGGTCCATATGGTGCGCCTCCTTTGATAACGGCTTGCGCACATATGTTTCTTTTATAGGACAGCCAGGATATTCAGCCATCTGCCACTCCCCGATTCCGCATTCTTTTGGTGCTTTTTTCTTCCCTCTTCCTCCACCTCCCATGATTAGGTTACCCGGCCGATATTCTGGGTCTGACTTCAAACGACGAATGGCTGAAACGTGGATCTTGGCATCATCAGGAATGTCGCGCACTTCTCCGCAAGGCAGAGGCCACCGAATGGGTTTCCAAGAGCCATCTTCCTGCAAGTCCATCCGACGGAAGGGCAGATATTCCATGACTTTCCAGGAAAGAACAGTGGTCCAGCGAACCCCTTTGCCAAATCGGAGAGCGTCGTGCATTCGTGAATCTGTGCTGGACTTGTGGAGAAAACACTCGAAATCAGACGCGGGACTCTCTTTTCCTTCGTGTCCTTCTTGTTCGTTCTGGGCTGCACCGTTATTCATAGTTCCTGGAGTATTTTCTCCTTGTGAGTGTTCGGCATGATCTCCAGTTGCCTCGCTTGAGCAGGCGAAGCGTCTCAACTTCTCTGGTTCGAATCGCAGTCCTGCCTTCTGTGCATTGTGAACCATCCACACCAATGGCACATGGCTGAGAGCATATTCGCCTGGTCTCAATGGCCATCCTCCGCCGATATCTGTGTGGCATCCGGGAAACCATACCTCTTCGATGTCCTGCACGTTGTCGGTTTTCTCGCTCTCGGACGACGCGGAAGAAGCAACAGGACTAGGTTGCTGAGCAGAATCCGGCAAGCGGCCATTATGTCGCTGGTGGTGAGTATGATGGGGGAGATGCACATGGTGTTTCTCCAGGTGCTCACGCAACCGAAATCGGTGTTCCCTCCCCGTCGGCTTGACCTCTGAGATGAGATCCTGGCGGAATTTGGCCCGACGTTCATCGATACTCACTGCATGGCGGATCACCTTGGCTGAGGTGCGGGCAGTATAAGGAAATCGGTTGTGACTCATCCAGGCCCGTTCAAATCGGGGTACACTATTGACAGTGTCGAACAGGCCCAAGAAGCGAAGGTTGGGGACAGGATGGCAGAATGTCTCTTTAAATGCCCTCATGTATTCCTCTAGCTTTTCCTTCTGGGCCTTGTCTTCCGTGGTGTCGCCGCTGCATTGTTGCCACTTTGCAAATGTCTTCCAGACAAACCGTATCAGCTCTTCATTGCCCGCCTCCAGAAGGCCGATCTTGTCCAGCATTTCAGCGAGGAAGCGGGCAACATATGCTCCGCGACTGAAGCCAAAGAAGTAGATTTGATCCCCAGGGCAGTAATATCGCATCAAAAATTTATAACCACCCATGACATGGTCAGCCAATGTTGACCCGACCGCAGCGTCTTTCGCTTTCACATACGCAGACTTGATCTTTCTAGTGAAGCCGCTATGTGAAAGTGAGGCCGAAGTCACATACGTGCCAATACCAGGTTGATAATAATGATACTGGTTAGTGGTAGTCCGATCGAGCATCTTTCTCTAGGTAAGTCCGGGTCTAATCAAAGAGCATACAGGACTTACTCTAAATATTTTGAGCACATTGCTGTCGGATGAGTCGCCATGGAATTTGTTATTAGTCCCATCAAAGCAAAGGACAAATTCCTTTGGCCCCGCGGTAGGCTCCATATCTTGTATATTATCGAGAACTATTATAAACAGACAAAGGTACGGAAAGGAAGTGGTTATACTAGTTTGTCTGGAGGACACTCCTGATATTAGCAGCTTATAACCTTGCAAGATGACCTCGCCTTGGTTTATCCCTCTTCCTGTTCAGTAGCCTTAACAGCAAGCTTTCTGCCGCAAACAGTAACGCAATCAATTAATCAGACGAGCTGTAAGGGAATGATAAGTTCGAAGGTCTCGCCTTCTACGCCTGAACCCAACACAAACCGTGGCAATGCCGTCAACAACAGAGTTTAATTACTACACATTAGACGAAAACGGAAATTGTCGACAACGCGAAATAAGCTCTGATTGAATAACACGAACTTAACTCACGGGAATCATTGTCTTATTAGCCATGAGTTAATTATGTGGCAAAAGTACTCTGCGTCCCCCAATCCATTCCGTCGTCATGGTTCCAACATCATTGGAGAGACTGGAAAGCTTCGTCCTAGTCCAGATCTGCATCATAGACATAGTTATGGTTCTACATTTGGTCAGACGACACAAGCTAGTCTACATTCTAGTGACTACTTTAGGCACATCATGAATATTTCCTGACGTTGCCCCTGTGAGAGCTATACGGAATTGAATACGGTTACGGCCTGCATGTAGATGGTATGAGATATATGACAGTCAGAAACCACAAACAGTTCTCCTTTCCTTAATCTTGAATAACCCCTGGGTAAATTGTTTCGGATCACTCTGAAACCTTCATCATCTCAAAGAGACACTTCCCTACCGGAGGATACGCCTCGAACGTAACCTTTAAGCTCGAGGAAGCCGCTAGATCCTTCCACTCAGCAGCCGTCCTCTCTTTGCCAGTATACATAATGATCATCGAGGCATGGGTTGTTGCGCACCCTGCATTATTCGTGGACTCCTGTATGGCAAGCCGCGGCCATGGTACCATTGCCCTAGCCATTTTTCTGAGGAGCTTTGTTGCTTCCGAGTCGGACAAATTATGCAGCACATTTGCCAACAAGTATATAAGCGCGCCCTTCACAGGCTGCTCGCCTCCGTCTTCCTCGTAATTACACGTCATCACGGTGATGTCTGGGATGGCACCGATCTCCGCGTTATATTCATGCGAGATAAGGCTATATTTCCAGGCTATTCAGTAAGCTGCTTTCAGCTCTAGGAGTAACTCGCCCCGGCCACCACCGACGTCAACGATAATAGGGTGCTAGCCGAGGGCGCGAGCTCCCTCAGGCATTATGCCACAGCGCCCCAATTTGCCCGTCTTGAATGTGTTAAAGCTGTCTAGGCGCCCGGTGTGATGCATGATAGAGTAAACGTGTTCCTGGGCAAGAGCTTGGTTACCCAGGAGTCTGTAGGCATACTAGATGGGCGTTTCGCGTTCTTAGAAAGGGTAGGCGAAGTTCGTGTCTTCCAGCCGTTTCATCAGGGAAGCCGATGCCAGGAGCCCTTCAGTTATGTTATTGTTTCCAGAGTCAGTTTAGGGAATGTGCATATGGTAAGCAGGTATTACAGGTGAGGGGCGCCGCGCTGGAGACGGGGCGTGGCCACGAGGTACTCTGTTACGTCGTTGGCGATGTAGACGTCGCCAGGCACTAGATCGACATAGCCGAGGCCACCCCTAACAAAAAGGGTGTCATCTCAAGTTAGTTCCCATCATGTACACGCCTTCGGCAGGGAAAGATAATTCACATTTACTGGCGAGCGGGACGGCTGTCAGGCATCGAACTGCTCATTAGCACCTGTTGCAGCTGGTAGATGTGAAAGATAGGTGTAGCTAATGATGGAACAACGTACAGAGGTTTAGGCACCATATTTCTTCCCATGAACTTCACACACGTCCCGGGCTGTGGCTGGTTTGCCAATTGCTTGCAAAGAGCCGAATAGGTCGAAATGCACTGCGATGGGCACAAATCCAAGAGCAGACCCGTAGGTGATGGAAGAAATTAGTAAACGTTCGCACTGCCGACTGTCACCATTCTAATAGAGGATTGCCTCTTGGAAATGTTGAAAAAACGCACAAGGGCAAAAGGGTTCCTGAAAAGCCGTCCGGCTTTCGAAATCGACATGTCGTCGAAGTCGAGACAAAACTGGTTAGAGACTGGGGAAGTGCTTTGGGGAGGTAGGCTTAGTGGCTGTTATGGAGGGTTGTGTAACTAAGTATTATAATATGTGTATTGTTAAATGCCTACATAGCTACTTAACTTTAGATAACGACTACAGGGTCCAGCATACTCTTCAATTACCCTGTCACTGACCGTGCATAGGCACAGGACCATCTCTAGGAGTGTTAAAGATGCAGCTTATCCTCCTTGCTGGGGACAGGTAGCAGGTGCTTTGTATATATGCTACTACATGTAACTCCTAACTGCAGACTTAGTTGACCCTTTACTAAGCGTCCTGTTTCCTATTAGATATTAGCGGAGTAGAGCCCTGCAATAGGAAAAGCGTATAATAATCACCACGCCCCTTGCAGTCAATGGTGAGGTTTCTGTTGGCCGCTATGCCCCAGTATTTCTCATGTCCTTACTACAACCTGTCTGCATCCTTCTCTTTTTACCGGAGATTCTTGGTCGACTGCAGTAGAAAGCTGTCACAGAATTAATCACAGGAGCTACCCTTTGGGACTGATTCATGGTGGAAATCCCTCGAGTCGACTGCTCCTATGCATACGAACTGTCTACTGCCCTGACTCCCAATGCGCACCGCACCTACTTTTATACAACTTTCACTCAAATTTCAGTCTCAACAGCATCTAATTCAACCGCCATAGCTGATTCTTAAGAAAATTGACTAAAGCATCATGAGCCCGGGGTTCAACCTGGCGGACTAATTCTCTATTCATGCACATGGCAAGGTAGACGTGGCACTCGCATAGCCTTAGATACTAGATGATTGGCTGGGATGGTGTACAAGATAATTGATCGATCAATCATCCTACATATACTGACCGCTCTTTACACCTACTTCACTAACGCCCATCTCGCAAACCGCAAGAGCCTATTCCTTCTCACTACACTTATCCAACTTTAAGGAATACAGCTTGAACAAACTTTCGAGGAACCAAAAATGGGTACTGTCAACTCAATCACGCAGTGCTTCCCTTCACTGCGTACCTACAACCAAGCGTCACCCAGCCGCGAGACACAGAATGTCGCATCTAATGTCGTCACAATCATCCTTACCAGCGATTCATCGTATGCGATCAAGAAACGTCTTGATGAGTCTATCAGCACAACCGGCTGGACCGAGTCGCTAGCTCGTGCCATCCTCCGTGGTCTTGAGAATGCCATCGAAACCGGTGCACAGGCGGCCGAAGCAGCATCCAAAGCACTTGCTCGAGCTACAAGCGAGGCCTTCGAGTTCTCCCGTGAACATCCTGTCTTCGTTACTATCCTTGCTTTAGGTGTTTTGGCCATTTTAACGCCGTGGGTTATTGAGGTCCTGGGATTTGGAGAATTGGGTCCGATTGAGGGGTCATTTGCGGCATTGTGGCAGAGGACGTATGCTGGGTATGTGCCAAAGAGGTCACTATTTTCATTCTTCCAGCGCTTGGGGATGGTCTGGAAACACTGAGTTCTGTTGCTCGATGGTATATGTCTTAAAGGTTGATCATTTTGACTTGGATGGAATGTCAGCAGATTGAAGTTGCTAAAGGTCACTTTGGGCAGAGAGACCATCAGCTGTTCTCATGAGACAGGTCGCAAGGTAACCAGGGTAGGATAGTTCGGGGTGCATATTAATTTTAACTACTATAGTTACTGATCAGAAAGTTGATTTAATAACTGGGGAACTTGCAGTGGGTTATTCGCATGAGCTTAGCTTCGTTATCATCGTAGACTGGGCGTCTAACGTGCACGCTAAAGCCAAGAAGCCGGGTTGACTCCTGAACTTTGGGTCAACTGTTTGCGGGCGAGAGGTACGAGTTTCAAGGGCGAAGTACAGAGTCAGCCATCTATTTCCGAACCATTATTTGTGCTTTTATGCTTAGACGATGGGTACTGCATCGTCCAGAGTCTAAAGCACCTCAAGGGATTTTTTAACAAAATATGTGCATATGACATCCATCTAGCGTCTAGCCAGAAAGAAAAAAAACACCCCTTATTCATCTGCTAGAAAAGCCCGTGGGGGGGTTCTCAGATGTTCTGCCTGCGGGCAGACGGCCCTACGATAATCTGAGGGCTACTGCCTCGGTCAGATAGCTTCCGCGTCTCTCTCCTTTTCTCTATCTAGAAGGGACACAATTACAAGAGCTTCATTCTTTATCTCTTACACTATATTTTGAGCCGAGATCCCTAAATTTAGCTTACTATCATGATATAAGGTCACTGACCACCAGCTATCACCGGAAAACAATACTTCCTCTGCAGCCTCAACTCGATGCCTTCCATATAAGCATCTAAGACTGTAGCTGTCGGGAGGACTTAGTCGGGGTATGTCATTTTCACCCATTAAACCTTCAATAGTAGTACCTGACTGTACGTGCTTGTTCTAGCACTCATCCTCAATAACAGCCAAAATGAAGCTGCATGGCTCAATGAGCACACGCGTCCTGCTGAAATACATATTAAGTTAATTAACATGAGTAGGGTCAAAAGTCCAGCTGCCAAACAGTGGAGAATGAAATTCCAGGTGATGAAGAAATATCATTGCGTGGCACGAAAGTCTTCTGCTATCCTCACCACGCTTCTCTTCAAATTTCCAGCAGTCTCAACGGGCCGACGCAGCTTGAAAAGAGCGTCAGGCGCCGTCTGCAATTGCACTGAAATATTATCCAGTACCGCTTAAATACGGCATAGGAACGTTCTCATTTCTTGATCGTAACCAACAGAGAGTATATCAATTAACAGGATGACATGTAGGGCCTGCCAACACCTAATCAACAGCCGGAGAGGAGCAAAAAGACTAATAATGACTAGGATGGAATCTTTTATGATAGACTGTTGAGCGAATTACCGGGTGGTAGCTGTTTCACGAGGCCGTGACTACGTTCTATCCTGGGCCAAAAACATACCGCACAACGCGCCAAAAAGTCGAAAGACTGCCAATGTATAGACGGCTGAAAGTGGTTGAAAGTCCGAAAAGAGAGTTAGATGTAGCCGACCGCGGAGACACTTGCAGGAGCAGCTCTGTGAGTGCGCGCTGCGAGGCCACTCGAGAGGGGTGCTCTTCAGCAAGGGTTCTCCCCTCTACCATAACCACATGCTCAAGTAGCTCTACTGCCTGGTTGATCTGCCCATTGGCTTGATATGCACTAGCAAGTGCATGCTCGGATGCTAGTAGAGAGGGGTGCTCTTCAGCAAGGGTTCTTCCCTCTACCATAACCACATACTCGAGTAGCTCTACTGCCTGTTTGATCTGCCCATTGGCTTGATACACAGTAGCAAGTGCATGCTGAGATGCTAGTCGAGATGGGTGCTCTTCAGCAAGGGTTCTTCCCTCTACCATAACCACATGCTCAAGAAGCTCCATAGCTTGCGTGATCTGCCCTGTAGCTTGATATGCAATAGCAAGCTCATGCTGAGATGCTAGTCGAGAGGGGTGCTCTTCAGCAAGGGTTCTCCCCTCTACCATAACCACATGCTCAAGTAGCTCCACTGCCTGCGTGGTTTGCCCGTTTGCTCGATATGCACGCGCAAGTGCATACTGAAATCCCAGTCGGGATGGGTGTTCCTCAGCAAGGGTCGTCCAATCCTGCATTGCAACCACATGCTCAAGCAGTTCCACTGCCTGCGTGGTCTGCCCATTTTCTTCATATGCACTAGCAAGTGCACACTGAGATGCCAGTCGATCAGGGTGCTCTTTGGCAAGGGTTCTCCCCTCTACCATGACGACATGCTCAAGTAGCTCCACTGCCTGCGTAATCTGCCCATTAGCTTGATATGCACTAGCAAGCTCATGCTGAGAGGTCAGTCGATCAGGGTGTTCTTCAGCAAGAGTTCTATCACGCATTGCAACCACATGCTCAAGTAGCTCCACTGCCTGGGTGATCTGCCCATTAGCTCTATATGCATGCGCGAGTGCATGTTGAGATGCTAGTAGGGATGCTAGCTGAGAGGGGTGCTCTTTAGTAAAAGTTCTTTCTTTTACTTTAACCACATGCTTAAGTAGGTCCACTGCCAGCGCAATCTGCCCATTTGCTTGATAAGCACGCCCAAGTGCATGCTGAGATGCCAGTCGATCAGGGTCCTCTTCGGCAAGAGTTTTCCCCTCTACCATAACCACATGCTCAAGTAGATCCACTGCCTGAGCGATCTGTCCATTTGCTTGATATGCACCGGCGAGCTCATGCTGAGACACCAATCGAGAGGGGTGCGACTCATCAAATTGTCTCTTGTGCCAATCATAATGTTCTTCAAGATAACGGACGGCCTCCGTCACCCGGCCATCCAGTAAAAGGCACATTGAAAGTTTGAAAATTAGGTCGTACCTCGTACTTTCAATTTCGACTTTCGCGTTTTTGACTTCTTCCCTTTCTAGAAGGCTTATCACATGCGGTAGATATTCGTTCCATATGTCTCTGTTCGTATGCTCATCACTGGGAAATATCGCTTCCAGTCTAGTCAGTGCCGTGATTGTCCATTTTGACAGAGTTGCATTCTTTCTCAACCAGTTACGCGTCGCAAGGTGAACAAGTCGGTGGAGGTCGAAAGACTGAGCAGCGGACCGTCTGCTCACAAAGGCATACCCTCTCAGCGTCCCGATCGCTTCTGTCCATGCTTTACGTGTTGGTGCTGGCGGTAGAATAGACTGCGGGATATCTGCTGGCTCTATAGAAGCCATGAAGCACAGTATATCAGCAGCAAAAGGTTGAGTCCGTTGGATTTGCTCGAAGGAAATAAGCCATGTTGTGGCCACCGGGTTTGTATTGTGATGTGTTCGCCAGTCGTCCTCAAAACCTTCGCTCAAAAGATCAATTACCCCGTCCTCCTGTCCTGACAACAGCGATCGATAGTCCGCAATGGAACTCACACAGTTCTCATTCATATAAGAAGCAGCCTGCACAATCGCCAAAGGTAAGTAGACAAGCTCCTTAAGAAGGAGCACAACTTCCTCTTTTTGGTGTAGAAGAGACTTATCGCCCAAGCGTTCGGAGAGAAGCTTTGTCGCTTGTGCCTCGTCCATTGCTGGAATTTCAATCACATTTTGCTTTGCGAGCTTTGCCGCGATTTTCCCGAAACGTGTAGTGAAGAGCACAGTACCTGTTTTGCTCCATGGAATATATTCGCTCAGGCTGCATGGCTCAGTGTCAGTGTTGGCTTCTGCCTGCCCAAACCACATGCTTATGTCATCCGCGTTATCGAATATGAGCAACCATTGGCCAGCGTTACCGTCGCATAGGTAGTCTTTGAGGAGTTTTCTGGCGTCAGCTCGCTCCTCCTCAAGTCCTGGCAATGCTAGCTGTTCGGCAATCTTCAAACATGCTTGTTCGAGAGCTTCCAAGTTCGTGGCCGGGATCCAGAAAATCGAACATTCTGGTCGCGTCTCCTGCATTCGATAAGCAATTTCGAGTGCAACCTGTGTTTTGCCAACACCGCCAAGGCCGGTGATGGCAACCTTGTGTTGGCGGCTAGGTGAGAAAAGCATCTCTTCAAGCTTATCAAGCTGTTCATCCCGGCCAACAAAACCTTGGTTCCTCGGGAAAGGAATGTTTCTAAAGACACCAGGGCTGTCTGCTCAATTATTAGCGGGTCCTTGTTCTGGGACAGCTTCTTACATGTTTTTAGCAATATCAAGTGTTCATATTCCTAAATTGGGTGAGCTCAGGCGTACACAGGCTATTGTTTCTTTTCCTTACGCGAATGACCTTGCCGAACCGGATCTCGGTGGCATCTTGTCAACCATTAGCTCAAAGCCAATCAATCGCTAATATCTAAGCGAAGTTTCCAATGCACACACATTGCTTCTGCCTCAAATTTTGTACGCAGTCTCGCACCCGGAATCTTTGATTCTGGTGTGCTATGTACTCGTGTGTGGCTGCCTCGATCAGGCCTTGTTCCTTATATTCAGTGAGACCAACATTTTGCAGTCCTTGCTCCACATTGAAGCGGAAGAAACGCTTTTGGTCGAAATGTCCAGCCCATCTGGCAATGAACTTCCGCTCGGTTTCTTCTGTCTCTTTGGAAATTGCCACAAGCGTTTTAGAGAAAAACTTGAAAAGATTGTCTTCAATCGCTCGTTTGCCGGGATTGCCTGTTCCAATCGAGATAAAGCACTTGACGAGGGGTTTCAAATCTCCTGTGTCTGGACACCAGATATTTGAAGCCTCCCCTTCCACTTCGTCCACTGGATTGTTCGCACCCAACGCACCATCTACAAATCTGCGTGATCCGATTAGCACGGGAGTAAAAAAACTCGTCGCGGCTGATGTTGCAAGGGCAGCCTCGCAGATGGTCGCCGGTATGTCAGGTTCCTCTGCTAAACTATAACTTCGAATTCGCGTCACCCCAGATGTTTCTTTGGCTGTAGCACATACGAAACTTCCCTAATATCAGCCACTAAACCAGCCGTCATTCACGCATTGTCCACTTACACTTTGGTTCCACGCTCGCGCCCATCATTGAAGGGTTCTGTCCCACTAACTCCGTGACGAGCGGTAATATCCATGATCGCGTCCTTGAGCTTCCCTGAGTCGAATCGGGACCTCATTTTTAGTGCACCGCCAAAAGGCAGCAAATTCAGTTTCTCCTCAAATATAACCTTCGTGAGTTCAATGTATGCTGAAATGCATTCATCCACGTCCATTTCAAGACGACCCAGCATGATGGCGATAAGCCTGCTAGTATTAGCCATGGCAGAAAAGGGAATTGCTGCTGCACAAACCCGCCTGTGCTCGTTCCACCGATAAGATCGAAGACTTCGCACGGCTTCACAGAAGGAAGCTTAGCATCACAGCGTTCACGATTTAATCTGTCCATGATTGTCTTCAAGATGAAGAGCGTCGACAAGCCCCGTACACCACCCCCGTCCAGCGATAACAGGCAAAGCCCTGTGGTGTCGATTGGCTTGGGCTCATTACCAGCATTTGTCGTTTGAGCTTGCATTCTCCCAGATATGATTGTATGATAAGAAGAGGATAACTAATATTGATGTGGAATAAAGACAGACGTCTTTAGAAACTGGTACCTTAAGTGCTATTCGCACTGAGCTGAGATCAAAACTAAGCTGAGGCCTGGCGTAAGAGGAGATATTCTGATTGCGAAGCGCCGGGCAGCCTAACAGAGGATGCTAAATAAGGACTGCGACACTGAATGACCAATCAAAATACTTAGCGCTGTGATTCCATGTCCTGCATAACAGATCACAACCGCCCCAATTCGATAGTACCACCTTTCCGCCCCCACTCCACATGGAAACAATCATGCTGCCACTTCATGCGGCTGTGGAATGCCTCTCCTATCTAGAAAGCTACCCCGCAAAGCATGTTGAGGGAAGCTCCTTTCGCTTTTATGACCGGCGAGGATTTCATGAGATTGGGTTCAGCAAATATTCTTATCTTGCTTGGTCGACGTGGCTAACCCTCCAACCCCGTTATCCCCAAGCCACTGCATTATAACCGCATTAGCCTACCGGAGCGGATCCATTGGAGATTCCCACCCTCCGAAACGCTTGTGCGATGTTCAAACTTTTTCTATCCTTGCTCCATCACCCATGGTTTCAGCTCAGCTTCCGTAATGGAACGTGGTACGTCCGAAATTGTGGATAGCATGCACAGAGTAAAAAGCAACTCAATGACCGAAGTCGCGCGGGAGCCTTGCCGAGGCAGGTGTATTTAATATATGTTAAAGAGCCAAATAATCTTCGAGAACTATTGTCCAAAACTGGGATCGAAATGATCGGTTAACTGCCAAAGAAGAGCCATGACCGACCTGGTTATTTTCGGAAAGGTCAACAGAAGGACATTGGCTACGGTGCGTCAGTTTCGACGGGCTATACTTTTCCCCTGCTGACGTTCATGAGTTCCACATCGTCATCCGTTTGACAGCATTTAAGAATGACGAAGCCCACTTGATACTGTATACCTACTGTAGCTCAACCATAAACTGCGCCCGGGTCACGCCATGGTGGCAGGTGCGATACCTCAAGTGGTCAAAGGCACAGTGCCTCACCGCCGTCTTGGCCCAGAGGCTTCTATCAGAGGTAGACCCCAGAGTAGTTATGATACATTCATGCGGAGAAACATTTCTGACTACAGTATGGCTAGTAACTGCTCATGGAATCCCCCCAAGGGTACCATATGTCGAGTCTGGTTTCTTGCATGCTCCATGACAGTGCTTGGTGGAAGGTACCTCTTGCGGTTCAATATATATTTTCGCTCAACAACCCACCGTTATTTGGATTCATCATCCGTTGCCTGGTAACAAAGCAAGAGGGGATACTATAAGTCCCTACTAATGCTACTGTTTCCTTCCCGAATACTCCTCGACACATGTAATCCCCCAGAATCCCAAATTGCAGCCGAAATCGGCTTCTTTGTAGGGAATGGTTGACATGACTCGTGAGTCACGTGACCTAATAGGGATGTTGATGATCAACAATCGCGATAAGAACAAGTTTTTTAATTCTTGGCCACTTCTGACCCACGTGCGGCCATTCCGTCTAGGCAGAAATCCATCCAGATGGAAGCCTACAAGGTGCCAAGGGCCGCTGTGGCAAAGCTATGCTCAATCCAGTCTAAACAACAAGCATTTTGGGCTCTGACCCCCTATCGACATTGATTGACAGATGATTGTCAACCCAGTGCTCACCCAGCATTTAAAGCCCGATGCGTCCTGACTTCGATGGTCAATTGCTAATCCAATATGGCTTCTATCACTGTTCTCCCAAGTGAGCTCCTCGCTCGCGTCATCTCGTTCCTTGACCGGTCGTCCCTGAAGGCTATCCGGGAAACGAGTCGCCTTCTCTCACAATTTGCTACTCCACGTCTATTCGACACTCTGCGTCTGTTTCCGGACGAAGAGAGTTATGAGGCTGTCGATCGCATTACGGACCATGCAACACTGAGAAAAATGGTCAAGAAGGTGTATGTCAATACGTGTGAAGATGACTATGTCAGTCCATATCTATCCCCCGCCGATCGATGAGCGCGGCATGCTAAGAGGCTCAGGACGACTATGACGAGGTGGAAGTTGAATTGACAAGGGATTTCAAGGACAGAATCGCCAAGTTCAAAGACTGTCCAAATGTGCAAAGCGCTGTCTTGCGGTTTGACAAGCATTGTAGTACAGCCCGCGAATACTGGATGAGAGAGAGTCCAGAGACCATCCGCTTTCGCACAAAAACTCTTCGTGTCTTTTTTAAATGGCTGGCCTCGTTTGAAGTACCTTTGCGTGAACTCGGGATTCGTAACATGCAAGATGTGTATGTCGGTGACGAGAAAATATCCGCCAATATCGAGAAAGTGCTGCAGAATTTACGCACTCTCCGATTAAGCGTCGTGACAGAGCACAATGACGCCGCCCCAGAGGACGACCTTGACTTCCCTGAGCCCCATGACTTCTTCGCGCAACTTCCATCCGTGTGGCTGAAACCCTCCGCGTCATCTCTTGAGCATCTGACGCTCTCCTGCGACAACTACTTCGGCTTCTATCCAAAGCTCGAACTAAGCGAGGTACATTTTCCGCACCTCAAATCCCTCGCCTTTGGTAATTATTGCTTTGTGCGGGACTCTCAGCTGGAATGGATTCTCTCGCATGCAGCCACTCTGACTGACCTATCCTTCGACGACTGCGCAATCTTATATGATGTGTGCCTTGCCGAAGAGCATCTCAACAGGGGACCCTTCCAGAAGAGCGAGATGGAAACCCGTCGAGAGCTGGATGGCCAGGTGCGGGTAAAGTACTACCGCTCCTACAATAAGCGGTGGCATCATTACTTTGACTCCTTCCGAACAAAGCTACCTCATTTGAGGCAGTTCCTTATCGGAACCAATGACTGGGGTGATGGCGTCCCATTTGAAAAGGAGGCTGAAGTCAAGATCTGCTTGCGGGAAAGTAGGTACATGGCCTGCTATGATGGGTACGGACCCAGTCCGTATCTTGAAGAAAACTTTAGACCCCACGAGTGGGAAAGGGAAGCACCCAAGTGCGATGACGAAGATAGGGACTCCTTACGCCTGCTCTTTGAGAAAACGGGACAGAGAGTTGTCAAGATCCCATTCTTGAGTTTATACCAAGGTTACATCAGCGACGACTAGGAACTCCAAGTCAGATGTGGCTCGAATTCTGAGTTTCGGGAATATTCTCTCTACACACAGATCAATTTGATACCTGATACGACATTATATGGACCCTCTGAGAACTGCTGCTTTTACCATCTAGTTGTTTCCACACTCGAGCGTCAAAACGGCAGTCATTACTAGTCCACTATTATTCGCTCCGTAGAACTGCTGCACGTATAGCACGAGCAGCACCCCATAGCAGGAAGGAACAAAGAAGGAACAACGTGTCACTCAACAATAATCAACCAACCAGGCCTTGAGATCACTAATGGTGGGACAATCGAGGAACAAAGAGCTTCGTAAATTCAGACGAAATTCAGCTGTGAACTTCTCCGCCAGCACGAGTGACAGAAGGGAATCGACGCCAATCGAAGAGAAAGCTGTCTCACCCGACAGCTCGGTCAGCTCAGTTGCCGTTTCCGCCGCGATGAAGGCCATCGCCCGGTGGACAATCGGACTTTCCGTCCTTGCAGCAACGGACTCGAGGGTCGGCAGAGTGAGGGTAGCAACAGGACTACCGTCGGAGCTATCCATAACTGTTCGAGACAAACTATGACCTTGGCGTGATAGTGTCTCACCGAGGAGCGCGGATCCTTGACCTGCTGGGCCCACCTGGAGCGCATGCATTGATTCACTACACGTTAGGTGGTGGGCGCTTCGGCTTGAGCCACAGCGCTCGTCGTTATATCGGGAGGGCTAACAGCCTTTGCCTACCTGGTATGGTGCACTTCTGATCGCACGCCGAGGCACCAGTGCGTCTTTAGGTATGGGATTTGTGCCCTATACACTCCTGTTCATGGGCCCAACCAATCGTTAGCCGCTAGAGAGAGCGGCAGTAGAGGGGGAGGAAAGGTCGAAGAATCGTTCGGCGCAGTGGAACGTCCGGCGCTGCAACCCTGGCGAGACTTTGTGGCCGGTGATCTGAAAGAAGCCATTGTTCAGACAGCACTCGCGCACTCGCTGCACGAGCTGGGCTTTGGCTTGGCTGTCGTTGCCATAGAAGACGGAGAAATCGAGGATTGGAGGTGGCTGTGGATTGGTCATCTTGTAGTAGTATAATGCATGACAAAAGCAGGCCTGTCAACTTATACACAGGTGCTCTCTTCCAGCCGCAAATATCCGGTGGCAGCATATTGACTGGAGACTTGTATGATATTAGGATGAAAATTACAGGGGCATACATGCGGTAAAGCTAGCTTGTAAGTGCATGCATTCTATGGGATAGTCAGCACATATTCCTGTACAGTGCTTGGGTATGGCCCCTTGCCTACTAGCCACGGCAGTATTGGAAGTGCTGACTTTATGCAACATGCAAGGATAGCCTTTGATTTGTATATTACATCCCTAGTGGAATGCTCACAATGCACAGCTCTAAGCAAAAGGCAAAAAGAACCTGCTCATGCAGAAGATGAATATATTATACCTACCTATAAATCCGCACGGAGAATGTACACAGCGGACCTGGATTTGCCGAAAAGGGTAATTTTGAGGTTTCTCCGCTTCCCCGTACCGAGTAACTAGGGATTCAGCCAATCAGCGCCGGTATTTCTGTTTCTGACAGTTCACGGTCTAGACTCAGAAAGATCAGAAAAGATCAAAAAAAAAAGGAGGGGCAAAAAGAGGGAAAAAAACTTCGACCTTGAATCTTCTTCAAAAAGCAAAAACGAGAAAAAAAAGAGTGCCACGCTCTACAGTCACATTTCTTGCCAGCCACCATGGGTAACGTAAGGGCTCTCCCTGTATGTGTATCCTTTTCTCTGGCTTACCACAGGTTGACAGGGAGCCAAAGCTGCCTCTAAGCGTGATCGCAAACCCAAAGACGCCAAAGGTACTGCAACGTCGCAGCTGAAAGCAGTATGTATCTACCGAATACGGCGAATGGATCTCCTTTCTAGCTGACAGAAAAACAGAACGAAGCTGCCAAGGACATCATATGCATCACTTGCAGACAGACCTTCCTCAAGACCACGCGTGCTCCGGCTCTGACTGAGCATGCCTCAAATAAGCACAACAAGACGCTTCAGGATTGTTTTCCTGGCTTTGTAGAAGCCCCTAAGAAATGAGCCCGGGACGTTGCAATTAGTTGATGACTCTAGAACTTATGGGGAAGATGTGCATCCTATGAGTCTGGAGAATTTGCTTTTTCTTTGTTTTTAAAGCGGAAGTGATAGCGATGATGTAGCATGAATAGACTTTTGCATTAAATCAGAAGATATGAAATCAGTAGGCAGAGAGAGCCCATGAGGTACTTAAGCCTCCTGTAGCCGGGAAATTCATTGTTGTACGGTGTGCTCAATGACTGCTGTTAGGGGTCCCTATCAGCTGCTCTATACGGGACAGAATGATGAAGACCGATATAGCATGGATGATCGCATAGATGATCTACCTGAGGGAAGATGTATTGTTGTCTCAGGAGACCTTCAAACAGATCCTTACACATAATATAATGGAATATTTGATTTGGATTCCCAATCTCCAAAACAAAGATGCATGTTATCCAGCGAAAGAGCGTCCACCATGAGCCGAGTCTACTTGGTCCATACCCATATCCACTCCAGGAATCTCTTGCCGTTCTCCACGGTCAAACCAGGGTGAGGGAACTCCAGCCTTCCCTTTCTCCTGTTACTCGAGACTTGGACACAATTCCGAAGATCTTTGGATCTCTCCGGTCCCCATTGAGAGAAATTGAATCCATGTCTCCGGATCTTATAGAAGACAATAAGCAAGACGAAGACCGGAATCTATGAAAAAGTCAGTTAGCCAGGGTGCACTAGTGCTGACCGCGAAGTTCTTGCCAGAGTGTAAGGAAGGACGTACACTGATATAGGAGGCGATGAATGTCCGGACATCGAATGGGTCAGTGAGGAATGCACTGACACCGTTGAATATAAGCAAGATGATACATGCCACCATGCCGAAGCCTGCCTTTAACCACTGCGCATGAGACTTGTACGGGTATCGCGGATGGTTTCGGTCATAGATCCCGGCCTGGGTCTGGGGATTGTTGCCGTACTTCTGGGCTTCGTCCAACCTGAAACGCCAAACGTTACTGCTGTGGCCACATTTGCGGAGATCCGGAACGATACATACGTCTGGTAGAAGCATAGATAGGTCGCGCAGATGGTAGCATAAACAATCAGGAAAGAGACGGTGCAATTGGACGACAACTCGGTCAATCTCTGTTTCAGTACGTTAGCCAATCCAAATATCTCCTCTATTCAATGCGCGCCACTCACCGCACCAGGCGCTCCAGTAGGCCCAAGGTATGCTACCAGCATTACCGCAGCCGAGACTAGGACGGCTCGCATCGGGACCCCTGCACGACATTGCCGGAGCCTCCGCGTGATGAACTCCGGCCCCGTCTGGTCTCGAAGTGCGAGCGTGTGGAGGACTCGAGACGCCACATAGAGATTATCCGACGCACAGGTCGCCGCAGAGAAGAGGAACATTGCGTTGAAAAACTGGCCGAGGGCGGGCAGACCAGCCTCGACGACAGCAATGATGAAGATCGAACGAGCGCCACTAGACTGCCCCTCGCCGTTGATGAATGGGTGGTCCGTGGGGACAAGGAACGACGCGGTCAGGATTGTCAGCGTGTACAGGGTGATGATGCGCAGCGAGATCTTTCGCGACGCCATTTTCATGGCCTCGGAGTCGGCAAGGGCTTTACTCTCGGCCGCAGTGACGGTGACCATGTCCATGCCCGTGTATGAGAAGAAGGCTCGTACGCATGCCGTCCTATGTGATAATTTAGTGAGTCGATCATTCTGGGTATAGATGCTGATTATCGGCTATAGTGCTTACCAGACACCAACAAGTCGTCCGGTCCCACCACTAATTGTTCGGTGGAGGTTCCCATACTCATCCTTCACATGGTAGTCCGAGTTGAAGAACGAGTACGGGGAATCCCAGTCTAGAATCAAGCCTATTAGCCTCATCCTCCCTCCGTGTAAGGTGCGTTCTTACACTTTGTCCCAAGTGGCTGACTGTAGTATGCGTTGGATCGGGCTGTATCATTCCATGCCTGTTAGCGCCGAGGCGGAAATCGTAGCTCAAAGACACTCACGTTTCATGACATTTAAAATGAGCATCATGACGGTCAACATTGAGATGAATGTAATCTTGATGCATCCGATAATGTACTCGAGCTCCCCAAAGTACTAACATACGGTGTCAGGGCAGCACCACAGCGTATGGCATTGCAACTCACCTTAACTGGAATCATATTTACAATGACAACGACCACCAGAAAAACGGAAATCCAGAGTGCTGGACTGGTGTCCATACCAGTTGCCCAGTTGATGAATGTGCGGCCATCGTCGTACTGAAACCGTATTGAGGCTGCTACGGTGACGATTTGATCTGCTGCCATCACGACATAGGAAAACCTTGATACAGTTAGGAAAGAGTCTTTGCACAACCTATGAGGGACGTCACCAGTAGATCCAGCCAACAGCAAGACCGACGCCTCGATCCAGAAACCGCCGCGGAAATTCCATCATCGGGGCGTTGACCGGCATCAGGGCGGTCATCTCGCCCAGGGAGGAGATCACCGACGAAATTACAGTGCCCATGATCACGTAGGCGACTACTGCGCCTCCAGGGCCGGCAGCAGCAAGACATTTTCCGCTGGTCAAGAAGAGTCCTAGAGGGATACAGTTACTCGATTAACTCAAGGTGTAGTGACTGAGCGAGGCATACCATTTCCGATGGTTCTACACGAGTAAGAATGATTCTGTCAACGATGGATATCCTAGAAAATTGTCGAGTAGCCAACCTACCCAGTAAATGCAATCATCTATCCCACGGAAACATGCAAGGTTAGCCGAAGTAAAGAGATAGGGGTATTTGATGTTGCATTTGACGTACATTGATCTGTCTCTCGTTCAAGACTCGCCTACAGACTGTCATAAGTCAAGGACTTTCTCAGGCTGGCCAAGCAATGATCTCTCACCAAAGATTGTGGCCTTTCTGGTCGCGCACCTCTTCCTCTTGTGGTCCATCACCCGCAGTGTCGGTGTAATCGAGATCGAACCCAGGACTCTGTATAGTAGAGCCCTCGTCCTTCATGTCGTGCTCTGTGTGCTGCCAATCGGCCGCCATTTTGAAGGACAAAAGAGCGATCGAGTCGGAGAACTGGTATATGTTTTTGTTCCTTTTTCTGCAGCAGAGGAAAAGGGCGGGATGAGGCAGGATGGAAATACTTCGGCGCTGCATGGGCTGCCCCATGCGCATCCGATCTGCTCAGCCTGCTCAGGATAAAGATAGACCGCGATACCACCCATAAACATCAGGAATACGAGCTCGACAACTCAGCTTGTGATCAACACCAATAATCGTGGGGAAGATAGATTGAACACCGCATGGGATGTCCAATCATGTTAGACGCGGGATCTTCTAATGCAGGACTGGCATATTAGTAGGCCGGGGATAGCCAACCACCGCATCTGTATGGATGATAAGGATCCTGGACGTGCTCCTGTCTGTCCCACCAACCATCTCATCTCGGCCATCACATTCCAGTTCATTGCCCAGCCTGTGATTAAGCCTCATGCGGGGTTCACGAGGCGTCGACCATCGACGATGAAGGAAAATGGAGTGTTTGGCCTGGCCCAAGCGATCCGTGCCATAAGTTGAATAGTTCCCCACAAGAGTCCACCCTGAGGCTTATTTGTGATCTCCCACAAACCAGAAAAAGCACTCCCTCGTGTTTATTGCTCTCCAAAAGGAAATGGCGACGGCTTCGCCCTCGCCGATATTTTCGAGTCTGACCGGAATCTGGAGTCTGTTGGCTCTCCGCAGCGACATCGACGATATCATCCTTGAGCTCCTAGGTCGCTTCAGCCTCGAGAAGATCTACGCAGACGCAGACAAAGAATCCTATGCGGACTTGATCTTAACCTTAATAGTTCAGCTCAGAGTGATATTCTTCATCCAGCGCCTCACGCTCCCCCCGGTCGGCAGCATCCCTGTGGATTGGTCACTCGGCTTCCTGGTGAGCTGGGAGGTGACGGTGCGGACGGTAGAATTCATCCTCCAGATCGTCTTGGAAGCGCGCGAAGTTCTTTGGGACTCCCCACTGCGCGACGAATATCTCTCGCGGCTGGTGCTATCGACCGTCCAGATTCTTTTGCTGCACCCAAAGCCCCCGCCCAACTCTCGGCTCAGAGATCGTCGAGACCGATTTGCGCGAGTCCACAGGGCTCTGGAAAGAGTGTGCGACAATTATCCAGATACCAGTTCATCATTTCTAGCAGTCTGTCGGGCAATCGCAGACGCTCTTCGCGCCGAACCGGATGCTCTGTCGCTTCCCCCTCGGCTGAAACAGGAATTGCCATCCTTGACAGGAGATCTAGTAAGTGACAATTTTCCGTTGCTGCCAGGTTACTTTGGCTGCCGACAGACATGCTGATATAATTGCTGCTGAACAACTAGTATCCTCTGCCTGACTGCCTCTCATCGTCCTCCGTCGCGACCATCGTCCCCCAGCATGGTTCTTCGCAGAGCTGGTTATCGCAACTTCTGGGTCTGTACGACGTGTCGCAATTTGTTCTCGGCGCGAATATTCAGTTTGCAGTTAATACCAGGAAGTTCTGTGATCCGGGGCTGGAACGAGCATCGAAGAGCAGTCGCGATGCCGTGCTGCATGCTCTCAATCGCATCCGCCTGCCGCCCTACGTCTCCGCGGGCCATCTCATCCCGATGATCAGCGAAGATTTTCGAATCATACTGCCTGATACCCCTAGCCTTGTGCAGCACCGGCACGATGGAAACATGGTTGATGCGCTGGAGGCGTTGCGAGAGCGACTGGGTCATCGACTGATGGTTCACCGCGTCAGTGATGGAGCCATGATGCACAGTGTGTCCCAGATAACTAAATATATTGAGCTCTTGGACGACCCCGGCGACCAGTTGAGATCTGCCAGCCCGACGTTGTACGTCGCTAACTGCCAAGAATGCCATTTACTCGGCTCGTCACAGGTCCGAGAAATCGCAAACCTGACTCACCTTGTATGTAACCCTTGTTCTTGCAAGCCGTGACCTAGGCTGAACCGATCTAAAAATCAGGACGATGCCGGCGGCGCGTCAGGAGTTGCCCTCCCCGTTGAGGCCAAGTGTGCGTTCTGTGGCTCGGCAGTCACCATGGTACGTGAAGTATCGCTAGCGAGGTATACTTGGGAGCACCTCAAGCCACTCAGCCCGAACGTCGAGGCCATCAATGCGGAAAGGCATCTCCCCACGCAATTCCTATTGGCGCCATCGCGGTTCGACCAGCTCCGCCGTGACTCCGGGACGGCATCAGGACCGTCATCCCCGCCTCCCTCTGGCTTCTCTGGCTTTCCTCAGGGGCGAACAAACGCACCGCGCGCGGAACCTTGGGTCGATAGTCCACCCCCACTAGGTAACCGAAGGATGAGCGAAACTCCTCCCCCGAGAACTGTCAGGCCGGCGGCCGGGGAACCTCCATTCTCTGCAGATTCCGTGGGAGGTTTTGAACCCCTCAGCAAAACGACCACATTCACTCACACCAGCTCATCATCGAGTGCGGGCATCCGAGCCCTCTCGCCTCCTGCTACGTTAGATAAGTCACGGTCCAAATGGAAGCCGAGATTCACCTCTTCGAAAAAGGAAACAAGGGACCATGCAGACACCAGCTCATTGTCTTCGGCGACTCTAGAGACCCAGAAGCTGGAGGAGATCGACTTGAAAAGCCTCTGCCGGCGAGGAAAGCATTCGGCTGGGGGAAAGTTTGCCCAGAATATTAGAGTGAGTTTATCACAGAACTCGGCATACTCGCTGTTCTGGTCGCAGTCCTCGATCCAGATCTGGGATGTCAGTACCTGTCCCCCTACCTTCAAGGATACCATCTCAACGGATGGATTCTGCATTCTTGCGGCTGCGACAGGAACACACGTGGCCTATATGACAGGAGACCGAGATCGGAAGCAGACGGTGAGTTCCCCTGCACCCCAATGCGATGAACTATTGATTCATGTGTATGCGGCAGCTGTGGATCCAAAGCGTGGACAGGATGTCTGCACGTCCAGTGGAGTATTGTGTAGGGCCCACACCCTGGTGCACAAGTATGACCGTCTCCCCCAGCGGTAGCTTCGTAGCGGTCGGATTCGACAAATCGACCGTGGGATTGTTCGCCCCTTCTGAATGGCAGCAACCGCGGCTCCATCGCGTGCACACCCGTTATCACCAGGACTGTAAGGACTGCCCTCCAATCGCCACCGTCTCCTTCTCCCTTGATGGGCTCGTTCTGGTGTGCAGCACCCGAAGCGAACGAAACGGAATGATCCAAGTGTTCTTGTCCCATTTCCCATTCTCCGACTTTCAGGAGGTTTTACCCTGCCGGTACCGCGTCCCTCTCCATGAGTCAGAAGATAACGGCATATCGTCTGTTCTCTTTCAGCCGGGGATGGGCGGTAAGGAGGACATCATCTGCATCACAACATGGACGCAATCTGGCGTTCCTATTCTCGTCCATCCCAACGGGGGTCATCGCACGGAGATCCGTGTGCAGAGTTCCGCCTCATCCAACCACAAAGGCAAACTGGGCAATCGCATCCAGGCTGCTGCCTTTTCACCATCGGGAAACGAGCTCGTCCTGGCTAACGATAAGGGCCATGTATACCGAGTATCCAACTTGGGCTCTATCCCGATTGAGGTCCGAAGGGTTGCTACGTCCAAGGAGCTTACTACCAAGAGTGAATCCTTTGCATTGACGTATGTGCACCAGACAGACGAAGACTTGATTCTACTGTCCTGGTCAGATTCATCAAAAGGGATTGGCTACGTGAAGAAAATCCCAATCATAACCACAGTACGTGCTTTCAGAAGACTCATCGCTTGATCTGTACTAATCTCTTCTTTGTGCTTAGGGGGAGATTCAGCACTCGCAGAAGTCGAACATTGTCAATATCACTGTTCATCCGAGCCAATCAGAACTTCCCGAATTTGAGCCACCAGAGCACAAGGCTCCTGAGAAACGTCAAGTTCTTGTAAAGCCGCCGGTAGAGCTCGAGGCTTCGGAGATTACCCCTCCGCCGGTCCAACGGCCTTCGAGAATGGGCCTATTTGGATCATTGCACGGCAAGAAATGAAGTGCTTCCGAGATGGTATCCTATTACTGACCATGGAGATTTGGCTGTCCGGTGACGCTCGGATTTGGAGGAAACCGGTACACGAAATGGATGAGTCCTCCTATTCAATCCTCGAATTGACTACTATTGTTCACAGAGAAGGCATTCATCAAATCCTGCTGGACATGGTAAAATGCGATGCATTATATCCTTCAGTCATAATGAGGCGATTTTCGATGCATCCTATCAACTGGACTGCAGGTAACAATCCATGTGCACTTCGTGTAAGGCATGATCTGACTCGATAGGTATCTCGCAGGGGTACTAGGTCAGAAGATGAATACACAGTGAACCTTCACAGAACCTGACAAATTAATGACCTTGACCAATTGACCAGGGGGAAAGGACGAAGTGGAACTATCTGTCCAGATCACAAAACCACCGCCAGTCGCAACGGATCATCGCCTATTTCATGAACTACATTCTACCGAGCTGGATCTATGTGAATGTTTTTGGCATCTAGCCAGCTTAATTCTATTCTATCGTCTTATTTTCTCTTTGCTTTAGAAGGGAAAACAAATATATACATAAATGTTTGATAGTATCATCCTATGAGTTGTTACCCGTTACCGCTCCCCAGATGTAGGCCACCCAGCCTCCAACCGTCAATGACAGAAGTGCCGTGAAGCAGAAGATAGAAATTAATTTGTTGCGAGCATAGCATGTCACTGTGTGCCACTCACGAATCTTGCTAATGTGCTCTGGGCCTAAGGTCAGCCGTTGTTTCCGCGTCCATTGGAGCGGCGCCAGGCTGTCGGTCATGAGGGCCGCGAGCAATATCGCTAGGCCGACAACAACAGAGGCTGCAGCAAGGAAAAGGTAGACTCGGACTACTCGTCGATACGAGTCGTCGTCAGCATCTTGCAGGGCTCCGGTAATGATTCGGATGATGATGTTCATACTAGGGGGCAACGTTAGTCTCTCTTCTGATCTGTGCTCGAAGTGAAATGAACGTACGCATTGTTCATTGTAACTTTGAGGGCATAAGCAGAGCCAAAGACGGATTGATGCCATAGCGTTGTGCGAATGCTGTCAATGATTGAAGTTGGGCCAAACGACACAGCAATGGCATATATTCCAAACGAAGCGGCCGTTCCAGACTTGGTTTCGGCGAAGTTGACCATAACCATACTGAGGAACATTCCGATACCACAGACGCATACTGGCATATGTTAGACAGGCTAAACACATGGTTGACTTGGGGAACATACAAACGCTGGCGCGGTTGCCTAGAACATCGATAAAGACACCCAAACATGGGACCAAAAAGAAACCTGCATATTGTGACAGAGAACTGTACCACCCTGCTGTAATTGAATCCACATTGAAGCGCTTCTCTGCCAGCTCGGTTGCATTCTGGCCAAAGACCGAGGCAGTGGTTGTCTGGAACAACGAGAATGCCATGACAGCCCAGAACATCCAAGGCAGCTGGAACATTTTCTGAAGTTCAAATTTCTTGTTTTTCTCAGTCAGAACTTCCTTAGTAGCCGTATCCTGCCTTCCTCTGTAATGAATATTGCAGTAGCGGTTGAAGAACCAGAATATGACGGTTGCAGCATTGGTGAAGAGGTTCATGAAGACAGAGGTCCAAAAGACCCAAGCAAAGTTTCCAGTTTTCTATCCATGTTAGTGGTGTCTCTTCGAGTCATGACAGGACTGTCTACCTTGGCAATGACGTTAGCAGTTGATTTGCCAACGAATCCCCCAATCTAGAATCTTGGGTTAGCGTAACACATATCGTCAAGAAACGAGTAGGGTCGCACCTTTCCAACCGCCAACTCAAAGCCGAGAGTAGAAGCAAACCCATTGCTTGGGGGAAACCATGAAGAGAACATCTTGTACTGAGCGATCTGTGTTGCAATATCTCCAAGTGCTAGGATAACTCGACCGCCGATCATGAAGTTGAATGAGCGCACGGTAGTAGCTGCAGCAACGAGGATCGATCCGATCGTATAGACGGCATTGCCATAAATGATCATTTCTAGAAATATGTCAGTCGCCAATAAGGAAGCGTGGGATGCAAAGGTGTTGACAGACCTGCACCTCCGATTCGATCCGTGATGACTCCGCTAATCAACAAGAGCACGGTCGCCATGAAATCCTCGCTCGCCTCCAGGAGGGAAAATTGGGTGTTGGAGACATGCATTTGCTTTGGTGCGTCAGTGGTTGCCTACAGAGACGTGACCATTGAGGCCCTACCTTCTTGATGGTGCTCTTCATGGCCCCTGTTACTCCGGAGCTCCAATGAGAGCCAAAGCTGATGCAGGAGATGAGAAATACAGCAAAGATTTTAGCCAGTATTGGAGGTGGACGTTTGCCATCAACAGCAGTATCGTGCTCTGCCTGGGTAGTGGACGACACGGCTGGCTCTTTTGTCTCCATGGTTGGCTCGACCGGCCCCATGACGACGTAGAAGTAACGGAGTAGAACTCCTATTGAATGGAGAGAGAAGGGGGGAGGAGGGAGAGAAAGATAAAACTAGAAGAGGCCGGACGTCATGGACAAAGAGAAACAAGGTTCAAGTTGTTGACTCCAATGACATAGACTGACGAGCAAGTTAAGTATCTCCAGGAAGATGAAAATTCGATCAGATAAGATTCTGACGGACACGCAATGGGTTGTGGGACACTCCCAGACTCCCAGCATTCTCATCGGTGCTAAGTCCAGGTGGGACTGTTCTTGGCCGATCACTTACATTGGTTCTGACGGAGGAAGCCAAGACGAACTACGAGCAGATTTGGCTCATAAACCGTGTGGAACAAGCTGCTCATTGGTCAGATCTCCAAACTGGGTATTGATTGATAAGATTCGGCGACCTTCCGAAGCTCCAAGTGGATCATATTACCTAAACCGGTTTCGCAGGATCAGATTACGGGAGTACATGGTCCGATATCGACCGATTTCCGGTTGTCGGATGGACATTGACCACGTGGTACGTAGACAAATTCGCTAATCGGATCAAAAGGCTTGGACTCTTTCCTTTAGTTCTCCACGGAGTTGTCTGTGACAACTGCAGAAGCTGCAATTCCTGTTGACCAACGAAAGAGAGACCTCTCAGCCATGTCAACCAAGCACAATAGACCTGCGTTATACACTCTATGCGAACGCGTGCTCAGCCGGTCCATTGGCTGTACAGAAGGTTCTCAAAGCCCTTCGCTTTTACTACTCGGCTGCAGCAGTAGCAGTGGGGATTCAAAGTGACTAGCGGTAGTCGAGATCCCGGCCCTCCAGCACTCCGCACGCATGAAATTATCAAAAAAAAGCCAAGGTAATATAAATTCTCTTTAGTGGAAGCTAGATTAATTGAACCGGACGCCGACAGTATAAGGGATGAGATGAGCGATATCCTCCACAGAAGTTGTAGTTTTACAGCATTCTCAGCAACGGCGCACGCGGCCTCAAAACGAGATTCAGCCATTGAAGAATCATTACTATTTAGCTGATCACAGAACAGCATGGACAGCTTATCATAACTGACGGGCTTACATAATGACTGTATAAATGATATATATTTCCAACTTATCAGCTTATGATGAGGTATTGAACCTCACTGTTAGACATAGACTGACAGCCGTCGATCTTCCCGCATCTAAATACAGTGTATCACTATGCTTTTAGTCATGGGACACTCACCGTTCGGAATAAATGCTAATATACTGTGATGCCTATGCTGATTCGTAACCGTTTCAAAGAGAACTGACGATCGTGCAGTATATATATATGGCAGGAAATTCCAGCAATATCAGCCCGTGACATATTAATTACACCACAGCTGGGGATAGTCTGAGAGTTTTGAGAACAAGAAGAAAGGAATTTGACTTCCGTCATCACGTAGGATATCTTGACAGAAATTGCCCTACCAGAAGGATATGGATAGAAAGAAGACCCTTTCGGGGAACCCTCCTCTAAACAGCTGACCATAGAGATGCCTAGGATGCAGTGCGACACTTGTATATCAACGAGCTGGCTCATATGAATGCATCCATGAAATTATGACGCGACTTTAGGCGTCAGCAGGACTTGGAACTTCGAATAATAGGGCTGATGCCATAGACGAAAATAGCACCCCGCTACCTTTCAACTCAGGATGTCTATTTTGCCCTTCACTTTCTGCAGATGAACAAGTCTTGTGTAACTCTATTTCGTGTGCTCGTAAAACTGGAGAAACTCATCCAATTATAACAATTTCCAAAGCACATGTCTTCCAATCAAGAGAAGCTTCGTATTTGTCTCAGAAGCTGTGCCACGACCAGTTGGCTGAGGCCAACTCAGTCAAAGCCGAACGTGACTCTCAAGGTGTCTGGTGCAACTGGTTTTACTCTTTTGATAGATTATTGTGCATAAATAGAGCCTCGATACTCTCCTAGTCCCCACGAACCCCAATACTCGACTATCAGTCCATCATTGACTCAATCAAACAGGGATCACAACCTCATACAATGCATACACCAGCCCCTCTCACCATCTGCACTGTGCTTACTGCCCTTGCCAGTTGTATCACGACCTCATGGGCTCAAGATGCGCCTGCCATAAAAGACTCCACTATCCTGCGCTCGACTGTTAGCTGCCCCGACTGTCCAGAGAGAAACTGCTACAAATGCACACTTGGCCACGAAAAAACCCTCCGCGCAAGCACAGGTGGCCTGGCCTGGGTGCGCTTCCTGGTCGGCTTCAAGCTGCCTGCCCCAGTTACCGATGCAGCCAAGTGCACTGTGCAGTTCCCTGCCTTCGTTCGGCCTAATCCGTTCGCCGTGAATGTAACAGTCGCTCGAGCATTATCCTCCGACTGGAATGAAGATACAGTGGATGGCGAGAATGCTCCTGACTCCGGTGATATCTTTACTAGTATGTTGCTTGAGCCGTATCAAAACATGCAGGCAATGGACATCACTGCGGCATGTAAGGGTGCGCAGGCCAACGGGAAATTTTCGATCTACGTGGGCACTCAGTCCGACAGTGTTGAGATCTGGTCCAAGGATTCTGGTGCTCCCGCAATTCTCCATGTCAGCGGGCCTGTGTGCAAGGCATCCTAGGGATCATCTTGCTGCTGGAATGGATGATGAGACTGGAGCGACAGCTGCCACGCGGTCTGCTGAACGAAAATGATGATAGCTATTTGCTGATTGTGGCTTCTAAAGTGCAATGCTCTTAATGTTTAATTCCTACTCTACAGGGCTACAACCCTCTAGGTTACGATCATTCTATTAAGGATAGTTATATGTATCTATTTCTAGTCCTCCTGGGAATCTGCACGGGGACCAGACAGGTCCAAAAGCAGCAGAGTTGGCATATACATGATTGGCCTTGATGTTCATTTCATAAAACGATAAGGAACCTTTCATAACGACCTTGGAAAAGAAAGTCCAGGAGCTAAATAATCGACTGTAAAAGATAAGGGGATGTACTAATATCCACGGATCTATGGGATAATCATAGACGTCACGGAAAGCTTAAGCAGTGAGGGTTGCACTATTGCCACACTCTATCGACATCTCCACGCCATAGTGACTGTAACAGATGGATGTGCTAGACTCACTTTTGGCCAACCAAAAGAATAAAAATAGACTGCGTATGTGGCTATAAGAACGCATCCCATGTGACTGTTTTGTCTATGTCACCGGGTACTAACTTGACTTTCTGCTATAATCCTTTCTACTAAATTGGACTTGGAATTTACTATTTCAGGGATTGATTCTTCCTATGGTTATGACCATACCTTTGAACTATGTCTCAGAGGCTCCGGATGGTACTCGGATTCTGAAACAGCCATACTGGAGGCTCATCTAATTGGGTAGCTTTCCTCTCAGTTTCTGAGATGATCTTCATGTCCCATACTGCTGTTATATGAAATTTGATTATTAGAAATGTTTCGCCGCCGGGTGACACAGCTTATTTATCATGTGCGCGGATCTGGAAGCCTTCAGTCATAATCCTAGTCTGACTGTTACACATAGGGCTCCACAGTCTCCAAGCAGCAAATACGGCAGCTGAGCCTCCTAGAGCACCACTCCCACAAACTTCTCGAGCAGGTAAGACGCTTTTGCTTCACGCAGTGATCTGATGCTTAGTGTGCTATTATGAGTATTCAATCCCAGTACCACACGGATATGTGGTCACAAATCCGGGGGATGCGGAGGCTGTCGTGTCATCGATTGGTAAGCCCTTGTTGAACTATTGAACAATGCTGATGATCTTCGCCAGGTGCACCGTCAGTTCTCAAATCGCAAATTCTGGCTGGAGGACGCGGCAAGGGAAAGATGAGCAGTGACGGCAAGGGAGGCATTCGCATTGTAGCAACGTGAGTGCGGTGGAACCAACTCATTTGATCCTGGGAGCTGACATGAGGACAAACAGACCAGAACAGGCGTTTCAGCAGGCGTCCAGAATGCTTGGCCATTACCTGACTACACAGCAGACGCCACCAAATGGCCTGCTGGTCAGAAAACTGTATATCTATAAAGCAGTCGACGTCGAACAGGAGTTCTATCTTTCGTTGACGTTCGATCGCGAACGATACAGTCCGGTTATCCTCATCTCTGATCAGGGTGGTGTGAACATCGAGTCCAACCAGGACAAGCTGCACAAGTTCTGGTTTAACCTTTCCGAGGGCATCACTGCCGAAACCATGGCCAGGATCCAGAAGCAGTTGTGCTTCTCAGAAAAGGAAATGCCGACAATCGAATCGATCATCAGACAGATGATCAAGCTTTTTGAGGAGAGGGATGCCATCCTTCTGGAATTGAACCCGCTTGTGCGGACTCCTGAGGGAAGCTTTGTCTGTCTTGATGCCAAGTTTGATTTTGATAACGCCGCCCAGTTCCGTCAACCAGAGATCTTCAGTAAAGAAGAACGCATGCCGGGCTTTGAAGACGAATACGAGGCTCAAAAACATGGTCTAGTGTATATCCGCCTCAACGGCCACATTGGAAATATCGTCAACGGCGCCGGACTGGCAATGGCAACGAACGATCTGATCAATCTACACGGCGGAAAATGTGCCAACTTCCTTGACATAGGAGGCAAAGCCACCACTGAGACACTGCTCAAGGCTTTTGAGATATTGAGCCGGGATCAACGAGTCCGGGGGATTTTCGTCAACATCTTCGGAGGTATGTGTCCTCCGCCATAACGGGAAGCACAGCTAATGGACCAAGGTATTGTTCGTTGTGACATGATTGCCGAATCCATTATCCAAGCAGCACACGCACTAGGAGGGTTCAGGGTTCCTGTAGTAGTCCGACTGCAAGGCACTAACTGTGATGCGGCGATGAAAATGGTAAGCCAACATAGCTTTTCCCAAGGAGCAATGAAGCTCACCTATGGATTGTAGCTCTCAACATCGGAGTTAGACATCAGCACGGATACAGACCTTGAGAAGGCAGCTGAGAGAATAATTGGGCTCACATGGAGTTAAGAACCGGTGGTAGGATTGCGAGCAGTCTGTCTGTGGTGCTTGAAAAGGGATCCTACCTATCGAAACGAACAAATATTATGTATTATATTGACAGATAGCAGTATGTACTGGCAAATTCAGGTCTGCATTGATAATATCGAAGATCTGTGACATGTGGATCTTTTGATCGACTGCACTAGCGAGGGTCAGACAATGATGATCATCCTGTTTCAGACTACTTACTCGGTCTGAGATTAATCCATGTTATCGTTAATCGGAAGGCATTCCAAATACAATATACGATTCTGAAGATATCATACTCTCCTCAGTAGATCCAGTCTTTCACTGCTGAGTCTGTTCGTCTCAGAATATACAGTGAGCATTAAAGGTCACGTGTTGTGGCCGGTCTACCTCCAGACTAGGGACCAGCAAATCGTTCCAATCCGCGATTCCCACCCTCCTTTGTACACTGACTCTAGAGCGCACAATCCACATTGTCATTTTGGCTCGTCTCTTTGACGCTGCTGCCCCGGTCGTTTCGCGTTGTCTCCGACTGTGGGCTTTGGCACCTTCGGCCGAAGGATCCAAGGTGGGGTCAAGGGCCACACTCGCTGGGTCTGCGACAAAACCCACCAATAATGCCGTACTCCGTACAAAGTGCATTGTTCTACCGCCTCAAGGGTATGTCCATTATTGAACTAACCCAGTATGCCTAAGTATGGCTGACATTCCGATCCAAGATCATTCGTATCTCTCCTTACTTTGTTGGCTTCGCAGTTCAGTTGTGCCGGTTTTCTTGCTGAATCGGAGGCAGTGGGGATGCTGTGGTCTGCCCCACAATGGCCTTTTCCCGATACCGGCTAGTGCGACAACTGTCAGCCAATTAAATCTTGCCATCGAAATGACAAAGTACCATGATGACGTTGGGGCCTTGGTTCCTTAGGCCTCAGGGTGTCTCTTCCATGTTTCCAAGTTGTTTCCAATTTCCCATTCCCACAGCAAGCCCCCAGTGGTCCTGTCCTCTGATCAACAATCGATCGTCTCTCAGCAACTTTTTGAGTTTCCTTTTCCAGTGGCGTTCTCTTGAGGTCTGGCCCCAAAAAAGAATTCATCATACCTGTACAGCCTCCCTTGAATTCTTGAGCCATGTGCTAGTGAGAGAGATGAAGAACAAACCATGAGATGTTAGAGGTCTCGGAATTTAGCACATCAGGCTGCAACCCCTCCCCCGAGGTCGCTATGGCACAAGAGCGTGAATTTTACAAGTGCGTGCCACGTATTCGCTTACTCAAGAGAGTCAGGTCATCTAACGCAGTGCCAGATATTGCCAGCTGCCTCAGCGTCCGGGTCTCCTTCATCGGCCACCACCATCACCTCGGAGCGAAATCGATGCGGAACTGCTACCACAATCATCACAAGACACCACTCTGACGGCGCTTGCGCAGCTCGGAGCTTTGCGATTGAATGCCCGACGATGCATGATCTCCCTCTTCGACCGTCATACGCAATATATCCTCGCTGAATCGACTCGCACGTTAAGTCTCCAAGATGACAGGGTCCATGTGGATGGAGATGGCTTGTGGCTGGGCAGCAGTGTCATTCCCAAACCAGATGGGATCTGTCACTATTGCTGCGAGGAGGACCAGCTCAACGCCGGACCAGAGGGTCCGAATGGAGGATATACCGCATTGGTCATTCCGGATATGACCAAGGACGACCGGTGCAGCAAGCGACAGTATGTGGTGAACGCCCCACACCTGAGATTCTATGCTGGAGTCCCTATTATGAGCCGTCGGGGCATTGCCATCGGCGCATTCGCAGTGAGTGACGGTCAGCCTCGTGCAGGGTTAGACCCGCTGGAGATTCGGTTTATGACGGACACCGCGGCCGCCATCATGAATCATCTGGAAATGATGCGCTCTCATGAACAGAACCGCCGCGGGGCCAATATGATCGCAGGGTTGGGAAGCTTTGTCGAGGGAGCGACGTTCCCGTCGAGCAGTCTCCGAAGACCCGTACACACTCACGACGACGATGAGGAACAGGAGTCAGAGAACCCGCAGAACATTGTCCCACAGATGCGACGGCATCACCCAACACGGGCGGACGGTCGCTCCCCTCTCAAGGGACGAAGCCATCATGGGGAGGCTGCTGCAGCTCCATCAGGTACCGCCATCTATCCTGCTGACGGCGTTGAACAGAAGCATCTCTAAACATTCTTGACAGGACCTCATGAAGGACAGGAGTCTGAGAAACGAGCTCAAATTTCCTCCACGCCCAATCACCACCGTCAACCGGAGATCACCCTGGCGTCTGGCACCAGAGAGATCATTTCACGCGCGGCTCGTGTTCTGCGCGACTCTTTGGAGGTGGAGGGTGTTGTTTTCTTCGACGCCAGTGTCAACTCTTACGCGACTTTGGTCCAGAACTCGGACGGTCGCCAGTCGGACATGGAGAGCAGTAGCAGCACAGGTGACGCCAATTCCAGCAGTGACAGTGACAATCCGACTACCGGACACTCGTCCACCGAGACGGACGACTCGGCCGTGTGTGAAGTGTTGGGATACTCCACGGCGCAAGATGATTCCGAGAAATTGACCGGGCCAATGCGAGAATCGTTTCTTCGATCCCTCCTCCGCCATTATCCCCGAGGTGCTATCTTCAATATTGATGAGAACGGTGGGGTGTCGTCCAGTGAGGGAAGCGACAGTGCCTCCGCAAGCTACGTCTCTCGAGAGATCGTTTATCGTCGTGACGAGGGCTCCAAGGTTCAGCGACACTGGAAACAGAGAAAGCGGGAGCGACTGAGTCTCAGGGAAGAAAACAAGACCCTGATCAAAGTGTTCCCTGCGGCCCGCAGTGTGACCATGTTCCCTCTCTGGGACTCAAGGCGCAATCGCTGGTTTTCAGGGCTCTTCGTGTGGACGGCTGCGCCGCGCGTCTTCAGTCTGACAGGCGAGTTGGCTTATCTCTACGCCTTTTCCAACAGCATCATGGCGGAGATCCATCGGCTGGATATCGAGTTGGCAAACAAGGCGCACGCCACTCTTGTTGGAAGCATTTCTCATGAATTGCGCAGTCCCCTGCATGGCATTCTCGGCAGTACAGAATTACTGACCGATTCCACGATGACACCCGCTCAGGTTGCTCTGGTCAATACCATCGAGCAGTGCGGTCGGTCGCTGCTGGACATCATCAACAATATGCTGGACTTTGCGAAGATCAACCAGTTCACTCGCAAATCCCGATCGTCTCGGTTCAAATCTATGCACGCCCTTCGTCGGCGGCCGGGGTTGCCTGCACGCATCGCTTCCAAAGATCAGCGCGGCTTGGGGGTGGTCAATCTAATCTCAGATGTTCAGCTAGATGCAGTGCTGGAAGAAGTTATAGACAGCGTCTTTGCTGGTCACTGCTTTTCCGCCAAGGGGGGGCTCGTTGCCCGACCAGCTCCACAGTTTCCTGCTCGGGATGGCGACGGAGATTTAATTATGAAAGGTGCCACCGAGCGACCGATTTCTGCTTTTAATGAAGCACTCACCATCATCTACGATGTTGAGCCCGGTGTGCAATGGCTGTTTGAAACACAGGCGGGTGCATGGCGTCGGATCCTCATGAACCTTTTCGGTAACGCCCTCAAGTACACACAGTCGGGTTACATTTCTGTGACGTTGAGGTGCAGCTCGACACCGTCCAACCCTAAGATGAAACGATTGGCTCGTGGAGATGGGATACGAGAGGGGATGGGGAGTGTAACTTTGACCGTCAAAGACACCGGACAGGGCATCGACAAGCAATATTTACAGAGCAATGTGTTCAAGCCTTTCTCGCAGGAAGATCCTCTCTCTCCAGGCAGTGGTTTGGGCCTAAGCATTGTCCATCAGACTGTGGTATCTCTTGGTGGGAAAGTCGACATAACCTCCACTAAGGGTATCGGGACTGAGGTGACGGTCACGATGGATCTACCGCGCACTCCTCAGGCAGAGGTGGCGGATAACGAACGCGACGCCAGCATTATCCGCAAAGCAAAAGACCGAGTACGTGGCAAGTCGATTGGACTGATCGGCTTTGGGTCGTCCTCTAAACAAGAGGATGAGGCGCTGGTTCTCTTGCGCTCGTCCCTCCTTCGAATGTACAAGGAGCATTTCGGGATGGAAGTCGGCATCGTCTCGTCAAACGTGTCAGATCAGCAGGTGTACGACCTATATTTGGTCCGACAAGCGAACCTGGACGAAGTGGATCAGATTTGTCGGCAGGTCTTAATGGCTGAGAGTGACTCGCGCAGCCCGCCGATGATCGTCATTTGCTCGACCCCCCAGATGGTGCAAAAGCTATCAACCACCGCGAGTCAGCGACCGTCGACGTCGATCTACGAGTTTATCAGTCAGCCATGCGGACCGTCCAAGATGGCCAATTCACTTCTGGCTTGCCTCAAGCGCCAAAGGGAACGGCCGGCTAGTATGACGGCTGGCGGGCTTGACACTGCGTTTCTCACCGCGGCTCAAGCGAGCAAACCTAGGCGGCACAGTGAGAATGTGTCGCGGGTCGACTTCTCCATGACGCCGGCAAAGGCCATAGTTTCAGTGACTACCACTAACGTTGATGATTCTGCTATGGAAGTATCAACGATAGAGGCAACCAAAAGAGTTCCCTCCGTCCTTTTGGTGGACGACAATGACGTGAATCTGAAGCTGTTGGTCGCTTTTATGAAGAAGGCCAAGTTTCCTTACCATACGGCTTCCAATGGGCTCGAGGCTCTGGAAGTATACAAAACGAATGTCGGGTACATCCCAGTTGTTCTCATGGGTGAGTGATCTTATTACTACTAATGCTGTCTAACTAACAAAATTAGACATCTCCATGCCGGTCATGGACGGTCTCGAGGCGACGCGGGAAATCCGCCTGTTCGAGAAGATGCATCGCGAAGGAAGCACCAATGCTGGTCATTCGTGCTTCAAACCCACGACGGTCATCGCGCTGTCGGGATTGGGTAGCGCCCCGGTGCGGCAGGAGGCCTTTAATTCCGGCATTGACCTCTTCCTGTCGAAGCCGATCCGCTTTCAGGAGTTAGTCAAACAGATCGACGAGCTCATGCATTGATTTAGGGTTCATGTCGGCACGGAATTTATCTCAGACTACTTAAGCAAGGTCACCATTACGCATTAGGATGACGGAGTTGGGCGTTTGTCTTATATAGGCAGGGACAAGACACTAGTAAAGGTATCTAACAGGCAGATAGTTCCTGTCTTCTGGCATTTAGCATCATCCTTGGGGTCTAGGTAAAAAACTAGGACCAGAGTTTACAATCATTTGCGCGCTCCTAGTGAAGTCTACTAGCACTTCTCCCTAATTTGTCGAGAGGGAAACTATACAGTATGAAAATTAGTAATATAATAGTCTATTTCAAACAGTCTTCATGAAAGTATCCTTTGCATATGCTATCACCAGTCAGATGTAGAACCCTCTGGCTTCTGCCAGGTTGTGTATCTGTAAACCCCAACCCTATCCACCGACTCGATGGCTATCCTTTTGCTCTCTTTCCCCGAGTACTCGGCGAACATCTTCTCAACAGAATCGGTATCGCTCCGCAAACCAGGTTCCTCGAACCGGTCCGCAACCAAGCCAGCAATGGAAAGCCGGGCCTGCACATCCGGGACTCCATTTCGGGCACTCCACGCCGCGAGCCCCGTGAGAAGCAAGCCGCACACGACATACAGCAAACAGACCACAACCATAGTGACAAGCGGGGCCGCAGGAATGCGTGCCACGAGTAAGGTCTCTCGTTCCTGGGCGGCCAGCGCCGGCTGTGCGCCTAGTGCATCCGCCCCAAGGGCAATGGTCGCTTTGCTAAGGGCCAGGGCAACCTTTTCCGCGAACTCCTGCGCCGTATCGCTGAAGATCGCCGTGCCAACAGCCTGCTGGAAGAAGGGGAACCAATCTTGCGTCTGCGAGATGCTCGTCTGCCAGATGTTGCTGACGGAGGTGTTGCTAACCGTGGGCTGGAAACGGGTGACGGTATTGTTGAGGCGGTCGTACTCGATATCGTAGATGGTGGTGTTGCAGCCCAAAACATATGTCGGGACGCCATGGAGGCTTTGCACAAACTCGGTGGAGTTCGGCGTCTTCCCTCCGGATAGGTTCACCATAGACGCTAGGGCGAAGTAATACGGATTCCCGGTGCCATAGTTGGATACCACCTTGCCTCTGAGATTTTTGCTCATGGTTTCATCCTCGAAGAACGCGGCCTGCAGAGTGGGCGACTTGATAAACCCCGCAAACTCAGCGGAGCAGTTGAATTTGACCGATGAGGCTACATTTTGCAAGCCGCATTTCGTCGAGATCAGCTCGCACTGCGTGCGCGCACCGTAGGTCTTGGCTGTGAAGTCCCGGGTGAGTAGGGATGCGCTTTCGGGGACCCCGAGGTATGTGTAGGACGTTTTGTGCTCGTCGGCGTATGTGTATACCGTAGCCTGGTCGGAGACGTTGTTCATCACCTGGAGGGAGGTCGTTGCATCTGCAAGAAAGGAGCCTGTGACGGCTAACGAGACGCTACAGACGGGGCCCATCGGGTCGACACGCTGTGCTGCCACAGAGTTGTTACCTTTGAGACACTGGGGCAAGAGGCCAAAGCTGTAATCTGTATGATTGGTGATTGGAGACACTCGAGTGAAGGGCACGGTGGTCGTTGCAAAATGCAGCCAGGTGTCCGCGGCCGTGACAAGTAATCTGCCGGAATTCATCAGAAGGTCTCGAGTAGAATGAGTAACGATGGACATACCCTAGGAGGGTTGCAAGTACAGCAACCGTCGAAGCTGCTCTGAGAGGCGGCGTCTGCCGTTCACCTCCCTTATTCCATGGAAGAAAATAACAGAACCAATCCCACATTGCACCAAGCAAACTTCCATCAATGAACTTCAAAGTCAAACACAGTTGATACGGTGTGGGCAAGCGATCTGCACGACCCCGCTGGATATCACGGGATAATCGACGCGCGATTGGAAACGAAGCTAAGACGAGCACAAAACTAGACAACATGGGAGCCACGGAGCTGGCCCAGGACGTACTGAAGAGGATGACACTCGAGCTCAGATTAACGTAGAACACATTCTTCTCATCCTCTGCGGAGGGTAAGCGGAGATTTGGAAACGGGGAGTCTCCATGGTGGAGTCGGTAATGGAACACCAGCGCCAGGAAGACAGCAGTCAGCGCGGAAATGGGGACGGTGACCAGGAACCAGCTCCATGCGATTCCAGCTCGGTGAGAGGTAATTCCTTGGGAGTCCGTGGACTTTGGTTTGTGCCGCAGCAAAGTCGAGTCACTTTCAGTCGTTAGATTTGGACCTGTTTGCGCCATGGCCAGGGATGATTTGATAGCTGACCCTCCATAGTTGGGATTGTCCGCGAGAGCTCGAGAGTTGGCTGGATAATATATGATATTCAGAGGGAATCGCTGAATTTGTCAGGCGACAAAAACGGGGCCAAAACGCCGAGCTCACATCAGCTTTAAAACTGAGCGTCTAGGCTTAGCTCTGTATCCTATCATATCATGTCCAGGCAGGGCTGGATAAGCACTAAGGTAGCTTACATTCGATGAAGGATACAGCAACAAATCGCCAGATAGAATCATTCGCCAGAATATAGCAGCGGGGCGGGGCTAGCGGCAGCATTGATGAAACGGACCATTTTCAGCAGGCCGTGCAGATCGCAGCCCGTGTTTTTATCCCTGTTGTTTATCTGCAGTCATCTTGGCACGGCAAATTGAAACACTATATTAAACGCCTGTAATAAAAATATTTAAGAAAATGGAGACCTTGATTCAAGTTTTGAATGCTTGAATCCATTGCCTGGCCTGTGCTTGTGTATTTGTCACCAAAGTGCCTGCGTCGACGACAGATTCAATCTGTCCAACTCCAGCGCCACTATAAAGCTTGTCAGAGCTGTACAGAATTTGAAACGACGAGGGAAGGTCTTACGCCCAAACGATAGCCGGAGACGCTCTGAGCTCCAGATTCTTGTGCTTGGCCAACTCAGCATCCCATTTCCGGTGGACGTCAGACACAATCGCGCGCCCGGAATATTGGATAGGCCAAAATTCAGCCTTGCCTTGAATCTCATCATGTACGCGGGATCTAGCAGCAATCAATCATCTTGCCTATGTACTTCAAGGATCGGAGCGATCGTACTTCAACGTTGAGGAAGCGCCATCATGGGTGGCAATCAAAGTGGCCTTGATCTGGTCCGACACAGGGCATTCCGTTGTGCATAAAAACTACGACAGTCAGTATTGATTAAATCCAGCGTGCCACCAAGCTTACTCTTGTCCCCATCACAATTCCACTTGCGCCTGGACAGACGTGGTGCTGTTAGCTCAGATCTGCCACGATGCAGTCTAATTGTCTCGACTCACCTAACATCAAGGCAGCTGCGACTCCCCTACCATCCATGATTCCTCCAGCTGCCAGAAGTGGGATGCTCTTCTCTGGATATTCTCTTCTTACCATATCCGCTACATCCGGAAGCAAGGTCATCAAACCAGCTCCCTGCTTGAATTGATGGCCACCGGCATCGGATCCTTGAACAGATAGAATATCGGCCCCATCGTCGATGGCTTCTCTAGCACTCTCTACAGTGCCAACCTGAACAATCACTTTGAGTCCCCAGTTTCTGCCTGTGCTCTGCAATGCCTGAATAAGCTCCGTGTGCTGCGACCGGTGGGTGTAGGCAAACAGCCAGGCCGCCACGGGTCGATGTTCATTAACAAGCTGGACAAAGTTATCCTTCCACGTGTCGGACTTCATTGTGAGACAGCCGATTCCAATGGGTAGGGGTGCATTCGAGTCGACAACATCAAGGAGCTCCCTGGCGTAGACCAATTGTTGCCGGAGATTTGCCAGCTCCGGGGATGACGCAGTGAAGTCGGCTCCGCCGCCAATAAGACCTGAGCCATAGATTAGTCGTCTTCTCTTTATTGTCTGCTTAGCACGTACCTAACCCCCCAGCCTTGGCTACTGCTACTGCCATTCTGGCATTTGTCGCACCCGCCATCGGTGCATTGCATATCAGCGGTCGGGATGTCGCGGGAAAGAATTGCTGAAGCGTTTCGGCTCCGGTGGCCATGATGGTTGATCCGATGGGAGTCTCACAATCAAGAGAAATAGAATGTGATAATTGACATCTCCATGGTAAAATAAATATATATGTTCAATTATGCTGCGTATTAGGTTACCATGGTATCTACTGATACCAGACTAGGTTTGGGCGCTGACGCCACTCGGCCGCTAGGGCTGACAGTGACGCTGACACTGCCAGATGCGTGGATTACAACGGGATGACAGGTCAACAAATCCCGATTCTTTGTGATTTGTAAACAAGCAGCTCGAATGCGGATCCGCTTACCTGCCCGAGTTTGACTGTCCCATTGTTTCCGCACCTGACTCTGACGCTCTACTAACTACTCAGTAGAGATTGTAGTACGACATCGAACACATGGTGCGAGGGCCGTTGACTCGGAGCATGGGACTAATAGTTAGGTATTTTGTGGAGTATTGATAGCACGTATATTTTTTACAATAAAACTGAGATATATGATGTTGAGAGCATCCATATAATGCGTTCATGTAATCTCGGGATCTAAAGCCTCCTCAATCTTTTAGTACGAATGACAGTGTCAATGACGATGTGGTATAAAATAATCATTGAAATATATTCATCAAGCTAGGTCCTGCGTTGTCCTCTGCCAGAATAGCAGTAATTATATACAGGTAAGTTTCCATTTCAGCTCCACATTTCTCTTCTTCTATGTTGCATCAGGCTCTGAAGCATCAAATCCGAGTCAGAACAATGGCATCCTGGCAGTATTCACATAATCGACATTTTCAGCCACAGACTCGATTCGCTCATGACAGGTTCCAAAGATCCGATCCCAAAGACGAGTCTGCTTGCCGTAGTTGTGACTCTTCCGCCACCCCTTCCGATGATGCAAGTCATGATCTTCAATGACAATCTCGGCATCGAGCCACTGCAGCAGCCAGCTGAGGGGCGACGGGACAGTCAGATGCAGGCGCAGGCCGCTGTGTCCGAACACCTCTGCAAAAACAACGTACTCATGGCAGATCCACCACTCGAAGAAGCCCATCGGCAGACCCAGCAGCCGCAGAGTGAAGTAGGTCATCATCGGCACCCCGACCATGTCGCCGAACTCCTGCTCGTGATCCGCGTATGCAGTGAGCAAAGGGTTGGGGTGCTTGGTCAGGTGGTGAGTGCGGTGATACTTCCAGAGGAAGCTGACGTCGTGCATGAGGCGATGGTACCAGTAAAACCAGAAGTCGAGCACGATGCCGTACAGTCCGACCTCAACGGGTAACCAGTGCCAGTTCATCTGTGAGGGAAGTTGACTGGTTTGGTAGGAGAAGTACACCGACAGCGCCAAGCGAGAACCGGTCGTTTTGTACACCGAAGCCACAACCTTGCCGACCCCGACGTCGGGAACGCCGTCTCGTTCATGTTTGTCGCCATCTAGGAAGCCGTATTTGTGACCGAGTCGCCGGAGTATGTGTACCTGGTAGATGACGATCGCATTGAAGGCGAACATATACAGATTAAAGGTGGCTAAAGGACCCAGGTTGCGTCCGGTGTACCATGCCCAGGCCTGATGAAACACCAGTGGTAGGGACGAGTAGAAGATAACCCAGAGGTTGAGCGACCACTGCGGCATGAATGGGATCGGTTCATTCTTGGAGTGCACCGGTACCTCTTTGTCGAGTTCTGAAGGGTAGGCGTTGAGTATATGAATGAGCCAGTGCCCCAGGCTCCAGGTATCCCTGCTGGCAGTACGCCAGGTGGACTTCATCGAGTCTTTCGGGTTGCCTTTGGTCTCCATGGCTGCAATGGTTTCGAGGGCTTTGTGAATCCGTAGGGACCCTGAGTGATGGCCGGTCTTTAAATAGGCTCGTCGGCTTTGATTGCAAGTCGTCGGCAATCTTGGATACTAAGACATGTGAAGAGACTAACACATCCCACAACGTCAGTATTTGTGGATCTTGGTTCCCAACAAAATCTCTTCCTCATATGAATGGAAGATCAAGCCCCTCGATCTGGAGACTAATCCGTAGCGAGTTACTCTGGACGATCACCATGTGAGGCTTGATGAAAGCATGTCACTCTCCACAACGAACCACCCCGCTTGAGGTATGAACATACCTCGGAGGTCAAGATTATGAACAGGTCGATTCCGATGAGTTCCCCTCGAGAATGATATCTTTGCGTACAACAGAGGCAAATAACCAGGCATCAACCTGGAACTGCTTGGGATAACCTGCGAGGCAGAAGGACCCCGAATTCCATAACCAGATTGCTGAAATTGAAAGAGGGGAGTACTCGAACTAACCCATCTCGCATCGACTGAATGACCCAGAACACCAGCAATTTGGGGAAGCCTGACCAGGGTCCACCAATTTAGCGTTCGCAACCATTTCCAAATCGGGAAATATTTCGACCATCCCGCAATGATGCTATGATTGAGGTTGGTCTATGCTTGGCAATCACAGGATGCAGAAGATCTCATTCAAGTATGGTCACTGTGTTTTAATGTACTCTGTAGAACGCAAGTGAGTGTAAGTGACTCCAAGTGACTACCAGATCAATAATCCCAATAGCACATTGCGACAGAGCCATGACCACTCCAGGAGCTGCTTTCACAAAAGCCCAACGCTCTGCCAGGTTACGTCTGAACACTATACATCACAGAATTATGCTCATTTAGAGGTTTAGGAGTCCTAAAAGGATGGCCGTATTGCTCGTGGGATCAAGCGTCAGGTTCAGAGTCACAATTGTGTATCAGCCTTACATATGACGGGTAGAACCTCTCCTTGAGGCTTGTAGCCAGTCAGGTCAAACTTGAACTGGAAAACTTCCTGTGACTATGCGTCGATGACAGGGTGTATCCCGGTACATGTGAATCAATGTTCGTAACTCTTGTGATGTCACTCAACAAACACGTTGGGAGATTCGCCAGGCTATGGAATCTCGGGGGAAGAAAGGCTATCTTGTGACTGTACTGAGAGCCGTAGTCAACCAAGCAGCAAACGCAGTGAAGAAATGCGTTTCACGATTCGTCGCTTTAGTGCAGTACTCCAGCAGTGCGAGATATCGTTCCCTAGCTGTGCTTCCCGTTGCGTAGACAAGCTTTGCACAATCGACTGGGCAGAGGTAGGGCGGCTGCCTCGTGTCTTCTGACAGAGACGCACTTCCTTGCATGATGCATGCGTAATATACACAATGATCAATACCAAAACAATGACCTAGTTCATGGCTTGCAGTGCGACACATTCGAGAAAGCCAGAGTGATGATAATAATCGTGGTGATGAATTGATATTTGGGAGAGAAGACAATGCAGATAACGCGGCTCTTAATGGCGCAGTAGCCAAGGATGACGATTCGCTGGCGGTCTTCCGCATTTTGGTACTCGCCACGTAGTCGGAGCTAAATTTTTGGACGTAGTCGTCACAATGTGATGCTGGCCACGAATGCTCTCGCTCTACTGACTGAACTTCGTCCAGGATCGGACAATACCTGGCGCTGGAGACCACTGCGACGCGACTTCCACCGTATGCACGTCCGCAGACGAACGTATCATCAGCGTCCTCGTAGAGATCGTGGTTCACCAGAAGACACAAAGCATACGCATCCTTGGGAAGTATGCTTATCGCAACATCTAGGAGATCATCGAGGTTCAATTGACGAGGGTAAACTTGGTCGGGGCATGCACGCGTCCGAATGCCAATACACTCGTCTGAAACGGCTAAACCAATGAAGCGGGGTGAGGTCTTGGATTTTTGACCATCCCAAGGAACAAATCGAAAGTCCGATACTCGAAGAAGCTTAACGGGCACTCCATGGTAAAATGCCGCCAGGTAACCGACGATATCTTCTGAATTAGGCGCTACTAGCTGATGCTGGGACTTGCCCACTCTAGCAGAGGCCCATGCCTGCGCGAAATAGGCATCTTCGTCATATTCAGGTGGCGCAACAACATAGACTGTCTTCCTGTCCGAAGTGACATTGTTGCGATCCTCCTCGACCAACCACTCCCGAAAAGATTGCGGTGGGTACCCGGGGTCCAGTGCCAGGTCATCACCCGGCAAAACCAACGGAGCTGGAAATATGGTTGGATCAGTAGTATGGCCATATGGGCCTGGGGATCCTGGTGGTCTCGTGGCCAAAGTCCTTTGCTTCAGACTTGGTTGTTTATAACCTACTTTAGTAGCATGAGGAGAGGAGTTGTAACAAATAGAAGAATGGGAGCATCTTTGCTCCGAAGACATTTTTGAATGTCTTCTCAAATATCCCAGGAGGTCTAAGAGGGGAAAGAGGCACAAGACGAAGGCTACTAGCCGCAACAATCACGCGGATATATATAAGCGAAGGGGTTGATCAGGGTCTTACAAGACGGAGCAGAGACCGTGCATTTATAATGAGGGATGAAGAAGATAAGACGCACACTCCATAGTCTCCTGAGAGAACAATATGATATGTTTCTGGTAGATAAATTGATGTGGCATGTCGCTGCACAATACAAGCGATTTGTGTTTGTTTGTTGACGCGAGGCTGACAGAGGCTGAAATGCGGCGGTGCTAAGTGATAACAGTGAATGCTCAGCCACACGATAAGAACCCACTCATTCGTCCACCTGCCGCTTTCATCGTCAGGCTTCTCTATCTACACCAAACTCAAGCATGCCAAGATGAGGTGAGATTTATCATTTCATCATCAAAATGGACCAACAAAGGCAAGAAACCCCTCAGCAACAGTCTCGCAGGCTACAGGAGCGGCTTGACGAGCAGTTCGAGATTTGCGACCGGGTCCTTAGGCAAGAATTCGGCAGGGTGCACGAGGCAATGAGTCTCGGACAAGGGCATCAAGAGGGAGCTCCGCTATGTTATGAGAAACTAGAGCAGCATGAATGGTGATCTGAGAGACTGGAATCAAAAGTGGACAAAATTTCGCAGAAGCTTAACAAGATTGACACCTTAGAAACATCATTCGCGATCTTTGAGGCAACCATTCGGCTCGTCGACCGCGGAGAGCTTTATGACTCCTCCGATTTCGATAGAGGTTCCGACACTTCCTCCCATTTCCACTCTATCGACGAGGAGCTTGACCGGGCTATTGAGTCTAACAAGTTTGCCACCATGTGTTAGCTGGGCCATCATTTTGGCGTGGATACAGGTGCTCTCCATGATCGGATCACGCAGCTCGAGTTTCAACAGAAGAAAGGCACGGTCGCCAAACGCCCAGCGGAAGACGCGGGGAGTGTTCGCAAGATGATACGCGACTTGGTCACGCGGGCGCTGCAGCCTGGTTCGTTCACGAGAGAACCGCTGCTTGATGATGACTCTGAAGGAAAACATACCAAACTGGAATGGGAGGTTGACTCGGAGAAGTTCAAACGGGAGACGGCTCATCTTCGCCTTCATGAAACCGAGGTCTCGCCCTGTGCAGCCAGCGCCAAAGAAGATACCCAGGGTTTTGGTTGTTTTTGAGAGACGTTTTGGTATTTAGGCTTGGTAGAATGTTGGCTCATGGAGGCGACTCCCCCGGCATAGTAGCCCCTAGGGAGGCCGCTGTATGGGTATGAATACTACTCCTGCTCCTTCTCCTATTACCCACACATCAGGTTGTCATGTTCACTATCCTTTGGGGCAATATCTATGAATCATCGTCGCGGCGTACAGGCCCTTTTCCACTACCGACGTAATACATGACTATGGAATAGCGATATCGGAACCAAGCCCAGAATCTGGGGAATGCGGAGAAGCAGCGCGCAAATACCGTTGATTGGCTGCAGCACCGGCCGGGCCATATTTCTAAAAGGTCCAGTGTAGGTATACACGCAACGGGTAAGGAATAGTTTGTGTCCGTACATTGGTACGTCTATCGCTAAGTCTGTTGTACTGCTTCTATTTATGGGCCAGCGGCGTCTATGGATATCAGGTAGTTCTCAAGTTTAAATCCCGAGCCACTCTGCCGCGAAAGTCAACTACCAGGAATCTCCACCCTGTACCTGTTCTACGAATCGGCAATACTCGAGAATTGTAGAATGTGACAATCGTACGCTGTTATTCAGCGCTCGGAGAGGAACCCAAGATTATCGCACAAAGGTGCTTGATTGGCTGCATTTGGTTGTCTCCTTCTGACTTATTGCTGAGTCCGCTTTGTTAGGTGGATTCATTTACCCCTCACGCCTGTGATTATATCACGACAGAGGCTAATAGAGAAAATAATATATTACCCTCGGCAGGTCCTGGGTTGGTTTCATTGTCAGCTTCATTGTCATTGTGAAATTACACCTCTATCATTCTACTACATCATCGCACCATGACCATCGTCGACTGGCAACAAAAAGCTCAGCTTAAGCAGTCTGAAGCTGCTAGCAAGATCCCTCAAGAATGGAGACTCTCTTCAGATATCCTGAATGCCATTTCAAGCGAGTCCAATGTCCTTGACATTCCCACAAAGTGCGGTATTCTTTCTGCTCGCGAGCTCGACATCACCGCAAACCACGACGCCACTGATCTCCTGCAGAAATTGGCGTCAAAAGAGCTCAGTGCTGTGGATGTCACAACAGCCTTTTGCAAACGTGCTGCTATTGCCCAGCAGCTTACGTTCTGCCTGACCGAAACGTTCTTCGACCAAGCACTCGACCGAGCTCGGCAACTGGATGACCATCTGGCGTCTACGGGAAAGACCATTGGTCCCCTCCATGGCCTTCCCATCAGTCTGAAAGAGAGCTTCAATGTTGCCGGCGTGCCAACCTCTCTTGGGTTTGTATCCTACCTGGACCGTCCGGCCCCAACCACAAACTCGGCCTTGGTCGATATCCTCCTAACCGCCGGTGCTGTTCTTTACGTCAAAACCAATGTTCCGCAGACCATGATGACGGCAGACTCGCATAACAATGTATTTGGCCGCGTCCTCAACCCACACCGCCGGAGTCTCACCGCAGGGGGAAGCACAGGGGGCGAGGGTGCTCTGATAGCCCTCCGTGGCTCGGTGCTAGGCATCGGCACCGACATTGCAGGATCCATCCGCATCCCGGCGCTGTGCTGCGGAACAACCGGATTTAAGCCATCCGTTGGCCGGGTGCCATGCGGGGGCCAAACATCCGCCGGCCGAGTCGGTATGGCAGGAATTACGGCCGTAACAGGGCCGTTGTGCCATTCCCTCAGGGACGCCGAGCTCCTCCTCCGGACTGTGTTCGACTCGCAGCCCGAGGATCTCGACGACGGCGTCGTGGGCTTCCCCTGGTGTGATGCGCCCGCAAAGGATGTGCTCACAATCGGCGTCATGGCAGAGGACCCCAAGTACCCGATTCATCCACCCATGCAGCGGACTCTGGCTCTCGCGGTAAAGAAGCTCGCCGCAGCCGGTCATCGTATTGTCGACTTGACCGGGAAATTGCCCAGTATCTCTGATGCCTGTGAATTGTCTTTCCGATACTTCAACATGGATCCCGACCGGACAGCTTTGAAGAAGATCTCCGACAGCGGCGAGCCCCCCGTCCCCTCCCTGCGCGTCACATATAATGTCGACGAGCCCGGACCCGAGCCGACGCTGCGAGAACTATATGATATGAACGTGAGGCGGGGAGAAGTGATGGCAGAGGCGCGGAAGGCGTTCCTCGAGAATCAGCTGGATGTTATCATCGGTCCGGGTTACCAGGGCTGTGCTCCTCCTCACGACGAATACGGGACGCCAGCATATACCGTTTTCTGTAACTTGCTCGATGTAAGGTCTGATAGATCCGAAGGGGAAACATCGCTGACTTGTCAGTATCCATCTTGCGTTCTTCCCTTTGGCAAGGCCGATGAGGCTGCCGACGCCGAGTTTCTGAGGGATGTCCAGTACTCCCCAGCGTGTAAGTACTCTGTCTTCTCGCAGAGAACTGTAACTAACGGGGAACTCCAGACAAGCCCAAAGAAGTCGAAGGTGCACCATGCCACGTGCAGATCATCGGTAGAAAGCTGAAGGATGAGGCATTGATGCAGCACGCCAAGGTGATTGAAAGTATATTATTGAAGTAGAGGTCACGGCAGAGTCACTGTTTGTTTCAAACGATAGTCAAATCTCCGTGACTGAATCTTATACATGTACGGAGTAGGCGATCGGCTTTGGAAAGACAGCATCCCATAAACGGGTGAGGAGGGAGCGTATCAGCAGTGCATAACAAGCACACATAGCAATTGACTGCTCAGCGATAGTACCACAATAATATGGTCCGCGAGGATCTAGAATCAATGATGTAGAAGGATCCTCTATATATCTGACACAACTCCACGGAATACTTCCGGAGACTCGTCATCATGCTACTTTTAAGGTCAAGGCTGTCGAGTCCAGAGAGATATGTGATGCATTGGCTGCTAGGCTGCATTTAACCTGCGGAGTTATCATTAATTTGCAACTTGATGGACATCATTCCTTTAGATATCCTACACCGACAGAAACCCATATTCTTCAAATCTGGCCTGATACTGTTGACCCACTCTCTTGAAACGAGCGACGCGGCAGGTCTCCGTATGACATCTCCATGTTGTTTCGAGAATAGGAGGCTAATCATCCAAGAAGATATAAAGCTCTCTAAAAACTCTCATCCAAAGATATCAACAACATTCTAGCCACCGCAACCATGTTTTCCAAGTCTCTGATAACCGTGCTTCTCGGCGCCACACTTGCGCTGGCTACCCTCGACCCAGCAACCTCCAACACCAAGGGCAAATGCCCTGGTACTTACAACTGCTCTCGTTGGTACTACTCTTGCCGTCTAGTAAATCAGACTAACTGACTGTCCACAGCCGCAAAGACCTCCAAGGCCATCCAAGCCGCGGAATGCTCTCACAACACGCGGACATCCAGTACGTAGCTACTCTCTCCCAATTCCCACAGTTGCGCGCACGCATCCTCTAATGCTGAAGCAGAAACACAAACCTTTGCCGTGTTCGTGACCGATCACCAGTATGACTCCGCCCATGGAGCACCCTACGGTACCTGCAAGGCGTACACCTGCACCGCGCCCACTGACTCACAAATGACGGATGTCGACGAGGATTGCTGGACGTTCTTTTGGAAGTGAGTCACGACTACAGACAATCACCAAACACAGTACAGCGCACATACTAATCCATGTAGCAACAACGGAGAGTCATCTGGCGTCGGCACCGGTTGCATTAAGAGCCCTGATGACGGTACCTGCGGCTGCGAGAACTCGGACGGCACTTTTGTTTATGGTGGGACCAATTGCTCTTAGAGGTTGGGATGGGCCCAACGCCAGCAATCTCCGATTGTCATAGTTGATATAGACTATTTTGGTTGTACAGCTGGCGGCTAAGAAGTAGATGTGTTTTTAAATACTGTTTTTCCGAGAAATCAAAGCTCGTCAGATGAATTTAGGCTGCCAACGCTCGATCACAGAAGTAGAGTAGTGGCCACACCATAGGAATGGCCAGTTGATGACTAGAGGACAATACAAATGCTGGGGAAATGATCTAGTCAAGTATATCTACAAGGAATGCCAGAAATAGGTTCTTTATCTGCACATTGTCATAGAGAGTGTGAATGAATAAAGCTTATGTTATTAGGCAGTGGACAGTAGCTCCATATCATGGAGGAAGCCCGCAGAAGTATCGCTGGACTTTTATATCATCACTTAGGCTTCGGGTGCGTCATCTTGCTGCTTCTTGCATCAGATAGTCTAGTCATCATCACTCTGCATCACTATGGAATTAGAAAGGGGTTTCAAGAACAAATGGCCTTTAGACTCGGCTTTTTGGTACGTTAGGCGGTCCAGCTCGGCTGGCTCTCTTCTACCGTATCTCGTTGGAACCTAGGGACGATCTATGACCTGTTGATGTGCTCATGAAGTTCTGTCTAGTATTAATAACCAATATTCCATCTATAATAGTTATGCACATTTACTTTAATAACACAGTAGACATGCGGTTTATCCTAAGGCACTGACTTTGCTCTATTCTAAGCTGGCTAAATCCCTTCAATCAAACATACTGTTGTTAGGTGCATATGTCATTTCCAAGCATTGAAATACATTAGAGTTGTTCAACTGTAACCTACCAAAAAAGAAAAAGACCACTACACCGCCTGAAAACACCTTACATAGGTTGTGTGGGTTGTGGACTGACTGGGTTGTGGCCCGTGGGTCAAGTTACCTTATTATGCTGGATTGCGTATCATGGCCGCAAGCATGTCTGAGAGTATATGAAGGTATATAGACACCTCTTGTTTGATTTTAAGGAGAAAAGAATTAGTTTATTAATCCGCGTGATCAATTCCATCTCCCTACAAAGATCCCATCGCCCATTAGTCGAGCCCTAATATTTTATCAAAATGCCGAAGTTATATGTAAGGTTTGTGACACAATATACTTTGCTCTGTGACTATTCTGATGAGAACTCTACTAGCGGATTGCCATCGACCGTAACCGATACTAGGCTGCATGACTTCTTTCAGAATTATGGACAAGTAGCAGATGCAGTAAATACATCAACCGTTCTTCTGACATACTGTACAAAATCTAAATTACTATAGGTTGTTATGAAAGAAAGCGATAGCGGCCGCTGTAAAGGCTTTGGTTTTGTTAGCTTTGCCTCAGATAATGACGCAGCTTTTGCTATGAATGCCAATGAGGCGGAGTAAGAGGTAACTTGGTGGTATAGCTGGACCCTTTACTAATAGCATCTAGGATTGAGGGTAGCAAACTCCATGTTTCCAAAGTTTCTGTCGTCCCAAGACCTCTCGAACCGGGAGGAGAAGAAGAGGAGAAATAATAAGCCAGAAGCAGCAAATGTCATCATCCAGATAGCATTGGACAAGAGGCTCATTTTAATGACTTTGCTGGTCAGTGGTATGTCATAACCTAGTGCATAAACCTGCCAACTGTAGTATAGGTAGACCTCTGAACAACTATCCTTCCTCCTACTATTTCTAATACCAAAGTACAAAAGTTCCTGCATATGTTGGCTTTATTATGGTCTTGAAGAGCAAAAAGAGTATGTCATAAGGTCTTGTCCAGGAAGGAGAACAGGCCTTATATTCACCTTGCCTAGAATTCCCTGAAAACCAGTGATCCCGTTTGTCTCCAAGGATCTTTTTAAACTGGGCATTGTTCATTAATTCAATAGCAAATGCATATACTTATGTAGAAGCAGTCCTCTCTCAGATCTCAGACCATACCAGGGTCAATTACGACAAGATAGTTCTCTTCACATTTACACCCGACAGTATAACCTCCCAGTTACTCCCACCTCCCGGAAACGCCGCTGTCAGGGTCATACTCTCCCCCTTGAAGATAGTCACGTAATTGTCAGACCAAAATACTGGTGTGATCTCCTCCTGCGTCTCCTTGTTGATGGCTGACAGGTGCATGAAAACCGCAGGGGTGGCCGAAGGATTGTTCAAGACGACCTGTACCTGGGACAGGCCGTCCCTGGCAGGCAACCGCTTCAGCGATGCAGTCACAGCGACAGTTGGCATCGATATCAGTGCCTTGTAGTCGACGTACTTCCTGACGGGAGTATAGTACCAGTCCGAATTATCCCAGTCCAGGACGTCGTTTTGAGCGGACAACCAGTATACATTGCGGCTGAGGATGGCTCCTGTACTGGGATTTTTGAGCACCAGACGGAGAAATGCGACGTCCTTGATCTGTTCAACTGCTTTGACTGGGATAACCTTCTTAGAAGAATTTGGTGTGGCGTTAACTGTGACCTTACTGCTGAAGATCGATTTGCCATGCAGGTCAACAAGGTCAACAGAGACAATGCGAGGCCCTTGCTTCTCAAGAGAGCGATTGATCAGGTAGACTGCACGCTCCTCATAGTCATACGCCATATGTTCAATCCTTCCACCGACCTTTGTTCCGAAATATGCCCCTGCAGGACTCAGATAATAGTCAAACAGCTGCCAGTGCAGATTCGGCCATGCGCTGTTCAACATCCAATATATGACTCCCGTGGCCGGACGAGAGGCATTCTGGCGCACAGAAAACGCTTCGAACTCTGCACGCGTGGCCTCATAGTCCATCATCTGCACCTTCACGAGATAATCCTCCAGGCTGACAGGAGCGCCGTACCGCGCAAAGAGAGCTTTGTTATACAGAGCGCGATTATAGAAAGACGAGTCATACCGCGACATATGATACTGGTTCTGATCGGGGTTCTTCCACAAGGAATCCAGCTCCTCTGGCGTGAGGAACTTTCTCAGACTGGGAAACTCGGGCGTTCCAACACCAGCACCCTCTTCAGACCCGAAGCCAAATGCAGCACCCAGCTGATCACCATAGAAATAATTCGGTGGTACCCAGTCATACGGGCCATCCATCTTCATCCCAGATGGTCCGAGAGCTTTCGGGTATCCCCGTTTGCTGGCTGATGCAATGATTGGCACTGGCCAATCTAGGCGATGCAAAGCATCGAGATAGATCTTGGTTGCACGGTCGTTCGGCCAGAAATCCGATCCGATGAGAAACGCTAGCATGGACGGATGGGTCTGCATCATCGCTGCTTCATGGAGCATGGACGCATTGGCAATGGGGTAGTCCTTCTCGGTCCATTTTTCTCCACTGGCTTCATTATTGTACTGTGCTCGTCAGTATCCTGTGTCGTTTATGCAAGACAAATGACTTACATCCCATCCCTCCCATTTGTCGCAACATTCCCATCCGGCTATGACCATCAGTCCCATTTCATCTGCCAGATCGTATAACTCTGGATGCTCCTGCTTGCCCTCCAGTCGGACGGTGTTCAGTCCCATGTCGAGCATATACTGGAAGATACTCCGCACACGATTGACATCGAATCGAAGGAACAAATCAGGCGTGTACCCTCCACCGAGGACCAGGAACGGCGATCCGTTCACTGTAAACGCTGTGTCGTTATGAGAGTTGACATGAGAGTCTACCTGACGAATGCCAAACCGCCTTTGAAGCGCAACATCCGAAATCTTTCCCTTGCCGACTGTGGCATTGACATTGACCCTATACAAGTGCTGGGGCCCCCATTGCGCCGGCCACCACACCTTTGGCTTTTCGATTTTGACATTTATAGGTATGGTCTTTGTTTCATAGGGTCGGATAGAGAATCGCTCGGAAAGTGCAAAGCTCTCGGTGTCGGACCGGATGGTCCCCTGCACAGTACCGTCGACAGTCTCATTCTCATGGTTCGTCACATCCACGATGACATTCACCGTAACGGGCTTCCCACCAGGCTTTCTGAAGTTGGTCACCACACGCGGCGACGAGATCGACACGGGTCCCGTCTTTGTGATCATGACATCCCGCCATAGACCGGTGCCATTATCCGCCGGATAGGGATTCCAATCCACGAACCCCTGCGCAAAATCGCGGAGATAGTTTGTCGGATAGGCCTGGATGAGCAGCGCGTTTGAATCAACACGCAGGTATTTCGTAATGTCGTACGTGTGACCGCCGTACGATCCCTGCTGAACGGAGCTCGGTGCAACCAGCACCCCGTTGATGTATATATCGGCCTTGGAAGTGATGCCATGCGTGTGAAGCAAATAATGCTCTCCCTTGCGTATCTTGTTCTTGATCGACAGTTCATGTCTGTATAGCCAAGGCGCCTCGAACATGGCAGTGTTCCCGATTTTGGTTTCCATGTTGTTGGAGTAGAACAAGGTCGTATCGTTGAAGACGCCGTTCTCAAGTAAACCAGCCATGACGGTCGCCCGCGCACCGATCTGATACCAGGAAGAGTCATCATTCCCTGGGAGCGACCACGCAGACACGTTGGACACAGCAAGGGAAGACTGCAGTCGCCATTGACTGAGCTTGGTGGTATCCCCTGCCGTCTCGCCTATCCCGTAGACGACAGTCACGCCAAATACCGCCACATATAAACCATACAACAAGATGATCCAATCCATTTTGAACTTGATTGAATAATCGTACAATCAAAGCTTTCAACAGAAGAAAAGGAGACATAATATACCATAGGATGTAGAGCATCCAGTCTGCAGGCTTGCCGGCGGAGATGTCAAAGATCTCCGGTTTCACCGTTGATTCTGCAGATCACACATCCTTGCGTTGAAGATCTCATTGTGGCTTGTGATAGGCTGTGGTTCATGTAACCATGGTAGTTTAAATGGTAGTCAGTTGAATGACCGAATCCTGATCAGGTCAAGCGAATGCCATTGTTACATCAGGGACTTGGGGGCCAAACATCTACAGTTGAGCGAGGCGCGTCCTCCCGAGCATAGATCTTGTTTTCCTGTCAGATGGCCCGTTGATTTTTATGAGATAGTGAATTTATTATGTTGTATACAAAATCACAAGGGAAAAAATATAGAGCTGCTGTAGAATCATTTAATAATTAGTTAGCAATTAGTAAATATTTATAATCCCCCTTCTGGGTTTAGTGGACATTTGTTTACTCTACAATATAGCTGCTTCGGTACCTTTTATATTGCCTCACTGCCATAGACTGCTATATACTATCTATTCCTCTCATTCTAGGAGCTGTTGTCCCCTACCCTGTGTCTGAGTCTCCAAATATGCCATTACTGCCCTATAACCAAAGAAAAAGGGAGCCCGTGGGGGATCCCCCGCTAAAAGAATGATGAATCAGAGTCTAGCCTAAAGGAGATCCCGCATTTATATCTATGACTCCTCTTCTGCTGTATTTATGACTCCTCTTTCTGCTGTACTTATAACTCCTCTTCCTGCTCGGAACACAGCTTAAAGCTCTCAATCACTCACCCAAGAATTGATTAACATATACTGCAGTCACACAATGGCTTCATCTTCTCCAACGCTCAAAGAAAATATCAAAAAGGCCTACGACAACGTAGCTGTCAAGTACGGAGAATGGACAAAATCAAGCTATCCTACTCGCGTCAAATATCTGCAGAAGCTGCTCGCATACCTCCCGCCCTCACCAGTCGAGAAGTCGGTTCTTGAGTTAGGCTGCGGCTCTGGGCAGCCTTGCACAGCCATCCTTGCTTCAGACCCTGGCATGAAAGTTACGGCGAACGATATCTCTTCTGTGCAGCTGGCGCTTGCCAGAGAGCATCTCCCTTCTACGAATGTGTCTCTTATTGAGGGAGATATGATGGAGCTGTCATTTGAAGACAACAGTTTTGACGCCGTGATTGGCATGTATTCGATCCTCCACCTGCCGAAAGAGGAACAAGTGACTCTATTGGAAAGGATATATAAGTGGCTGAAGCCTGGGGCATTGTTTCTGGGGAGCTTTGCCGCAGGGCTTGAGGGTGAGGACTTGGTTGATAAGAATTGGCTGGATGGCAAGGATGGCGAGATGTTCTGGAGTGGCTGGGGAGAAGCGAAGACTTGTGAGATTGTGTCTTCCATTGGGTTTGAGCTGCTTCTCAGAGAGGTTGTCGCGGAGATTGAGGAAGAGAAAGGAGAAGGAAGGGAAATTCCCTTTTTATGGGTTCTGGCGAAGAAGGCGGATAATTGATCGGGCGATGATAGTTCATCTCACCTTCTACAGTCTTCTGGATCGATGATTGTCCAGTGGTTTGGCAAATATTCAATAGGAAACTTCAACAGCACCATTAAGCTTGGCGATTGCTCAAGAGAACATGGTATAACTCCATTCAAGCAACCTTTTATGGGCAATACAGGAGCATAATTCCAAACCAGCGGCCTTGATGTGAAAATATTATATACATCCTCCGATCTGGAGTTGTGAGCTCAGGTTGAGAAATTTGTCGAGCTAAATGATAGGGAGAAACTCAAGATTCAATGAACATCGCTCTTTCGTCGTTTCGTGCCGGCTTTCGGGCTGCTTTTACCAACTGTCCTTTTTGCTCGGTCCGGTGTCAAGAACGGTTTGGGGCCGTTGTGGTTTGGTATTTCCGACATTCCAGGGAGACTAGGGGCGCTTTGTTGGCCTCTTGGGGTATTTGAGATATCGTCCGATCCGTGAATGCTGACCGAGCGCCTCTTGGAGGGCGGTTGTTGTTCATCTGGCGTCTCTGTTTCACTAACTACTTCAGAAAGGATCTTGCGTCCTGGCGAATTCGAAGCTCTCCTGGTGGCCTTCTTGCGCGGTGACTGGGGAATGGTTTGGACTTTTAAAGTGTCGTCCAATTCGCTCGTGATCCTGCAATAGGCAAGAAAGCAAGGTATGGCGTAGTACACAATGGATTCGCGAGGAGCGTTGCTCGAGAGCCAGAGCTGGAGCATTAACACCAAAAGCAAATGCAAATGAGTCGTCGGGGCCCACAAGAAAGCGGTTAGGTGTTTCGTTCTCACGCAGCCGTCAATGAGAATGAAAGTACTATTCCCAAAGAGCAGCCACATCAAGGATATGACTTGACGGAGAAACCCCCAGCCAATCTTCATGCGACATTCGTACTCAAAATAATCAAAGTCTGTCACGTCCGTCCATGCTTTCAAGCGTAGCCGGAGACATGCTTGACATGAGCTGGAACCAATGTCCCTGGCGGAGCGACATTCAATGCTAGGGCACCTGGGATGGCTAAATGCTTTCCCTCCCAGAAGACGAAGTCTATCCCTCCAAAAAGGCAAAAGTTGGAGGTCCTCGTCATACGGATTGCCCTCCAGCCAGCTGGACCAGCAGTTGAGGATTTCTAAGGCCTCCTCCACTCTTCCAGTAAAGTATTCTTTGTGGGGCGTACCGCAAAAGCAGTCGAATGAATACTTCACATTGGCGAGTTCAGCGAGCGCCAGCGACTCCAAACGACCGTACCAAGGAACTGGCTGTCCTCGGGGCAGCATATCAATCACTGCGAAGGTGGGATGGTCGCATGTACTTTGGTGCTTTCTTCCACGCTCCAATGGAGTTTCAGATTTCCCCAGTTTGAAATATCCCGCCTCATCTCTCGGATCTGCGAATAGATAGGCATACCCTTCCCCTTGTCCTTCTGCCTTCAGGATAACCTCCTTGATTTTGGTTTCCAGCATCCAAATCGGCATTGGGCCCACAGAGGCCGAAGGGATACTTTCGAGAGATCGTCCGGTGCCACAGCTTTCCGGAGGAGTGCCGCCATTTGGACCGTCGACTGGCAATTCGGGAAGCCTATGAGGCGTGTCGTCCGCTGTAGCATTGAGATCTTATTAGTGCACTCTCAGATGATGACTTGGCTCAAAAGAAGGATTCCCACCCTGGTCGCTAATATTTATGTCGGATTCTCTGGTATTCTCGACTTCATCCAGCTGTTCCACGTTGGCGTCTCCTCGAGAAGGAGTTACATATCGACTATGACGTCGGAGCTTCTGTGGTTGCAATCTGTCCGCCCTCCGAGGGGAGGGCGATGGACTATTGTCGGATAGCTGGCGCACAGATCCACGAAGTGCCTCTGTATCCGAGGCATCCGACCCATCAGAATCGGATATAAGTATGGGGTTCTCGATAGAATTACCCGATTCTGGCGGTGTGACCAGAACGGGATACAAAGCAGTCGAGGGTGGGGTCACTGGTGTTTCGTCGGACATGATGGATGGTGATTTGTCGTTTATTTGAAAATGAAAGAAATCAAGCTTTGCGAACCAGCGCTCGACAGAGGCGAGGAATATATGCGTCCAGCTGTGCCACACAATCCCATCTCCATATCTTTCAAAAGTACCACACAACCCCTGATGGGGCTATGAACCGTCCATACAGCAGGGCAGCCTCGATGCATAGCACCGCCCAGGTGTGGCTTTCACATCGGTCTAAACCAGCCGGGACGCCATTTCAGGCCATCATGTGGCTATCAGCCTTGGAGGCAGTTCTAGTACGAAAACCCTTGTTGCAAGCTGCAGTAGGTCAAATATATATAGGGTCATGCGCCACACCAGAGTCCGCGGACCTGAGAGTTCATGGTTAGCGTGTTGGCGCTACTGCATCTACACTGCCCCGTGTGTTTCGAATTGACAGGGGTTAGTTCTTTTTTTGTCACTAATGCTTGCTGGTTTAGAGGCTGGGGCGCAGGTTGAGGTATTCCTTGTTTAGTTGGAATCCACGCTATTCCAGGCAGCAGTAGAGAGGTAGGATGGTTCCTGAAAGCAGTGCGACAAGGAAGGAAAGGCACTCACCTAGGATAAATTAGGCTCTAATATTGTCTTACAGCCGGGTCGAGACCTTTCCATGGCGAAATTGAAGGATATCAAGGGATGAACTCCTTCTGACGTCATATCTATGGGAATTACAGTCCTTTTAGAAGGTTATACAATTGTTATGTGCTCTGTTGAGATGTATGGCGATGTCGGGCAGCTAAGTCATCGAAAACACGGGGATCATCCCCTTGTATTCTGCATTGAGCAACCAAGACCAGGATGTCATATTGCATTCACATTCGGATTTAAGTGTATTGGGTTAATGGTTAATGTGGTTGAGCGGCGGAGAGAGGGAGAGTGTTGGGATGGAGGGAGATTGATGAGAGGTGTTACAAGTGAAAAAGTTGTAACTACAAAATGTCGCTTATCTAAGTGCCCGTCAGCATTTAGCTACAAGTATACCTACTACTCAGCCTCGTCAGCATGCGCATTAAGAGGGCGGCTATGTACAAACTTGCAACTCGCAGATTACCATTTTTACTTCCTGACAATATGTGTCGTTGACTTTCTTGTCCCATATTATCCTCATTTTGGAACCACGACAGGGCTTGTTTAAGGTAAAAATTCATGGCCGAGACTCTTGGGGCTGCAGCGTCGATTGTAGGGATCGCATCGCTTGCGGGGCAAATCTGCAGCGGGGTCCAACAACTCTACACCTTTGTAGACTCTGTCAAACAAGCTCCATCTGATCTTCAGAACATCAAAAATGACATCCTCCTCATTGAGAGGGTCGTACGCCGCATGGCCGAAGACTGTACCGACTTTCCTGAGCATCGTGACATTGATCTTCTCAAATCCTCCATTGAGCTGTGCCTATCTCGCGTTAACCGGCTTTTGACAATCATCCAATCATTTAATACTTCGAGTCAGAAGAATCGAACCATTAAATTGATTAAGGCAACAGTGAAGAAGACAAGAGTAGCCGAGTTTGCGAAGGAGTTGGACAGTGCGAAAATGACTTTGATGCTAGTGTATCAACATCATATCCAGTGAGTTGGAGCTGACGCAGATGTACACCTTTTAACCTTACTGATGCCGCTTCGAATAGGAAATTAGGCCCTCCAGGCATTAGCCAATTGGCCTTCCGTTCTACTGGCAATGCGGAACGGATGGACCAAGAAAAGTTCAGCACACGGATGGTAAAGTTCAGTCAATCGTACAGCAACACGTCTGAAGTGATATACACACTTTGGCTTGGCAGCCTGTCCGTCAAATCTCAAACCGTCACATTAAGACCGGGAAATCGAAAATCAGATACAGCGCAAACCGAGTATCGATCAGAGAAAAAGACATTTACTCTAAGATCAACAGGATGGTGGTCTTCTCGCATCATCGAGCTGCAAGCTATCCGACAAGCAAGCCAGTGGACTTTCTACCTACGACCATGGCAAGTAGTCAGTCCTGATTCTATGCTGTTTGATTTTTGTCGGGAGGGCGATTTGCGCAACGTCCAACGACTCTTTAGTAAAGGCCTGGCATCACCTTTTGATGTGACCCCTGAGGGTGACACGGCATTGCATGTTTGTATTTCGCAGTCACGGCTAGCACCGGTCCGATGCTAACTATTCTGACAGTTTGCAGCCTCGTCAGGAAACCCAGACTTGGTTGCATTTCTTCTGTACAATGGAGCAGATGCGAATGTGGAAAATACATCAGGACGGTAAGCAGTCCATAGCCGTTGCCCCATCGATGACCAACGAGGTAGTAGGAACTCTCTTCATCTCGCAATGGTTAGTCCGCGAGAAGAAGAACATCTGGAACTGGCCCGATTGTTAGTGGAAAAAGGCCAAGTCGATCCAATGGGGTCAGCCCGCGAATCTGGCGTCATACATTCATATGCTGGTCCGGTGGAGGCCTTCAAGTACCTCATCCACCAAGATGAGTTTTTCGTCGATCTGGAAGAGCGAAACCGTGGTGGAAGGACGATTCTGCAGCATCAGATCTTTCATCGGCTTTTTTATGGAGACTCGTTCGAGCGGATCCAGGTCCTCTTCGCTGCTGGTCACCACCTTCCTGGCGGTCACATTGATGGAGACCCCACCTATGACGGCTATTCCGCACTCCACTGCGCCGCTCACGTCTGGGCTAATGCGAAATTGAGAGAAGATGAGCACACGGCTCAGCAAAGCGAGTTGGTTCTCCGGAGTCTCTTGAGTAGAGGAGAGGATATACATAGGATAGGCGGCCGAGGTTACACCGCTTTAACGACTATCGGCGAGATGATTCACTTTTGTAACAAGAGTCCGGAGCTCAATCAGGGGGTTATAGCTGCATGGCTCAATCTGCTTTCGGAGGCGGGACACGATGTCAAGGCCTATTGCTTGACGGAAGGTACACTCGAGAGGAAGAGACAGGAGTCTCCAAGAGCGGCTTTTCCTAATTTTCTTGTCATCTTCCAAGAGACGGACGGAGTGGAGGGACTTGATGGCCTGCAGATATCTATATCCTCACTGGAACAAGTAATCGAAGTGGAGGAAGACGATGAAGAACCCCCGAAAATCGAGAGCACACGAGCATCGTCATCCCAAGTGGCTCACGTTTTTTGGGAAAGGCGTACGGGCGTCATGTATCCAAACCTTTCAGTCTCGTTTGGTCTGACAAGGAACACAGCTGTGATCGTGATGTTCATGTTATTCGTCTACTCGTTCTTCACCTCAAATAAGTTACAGCTTTGATCGAATGATGGTGATACACGATCAACAAGTGCTAGTGATTGTGTGTAACCTATCCCTAACTAATGCATATAATCTCAGAAGTAGCAAAGATAAAAGGACAAGTAAGAGTAAAAGGATGAAAAGGAAAAAACCAAGCACAGCCAATCCTATCAACTATGGGCGCCCCTTAAATACCACCGACCCTGACCACGGACATTTCTAACAATAGTACCTAATTTCTACGAAGCCGGCAAAGTCCAGCATCATCCCAATCCTCACTTCCCACTCCCTTGCGAGCAATGAAGAGACCAGCCGGATCCCATTTCTGCTTGATGCGGTACAGACGCGGATAATTCCTTCCCCAGAACTCAGTCTGGAAATCCGGCTCGTACGCATTTGCTTCATTCATATAGGATCCCATCTTTTTTCCCTCGACAGCCTTGAGAATCGGCATCTCAACGTCGGTCAGACGACGAATAATAGCATCACGTTGAGCGAGTGTGGCAGATGGCGGCCAGGCGCGAGCAAAATCGATATGGGTGGCAGCTTTTCTCCAGGCCGGATTCAAAGCGCTGTCGATAGTCCGTCCGTTCTTGGCCACGAGGCCTCCTGCGACGATGTGGCCGGTGATACCTTGTCCGGGGTCGAACTTGATCTTCTTCAGGGCGGAAACGAGTTTCTTTGGGCCGTCGCGCGAAACAAGCAGATCGCGGGAGAATAGTCTTGATCCTAGGATAGTGTTACGGCCAGTTGGGTCTTCACCTCCGGGAAGGAGGAGGTCCGAGAGAAGAGTATGGATATTGGGGAAGGCCAGGGACTCGTATTGCGTGAAGACACCGGACGTTGCATTCAGCTTTGATCTGAACGGTGCATAGAGATGATCCATCATTGCAGTGCTGGTTTGATTCGCAGCCATGAGTATGATTGACAATGACGAGACATTCAGCTTCTTGTCCACTGGCATGTTGGGAGTCATCCAATAGTAGCCCCCAGCATGGTCATTCATGGCTGGTAAAGCGGCATGGAAATCCATCATTACCTGCCAGAAATTGGGGTCACCGGCCACGGTACTGACATTGAGATTGCCAAAGACAACTGGAACCTCCTCGAAGGTGCGCAGGGTGACTGTCACCACTACACCAAAGGTGCCTCCCCCTCCGCCGCGTAGAGCCCAGAAGAGGTCAGTGTTTTGATAGTTGTTCGCAATAACGAGGTGTCCCTGTGACGCTATTAGCTCGCTTCCTCATCTTCAGGTTGTTGACTTACATCAGCAGTCACGACAGTGTACTCGAGTACATTGTCAGTAGACATGCCCTTCCAGGGCCCCAAGAAAGAATGCCCTCCTCCCTGGATATAACCCCCGGCAGCACCAACAGTATGCGAAAGGCCAGCAACCAATGTCTTGCCTTTCTTCCTGGCTGCAGGATACAGCTCCTGTAAGCTGACACCGGCTCCAATTGTGATGGCAGAACCCTCCGAGATATTCCTTGGGGCCCCAGCTGGTTTGAAATGGTCACTGAACTGAATATCCTTCATTCCGTTGGTAAGGATCTGCAATGACTCCGGTGCCGTCGAGCGACCCAAAAAGTCATGGCCAGAGTTCTTGATGGCAAGGCGAAGATTATGCCTCTTGGCGAATCGAACAGCTTCCTGGATATGCGATGCGCACTCGGCCACAACAGAGTACAAAGAAACCCTCCCCTGGCCGCAAGGCCCCTGAGGATTTATAATAGAGCAGGTCTGGTTATGCTCCAACCATGAGTCCCAGTTTTCCCACTGGACTGCGCCAGGCTGCGCGGCTCGCCAGGTGGAATTATACCATTGCTTGGTGACGAAATCGCAGGCGTCGGGATCTCCTTCATGGCATGGGGCGGCCACTGGTCGAACGGCAACGAGATTACCATTAACGGAGCTGTTAAGGGCATTCCACTCTTGTAGATGGGGCCAACAGGGCTCATGGGGTCTACAGCGACATGAAGAATTGGAACTGGCGAGAGCCAGTGCAACAAAAGAGAGACTCAATAATGCTTTCATAGCAGCTGCTAGCTTGTAGATATGCTTGGGCTATGTTGAGAAATGATGGGAAAGATTGACAGCCATGATGGCCAGCTCGCTTTTTATAAATACTACTGATAGAGTTGTCATCTATAGCGAGTACGACAGTCAATGGATCCTAACATGCGCAACGGCTTGGCCCTCGTACTCGCTACCGTTCAGGATGTCGATCAGGAAATAAAAGACCAAACACAGTGGTCTGTCTGATCGATCATTCAGGTGGAAGGAATAACAAGCAGAAAGATCGGTGTCACCGTCTGTTCGCTCGTATTCGACTGCGCTGTCACAGAGGGTTTGGTGGATGAGGCTGACATAGTGGGTCATACAGTAAAATGACCCTATTTGGATAAGATTATCATTAGCCTTTGCCTTGAATCATAGGCTCTCAGCCACAGCCGCAGAGCCTGGTTCTTGGCCAAGCAAATAAGCTGCAAGATTCGCTCAGACCTTTTTGCACTGCCCTGTAGTTTCCAGACGAATACGACATTTTCTATTGTTGGCATAGTACAATCATTGAAGCTAGCGGAAATGATTGTAGATCCCAGGGTTGCGTAAGCTGACTTAAAAGGGTACGCAGCTCAGATAATTGATCATCCCGTCGCGAGGACAGTTTCCCTGGAAGTCTACATATGTTCTCGCTGTTGGGTTAAACCGAAGGGCACTAAACTCCATTACGAGGTCAATGTGACAGCTGGCCATTGGGCAGCACAGCACGGGATAACTTGATACTTCCGAGATCAATGCGTCGCATACAGGCCCTACCATAAGGGACAAATCGAAAGGTACGAGGACGAAATGCGTGGCCCGTCTCATGGTCAATCACGGAGGTCCCAGAGCGGGATCAGACTCAAAGTGCCCGAACACAAAGCAGTCGGATAATGTCCAGTCAGAGGTGAATATACTGGACCTCTACTATCGGAACGGGAAGAGGAGCGATAGCAGCGTCAGTGCTGTCTATGGTATTGTCATCCTGGACCATATTAGGGACAGGAAGGATCTACAATATGATAGACCTGTGCTCTATTCTCTGGATTCCTTGCTTTTTTCCTCTTTTGAACCGAGTGTGTCAATGTTGACTAACCCCTAATGAACAACAAGATTCATTACAATAATTGCTAGCAAGGTAATTGTTTTTACTGCATTCGGGCTAATGAGGTCTTGTACAGTAGAGATGTTGTCAAGTTAGCTGTCGTTAAGCAGGAAGTTTCAAGCCAGTCACCTCCTCGCAAGCCTTGACCACCTTCTCCTGCAAGTTAATATCCTGTGATGCTGGCAACGGGCGTCCAAGTTTTCTCTTTGGCTCAAAGTACTTTCCGGTCAGGCTTTGGTCGTAATCCCCCTCTGCCAACATCACATAAGTGTCCACCCCATCTTCCAGTTTATCAGTTGCCCCTTGGCCACCCAGCTTGGTGGCTACCCAACCTGGGTGTACGCTGACCACGGAGGCATCTTGAAACCTTCTTGCTACTGCATTTGCAAGCAGAAGAACATGCAATTTTGAGTCGCAGTAAGCCGGAAAATCCCGAAAACTTGCTTCGCCGCGCTTGAGCCAGAAGATATCCTCCATGCTAGTGTCACCTTGGCGGTGCAACTGCGAAGAGATGTATACCAGCCGCTTGGGCCGATGCAACAAGCAGGTCAGGATATATGGTGCAACAACATTGACAAACACCATGGCGGGGATACCGGTGTCCGGAGTCCTGCGGAACGGCCCGGATAGCATGCCGGCGTTGAGAATGACGGCATCAAATTGGCCCATCGCGTTGGCTTCGTCGGCGAGCTTGCGGTTTTCAGCCAGATTGGATAAATCAGCGGTTAGTACACCAGCGGCGCCGGGACAGGCAGCTCTTGCATCGGCCGCTCGTTTCTCATTGCGCGCGTGCAGGTAGACGGTGTGGCCGCGTTTCACTAGTTGGCGTGCGGCCTCGAGACCCAGGCCGTCAGCAGAGCCGGTGATGAGCACACGGACCATGTTTGGTAAGTGTCGCGTAGCTGATGCCAAGTGGTTTATAGGCATCGGCGTTCGATGGTCTGCAAAGATGCTAGTGGAGGAACTAAGGGGAGTCGAAACAGAAAGAAGCTTGCTTGACTATATACCATTACCGACCGACCTGAAACTTCTAGTCTGATTATTAAAGCTTCAGCAGTCACGGACGTAAGTACGATTGGCCGTCAGTTTAATAGCGTTCGGAGATCGACATTTCCAGCCGAAAGATTGACTGGTGCGGACTTTGATGCTGTTAAGTCCGACTGTCCGAAGGGTGGAGTTTCTAGTTTCTATCTCAGTTTGCTGGATCAGTCCACTCTTGTACTAATCATCGCAGACCGACCGGAGACTTCTCCAGACTGAAGTCGGACTCTCGCCCCTACATCGCGAAAACTCTGGTTCGCAGAGGCACATGGCACACCGTTCCATAAGAGCGTGTCTTGCATGCAGTTCTTGCTCTAGCAGGGGCGGGCACCCATGATTCCTATATAAAGCATTAATGACAACTGGGATACCAAACCTAAGTGGATGTGTTCCTTACTTTGAAGAATAGAAGCCACCCCCCTGGGGTCAAGACGAACTATTGCTGGATCCCAGGCCATTATGTCTAGCCCACCTTAGAGCAACACCAAGCATTACGCCAAAGTATATATCGGGCAATACAAGCAAAGGACTCATACACTCTCGAGCAGTAGTGATTCAGTGGAAGGATATGCCCATCACACACCAGGGAAGTCATTGTACTATTATCAGTGCATCCGATAATGAATCACAGGCAATGCTTTAATACAAGCATGGCTAAGTACAGGGTTGGCCTGAATACAACCCGCCGAATCCCATCTTAAAGATATAGAATATAGATACAACCTTAAAATGCAGAGGTGTTATGCTATATATGTGAAACGTATTCTTCGAACCTGCTAACCACCTCAGCAGGTTATTGGCTGCGTCCATGACGTGATGTGCATCTAGGAGCGACAAGGCTGAAATAGGAGCGACCGCCTATTTGGATAAGACAATTCCAGATAGCAATGGAGGCAGAAGGGACCGCTAGGCTGTGTACGAGAGCTGTTTTGCTCTACTGACGATGCGAAGGTGGACTTAGACATTCAGCATTGCGCAAGTGCGCGTCATACTGGAACTCAATTGCGGAGCGGTCATACAGAGTGGGTGGTAGATAGTAGTGCGTAGTAAAGCAGCAAGTCTGATAAATATCAGTTAGAGAACTCTTTCGTCAGATAGCAGCTTGTTAGAACCTACTTAGTACAGGTTAAGTAGAATCAATGTCATGAGAGACAGATGTGATAGTTGCTGCTTCGAGAATACAGAGCCAACATCTCCCTATGGCGCCCCCAACTGAAAGCAATTCTCACTCTGCCGGACAAAATGGCAAGCAGCGCATGTACCTCAGTGACGCCGCTCAGGATCTGTTTAGCCAGGCAGGGCGAATCATCCCCGACTTGCGGACGATCCAAGAACTCGGTCAGACAACCTTTAACGGAGGTCTGGTTGATGACCGAAAATATCTGGTATACTCCTGTTCTTTCCACCAAGAAAATGTTACTCACAAAAACAGATCGAGAATATTATCCAGGTCACGGCCTCCCTGCCAAATACATCTGGATTGCGAGAGAAGATTACGGACGCGTTTGTCAGCACTCTATGGGACAACCTCCAGCATCCTCCTCTATCTTATCTCGGGGATCAATTCAGGTATCGGACTGCAGATGGGAGCTATAACGTATTCCTCTATACCACAATATCTGATAGGTGAACTGATCAATATAGAATATCATGTACCCCCATCTCGGGGCATCTGGAAGCCATTATGCCCGGACCGTCACCCCTAAGCATCCGAGGCCTGCCGTGCTTCCTGATCCGTCATATATATTTGACAGTATGATGGGCATATGAAACTCCAAGAGCTTTACTAACACAATATTAGCCCTACTGGCACGCGGCGGTCCTGCAAGGGAACACCCAAGCAAGATATCCAGCAATCTCTTCTACCTAGCGACAGTGATCATCCACGGTATGGAAGTCCTAACTCATTACTATCCCACTCTGATACGGTAATAGACCTCTTCCACACGGATGAACGAGACAGCACCAAAGTAAAGAACTCTTCCTATCTCGACCTCGGGCCCCTGTATGGCCATGACCAAGAGCAGCAAAACAAGGTTAGGACCTTCACAGACGGTCTGTTAAAACCCGACACATTTGCAGAAAAACGACTCCTCACGCAGCCGCCGGGTGTTTGCGCACTTCTAGTTGCATTCAATAGATTCCACAACTGGGTCGTGGGGGAACTGGCGTACATTAACGAAGGTGGAAGATTCAGTTTGCCTGCTGGGATGAAGCAGGAGGATCCACGGTACAACGGCGCTCTGGCTAAGAGAGATAATGATTTGTTCCAGACGGGGAGACTGTATGCTGAATTCTTTCGGTTGTACTAGTCGACGCTGATTGAGTCAGGATAACATGCGGCCTATATGTCAACATCATCCTGAACGACTACCTCCGCACAATCCTCAACCTCAATGAGAATTCCAGCCATTCAGACTGGACACTCGACCCTAGAAAGAGTCTGGAAGTGTTCGACAAAGGCGGCATTCCTCGGGGAGTCGGAAACCAAGTTAGTGCCGAGTTCAACATGATTTACCGCTGGCACGCGGCCATCAGTAATCAGGATGAGGCATGGGCGAACAGTCTCTGTCAAAGGGTCTTTGGACCAGATATTGATGGCAGTACGTACTCCGAGACGCTCAGTGTGACTGATTGACAATTGCTGCGTAGGCACATTATCGGTAAATCAGTTTCTCGATGGATTACGAAAATACTTCGAGGACAATGTACCGGGCGAACCTGCAACGTGGACCTTTGGAGGGCTGGAACGGCAGCAGGATGGACGCTTCACCGATAGTGAGCTTGTTCATCTCATAGCAGATGGGTGCGAGAACGTCGCTGGTAAACGCAGCTATCGTTGGTTTAGCATAGCATTGACGTTTCCAGGGGCATTCGGTGCCAGGAACATTCCCAAGGTAATGAAAGCCATTGAGATGCTCGGGATTGAACAAGGACGGCAATGGCAGCTGGCTACTCTGAATGAGTTCAGAACGTTTTTCAAACTAAAGCCGTATTCAACCTTCCGTAAGTGCAGTGTTCGCATCCCTAGCTGTATTCTAGCTAATCTGTCATAGTGGAGGTCAACTCGAAGCCAGCTATTGCGGAAGCACGTAAGTCCTTGCCGAACAACAATCGAAGTAGGGCTAAAGTTTCAAAGTGGACGCACTATACGGTCACCCTGATAATATAGAGCTATACGTTGGCATACAGGCTGAAGAAGCCAAAGAGCCCTTCTATCCAGGCTCAGGGCTGTGTCCTGGGTTCACCATCTCTGCGGCTATCCTATCTGATGCAGTTGCCCTCGTTCGCGGAGATCGATTCTACACTGTCGACTATAGTCCAGCCAGCCTGACCAATTTTGGGTGAGTTGTGAATCTCGTTTACGGGAACTTCGCTAATACCTTGTTAGCTTCAATGCCGCGAGCTCCGACTTTGATGTTGCTGGTGGGGGTGTGATGTACAAGTTGCTGATGAGAGCCTTCCCTGGATGGTACCAACCAAACAGCGTCTATGCGCTTTATCCATTTGTGACACCAAACAAGTCTCGCGAGATTATGGACAAATATATGAGATTCAAAGACCTGAATTTCGATCGACCGTCATACACTCCGCTGCCTGTGCCGGTCACAACCTGGGAAGGTGCCACAAAGGTCTTGGAGGACCAGAAGCGGTTCCATGTTCCTTGTATGTCTATGCACTGAGCTCCATTGCGGTTGACTGACATACGATAGGGGGAGCACATACATTCCAGATTACCGGGCATGATTACATGCTGAGCGGGGATACTGCAGCGAATGCAGAGCAAAGGCGGTTCGTCAACGAGTGTCTCTACGAACGAAAGTCTGTACTTGAGGACGTGCGAAAGCTATACGAGTCCATCACGACAGACCTGCTTCATGAGAAAAGCTTCCAGTTCCGGGACTGTTACCATGTTGACATTGTGCGAGAGTAAGTCCATCATATGCATCATCATCGCACATAGGAGGATGCTAACGAATGCAGCGTTGGGAACCTAGCACACGCACATTTCTGCTCGCAGTTTTTCAGCATTCCGCTCGAGGACAACAAGGACCCCTTACCTGACGCTTATACACCCAGAGAGCTCTCCGATGCGCTTTCCTTGTTGTTCGGCTATGTCTTCCTAGATCTTGAGCCCACGGATTCTCTCAGGAACAGGATCGCAGCAGCAGCGGAGGCGCAGAGAATGGGCACTATCATGGCTAAGTCAGTCTCCAACGCCGGAGATAGCGTCGTCAGACGTTTCATGCAGGCTCTTGGGAGGAGCGAGGCCGGACCAGGGAGCTATGGCCAGCAACTTGTCAACCGATTACTGAGAGAGGGCAAGAGTGTCGATGAAGTCGTCTGGACCATAATTCCAACCGCAGCCGCGGCGTGCGCGACTCAGGCACAGGGAGTAAGTCTTTACCAGCAAGTTAAGTTGTGACATACTGACAATGCAGTGGGCACAAATGCTCGACCTCTATTTGTCGGACAAATACGCCTCGCACTGGCGAGATATACAAAAGCTCGCACGCTCCACTGATCCTAGAGCGTTCGAAAAGTTGAAGAAATATGCTCTAGAGGGGTACGATCTCACGATTGAGTCTTTGGCTTGTGCTGATATGTACAGATTCCGCCTGTCTACTCCGGCTTTTGGTGTCCTCCGGACAGCAGTCAACGCAGTCACAATCAAGGATGGAAACGCCTCTACAACCGTCCACAAAGGGGATAGCCTTTTCGTAGACTTTATTACTGCAGGTCGCGATCCGGTCAAGTTTCCCGACCCTGACGAGATCCGACTCGACCGTCCGGCGGAAATCTACATCCACCATGGCTGGGGTCCACATGCGTGCCTTGGAAGGGCAATTGTCACCACAGCTGGTGCAGCCCTCTTGCGTGTCCTCGGTCGGCTCGAAAATATCCGACGAGCTCCCGGACCCGCCGGAGAGATGAAGAGCAAGATGGTGAATGGTGCGTTTAAGCTGTACTTGCGCGAAGATGGATCTGCCTGGACTCCGTTCCCTCAAAGTAAGTCATTTGGGTGTTTACCTGGGTATATGCTGACTTCGACAGATATGAAAGTTGTATTCGATTGCTTCAAGTAGGTTTAGACGGAAGAGGAAATCGTGCTTGTCACCATGATGTAATGATTACCAGACAGGTGTTAGTAGTCTGACAAGCAGACCTTATGAAGATCCATCTTTCTAGCTGCATCCACAAGCAAAGTAAAGGTGTTGTAGCCATCCACTATTGAGAACGTTTAGTTGGTGATGGCGTCCTTCAACCTGAATATACCTGTCCGCGGCAATCCCTTCCTCGACATCCCCTCCGATATAGATGCCCACCCTTTCCGCTTAGTATGGGAGGATGTCTGCTCCGTTTTCTGCCTGGCCAGACTTCTACCATCTATATTCTTACCTGTTCTGCCTTTGCAATCCGGATCGCTGGATGAACTCTACCCAAGTTGCCGCAATCTATGTGATATTTCTCTACATATTATCCTCATCGTCAGCCAGGTGTTGCTGCTCATATCATTACCAGTTGCTCTGGCGATCTTTTGGATATTCCCAACCGGGGTGCATATAGCATTTATTGCAGCATTTACCTTCTTCACTATTGTGATCGTCAGGCTCCTTAATGGGCCTCCGACAGGTAGGTCCCTAATCGGCATCCCGCGAACAAGGGATCCAGTCAACGACGAAACCGAGCCGTGGTTTTTTATCAACGGCGTAGCCACCGGGTATATCATTATCCAGCAATTGAAGAACCATGCTAATCGATACAGGAAGCACTGGCACCAGTCGAACCTAACCGCGCTGGCAGACACGTTTGGCCGGCAGATCGTGGGGTTCCACAACCCAACGTGCGTACACCCACGTAGTACCGTGCATTGCTAACCAAGTATCTACAGCAAAGGCCTTATCCTCGACATCGTCGAATGCCTTATCCAGCGTGATCTCGACTACAAAACAGCTGATATCCGACAAGGACGCGCCCAGCTGCGTGCTGCGCTCGCCGCATCCACCACGAAGAAAGTCGTGCTCATCGTCCACTCGCAAGGCGGGATTGTGGCGTCGTCGATTATTGACTGGTTGTATGGCGAGTTAAGCGAATCCCATATGCAGAAATTAGAGATATACACCTTCGGCAACGCAGCGAGACAGTTCCGCAATCCGCCTCTGCACGAGCCGCAGGACAACCAGCCGGTTGGAAACAGGCCCCGGAGACAGATCCAAGGAGAGCGAGCAATCCGGCATATCGAACACTACGCAAACAAGCGGGACTTCGTGGCTAACATCGGGGTCCTGCAGTTCGCAGCGCCCGCGGGCGCATATTCAAATGCGAGCGTGTTTTCTGGGACCGTCTTTGTCCGAGAGGGGTCGGGGCATTTGTTTAATATACATTATTTGGATCCGATGTTTGGGGAGGACAGTTCCTTTATGGAGGGTATGGTCTATGTGCGGCCTGGCGATGGGCCGGGGAAGACTGTCTCGATGCGAATCAGGGAACTGTCCAGACTGTACAAGTATAGGAATGGGAAGAGTCCAGAGGATCAGGATGCTACGTGAGTACATGTTCCTCGTCAATTACTTTAAAATAGGTCAGCTAACGGTGTCCAGAATAACAATGTAGCTAGTCAGAATAGTAGTGTCTTGCATGCTCAACATTCCATAACATGACAGACCGCATAGGGCAAAGGAAAATATTGAAGCAACATCTCCCTTTCATAGTCAACACCATAGTTGCTTATATCCCATCACGGCAATGATTATGAGATCCAAGATGCTGCGCCGCATTTGTCCGGATAATAGCTATGGGTGGCTATGTGGTACACCATCGCCGCCTACACATGGATACACTCAATCCTGATGCCAATGGCTCAGAGTTGAGATCAGAGATGGCAAATTGTCGACCAATGCCACTAGACCGTTTATTTGCTTTATCTCTATGAGCAGACCGATTACGTTACATTTTTAAGCGACTATTTGGAATATTGTGAAGAGGGTGATGTTGCCATGATAGTCGTTTCATCCTTGACGTGCCTAGGCCATTCACCCTTGGATGTACATGTTGATATTACCTCGACGAATACAATCTATATAATTTAATAATACACAAGAAAAGTGCTTGGGTGACAATAATTGAAGGTTGAGCCCCCGGTCATGGAATCAGTCCATAGTCAAATCAGTTACGGTAAACGCCTCCTCAAGTTGAGAGATACCCATTCTCCCACCCACGCACCACATCGGCGGTCACAGCCTCGGAGTAATTGACGCCTGATGTAGACGGGAACGAGCCCTCCATTACAGGGAATAGCATCTGCTTCCATATCTCTTTGATCCGCTTAGCAGAGGCAAGGAATCTCTGCTGGACTTGAGCGAGGTTACCAGGGACGACGAGTTTGAAGTCGTGTTTCCGGAACTCCCCGTTCACATCTAGAAACCGTTGGCGAGAAGAACGAATTCATGCCAGAATGGCGACTGGCCCCCGGTAAGAGTCTCGAAGACGTCGTCATTACCATTCAGTACTAATGAATTTCACTGTGAAGCAATTGGTGGAGCTCCGCTTGTAACCCCTGGACTCTTCATTTCTGCATGGACAATCTATCCGCATTTCCACTGGGTGGTGCCAATTATCGGGAGCGCGGTGTCTGGAGCGGGCTATGTGTTTAGCTCTCAGAGAACACTGGGTCACTGTCTAACCTTTCGCATATACAGCACTGTGATAGTCTACTCTGGTGTATTTACGTTCCTGGTGGACGCGTATCCGACATATGCTGCGAGCGCTTTGGCTGACAACAGTTTTGCACGTTCAACGTCTGCAGGGGTCTTTCCCCTGTTTGGCGTCCAAAGTGAGTGACATCCTTACTTTAACGTTGGTCAATGTGACCCCCAGAAGTGTTACTGACATTGGCCTGTAATGTACGACGGACTTGGCTATCACTCGGCGACGTCGTTGCTGGCCTTTCCGACGCTGATAATGGCTCCCTTCCCGTAAGTAGGCCTCTATGCATGACATTGAATTTCACAATACATATTTGATGGACCCTCTTGATCAAGCTGTGGCTGACAGAATCTCTCCGATACCAATTACAGATACATATTCTTGCGCTATGGCAGTCGTAATCCGGAAGATGAGTCGATTTGCAACATCACACACCTGATGGAAAGCAACGAACATGTACAATGTACATGTGTATAATTTTACTAATAATAGGAATAGCAGTAATAATAGAGAATTCGGCATTATGCAAACGGATATCTAATGCTGCAAGCTGCTTAGCTGTCTGTATAAGATTAGGGGCTGATCAGTACTCTAAATATCTATGCACTTATTATAGCCACAAGGATTCACAGATACTAGATATATACTATGTCACCCAAGAAGGCTGTTTATGTCGCGCGTCAGCAATGATAGTAAATGCATGGTTGAGACGTCGAATGCTTTTCCCTGCAGACCACCGCACTTATCGTCGAATTGGCAGTAGCAAGGTTGGACACGGCGATGTTGGCAAAGTAGTTGGAGAACTCGAGATACCGGGAGACAGGGTTCTGTATAAGATGATGTCCATATTTTATCGTGAAACGGTATGTCCTGATGCCATTATCCGCCTCTAATTGACCTACCGCTGTTCAATTCGGAGTCCTTTTGCATAGTAGGATAATCCTTTCTTTGAGATACCTGACCGACTTGGAGAATGAATGTCTCCAGTAAGTATGGGTTGGATTTTCCTTTTCATCCACTGATTGAAGAGAAGTACGCTCTGTGTCACGAGTCAGAGAATGATTAGTTGATCTGCGGCTGCATATACTGTTAGTAGTTTATCAACTGCGTTTCCTCATCTGAACGTCACGTACGACGAAAGTGTTATTGTTTCATCCAACGGCCTTATAACATGTGGCGGTTCATATGAATTCCGTCGGTTTCGTGGGTGTCCAGCACCGTTTGTTTCCGCAATGTCCGCTAACGATCGAATGAAGGGTACTACTGCATCTTCTGCCAGCATTTCGTATGCATAATGGAGAACCGGTTCCAGTAAGATCGGTGGGGGGCAAGGAACCCCAGGTGTGATTTCCATCAAAGTGTCTCGCATCCATCCTGGTATGTTGATTTCACGCGGAGCATTGCGAGCAATATATGCGTCCTTTAAATGTTGCCATTCCCTGAAAACATACGAATCCTCTTTTTTAAAGGGGTCTTCACCTGACACGCTGAAACGTGCTAGTGATAGGTTGTAGCTCTCACGGTAGTGCTTCACCTCAGAGATGAACTCGAGCGTTTCAAGGCAATGATTCCTAGCAAGGAAATCCACAAACGCCTCGAAAGTATAGGGATGTTCACTAGAGTGGGATAGGATATCGCTGAGAGTCGTCCTGTAATGCCGTTTTAGCTTTGTTAACGATCCCTGTCTCATAAGGCTGCTCGAAGCCAGAAGAACGCCGGGAGAACTTACATGAAGACCAATCCTTAGCAATCGACCTTGCTGGTTTCAAGTCTTGTCAGTGCTTAGGAACGATCAGTACGGGATGGCGATTTTGGCAGTACAACCACTACATGTTATACGTGAAAGAAATATGTATTTCTAATACTATGATTATAAATCAATCGCTAAGCCTTGAGCTGCCGGCAATGAATTATGACATAAGTGATCTCCTGATATCGTTCACATGTTGAGTTGATCTAGAACCCGATAGTCTTTGATTTCTGTGGTTCCAGGGAGATGAACCCTAGCCAAAGCAAGTAAGATAGTTCAGTCCATATTCGCCCCCAATACATCGCCGTCTCATTGGCCCATTATTGTAATAACTTTACCCGAGTCTGTTGCAACCTCCATCCTCCATCACAACCTTCCCCGAGGTAAAGGTATTATCCGGAGATAAGTCGGAGTAGCCACGATAGGTTGTAGTACTTTCTTATATGGTTATGCTCTCTAAGATATGTAAGCATTCTTATCAAACATCATATCATTTGCATTATAACAGTGAGCATTGGCATCGTCAAATCTTCTTGATACCTAGTACTTCAACAGCATGACAGCCTCGTCAGTCTCACGGGCTGGGATTAAGTACAATTTCATCGGCCTCCACCCTCTCTGGTCCAATCTCCTTTATGTCTATGATGCCACCAAAACCGGCGATGACGGCTAATCCTCCGTGCCCTGGAGGTTGAGCCCCAGTAGCATGAGGCATCTCTTCCCCGAAACGTCAATTTCCACGTCACCTGAGTCCAAGGGAAGAAATCATGCGTTGGAGAGCATTCTGTTCTGTGCAAAGGCGACATCTTGGGAGACACTAATCTTGAGTCCATCCTTGCCCTGGCGATAATGCCGAAAGCAAGTAAATATTCTCTTCCACTCCACGGTAGAGGTCTATTTTCTCGGCCCTCTTTGCCGTTATGCGGAGCTCCTAGAGTAACCCAGAGTTTACAAGCTTCCGACACGCCACTCTGGTTCTACTCTTGATTCTATCCCGCATGTGTCAGCAGAGAGCAAGACTCCATCTGCAATATCCATCCACTCAAAGTTTCTTCCTGCGTTTTCCCGCCCTCCCCTTCGCATTTGTTAATGCAAAACTCAGGAAAAGGGTAATAGAGCATGGTCCATTGAAATGTGTCACAAATGCCACCAGTAACCTCCTCTTAACTTCATGGGAACATTTTCGTTGTAGGTATGTCTATATCCTCTATCCCCAGTGCGCCAACTAACGCCCCGCAAGACTCTTTGTCAGTCCCATATGTTCGGCTCCGCTTGCCCGCGAGGATATCAAGGGGATTATGCTTATAGTAGCCCACGAACCCGGAGGCCATGAAGGTCTGGTGGGACCGGCGCAACCAGATCTCGGGCGCTGTTGACAGCAAATGTGCGGCGTGAGGGCTGGGTCTGGGAGTGTCCGGTTCAGGGCCTTCCTTTTGTATAAAGTAGGCTTGTGCCAAATAATATGCTAGTTTCGTGATGAGGATAGTGATATCTCGGACAGTTGCCTCAGTTCCCGTGTAGAAACTATCGCCAGAGAGCTTGGTACCATCGGCATCATCAAGATGTGTATCGCTTAGAAGCAATCCTTCTTGCAAGTCCAGCCAGAGGCTAGCTACGTTCGTCCGAACGAGGGGTGTCGAGCTGCCACGGTACTTCAGCGGTATATCTGTGGATGTCAATGGACCCTGTCATCTGCAGCATGTGGCAATCGCAGATTTATAAGAGCCTTCAGCGCCGATTTGTCCGTCCAAGATGTAGAGATCTACACACGTATTAGTGAAAAGTTGCTGGTATTTTAAAGTGGTTGGCTCTTAATTTGCGCATATCGCTGAGCTATTTTCAACCGCGCCTCCCTTTTCGGCGACTTGTTTAACTGGGTCAGCGTACTCGGAATAGTCGCCCTCTCTTCCGTCCCCTAACTGTAACTATTACAATAATGGGCTCTATAACATTTCTGGTTATTTCAAGGCATTAGCTTGCGACAGCGCGCCTCGTGCCCTGAAATGAACCTAGTGAGAGGATTCGTGCCAAGGGATTTCCCTTGAACCCCAGGAAAATTTATCTTTGATGTTGCTGTTAGCCAAATTCTGCTGCTTCATTCACCAGGATTTTTCCACCCTTTCTCATTCACTGTCACTTCTCTCCACGCTCTCTTCTGATTGCTGTTTACGATTTGGCTGCCTTAGGCTTAGTGCTGGTGCTTTTTGCACTCATTCACTGGCCCTTTCCTCTCCTACTCTGCCCTTGTCTGATACTGCTGCTCCATGGGCTACCCTTATTCCCTGCTCCTTCTCTTTTATTGCCTGCATCCTTTTGCTACGCACTTTTTTGAAGTTATCTTCTGATTGGTTGCGCTCCTGTATGCTTGGTTCTAGTTCCTTGGCCCTAAAGTAGAGTCACGCCAAAAGTCACAATTGTAGCGTTCTTGTCTGCTCGCTTATAGCAGCATTGCCGAGCCCCTAGCTACTATGAGTCAGAGGAATACAATCGTATTTCCCCTCTTCTGCTTCCACTTCCCAACTCTCAATCTCTCAATAACTGAGCGTCCTACTTCTATCGCAAACAATCAATTCTTACAGTTGAGCTTCCCCCCAGGAAGTACTCTTCATCCAAACCGTCCATTGACACCCTTCTAAGTGTTCAATATTCTCAACTGCCTTAATAGTAGAGAAAAATGCTGACTAGCACGGATATTGGCTACTTGCGTCGGTGTGTGGAGCTAGCCCGCGAAGCGCTTGATGCCGGCGATGACCCGTTTGGGTCAGTGCTTGTGGATGCCACGGGCAAGATCCTCAAAGAGGATCGCAACCGAGACACGACTGAAGCAGACATCACCCTGCACCCGGAACTCACGTTGGCTGTTTGGGCCCGAAAGCACATGACACCCGCCGACCGCGCCGCTGCCACTGTCTACACTTCTGGCGAGCACTGTCCAATGTGTGCAACTGCCCACGCGTATGCGGGTTTGGGGCGGATCGTCTATGCTAGTTCGTCTGCTCAGCTTGTACAGTGGAAGACGCAGTTGGGTGTGAAAGCTGGACCAGTCGCTCCGCTCCCTATCAATCAGGTTGCGCCGGGTCTGATCGTTGACGGCCCCGCTCCAGGTCTGGATGAGGAGATTTATGAGCTACATCGACTGAAGCAAGCTCGATCTACAGTCGAGTCATAAGTTCATAACCACGAACCCGAACTGAGAGGAGCTTAGGTGTCTACTGAGAGTGCTATTTCAGGCATGGTTGCGATGCTCAGCAGATTGTTAAGAAGATACCCACTGTCCTTCTTCTGCCCGTCACATCGATCCTACTCGAATTTACTCTTAACGCCACCTGACCTGATCATCTAATGCTGAATTCTATTGCTCTCAACGATGACTTTTCATTCTCAAATATCAGTCCAAGGGGTCTAATGAAGCGATCTCGAGAGAGGCGGTCAATTCTCTGTCTGCCGTTCGTCCTACCGCGTTCTGTCTTCGCTTTTCTTGTCTTCAGCTGGAAAGAGCTATTACGTGAACGGCCAAAGCGCACCTTAAGGTCAAAAATAAATGCAGACAGGCAACTGTAGGCACTGGGAGAAAAATGCGTTCTGTCTGAGAAGTAGTCCGCTCTCCATTGGTGTAAGAGGGTATAGATATTTGTTGTTGCATGTCTTTCGCTCAAGTGAATTTATTTGTAATAGTGAAACTTACCCGGACTCAAACCGGCCTTCAAATCTGCTGCTGCTGTTTCAGAATCCGCAATGTACCGCAAGGTATAAGACACCACGCCATAGCCTTCACTGTCTAGTATTTCGCGCGGAATTCTGGCATAAGGCTGGATCTCCCATTTCTCCCGATCCAGAAGCCATCGACGGCCGTGAGCATCGTTGGGAGGTATCTCTGTAGTCTCCATACTAGAAAGCTGTTCGGATTTAGTCGTGACAGTCGGCTTCTAGCAAGACCTGGGATGCTTGGGCTGTACTTGGATATATAAAATAAACCCCCCGCTGTTAGTGTTTTACACGATCCCTTGTTGATTTGTCAATCGTGCCAACGCAATGGACCGCTTCTTCAGTGCCCTAGAGATCTCGGTAGACCGGACTATTCGCTTAATTGCAACAAAGAAAGCACCATCGACAGATGCTCAGCTGCACCAGCACACACATAGCAGACCTACCATACTTTAAATAGTAATAGATGTGCATTTTCCTCCTCCATCGCATGCGAACCCCGCCGCTGAAGCTACCTAGGCGGGGTTCGATGAGCATCGGTAAGTTACAAACTATTGCCAACATGCATCCCTGCCTGGTTTCCGCAAGCCTACGGGACTTGATTGGATTTCGCTAAGGGGTCACGTCATAGCCTTGAAGGCTGCAGAATCGTCGACTTTGTTTACCAATGAGATGGGACATCACATTTCCGCAGGGATGAGATCTTCTTAGAGTATTATTATTGCGTGGTTAACAGATTGAAATTTGCTACGAGGACACTAGGTCCTACAATCCTCTTCTTTCTCTACCCATCATGCCCTTAGACGAGAGCAAACAGCACATCTACCAGCCTTGGCATAAGCAAAGCAGGGAATAATGAGCCAGATATCGATCTCTGATGTATGAATGCCTGAATGTAGTTCAGCTGAACTGAAAGACTTGGATCCTGTGCAGGGTTGCGATCCAGGCATAAGCGAGCCTTCAGATACCGATCTGTTTGGCTCTTCCCTCCATAGCTCTAAACGAAGCTATTGGCGTGCGCGAAATCCGAGTTTTGAATGGTATGTGTCATGTCATAATTTGGATGATGTTACCAAAGACCAGTGCCTCACGCTCGATCTGCAGGAGCTGTGCGGGACTAAAAGGGACTGGGCTATAACGTATACCAAGTTCGTGAATAATGACCAATTGGTCCGAGATGTCAGAAAATGAGGCACGCTTTGCAGCTAACACTATATGCCCAGATCCCAATTGACACCCTTCTTATCCATCCAACTACATCTACGGTAGTTCCTTTATCCCCAAGCCATCAATCTCATCGACCTCTCTTGGTGTCTCCAATCTCCCTTCCTGCGGAGTGCTCCCACTCAACTCCACACCTGTGGGACAGTCCAACTCCACACTGCCTTCCGATATATCCGACCTATATGTCTGGCGGTGGTCACCCTCCTCATGCATCACATTCGCTATAGTCGGCACAGTAGACAAACTAGATATATGGCGATGATGTGACGGTCCAACAAGGCTCGGTTCACCCTCTGTACTGGGTGTGCTAACCGTGACGGGGGATACATAGTCCGTTCCAGAGACGCCTGAGGTCGAAACCGGACTCGGGAGGGAATGGTTGTTGTACGGTGTGGGAAGTTCCACGGGGAGTGTGGTTGTATGTCCTTTAAAATGATCAGCAGATTGAAGGAAAAGGATTGAAGAACCGACCTAGCATCTCGTAAACGGGATCACCGCCTGCCTCAACACTCCACGGTGATACCGCTGTTGCCGGAGTAATGTTTGATTCATTCGCAAATGCACTATACCCTGTCGATGCAGTCGTGTCGCCTGACTTCGGCGCGCCAGTAGTCGACCCGCCGCTGTGCATCCACCGCAGAATCCAGGATCGAGCGGACTGCTCGCTTGTGGATTGTGATTCGTGGACCTTGCGACGGCGACGAAGACACCAGAATATAACTGCTCCTGCGACGAGAAGGAGCCCTAGAATGACGCCGATGATAGCGCCGGCCCATCTGGGGAAGCTGGAGCCTTTGTCTGGGACGGGCGCAATGGTGGGTGAGCTGCTGGTAGTGCTGTTGTACGGATACCACGTGCTAATAGTCTTGGTGTACTTGGTTTTTAACACATCTGCCAGTGAAGAATTGGTCCAGGAGGTGGGTGATACTTTTGTGGCCCCGCCTTTGGAGCTGTAGCTCGTTAGCAAGTCGGTGCCAAAGGTGGTGGCATACGTACCCTCCTCCAATGACAGCAGTGACCAAATCTGGAACTTTGTATTCGCCCCAGACTGTCGGGCTGTAGGTGTTTTGAAACCTGCCGGTATTCAGGTTGAACACTTGGATCACTCCACCATCAAGGCAATGCGTAGGGTCAAGATGCACTCCTCCGAGAACAAGCATTTGGTCCGGATATGGTTTGACACAGCGGTGACCACTCCGGCCATGGGTGCTGTTTCCACTGTAAAGCTTGATCCAGCTGAAGGAGGGCAAGGATAAGACATAGACATCGTCGGACGGTGTGTTCTCCGTGCTCAGCCCGTCGTAGCCGCCGTAGACATAGATATTGTGTGAAGATCCGTCCGCTGCACTCGCGTAAACCGAGCAAAACTGCGTCAACTGAGGAGGAACGTCCCCGGTCGTGTTTTGGAGATACCTATTCTCGATGAGTATGCGGGAGTTTAACGGACCAAGAACTCACCATTTATCGCCGCTGACATCGTAGACAGACACTGTCTCCATGAACCCTGGGCTTATTCTCTTGCTTGCATTTTGCTGGCCACTCGTCAAATCGTCTGAGGAAAAGATCGTCGCTGGATTAATCACTCCCCCAATCGCCACCAAGACCCCGGACTCGGCGACAGGAATCCAAACAAGCTCCGCATTAGCACGCGGAGGGACATATGCCGGTAACGACAGATTGGACCACTTGTTGTCGCGCATACCGGACATGTTCACCTTAATCATGCGGTCGGATGTGACATTGGCCGATTCATTGTCAGCATAGATCGGCCCCCAGTCCTTCCCGCGCATACCACTGAAATAGAACCCGAGGTTTTCGCTTGGTGCAGAGACGCCGGCGCCATTTGTCACGTATCTGGTTACGCCGCTGTCAATATTGTCGATGATGAAGCCTGGTTGCCAGGATCCTCGGTCTGGGCCATACTGGTATCGTTCGTAGCCGAGAACGGTGTTGCCGGCTGGGGGGTCTTGACTGTCTGTGAGGCGGAGGAGGCCACTATGTATGGTCAGAGGAGAATCGATGAAAGAGGGCCAAATTACCCGTAGAGATAGAGCTCGTTGTCATTAGCGAACATGGCTCCATCGCGGTAGGTTGGGGCGATGTTGTTTGCGATTCCTCCTGCTTTCGACATGTTGCCGAACAAGGCAGTCAGGTTTGAGGTGGTAATATCGAAGGATGTGGTGAGATTGAGGGTGTAGAGCAGCCCTTCATCGTTCCCTGCGCAGGTTAGCCATGATCATCCATAAGCGTGATGACACTTGCCATCATTTGCCAAATTAGATGTGCCATCAGCCAAGTCTCTACCCAGCGTTGTTAGTACCATTCGGCGCAATGGAAAGGAGACATACCGCTTCCACCATAATGATCCTCCATCAAGGTAGACGATATCACGAATCGTATTAACTGAGACTTATGAGCATTGTGAGCACTGAACACATTAGATAGAATGTACCTCGAACTTGATCCCAGTTACATATCGACACATTGACATTCCAGCCTTGCGCTGACGAACAGCCAACCAAAAGGGCAAATATGCTAGCTAACCTTTGCCAATCGAACCGCATTCTCTTAGCAGGGATGGTTACGACAGAATCAGAACGAACAGCTCAGTCCTTTTCTTGCTGTGGTTGTTTTTCATAAATCACATTACCCTACGAGGCTGACCACAGTACGTCGAATAAAGAAGGACGCAGCTAACAGCACTCGCAAATAGTAAACACTGACCTTGGCCCAAATAAGCATGCTCAGAAACACGAACAAAGAAAGCCTGATCCACCAGGGCAACCAGAAACCGGAAAGATCGTCAGAGAACGAAGTCAGACAGGCCGTCAGCAGCCACGCTAGCATTGCTATTATGAGCCTTGAAAATAAAACTGCAGTTGGTAGGAAAAAGATGCGAACCCACGGTTTTTCACATACAATACGGGTCATGCATGAGTAAGTTGAAGATGTTAAAGTCTGTGTCTTCGATGGAGACAGCAACGCTTCGAGTGGACGTATTTGCTATAGGAACGAGATTTGCGAGAAAGCCATCAAACTCAAAGCATTGATTGTGCAACAACCAGATCCCTATTCGTTGCTTGTCTCCCCGTTTCAGTTAGTCCTTATTTTCTTTTTCCTCGACAGCGCCCCGTGACCATGTTCGGCACTGGAGGTGGAACAAAGAAGGAAGACAGGACATCTTCATCAAGCCATGTGCAGTCAGTAATCCTGACATTGTATGTCATAGTCCAAAAACAGGAAGAGGTAAGCAGCAGGTTGGCATAGATCGTTAGATGAGAATCACCAGGAGATTCGCCCTGGCCAGAATTGTTGCTGAGAAACGAAAGAACATGGGTTTCGGTATTGATCTGTTCTTATTCCGTGAATCCTTCGCTGATAATCCAACAATAATTGTTCGTTATCATCTGGAGGACTAGGCTGGTGGTGAGTTCATGTAGCCACATCCATTAGCCTTCCCTGGTACTGTACTCTGTACTCGACGTGGCGTTGCGATGTTCATCTTGGGCTAAACGGCCGCGAACCATATCATAACCAGAGATGAGGCAGAAATGTCGAGGCCTAAGCGTCGAATATCCATCCTCAGCCTGCTCTGGTCACCAGTAACGGCAGGTAGTAGGCTTTTCAATGTGTATAATCGTAACGTAGATGAGTTGTTGGCTCAGAAATGCCTATATTAGTTGCCATGTGGACTGGAGGTTTCTTTGTTCAGACGATCAGCTAAGGCACAGAGGATGACAACAAACTAGGATCTGAATTTGTTTCTTTGTCAGTCGGTCAGCCACCATAACATCTCGCTGCAAAGCACGGACAGCAACACTTGATTTGTTATTGATCGCAGAAAGTATTGGCAATTAATGCCGAAGGGTTCGGCATAATATTTCTAAAAAGCTCTTCTCACTTTCTGCGTTTCTAATTGCCTTTTAGAACAACTTTTTGCTATCGCATCGCGACAGACTAGCGCAGTGAACATTATGAAGCTTTCGCGCGCAACTCTGCTAGCCCTGATAGCGGTCTATTCCCATCCAGTATTCAGTACTGCTTCAGCAGAAGATGTGACAGTAACGGAGACAGTTCTGGAGACTATCACTGTTTCTGAACCTTGGGAGGTCAGTTGAACGTCTATTGTTCGATATACCTTCTAAGATGCAGTAGGCAGCAACCAGCCTACCGAGTGCTGTAGCATACTCAGCAGTTCCTGAGCCCTCAGCATCGCCTGCTGAATTGCCATCAGATGCCCCAACAGTGTCATTGCCAACGAGTTCTTCGGCATACTGGACGATTCCAGGATCATCACCGATCTTAGACGCCGAGACAAGTACTTCGACTATCACAACACAGCCGGGATATAGTTTGAGGAAGAGGGCAAATCCTCCAGAGTCTCCGGCTATAATCGCAAGAGCCCCTGCTACGATCACAGTTACTTCGACATCAACAATCACAACCTGTCCTGTATGCACAAGTACATCAACTACGTCCACCACTACTACCAATACGCCCACAACGTTGCCTCCTGAAACCACTCCAACAACATCCACAACGACCAGTAATCCTGTCACCACGCCGACAACAGCACCAGTGTCTACTGTCACAGTGACTGTGACAACCACTGCTCCAGGCCCCACGGAGACTGACACTGTCACCACAACTGTCAGCTTTCCAGGGACCACAGAGACGGTCACCCTCACTAGTACGGCCACTATTACGGGAACTACGGGAACAGATACTGTCACTACAACGATTAGCCTACCAGGTACCACAGTGACAGCCACAGAGAGTTCGATCTCAACAGTCACAGTCACAGCCACCACTACGCAACTAGGGACTACGTATACAGCAACTCCAGGCGATGGAATGACTCACACCACCACGGCAACCATTACCCCTGGGGGTGGAACGACCATGACCTCGACCCAGACAGTCACTTTGCCAGCGACGACAGTGACCGACACGGCTACATTTACGGAAGTTTCAACTACATCGGTAACGGTTCCTGGGTCTACTATAACAGTCCCCGGTTCGACAGTAACGGACATAACAACGTCGACTGAGAGGACCACCCAAACAGTCACTATTTCTGGGGTCACAGTCACTAATCCAGGGTCGACAGTTACTAACACAACCACATTGACTGAGATCTCAACGTCGATACTCACGAACCCAGTGGTGACAGTGACAGACATAAGCACTGTAACGGAGGGTTCTACCCAGACCATTAGCCAGGTTCTAACGACGACGGCCACCGAGACTGTCGCCTTGCCTGGGACAACCGTGGTGGATTCAAGGACCATTGCCCTGCCTGGAACGACTATAATCAACTCAGAAACTGTGACTCTTACGGTTCCCGGAAGAACAGTGACGAATATGAGAACAATTACTGAGTCCGGGACAACGTTGACAGTCTCTGAGGTGGTCACTCTTCCTGGTTCTATAGTCACGATCATAGAGACAGTTCCAACTACTCTCCCTGGATCTACTATGGTTGCCACCATCACTGAGCCCGGACAGATAATTACGATATCCGGATCTGTTAGCACATTGCCAGGATCTACTATTGTCCAAACCACTACACTTCCCGGCATCACCACGACAGCTAAACAGACCGTTCCAACAACTATGCCCGGAGCAACCATCGTCACTACCTTCACTAAGCCAGCAAGTACCATAACAGTATCTGGAACCATTACCACGCTGCCAGGGTCCACAACCGTACAGACGACGACTCTCCCTGGATCGCGGTCAGTTGAGACTGTGTCGGTGACCGTCGTCCATAGTACTACCATTTTCGACACAGTAACATTGTCTGGTTAGTCTCTTTTTCCAAGCCGTGTTATATTTACCGAATAGCTCACTAACAGAGTAGGCTCTGGTAAAACTATAACCATCACGAATCCAGCTGGATCTACAACTCAGGCCGGCAACACTGTGACAGTTCCCGGAACCACCACAACGCTCTCCATCTGTCCAACACTCAGGATCAATCCCACTTACACTCCGGTCGCTCCCCTCCCGAGGAACTACACCTGGGGTTGTCCACCAGGCTACCTCTGCAAACCCAAACACACCGGCGCCGATGCAGGCTGCAACATCGAAGCCGGTCTGCCAGCGGAGTCATATGTCTGCAGTCCAGACGAGTGCATCAAGAGCCCGCCCTTCATCCACGACCAGTACTGGGGCACGCCGGTAGAATCCAACGAGATCCGCTCAACCTACTACGTCTCAAAGGACTACTTCAACCTCGACCCTGAGATCTTTGGTCTGAACTACTCCATCTTCCGGATCCCGGACCTCAGACCAGGCGATGACCACTACTACATCCGGTCCTCTCGTCGATCGTGGAGCAAGCTACTCTCCCGGGCGTCGATCGGAGTATCCACCGTACCCGGCGCCTGCTATGACGAATGCAACGACGCAGCATTGGAGGTTGAGTCGACCGGCAAGGCACCGGAGATCTGTAACGCTGGGTCAGCTTTCAACGTCTCCCTGAGCCAATGCGAGAAGTGCTGTAATACTCACAAGACAGCTACATCGGCCAGCTTTGAGCAAAAGGTACTGCCAAATTTCCAGCAGTTTTTAAACTTTTGCGAGGGATTGGAGCAGTCGTCGGCTACCACTGCAGCTGCGGATACAGTCAGTTCGACTACTAGTACTCAGACATCTACAGCGACAGGAACGACATCCACGCAGAAAGGCGGTAGTACGTCACAGACTGATCCATCAACAGCATCGACTACTCCAGATACTACAAGCAAGGCCACCAAGAGTAGCGATAAATCGAGCATAGCGGCATCTACAAGCTCTACTGAACAGAGAGCAACTTCCTCGCCATCTCAGCAGGTAACTGCGTCAGACCCGACCACAGAATCTGGGGCCACCACCGCGAGTGAGGCTACTACGGATCCTGTCTCCAGTTCATCATCTGGGTCAGTGACAGGTACATCTTCGAGAATGACTCAAAGCTCTTCTCCTAGCAACAACCCTGGTGAGAGCGCGTCTAGTCTCACGCCTCACGGACCTACAGGTACACGTTCCGGATCAAGCCCATCTGCATCTGTATTACTTGTTACAGGCGCAGCAAGTCTCCGGACGGTGCCATCTCACTGGAGTATTTTGGCTCTCGTGTTTGGGGTCGCGGGCTTCCACGTTTGGGGTTTGTGAAAAGTTGACTTTGATGTGTTTCTATCGATATTGTTTATTTCTTAGGTAAATAAGTAGATTGTTTGTGCTTTGAGTATACTAATAATATACTTCTGCTCTATGACTGGTCGTACGTGGCACGAATATATATTCAAGGCATTCTAGCGATGCGCCGTTCTTCCACATGTTGGACTAACATGATATCGATGAGGATCTGTCCCTATGGACAAGCCATTATTACATTAAGTTTTTTGAAATGGAAATGGCTATCTTACCCTCGAGAACAGGGTCTATTTATCTTCCTGCTCCTATTTAATGCGCTTCTCTACTGTGAGGGGACTAAGCCCAAAACAGGTAACTCCGGTGAAGGCTTGGCATTAGGGGCGGAGACTAAGCCCAATTAGGAACATAGCGTCAATAGTGTGAGAATCCGATCTCTCCGGGGAGCAGTCACTAGTCGGCTACAAGCCTAATACACATAGATGAAATCCTCATTCTTCAGATCCGTGGTGTCAGAGAAGCCTTTGTCCTCGGTCGGAGCCGGTGGTGCAGGAGCGACCTCCTCAAGTTCCAATGCCTTACCCTCCAGATGCTTCTTGCTGAGCATCGACTCGTCCACAATGTGAGCGGACTTGCCGAGTTCACGTCTTCTCTTCGCCTGTTTCCTGTTCAGGTACACCAGGTAGAGGTTTGTCATTCTGTCCGGTCAGCCGCAGTTCCTGACGGAGGAATAGACACTTACATAGAAAACCCTGCTACGATAACAAACATTATCAGATTCGAAATCAACCCGGGACGATAGAGTGGCGCCTGTGATGTGGAATATAGCTGGGGGCCAATGACCTATGCAGGTTAGCATCCTCCGCACACTGATCAGGAGTACTCGTACATTTCCTGCACACATTCCCACCAAGACCACTGCCGACGTGCATTTTCTCTTCGTATCGCCTGCGGTATTCTGTGCCTCCCACGCATATATCAACGGCGTGATGGCCGCCAGGCACGATACCTATCACGTCAGCTCCGCCTCTTGATTATCGGAGGATAACCAACCAGGTAGTATCCGAACAAGAGCACCCCCTTCTGCTCCCTCGGGACAACAATCATGAGCAAGGTTCCAACGGCAGCGATGAGCGCAAATCCCACGATGACCAGACCCTTGCGCTGGAATCGAGTGGCTAGCCAGCCCCCGCCGATGATGGCAATGATCTGAATAACGCCAAATGGAATATTGAAGAGAATGGTTTCGAAGCTGTTATACCCAAAGGATTTGATGATGAGGTTGCCGAATGTACTGATGCCCCCGCTTGGGATTCTGCATAAGGTTAGCACAAGGGGCGAGTCCACCCTGGCAGGGACGACGTACGATATCGACACGACGAGAAAAAACCAGCACCACGTTTTGAGATCGTAGAATGTCTCCCAGACGTGATCCCATCGCCATTCCCGCGAAATGATCCCCATCTGGTTGGCGCGGAGCCGCTCGACAGCAATCACTTTTTCACGGTCGCTGAGACACTTCGCTTCCATGGGAGAGTCGGGCATAAAGATGAAAATGAGGAAGGAGTAGGCGACCGTCAGGAGACCGCAGAACATGAAGATGATCTACTCATTAGCCTCGGTCGCTCGACTAGGGAGGAAGGGCGGTACCTGGTATGAGAATAGACTGTCGCTGTGGATATGGCCCAGTCCGTAGGTGAACAAGCTGCCGATGATAAAGGTCACGCCGTTCATTCCGTTCCAGAAGGCTGTCCGGAGTGTCTGTTCGCCTCGTCTCCACCACATTTGCGTGACGGCCACGCAGGAAGGGGCTAAACGCGTTAACATGGCATCAGAATTGGGCGAACGACATACCGATCATGGCTTCAAATGCGCCGAGAGTAAATCGTAATCCTAGCAGACTGGGAAAGTTCGTGCAAGCGGCCATGATAGCAAGGGAGCTTCCCCAGAGAAACACCGCCGATCCGATCAGCTTCCCCGTGGGCAATTTGACCAGTAGCAACGCGGCAATAGGCTGCATGACTAGCTGCGCCAGATATAAAATTGACCCCAGCCATGAATACTGCTTGCCATGGAGGTTTGCATCCTCCACGATGCCAAAGATGGAAACGTACGAGAGGGACGATTTGTCGAGCTGCTGGAAGAAGTATGCTCCTAACAGCAAAGGGAGGACGCGCCGGTCGATCCGTCTCAACACGGCCTTTTCCTCCTCGACTGTGAAGGTACGGTCTTCGTTTACGGTGGCCAGAAATTGGGCCGCTTTCTCCTTGATGGGATCATTGCGAGTCGGCTGAATCGGGGTGATATGGTCGTCCTGCGCCATTTGTTGTTCTTGCGTTGCTTGTGTCGCATTCCTTCAGTATTCGTTCCGCCTTATATTGGCGGTGCCAAGAGCCATGCCTGTCTGTATACTTCTTGGCGATCTACATTTACCCCAGACAGTGAAATCCCCCGCAGTTTTAGTGGGTTCTGATTCATGGAAAATCCATTCAGCCTGAACGTTGTCCGTTGGTTATGTGGTGCGGGGTGTAGATCTCGGGGTATCTCATCCCGAGAGTATATACATCTTCTTTCCTCTTCTTTTGCTCCTTCATACGAACTGATCAGAGCAAACAAACGAATTAAACCGGCTAAAACATAGACATGAAGAAATACGCTCTGATCGGCACCGGCGGCCGCGCCATGTTCTTCTACACGGCCATCGTGCGCGACTTTCCAACTACCGCGCAACTGGTCGCCTTTTGCGACACCAACACCACGCGGATGGCATACGCCAACAGTCGGCTGGAGGCACTCGGCCATGCGCCAGTCCCAGCCTACCTCGCCAGCGACTTCGACAAGATGATCACAGACACCAAGCCAGACGAGATCATCGTGACGACCATCGACCGCACTCATCACCAGTACATCATCCGCGCGCTGGAGCTAGGCTGCAACGTCATCACCGAGAAGCCGATGACAATCGACGCGCCCCGCTGCCTGGCCATCATCGATGCCGTGGAGCGTACGCAGCGCCAGGTCCGAGTGACATTCAACTACCGGTACGCGCCGCACAACAGCAAGATCGCGGCGCTGCTGGCCTCCGACGCGATTGGGGATGTTCATTCCGTGCACTTTGAGTGGATGCTCAACACGTCGCATGGTGCCGACTATTTCCGGCGGTGGCACCGCGACAAGCGCAACAGCGGAGGACTACTCGTGCACAAGTCGACGCACCACTTTGATCTGGTGAATTTCTGGCTGCGGACGAGGCCACAGAGCGTCGTTGCAATGGGGGATCTGCGCTTCTACGGGAAGGAGAACGCGGAGCGCCGGGGTGAGACGCGGTTCTATGCCCGGGCGAGAGGCAGCGAGGTGGCTAGGTCTGATCCGTTTGCGCTCGATCTGGAAGGCAATGCGCAGCTGAAGGCGCTGTATGCGGATGCGGAGCACGAGGATGGGTACTATCGCGACCAGAGCGTGTTTGGCGATGGGATCAGTATCGAGGATACGATGGGGGTGATGGTGCGGTATGATAGTGGCGCGGTCCTGACGTATAGCCTGACGGCGTATGCGCCATGGGAAGGGTTCCGGGTGATGTTCAATGGGAGCAAGGGACGGCTGGAGGTGGAAGTGGTGGAGCAGTCGTATGTTAATTCGGGTGGAGAGCAGGCGATGGAGGGTGCCGTGGAGAGTATGACGATTCTCCTGCGGCCCTTGTTCGGGAAGCCTGTGGAGATTGAAGTCCCGACAGGTCAGGGAGGCCATGGTGGGGGAGATCCTCAGCTGCTAAAGGACTTGTTTGGTGGTGAGGCTATAGAGGATCCGCTGAAACGGGCTGCAACGCATGTCGATGGCGCATGGTCGATTGCCACGGGTATTGCTGCGAATGAGTCGATGCGCCGGGGGCAAGTTGTACGCGTTGATGAGGTGATGAAGCTACCAGTCTAGAGAATACTATGCTACAGTTTCTATATTGAGCTAGATCGTATTTGTTGGTTGCTCGCTATACTGTCCATCGCCGTGCCTATATATTCATAGCTTTGCATCAAAGCATCGATAAAGATGCCATAGGACAGAGCATAGGGGTAATTCCTGTGCTAGTCGCGACAAACAAGGGATGATCACGTCTGCTCGGAATATTCCCAACCTGCTTGAGGGATAGTTGATCACACTCTCCCCACATTCCTGGCTGACGACAGTGAGGCAAGGGAGACGATGCACTCAAATCTCCGACTCCTCTGCTGTTCAGCATCTTCGTCTGTTCCATGCTTAATATCAATCAAGCGTCACGACGAGTAACCTCATCGTCTCCAGATTCAACAGCATTGCAGAGATGAGAGGAGATCTCAATCACGTAGGCCTATGACCTCACATTATACCAAATGGTGTGACTCCGAATGAGCCCAAATATAGCAAAGGCTATCTCAGGAATTCGGAGAACGAGCCTCTATTGGCAGGGACACCAATCAAGGGAGGAGCTTAGGTAGAGCTCACCTGCTATGACGAAGGTTTCCCTGAAGCAATGATGGAATAAATGTCTGCTCTTCATGGCCTTTTTTCCTCGTCCATCTCTCAGTGACACCATGTCTCAGATCGTGGAATCCAAAGAACTTTGCGTGGCGCCCTCGCCCATCGACGAGGGACTTTTTCAGCAGCAGCTCGAGCTCCAAGGTCTCAAGCTTACCCCGGACGGATTCGTGCATTGGAAACAGGGCAACAAGCGACACCCGCGCAACTGGTCCAAGCTGCGAAAGGCCCACGATGTATCAGTCATTTTGTTGCTGGAGATGTTCACGTATGTTGCTCTCCTTATGCCTCGAACGAAGCCGAGCGAAGCTGACAATTGCAGGACGTTGGTCAGCGCAGCAGGAGTATGTCACTCAACAGATGTTGCGAATCTCGCTGACCTGGTAGTCTGCCGCTGCCAATGCCTCCCATGAGGAATTCAACATTAGCAAGACCCTGTCGATTTTTCTCTTCGTGCCGATGTATGTGACACGTCCCTAACTCGAACTTAGCTGACAGTATAGGTACCTCATCGGGCAAGGAATCGGCAGCATCGTCTTTCCTCCGTACTCGGAAGCCTTTGGACGCAAGAAACTGTATATAGTGAGTACGGCGATGTACAGCCTGTCGTGCATCATAATCGCTATTGTCCCTTCTATCACTGGAGTAGTCGTTGGACGTCTGCTTAGCGGGTTCCTGTCGGCGATTCCCACTAATGTAGTGGCTGGAAGCATCGAAGACATGTTCAACGCAAAGGACCGGATATGGTTCCTGTCGTTGTGGATGATGTTGGCTCCGTGGGGTCTGGCATTGGGACCGATATACAGCACTTACATCATCTACGCCTTGGATTGGTATGTTCCCTGCACTGAACCAAGGCAGTAACTGACTGTGTCCAGGAGATGGGTGTTCTACGTAGCAGCCATCGTCACCGGCTTCATCGCGTGTCTCCTGCTCGGCATCCGCGAATCTCGACCTCCCCTCCTCCTCGACCAAGAAGTCCGCCATCTGTGCCAGGCCCTCGGCAAGGAGACCCCGATCGTGGTGCAAAGTCTCAACCCTGACCGGATCCCCGACCTGCGCACCTTCTTCACCATGGCCCTCTTCCGCCCCATCTACCTCTTCTTCACCGAGCCCATTATCTTCCTCGTATCCATCATCAGCGCCATCCCGTTCACCCTCATCTACATGTTCACCGAGGCCCTGCCCCCAATCTACCAATCATTCGGCATGACACCCACTCACTCATGTCTCCCCTTCCTCGGCCTCGGCCTCGGGTGCATGCTCGGCATGCTCACTCGTATCTACGACTACAAGCTCATCATCTCCCACCACCGCCAGCACCTCCCCCTCCGCCCCGAAGACAAGCTCCTGGGCTTCATGATCGGCGCCCCCATATTCGCCCTCGGCCTGTGGCTCTTCGCCTGGACCATTCCTCCCGCAGTCACAACCGTGCACTGGATGGTCTCCACCGTCGCCCTCGTGGCTATCGGCTACGCAGCAACCGAGTTCGGCTCCGTCCTGACGGGTTATCTCGCAGATAGCTACCTAAGTTACGCAGCCAGCGGGTTCGCCGCGCAGACGATCCTGCGGACCAGTATGAGCGCCGCGTTTCCGCTGTTTGCGCCGGCAATGTTTGGTTCGCTGGGTGCTAATGTGGCGGTTAGTGTGCTGGCGGCGATTGCGACGGTGTTTTGTCTTGTGCCGCCGTTGTTTGCGCGGTTTGGGGAAAGGATTCGTGCCAAGAGTCGGTTTGCGAGGTATAGTTTGGATGTGTATAATCGGATTACGGTTGATGAGGAGGGTTTCTAGCGGTGTATCTAATGGTGTGTTCGGTGATTGGTGTCTATACGAGTAGTGGCCAGTGAAATAGGGAGGTATTTGGATAGATGAAATAAAGACCGTGCATGAGTTCGGACATACCAAAAATCCTATCCCAAGTTGATAGAGAGTCTATACTGCTTAACTAGGCAATCCCCTTCGCCAGGCTGCCTCTGGCCACTGCACGATTTCAGCCCCCGGGTCCACTCCGGTAGCTGGTGATTTCCCAGCCATCCTTTCCAAGCGCGTCCATGCCAAAGAGAACAGTGACGGTGCATTCTCCCCTTGCGCAAGCACGCCCTCCTCCCTCAATATCCGCTGTCGTTCATCCCACGCTGGCCGGTGGTACTCCACGATAGCAGATCCCGCCAACGCCATGAAGACAGCTACCCATGGACCCCATTGTCCCACCGCGTACGGCGGTTCACTGGCAGGTATCTCATCGCCGATATGTATGAAAATCTCATTCAAGATGATGACGACCGCACAGGCGACTGACAGCAGATCAGTCATCACCCCCGGCCGGCCACGCTTCTGACCCCGAGCCAACTTCTTCTGCGCCATCGACTGCCTCTGTTTTGCGTAGCGGCGCTGTTTCGGGAGGAGGTCGCTTTTTGCAAGGGTCTTGTTTGCTGAGCGGAGTATGCGTGTCAGCTCGTCCTTTGTGTAGTAGCGTGGAGTCACGAGGAGACGGTAAAGTGAGACCACGGCTCCGAGGAATATTGAGAGACAGATTGAGGCTGATAATAACCTGAATCTCCGATGTGATACCGTGCCCGCTGGTATCACGCGAATGTCGCTCGTTTCTCGAAAGGCTTGTCGTGTGCTGAAGCAGGCGTACGTGCAGTTGAACGGCATCAGACCCAATTGTGCTGTGCTCGTCAACAGTATGGGTTCTGTGGTGTTGGTCGCATCACTCGGTGTAGATGTACATCTCTCCTCGCTGGGATAGTCTCTCAACATCGCGACAACGGCACAGATTGTGCCAACCACCATCAGTAACCCCCAGTATTGGAATACCGGACGGGCAGGGGACTCGCGCAGCAGTTCGGACCCATGGAAGAATACAGTCACGACTAAGCTTCCCACGCTGACAATGGCAAAGATGCCAAGGCAGTCCAGATCAAGCAGAGAATCACGCGATATGCCAGCGAGGATGGTTGCATGGACAGCCGCCGATCCAGCGTAGGTCATCGCCGCACCTAGCGCCCCAGCCACTAGCCACGGGGTTTTCCGACTGACGATGGAGAAGAGAAGGAGTCCATAGTAGAGAACTCGCTGGAGAAGGGCATATTGCCCGCTGATTGGGTAGACGCATTCTATCCGTCCCTCATCTAGTGTCGCGTTGTACCGAAGGAGACTACTAGCTGATGCTTCGGGGACGATTATCAGGAGCCATGGCACCACGATAGCCGGGGTAAGCATCTCACCAGTGTTCATTTCGCAACCGACTTTTGTCAAAGATGGATGGTGATGGGCAAGTCGTGATTATATCTATGCTGTTGGGCAGCTGACGTCAGCCACATATTGCTTTTCGTGATCTGGCCCCTGGATTTCTATTCGACGCCTCGTCTTGCTGCGATTTCTTTTACGAGCTGAGGCTTGCCGTACTATCCAATGAGCTTCTTGTGATAGAGCTACTCTGTACATTGAGATTATTATAAAATCAGTATCATGTACACATAGAGTACACCACCTGCCATTACGATGCGACAGATCTGCAGGCAGAACGGTGATATTAGAAAGAATAACCTTATCCTAAAACCAATATCTCAAGTATAGGAGGTCAAAGCTCCGGCAGACGACCTCCGCTTTCATCAACCATCTCGATCGACGTCGTCACGGGCCAAGAGGGCCTGATCACTTCACTATTGCCTTTGTTCCCAGCTTGGGACAGGAGTTACACCTCGGAGTCTGGGGCGTCCACTTCAATATTGTGCCGTGTCAACGGAATCAAACGAGCATGCTGCTATTATAGAGCTTCATGATCAGGTAATAATACTAGGCTCCTAAAGCCAGTCCTCTGGATCTCGACCACCCTGGATGCGACATAAGCATTAGTGCAACTTTGGACAATCAACGGCTGGGTATGATACCGGGGAGGTGACGGAAAAAGAGACTATAGATCTCGCTATCTCTAATAATGAATAAAGGCTAACAGGGTTTCAATGATCTTCACAACCCCTGATCTGCCTGCCAATGTCATGTTGTGTTTTGTGAGCCAACAGTAATGACAGCAATAGTACTAAGTGTCCTCCTCTCCGAAGGGAACTGCAAGCGAGGTCGAGGAGTCATTCTATCGCGAAGCATGCAAACTGTCCTACGAGAACACCCATAATATCATGTACCTCGTCAGCGTCTCGGCTGAGCTAGTAGACCAGAAAAGCCAATCGTCCATGCACGGTTCTCTAAGGATTTCATGAATCTGTCGTGTCTACCAATGATAGTTGAACTGCTGCAAAAGACATGCACATCTAGAGTCGGTGAGCACTTCACAAAGTAAGGTATACACTTCTGCAGTAGGGGTCTATGGTACTCGTCTGATTAAGCACAAACAACTGATTATCCAAGTTCCTCCAAACCTATATAAAGTAATCAGTAACTTATCCAAGATGAGTGTTAGCGATGGATTATATGGTAAACCAGAAATGTAGTTGAATCTCGAGAAATCGGTAAGATCCAGTCAGACCAAGCATGCATGTATGACTTTTCATCCTCTGGTAAGACATCACGACGCAAGGGATGAGGATTAATTCCTCACCTTCTATCCTGTAAGGCATTACACCATATACTCATGGATGCCCAGCTGTCTGCAGAGAAAGCATAACTTTCTTCATATATATTTACCAACGTGCCACCGACTGTACACCGCTAGCCATCAGTATTAATCTGTTCATACAGACTCGGAGGCGTGGTGTTCTTATAAGCTACATTCTGTCCAAAAGGTTCTATCTGCGTCGGAATAGCACCAGCACAATGACAGTGCCAGACCCAAACTTCCACGTTATCATAATCGGAGCCGGTAGATTCCCTCCCTCATCTAGTACGCTTATTATGCTAAACACGCTACCAGGTGCAACCGGCCTCCTCCTCGCACAGGGTTTAAAAACCGTACTCCTCCCATTTCCCAATCCGGAATACGACTGACAAGGCAGGCCGGCATCGGATATACCGTCTACGAACAGCACGAGGAGGAGACATACACCCGGCGCGCGGGACAATGGACCATGGCTCTACACTCTGCCCTGCCGTATCTCGAATCCATCCTCCCTCCTGCGCTCCGTGCCAAACTAAACTCCGCAACGACGAATCCCTGGTCCGAGCCAGACCCTGCCATTGCGGCCGCTATCCCCTTTGTGAATGGTGCCACTGGCGAGCTGATGGCCAAGATTCCGATGCCGAGCCCGAAGCGTGTTATCCGGGGGAAGCTGCGTGATCTCTTGAGGACGGGTGTGGAGGTTAGATTTGGGATGGGTTTGACCGGCATCCGAGTGGAGGATGACGGGGTGGTTGCTGTTTTTGACGGAGAGGAGGTCAGGGGGAGTGTGCTTGTCGGAGCGGATGGAGGTAGGTTTTCTTCCCTTTCTGTTGGCTGATGCTGACGGTGTCAAGTGCGGAGCGTGGTGAGAGAACAACTCGTCGATGCGAAGGTTGCGGCGCTGCAGAAGCCGAACATCATGGCTTTGGTTGGTGTTTCCCCTCTATCCCCTGTAGGATCTCGCTGATGGATAGAGTAGATTGCCTTCCCCACGTTCACTAGAGAGCAGGCGCTTTTCATACATGGCAAGTCCCACCCGATCGTGCAGCTCGCTCCCCATCCGCACCAGAAAACGAGTATCTTCTCCAACGGTACGCCCTGATTTCACTCGCATCATTGCCAAGAACGCAATTAACAAGCTAGTGGCCAACGTGGTTGACCCCGTTCGGCCGGAAACCTGGGTGTTTCACTATTGCCTCTCTATCTGGACAGCCGAGGACCCCCCAGAAAATGCCGAGGCGCGCCGCGCACTGTTCAAGCATCACATGAGCCAATACTGCGAGCCGTACAAGTCGGCTGGGGAATGGTTGAGTCAGGCCACGCCAATACTAGCCGAAAAGGTACGTCTGGACGATTTCATTGGCGGACGCTAATTCGTAGTCCAGTTCCATTACTGGAAAAACATAACACGATGGAATAATTTCGGCGGAAAAGTTTCCCTAGCGGGTGATGCGGCGCATCCGATGGTCCCTTGTATGTTTTCTCTTTCCTACGTGTTGCTGTTGAGTCGACTGACGATGGCAGTCACCGCGCAGGGACTGAACACTGCGCTCGAAGACGTGAAACGCTTCCTTGATGCCATTGTCAAGGTGGTGTACCACGGCGCGGATCTCAAGAAAGAGATGGATGCCTACGATGAGTCGGCGTATACGCGTGGCAAGCAGGACATAAACTTGTCGGTAGAGCAGATGTACGCCTATCATCACTGGGAGGAGATAATGACCAGTCCGTTGATGAAGGGGGGTTATGGTACCTTAATCAATGGTTCCGCCATTAATTAAATAAGACTCATATTACTACATGCTAAGACCAAGGTTTGGTCACAATCACGCTCCTGGGGACATGGGCCGACTCATCCTGCGAACGGCCATCCTGTGACCGATCATCCCCATGTTCGGATCGCCCCTCTCGACTCGTTCTAACCGGCTCCTCCAATTGCGTCAGATTCGTAAGCTGAAGGTCGCTCTCGGCATCATTCATCCGCTTGAAAGCTTTGTTCTTAATTCCTGAACCACCAGACTCCGGCTGCGTCGAGTAAATTTTGCGACTGGTAAACAGTGTCGGGAAAGCGGCCTTGAAGACGGGTCGGAGCATTGGCACGCACGCGTTCAAGTTCGCCAGGGCCGGCTCGGTGACGCTCCAAAAGGCAGCCCAGATCATCGAGTACGGGAGATCGAGGAAGTCGACTGTCGTGAGGACACGGATGCGGATGATTGTTATGGCGGAGATACTGCCTCATTAGCAACCATTTGTTTACCTACTTAGTTGAAAGGAAGGACGTACAAAAAGCCCATTCCAAAGATACCGTAGAGCGCAAACTTTGTCGCAGTGCTCATCTGCAACTTCCAGATAAAGTGCAGCGGAAGCACCATGATCATGACATCCGTGACGAGATTAAAGGCGCCGATGGTCGAAAAGGCCACATTCTGGCTCGCGCAGTGGCCGGGGAGCGTGGGGTTCCAGTTCTTCTGAAAGGGCTGACAGATGAAGAAGATCTGGAGCATGCTGCCGGCCCAGTAGGCACAGGCACAGCCCATGCAGACCCAGGCGGCGATGCGGAAGCCCTTGGTCACGAAGATGCGGAGGTAGAAGAAGAGGTAGCTCAGTTTGGCGAGGACCATGGCGTTGTAGTAGACGACTTGGTAGACGATCAGCATCTTGAGAATGGCCACCAGATTCTCACTGGGGATCTCTGTGACGTGGTTGCGCATCCCGACGCGAGCGTAGTGGTAGTGCATTGCCAGCATGCCGTACGTGTGCAGCATGGAGCCTACACAGCAGCCATCGTCCCACCAGATCTTACTCTGCCGGATATGTCGCGAGATGAACCGGAGAATTAGAGCAAGAGTGGCCAAGGCGACCAGCACCGTGTTGGCGATGAGCTGGTCGCGCACAATGGGGAAGGCAAAGGCATCGTATAGGACCACCATTTTGTCTCCCCAAAGCGGTGGTGGACAAGTGGAAAGTTCTCGAGGACATCCTTCAATAAAAAGCCCTGAATCTCCGAAACGCCCCCAATCGAGGCAGCAGACAATTTATCACGAGCCAAGCTTCTGGCAGGTGCTAAACTAGCGCCATACATAACACTTCATTTCCGTCTTCGCCTAGGAATCGTGCCGGATTCCTATTCAGGTAAATGGGCAGCTACTACCCTGCTTCGGGCAGCCACCGAGTCGTCGAGACCAATCATCGTCTGCTATCAGACGACGAGCCGCTGGCCTCCTGCCGATCAAAACGGGCGAGGTCTCACGCTACTACTTTAGTATAACGGCGGCGCGCGAAGGATCAGCCGGCGCGGATTGTGGGGATCCCGGTGGAGAGCGATTGGAAGAGACACAAATGGGCCCATCATTAGCTTTATGGGAGGGAGAGGGGTAGCCTAAATAGCCTTGAACGAGGATAGAGTATTTGACATGTCATTTTGGCCCCCAGCGTACACGGGATTTGATGCCGGTCGATCCACTCCTGAGTCCTGACAGTCCAACCCCTCAAGCTGAACAGAGCACACGACTTACAAGTCGCAACCACAGCAGCTGCCGCAGAGTGAACAGTGCAATGGACGAATACGACTATATCATTGTCGGCGCAGGCATTGGCGGCCTGGTTCTGGCAAACCGTCTGAGCGCAGACGCCTCTGTCAATGTCCTTCTCATAGAAGCCGGGGCCAATCGCATGGGCGATCCTCGTATCGAAACCCCTGGCTTTTTGGGCATGTTATACGGAAACCCAGACTTTGACTGGGATTACATGAGCGTCCCTCAGGTATCACCTCGCTTCCGCTACCCCGGTCACGTCAATAATGCTGATCGTATAGCCGCATGTCAACAACCGACAAATCGCGCAGCCCCGCGGCCGTGTCGTCGGCGGTTCCTCGACCATGAACTTCTCGGTCGTCATGTACCCTCCCGCATCGGACTTTGAGGCATGGAAAGCGTTGGGAAACAAAGGCTGGGGCGCAGAGGATATGGCGCCGTACCTGCGGAAGTTTCACACGTTCTCCCCGCCCAGTAAGACCACGGCCAAACTTCTCAGTCTCGATCGCTACATGAAAGCCAGCAGCCAGGGGTGTGACGGTCCTGTGCCTGTTTCCCTGCCGGACGTATATGGGCCGTTCAACAAAGCGTGGGATGAGACGTTTGAGAAGCTTGGTTGGCGGACGGACGCGGATCCCATCGCAGGACGCAAGTTGGGAGCGTTTACCGCGCCGCTGACCGTTGACGCGAAGACGGGGAAGCGCGGGTATGCAGCGGCATACTACTCCCCTGAGGTGGCCGCACGGCCGAACCTGCGCCTGCTGGCAGAGACCATGGTCGAGCGGGTGCTGTTGACCAAGCAGGACGGAGACGTCGTGGCCGCCGGCGTGCAGGTCAAGAATAAGGACGGCACGAGGGAAATCCGCGCAAAGAAAGAAGTCATCCTCTGCGCCGGCAGCTTGAACACCCCTCAGGTCCTCGAGCTCTCCGGCATCGGAAACGCAGAGCTCCTACAAAAGCACGGCATCCCCGTGCTGATTAACAACCCCGGCGTCGGCGAGAACCTCCAAGATCACTGCATCAGCAGCATCAGCTACGAGATCGCCGACGACCAGGTCTCGGGCGACATTCTCCGCAGCCCAGATGTGGTGCAGGCCCTCATCAAGCTCTATGAGGAAACCCGCGGCGGCCCGCTGGCAGGCATGCCGATCAGCGTGGCCTACCTCCCCTTCGTCGACGGCCGGGGCGTAGTCCCGAGGCAAGAAGTCGAGGACCTGCTGGCCAAGCATCTCGACAACGCCAACCTCCCATTCAATTTACAAGCACAATACGCGCACCTCAGGGAAGCGATCCTAGACAACGAGACCCCCTCCTCGCAGTACCTCTTCCTTCCCGCGCAGCTGCACATGAAACCCGGCGCGACGAGCTTGGCTGACGTCCTGGCTAAGCCTCTGCCGGAGAACTACATCAGCATCATGATCCTGCACAACCATCCTTTCTCGCGGGGATCAGTGCATATCGCCTCCTCCAAGGCGGAGGACAAACCAATCTACGATCCGAATCTCTTATCTCACCCGCTGGACCTGGAGATCCTGGCTCGACACACGCAATTCTTGGACAGGATTGTCGCCACAGAGCCGCTCAAATCTCTTCTCAAGGAACGGCGGATACCGGAGAACGCGAGTGACTTGAGCGATCTGGAGCGAGCCAAGGAGGTGGTCAAGGACCGGCTGTTTACGTGCTTCCACCCTGCGGGAACCTGTGCCATGTTACCGCGGGAGACGGGGGGTGTTGTGGATGATCAGCTCAAAGTGCATGGAACTCGCAATCTGAGGGTTGTCGACGCCAGTATCTTTCCTCTGGAGCCGGCGGGGAATATCCAGGCGACGGTGTATGCGGTTGCGGAGCGGGCGGCTGATTTGATCATTAGCAGTAGCAGTAATTAGTATTATTGGTATACTAGACTATGATTGAATAAATGAGGTATGCTGTTATCGATAGTGACACATCGTTGATCAACAGTGTTGTGGATACATTCCAGGTAAAGAATGCGACATCAACATCATCCCATCCCTCCTTCCAGGCTTTGATTTTATTCTCAACCTAAACATGATCACCAAAATCAATCACAATGCATTGCATGCAATTACTATGGCTCCTGCTGATCTCCCCCGCGTATAGCATCACCCTAGACCTCAACGATCCCACCTCCATCAAACAAGCCGCCCACGATGTCGCCGCCAACATGCTCTCCCACTACACGGGGATGAAACCCGGCGACAACCCGGGCAACCTCCCACCCCCATACTACTGGTGGGAAGCCGGGGCGATGTTCAATGCCCTCATCGACTACTGGTACCTGACGGGGGACAGTACCTGGAACGCAATCACCACGCAAGCCCTGACCTGGCAGGCCGGGCACACGGGGACCTTTATGCCCACGAACCAAACCAAAACAGAAGGCAACGACGACCAGGCGTTCTGGGCATTCGCCGCCATGTCCGCTGCGGAGCGGAACTTCCCCGACCCAGACCCCGACCACGGACCGGGGTGGCTGGCAATGGCGCAGGCGGTGTTCAACACGCAGGCGGCGCGGTGGGACGAAGACACCTGCGGCGGGGGACTGCGGTGGCAGATCTTCAGTTTCAACAATGGGTGGAATTACAAGAATACTATATCCAACGGGTGTTTCTTCAATCTGGCCGCCAGGCTGGCGCGGTACACGGGTAACAGCACGTATGCGGAGTGGGCGGAGCGGATCTGGGACTGGACGGTGGACGTGGGCTTCATCACGGAGGACTGGCTGTTTTACGATGGGGCGGATGTGCTGCTGAACTGTTCGGACTATAATCGGATTGAGTGGACGTACAATTCCGGGGTGTATTTGCTGGGCGCGGCCAACATGTACAATTTTGTATGTCTATTTCTCCTTCTCTTCTGATGGCGTGGCTAACGAGACAGACGGAGGGTGACTCCCGGTGGGAGGCGAGAACACAGCATATTCTTGAGGCGACGGATGCGTTTTTCGTCAAGGACCCCGCCATGGTGATGTATGAGAGGGCCTGCGAGCTCGTGAATACGTGCCAGGTCGACCAGCGGGCTTTCAAGGGCTTTCTCGCCCGCTGGATGGCGGCAGCCACGCAGGTCGCCCCCTTCACGTACGATTGGGTCATGCCGCGGCTGCGGGCGTCAGCGGCAGCTGCTGCGAAGACATGCACTGGCGGTCCGGATGGCGCGGCGTGTGGACTGAAATGGACGACGGGGGTATGGGATGGCAGTGAGGATGTGGGATTGCAGATGAGTGCGCTGGAGGTCATGCAGAGTCTCTTGATCGACCGGGTAGATCCGCCGGTCACGGATGCCACCGGGGGAACGTCCGCGGGCGATCCGAGCGGAGGAATGGAGCAGCACGATCCACGGCCGCAGGTGCTGACGATGACTATCACCGGGGCAGATCGCGCCGGGGCGGGGCTCCTGACGGCCATGCTGGGGGTGTTGATGATAGGAACAACAGGGTGGCTCCTTTATGAATAGCTTGTGTCTGTAGATGTGTACATCAATCAATGGTTATTTATTGAAGAGCAGCCACAATCCGTCGCAACGCTTCGTCCAGGTACGCCTGCGGATGGGCAAAGACAATGCGGAACCATCCCGGCGTCTCTGAGCCAAACATCGCCCCCGAAGCCAGAAACACCTTGTTCTTCAGCAGCCGCTGCATGATGACCTCGCTGACATCCTCGTGGATCGCCTCGGGATGACGCTGGAGGTACGGTGTGCCCAGGTCTACCCAGACAAAGAATCCCGCACTCGCCCCAGCCATATACGGGATCTCATTCTGCTTCAGTAATCCTACTGTATATTCATACGCCTCTTTCAGCCTCTCGCAGTTCAACCGGATATACTCATCCGTATACGAATCATCCTCGAGGATATTTGCCGCCAGATGGTCCGCCGGTCCGGACACATACGAGTACAGCGCGACACTGTCAACCGCGGCACGCACATCCTTATTCCCCTGGCTGATCAATGCGCCCAGCCGCAGCCCATTCGCACCGAAATCCTTGCTCATACCCCAGAGAACATGCACCCGGTCCGCATCGATGACTCCCTTGGTGTCGATACTCAGCGCAGAGACGAACTCCTCCCCACCCCACACGGATAACGCATATATCTCATCGCTGATAAAATGCATCCCGTGCTCCTGGCACAACCGCATCAGCGCAACCAGGACATCGCGCGAGTAACACCGTCCGAGAGGATTATGCGGGTGACACAGCAGCAGTGCGCGACACTTTTTTCCAGTCCGCTGCTCGAAGCTGGTCAGCGCGTGTCGGTACGCCTCCACGCAGTCTGCGCCGAGCGGATCCGCCCCTTCAAAAGGAACAGTCACGACCTCGGTCTCAAACCGCATCGAGAGATCCGCGATGAAGGTCCCGTAGTATGGTCTTCCCAGGAGGATCCCCTCGCCTTTATCCGCAAATGCCCAGGAGAGATGCTCGACGGCCGCGGAGACGCCGTTGGTGAGGATGAGATGGTGCGGTTCGAGCGGGGTAGCCGGGTAGAGGCGTCGGTTCAAGAAGCGGGCCATGGCCGCTTTGAGGCGTTTCGAGCCTGATGCGCCGTCATTGTAGGTGAGGGATTTGGAGGTGAGGCGGAGGGTCTGGTGCATGTGGTCCAGGAGGTACTCGTGCATCAGGAGGTTCTCAGCTACACCGACGCTGTAGTAGCCGTCAGGGTTGGTATCTGGGTCGTACATGTTGCCCAAGACCTCCCAGATGATGCTGTTGCTGTTGGCGTGGAGGACGCCATTTGCGCGTGTGGAAAGGGCCATTTCGTAAATCGGAGATGGTGAATGAGGAAGGAGATGAAGCGAGGACGAGGAGAGGGGGAGGAGAGGGAGAAGAGAAGTGTAATTGGCACCTTTTAAAGGATACGAAGGGAGTCATATTGAGTTCGTATTGGTGGGGTCAAGTAGCCCAGCTATTACCCCACAATATCCGTCTCTTCCAGCTGTGACTATCAGCAGTTTGGTAATCTAGTCTTCATATTAGCAGAGGTTGAGTCCCTCATTAATAGCAACTACCAAGTATCGCAGGGATCTATACACTAGAATGTAGTGAACTACAAGGCATTTTATGCATAGTACCTGAGAGGTAGATAGCTGTACTAACTGAAAACAGCTCTGCTGCATTGCCATCCTGTCGCCTCAGGCTTTCATTGGCTGATAGACTACGGCTCATTCCTATTCCAGTATAGTGCTGTTGGGTACTTTCTTCCCTATTATTTAAGCAGACCAGCGAGTATTGTGGTGCTATTACTAGACAGACATAACTAGCCCTATATCGTCACAAATAAAGAATATATTGATATTGATGAGTCAATGTCTGATATACCAATAGTGCTATAACGCTTCATGAGTTTCAGAACTGCCATGAAAGTTCCCGTAGTAAAGAGGGGCCTGGCCGAATTGATAATCCAAGCATTGCTGGCATTTTAGCAGCCAATGCTACTCGGCGATCAGTTTTTTAACTCTTGTACCTCCGCCAGTGTCTCGATCATACGAGCTAAATCCTCCTTATGCCCCTTCACCACGCTCAAGTAATCCGATGTTAGCATCAATAGCTGAAAGTCTTTAAGCCAAGTCCTCGATGTCCCAGACACCTTGCATGTGACAACAGCCAAGGGCTTCTGGTGCCGTCTCGACACCTTCACCAATCGATCTATTGCGTCCAATATCTTCGGGTCTTCGGGGTCGCCCACCTGGCGCGGAGGGCAGCGTAAGGCAACCCGGAGGTCGCCAGCCCCTAGCATTAGGCCGTTGACACCGGGGACTGCAGCTATGGCGTCGGCATTATCAAGGGCAAGCTGCATACATCCCCGTCATTAGCCCATATGGAGACCCCACCAACCTAAGAAGTAATGAACTTACCGGACTCTCGATCTGAATGATTACTGCGATGTTCTTGTCCGCTACGCGCTCATGGGAGGACCCTGGCGGTGCCACATCTGTAACTCCAGGAACTAGCACTGCGGGAGCCAGTGACCGGTCACCGTCTGAGTATGCATAACGGCACTTGCTGACGGCTTCGGCGGCTTGCTCAGGTGTATCAATGTGTGGGAAGATTATGCCCCCGGCTCCTATTGAAACGCACGCCGGGTGAGTAAGCATTTAGAAATCCTTAACTGATAGCTCAGAACCAGACTTACCCGCGTCAAGAGCATATGTTAGTAGATGCGATTGAGCAGACGGCACTCGACAGATCGGGATGGTCCTTCCCTCGCTAGCCAGGCTAACAGTTTGGATTAGGCGAACAAGGTTTTCAGCTTCAATGGGTCTGCACCGCCGTTACAGTTTGTACTGGTTAGCCCCTTGTACAGAAATGGGGTCCGTCAAGTACAGGGAGAGACAAACGTGTGTTGTGTATCAATCATGACAAAGTCATAACCCAGGACTGCCAGGGTGCGCGCTGAGATGGTGTGTGGGATAGAGACAATGGTGCCTAATAAATGTGGTCTCCCCGAGGACGGGTTCATAGTGTCCTCCAGGGCCTTTGCCAAGTTGGAAGGTTGAAAGAGCGACGCCGCACGGTAGTCTTCCATATTGCTTAGCCTGCGGCACTTCATGAAGTAATGTGTAATATGCGCCTGTAGTTCCTCGCTGAATGATTTATACTTCTATTACACTTTGCGGATTGGAAGGAGGGTTACATCCGTCTTGGACGATTAGAGGTCTCTAGCTAGTCATCCCGTACACAACAATAGAGCGTCATCCCAGAGCTCGACCGTCTCCTATAGTTAATTCTAAAAGGCAAAAGTTATTCTGGTCTAGAGCTTAAGTCTGCGCTGCACTATGTAACGTCAATGCGAGGGTGGCAGGAGTAAATGGCGGCCATTGTCCGAAAGCGGAAACTAAGTGGTCGGATTCGACAATGTGATGACAGCTATAAATCCAGATTAGTCATCTCTAATTTGGCAGGTTAATTTTAAACCAGAAAGCGCCTAAGATGTTAGGCCCTTCTAGTCCCCAGAGACTGCTTCCTCCCACAGCAAAAATACAAGATGTAGGAGAGGAATGCGATGAGCGCACTCGCTGTTAACAGCTTCAGATTGAACAGGACAGCCATTGAGACAGAACCTTCCAGCGAGTTCCATTTATGTTATAGATACGGATGTGATACAATGTATTCAGAATATGTCATCATCAATTTGCACATAACGTAGTCGCATATTAGCGCCGAGCGCCTTGGGATTAGGGTTCGGAGAGACGGGGACAACCTTGTCTTGTGGGGGCCGGAATGAGGTTTCAATCCCGAATCCATTTTAACTAATTACAGCAGAGGTTTCCGTCCTGCAAGCTATGCTGCTATGCTGCTACCCGGCGTAGACCAATTCCATGAGTGGGAGGGTCACGTTTAGATTGCACGATCTCACAAGCGTCGGGTCCAATGTATCCTTCCGCGACCAGATGACGGACATAATCCATGGTCCACTCTTGACATCTTTTGTTTGTCGTCTTCAATTCGATAGTAAGTAATAAGAGATGAATAAGCTAAGTAATACTGGAGGTACTTACATCATTCACAGGGGCCATGAAATTCCCACTGATGCCTGGTGCTGGCACCTGGCAGGCAGCAATCTCCATGTCTCCTTTGGGATCGGTATGTATAGCGCGAGCATCATCCGGCCAGTCAACAATATGTGAGGAGTCTACCTCGCCAATGGGCCACATTTCGTAGTCCTCCTGAGCGATGTCTGGATCATAGCCCCGTTCGAATTGGTGTGAGAAACCAGTCATTGGTGCCCCGACAACATTAATCAGGCTGCCTTTCCGAGGGTTGGTCGCCGACGGAACAAAGATGGCAAAATGGGCACGCTGGCTTGCGGCTTGTCGCAATGAAAGAAGGTAGATGGTTCTTGGGGCCATAACGGGGGTGTAGTCCCGGGTGTTTGTATATTGTAAATCAAAGTGTTATCTGATACACTCGACATCGTTCAAGATCAAGGGAGAAACTCGGGTTTAAATGTTTGCCTTGAGGAGCGTATTTGTTGACACGCCAGGCCTTCAGCCGCCAGGGGTGCTGCATGGCTTGAGTGCTGTTTAGCTTGCACTTCAAAGCCTACTCATGTCTATGTGGCATGGAACTGCACACTTGGATCTTCTCAACTCTGATGAGATAACTCGAATGTAACTGTTGAGCCATGCATTCAAACTTGCATCAATCGGTCGTCGCTAAGTAGAAATAATGCGCATGTCCAGAAGCGAGTCACATGACTGGCACATCCCCATCCCCCAAATCCGTCCGAACTGAACCTATTCACTGGTCAAACTGTCAAACTGTCAAACTTGACCACGATTCTGCCCGCAACCTCTCCCCTTCGCAGCTTTTCAACAGCCCCCGGTAACCGATCGATGGGATACACCTCACAAATCTGCTTCAGCATCCCTCGTCGCGCAAAGTCCAGTGCAGCCGCCGTATCCCGACGACTCCCCACCAGCGTCCCCTTGATCGTCAGGTTCTTGAAAATGAACCGGTTGGGATCGTCGCCAACAACCATCGTCTTGGCCGGCGCCAGCCCAATGCACATGACAACCGCCCCGATCCGGTCTCCCACAAACGACAGCGCAGTCCGATAAGCCGCCGGCGCCGTGACAAACACCCCGTGCGCGCCGATCCCATCCGCGGCAGCCACCACCGCAGCCGTGGTGTCTTGCGTCTCGGCGAAATCGACAAACGCCTCCGCGCCCATCTCCATCGCTAGCGCGCGCTTCGCTGGCCCCGTGTCCACCACGATCGGTCGCATCCCCATGGCCCTCGCCAGCTGCACACCCTGAATCCCCACGCCGCCGCCTCCGCCCGGGAAAACAGCCCAGTCCCCCGGTCGCAGCCCGGACTCCACCAAAGATCGATAGATGGTCGACGCACTACACATGATCGGGGCAGCGATCTCGTCGGGGACGCCGTCGGGGATGGGGGAGGCATAGCGGGCGGGCGAGACGAGGTATTGCTGATATGTGCCTGCGGTCATCAATCCCGTGTGCACGGCCGTCCGGCAGTATGTCTCCTTGTCGCCCCAGCACAGCTCGCACGACCCGCATGTATCTGTCAGCGGCTTGATGCCCGCGCGATCGCCGACCTTGAAGTTCCGGACGTTGGCGCCCGTCTTGACGACGATGCCTGCGCCTTCGTGACCGGGCGACCGGACGCCAAAGAACGACATGGGCGGCGTGCCGAGGTCGTTCTTCATCATGTGGATGTCGGAGGAGCAGAGGCCGGTGACGTTGAGGCGGATGAGGATGTCGTCGGGGCCTGCCGGTCAGTGTCTTTCCTTTCTATATGGACGAGGGACACACCTGGCTCTGGCACGGGGACCATTTCCACCTTGACTTGGAAGTCCGGGCCTTCATTGACGACCACCCCGGCTTTGCAGTGAGTCGGGATGTCGTAGATTTTTGAGTCCATATTGCTGTGTAGATGTAGATGTAGGCGTAAACGCAAACGTATTCGCTACTGTCTCAATGCTCTTCCATCTACTGTGATTTATTGGAACACATCCGAGCCAGTGCGGAATCGCCCCGCGTACGACCCCTCACCTCGGCATCATCTTGTCTGCTATATACCGGTTGATTATTCTACGTCCATCCAATCCTTGGAGGGAGAATGTATTGGAATTTACCCGGTGTCTGCATATCATACTAATGAGGGAGGACATTACCGAGGCATCTTGAAAACTGTAATGCATGAGATCGGTAGGTTCATAGGTTATTGTAGTTATCATTATTCCTATAAATCAATACATTACATGTTTGTATACAAGGCATTGACAGTGGGTTATTCTTGTCATTCACATGGGAGTCTTTATTCTATACTTGCGTATGGTAGTTCGCAACAGGAAAGTCTCAGTTATATATTTGGGGGATATAGAGAGGTACTTCCACGACGATATACAGTAACATAGGCCATTCAACGACACGAACATATCTGACACAGCTCAGTACTTGTCTAATTGACTATCATTCGAGTCATTCCACATCCTCGTAGGCCTGTATACCTTCAGGCACGATGAAAAGAGTGTATAATAAAGAGTATCCTATCGCTATGTACAGACAAAAGAAACCCGCCAAGACTAAATAAACAGCTGCTAATCCACGCATATACAAAACCACTACTTTGGATTGCCCCCGACTCCTACGAATGCGACACCCGAACCTCGGTCACGCAGACGATCCCCTCCTCTCCAGACGGCAGGATACGCTCATCACTCGAGTTCCTCCCCTCGCCACTGGGGTACGTATGACTCGTAGTCTCATACCCAGACTGGTACGTCAGCTCCCCGATCCTCTGCGTCTTGGCCTCAACGTCGGAATTGCCGCTACCCAGCGTCTGCGCCTTGGACTTGTGCTGCCGCGACAGGGAGCGCAGTTTGTGCCGCGTGCCGCGTGAGTAGTTTCTCGTGCGGGAGCGGGAGCGGGAGTGGGAGTGGTAGTGGGAGTGGGAGTGGGAGCCTTGCGAGCCGTAGCTTCCCAGGACTTGTTTGAAGAGGGGTTTCAGGGTGGGGAGGCTGCCGGCGATGATACCTGTGTTGCATTCGACGCTGTCGGCTCTGTTAATGCATGCGTGCTTGCCAGAGGAGAAGAAAGAGAGAGAGGTGTGGGACGTACACAACCCAGATGGTGAGATCGGTATAGTCCCAGAGGAAGTCACCGGTGCGGCCGTAGTTGGGAAGGATGGATAGTTTGACGAACGCCGCAGCGCAGGCACTGGGTTGTTAGTAGTTAGTATACTTTTTAGAAGATTGAGAGTCGCTTACAATATTCCCAGTCCCAGGATGCAGACTAGGGATGCCTTGACGCGGCGGTTGACTTGGAGATGCCTGTTCTCGTTAGTTGGCTTAGCTCAAGGGAATAGGCAAGAGACATACCGCAGCATGAAAGCGGGCAGTATGGCGAAAATCAGGTCGGTCAGGATATTCAGAGCTGTCGATGTTAGCCTGGTAGCAGCATCTCCGTCCCATGACATACCGGTGTTTGTGTAGCTCAGTTGCAACAGCTGCGTCGGATTGAAACATTTTGACGTGACGCTTGGATCCCATATCGACCGGATATTTTGGCATTGAAAGATGAGAGTCTAGACCGTTAGACTGGCTTCGAACGGGGCGGATGCACTTACGAAGAAGCAAATCGTCGTATATAACGACATGAACACTGCAGCAGTCAGCGGCGCACTTCAGACATGCAATGACAGACAAACCGATAATCGCCCAGATGAAAACCCTATAGCCCCTCCTCGGCGTAAATCGCAGCAGAAACAGCCCAATAGACACCTTAACCAACCCAATCGCCCACATATATATGCCCTGCGTCGCAAAATTCAGCTGGTTCGCCTTGACCGCCGTGTCCATCACGTAGGCTGTATGTCGCCCGGCACCGTAGACGACTTCAGGAATGATGATGGCCCAGCCTGCAAGGGACTGCAGCCGTTAGCTTTATTGCAGTCAATATCCAACAGCAACCTACCAGCACCATGGTCAAGGCCATCGTATAATCCTATCCAGTCAGCGAGATATATCGCCTTAAGGGCAGAGGGACGCACATCAGCGCCGACATTGCGAATCATGAATACGCGCACATACATGCGCGCCAGGACAGTCAGCAAAGCGGATATCGTCACAATGGACGTCGCGGCGAGGATCACAGGCCCCCGGTTCTCGTCGGGCAAGCCTGATCCACCTATATGATCGGCCATGATGCGTCGTCGTCTTGACCTCGACCTGGCCCTTTCTACTCCGTGCTATGGACATGAAGACATAGAAATACCAGGATAGTACAGAAGAGCATGGACGATGCTGACTCTGGCCAGGAACAGAGACGGGGACTTTGGTTACAGCCAGGGTCAACTAATCGTGGGGCTAAATTTACACCTCTGCGGCGGAACTTGGTCCTAAGTTCACTCCCATATTCGCGTCTGCTACCTTTCCCGGTTAACCAGGGGATAATATAGTAAACTCAAACCTGAGGAAGGGCTTGAGCGCTGTCTGCAGCCAGCAATGACTCCCAGACAGAAAAAGCAAAACAGTCTAGGAGAGAACAAGATTTGTGGCTATGAAGGGCAGCGTTGAACAGTATTGCCGAGGACGCGATACTACAAGTCTGAATCCAGTTATACTCGAAGAAGGGCCATAAGGTTGTCGCATCGAAGCGCATGTGCGACATGGCCAGCCCTCATACCATTCATATGTCTCGGCAGTTGCTGACCGAGTGTCTCTGCCCGTCTCCATAAAGGTATTGTCTCAACTGTCGTGTCTAGAATTGGCACCACCTGACTCGAGATGTCTTGGATAGACATACTTTCGGGGAAGAAGGAGGAGTCTCCAGTCCAATAGAAAGCACCGGAGATGTGAAGGATCAAACTTATCCGGTAAGTTCAATAGTCGGAGTCTTTTCTTAGGCCGAGAGGCTTCCGGAGGGAATTGTTCCATTCTAGTCTAAGTTTAATTAATTAATGGCTACATCCCAGGTCTCCAGTCTACATAGGCGTGGAGATAGATCCCTATCCAGTCGCTAGGTACTGGTGTAGGAGACACGACCTGGCCGGTCGTTTAACGACCCTCTGTGCCTGATCGTCGTCGGATCCGTGGAGAGTCAAGAGAGACCTTCGACTCTAATGGTTGTTCTTTTTGCGAAGTTTCCTGCCCTAACTCAAAAGGTTGAGTTGTTCGTGTATTTTTCTTTCTCGTCTTGCTCGAAGCTGAAGAATATGTAATAAGTATTAATAATAAGTTTGGAAATTTAGTCTAGGTCAAGGCAAAGTCTTTTGAAGGACGAAAAAAGAAACTATGTTCCTACGACTGGACAACTGGAGTCAGAGAATACTGCTACAGTCGCAACGAGTCCCAAAGTCAATTGTCTCCTAGGCTTTTTGCACCGAGTACTGTCGTTTACAATAGCTTCTATCCTGTATTCAGCTCATGCCCCAAAACTGGGAACACCGACGAGTGAAACACCAGCTGATGATTAGACAAGAAGTTCGTCTACGGAGGTCAATCATCAAGAGACGCTTGATTGAATCAGTCACGGACCAGCCCAGCAGCGGAGACTGGAGACGGATATTATGGTGGTCTCGCGACGCACTCTATTTACCTTTCAGCCACGGTCCAGCCAGCGCCACTAATAGTCGGCCAGAACGAGGATCATTCCTCGCCGGGCCTAGGACAGCGCTGACTGCATTAGTCAATTGGCCGGCTTCGTGGACGGTAGTGCTCGTGTCGCTAAGTTGCCTGGGCACTCGTGTTGAGAGTCGAGTCTCATGCAGACTATGGCCACTAGGTCGAAAGTATGCATAATGAAGTCAATGAACGGCCGCGTAAGATGAGAGTAAACCACCGGATAAAATCACTGATATAAGAAAGCCATAAGTGGTTTGCGAGCCAATCAATAGATCGTATTTTCTGCTTATAGCCGACATTGCCGTGCTGAATTAGTGCATATTTATTGGGGGTTTACTGTATTCAATTAGGGCATGGCTTGAGTTGCCGAATCTTCTGTGCTTTGCAGCTCGTAATTCTCCGTAGCCCCAATTATATCACCCAGATCTATGGATAACTACACTGCAAAACACAAGATACGAAGCTTTTTAAATTGAGATACACTAGGAAAGCCTTGATATGACTAGGTAGAATGTGCGTATAACTAACAGTCTGATTCTTCTCAACAAGTGAATATCTAGGCCAACTGTATATCCCTAGATGGCAAAAGTGACGGTTTTCATATTCAAGACTTGATGGATCCATTCTCCATTGGTGTGTCCAATTCAATGATTATAATCTCATAGATATCTAGGCGTTATCATAGTCATTTTTACCGAGTCACTCATAAAAGAAGGTTGAATAACAAATGACCAAGTTACCCCATTCAGTAAGCGCTAGTCTAAAGCAACACAGAAAGGTAGTCGACTCAAATCCTACAAATTGACCGTCTTACCCTCTTCCTTCAGGGCCATCCCCTCTCAGTCAAGTCACCATGGTTGCCATCTACGCTCTGAGCCTCGCGCTCGTGCTGACAGTGGCCCTGGCTATGCCCTCTCCCCGGGATGCTACTGCACCCTCCTCTGCGGACGTTACCCCCCTACCCTCTACGGCCTCCAGTTCGCTGGAGACGGCCTCTTCCCAGCTTGACCAGCTCGCCAACTTTGCGTACAACGTCACCACTGACGACATATCGAACAACGCAAGCACCAAGCGCGGCAGCTGCTCAAGCAGCAACCTGCGCATCCGGCGCGACTGGAGAGCCTTTTCGTCCTCGCAGAAGAAGGCATTCATCAGGTCTGTTCGTTGTCTGCAACAGCTGCCTGCACGCACCCCGTCCAGCGTCGCTGCTGGGGCAAAAACTCGGTATGACGACTTTGTAGCGACGCATATCCAACAGACCTTGAGCATCCACTATACTGTACGTTTGTAAGATCCAGCGAGTTGGACAGCACCGACTAACCCATCAAGGGAACGTTCCTGGCCTGGCACCGCTACTTCATCTATCAGTTTGAGCAGGCCTTGCGCGACGAGTGTGGATACACTGGCGAGTACCCGTAAGCAAGCGCCTACTACTTGCGCGTGAAGACCGCATCTGACCATGACCATAGATACTGGAACTGGCCCGCGGACGCCCACTCCATAGAAACCTCCCCCGTCTTCGACGGCAGCGACACCTCCAAGTCCGGCAACGGTGCATACGTCCCCAACAAGGGTGACATCGCATTGACGCTGGGCAACTACCCGATCATCTACCTCCCCGCCGGCACCGGCGGCGGCTGCGTCACCAGCGGGCCCTTTGTGAATTACACGGTCAACCTGGGCCCTGCAGGGCTCAGCCTTCCCGGCGGGGGAATGGCCGTGCAGCCCACCCCCCTTGACTACAACCCGCGGTGCCTGAAGCGCGATCTCTCGACCACGATTCTCCAGCGTTATTCCAATGCCACCGCCGTCGTGAAGCTCCTCCTCGACAACAAGGATATCTGGGATTTCCAGATAGCTATGCAGGGGGTCCCCGGCAGCGGGTCGATCGGCGTCCACGGCGGCGGCCACTACTCCATGGGCGGCGATCCCGGCCGGGACGTGTTCGTCAGCCCCGGGGATCCGGCCTTCTGGCTGCATCATGGGATGATCGACCGCGTGTGGTGGATCTGGCAGGCGTTGGATGTCAAGAACAGGCAGTATGCTATCTCGGGGACCGGCACGTTCCTGAACTTTCCGGCGTCGCCTAACACGACGCTCAGCACGATGGTGGATATTGGGTATGCCAATGGGGGGCCGATTGCCATGCAGGATCTGATGAGTACGACCGCGGGGCCTTTTTGCTATGTCTATCTGTAGTGCAATAATACTCACCGTGCTGTATGCTCTCTAACATAATACTAGATGTCTTAGTCGGCTTTATGCCACTTCTTGACCCAGGGGTACATTTGTAAAAAGGCTTCATCTGCACTCTCCCATGGGGAAGGATAAACTCGATACATCTCCAGACAAGTGTTTACAAGTGATCCGTGTTTCCATCCCGGACTTAATCGGGGACCTTGGTGGGAACTCGAACGTCTGTTACCATTTTCCTACGTCATCTATACAATGATGATCTCCAACAGTCACACCATCTGCTCTACTCACCTCACCCCACAACATGGTAACATACGACGCCCTAATCATCGGCTCCGGACCCGCCGGTCTCTCCGTCGCTCTCGGGCTAAGCCGTATCCACCGCCGAGCCGCCATCTTCACCAAACCCGGCGGCGCAGGCTTCCGCAACGCAGGAGTCCCCGAGATGCACAATGTCCTCGCACAGGATACCACCCCACCAGCGGAATTCCGGCGCATCGCAACCGAGCAGATCAACGCGTACGGGACGGTCGACTTCCTCGAGGCGGAGATCGTCGCTATCAAAGCATATGCCCAAAACGGCGCTGCGGATACCTTCCACGTCACAACCGCCGACGGACGGACCTGGCAGGGCCGGAAGCTGGCGTTGGCAATGGGGTGCATCGACGTGTTTCCTGAGATAGAGGGGTACGCGGAGAACTGGCCGCAGAATATGTAAGCAGCTGCAAGCTCTGCCTCTCCTGGCGATGGCGCTGATCCCGCTAGCTTCCAGTGTCTGTTTTGTGATGGGCATGAGCGGGCGCATCTTCCAGGGGGGATATTGACGTTCCCGCAGCCGATGTATGCGCACTTGGCGCAGATGATGCATCTCCTTGTGACGCCTACGTCTGGATCAGTTACTATCTTTACGGACGGGCCGGTGGCAGAGGATGAGGCGATGAACGCTGCAATGGAGAAGGTCAATGCGCTGCAGTGTAAAGTTGAAACAAAAAAAATTCTCCGACTGGTCCCTGTGCCTCCACCTGACATAGGTGTTAGGGTCGTTCTTGAAGGTGGCGAGGAGTATAAGATGGGATACCTCGCCCACAAGCCGCGGACGATCCTGGCGGGTCTAGACATGATTACCCAGCTTGGGGTTGAGATTGAAGACGACCCGATCCTGGGGCAGAGCGTCAAGGTCGATCGGCTGTTTTCGACGAATATCAGGGGGGTTTTTGCTGCGGGAGATGCGGCCACTCCGTTGAAGGTTGTTGCTAATGCGATGGGGAGTGGTAGGTCTTCCTCTCCTGTTTAACTTACTTTGTTGACAGCGTACTAGGATCCACCGTTGCAGCTGGTATCGTGCAGCAGCTAGTCGCAGATGATATGGAGCTCGTCCTGGCAGCACAGAAAACAGTTTAGATGTCAAGCAACCAACATATCCAAGTTTCACCCCCGTAGGAAGTTATTTCTCCCCCTAGCAAATAAACCCCATCCAACCAAACCAGTGTCCAAACACGGTAAACCTCAACGGCCGCTCAATAACCTCATACTCAAAGTTCCGCCCCAGCCCAGCGCCTTCATACAACGCCCGCATTCCCCCTCGGTAAACCCAGGCTTGTTAATCGTCTCCAGCACACCAGGCTGCTCTGACCCTAAAACAGCCCGTAGGTCAGCAGTCTCCGCATCTTCACCTGCAGTTTGCATTGGTGCCGGCAAACCCCATCAACAACAACAACACACACCCCACCCGGCTTCAAACACTCCTTCAACCGAGCCAGCAAATCGCCCCGCATCGGTAACATGGTGCAGTGCCATACAGACAACCACTACATCAAAGCCAGACAGCTCCACCTCCATTCCACTTTATGCAGGAGGATCAAGTAGATCCAGACGATACGCCCGCATCTTCTCCGGGTAGCCGTGCACCCGGGCCCAGGAGTTATACTCGACTACCATATTTTGGAGAGATCGAGGCCGATGGCTTGGGTTATGGATGGGAGGAGGGCTTGATGTTAGATTGTTAGCGAAGCTTGTTCTTTCGTGTTGGTGGGTTTGCGTACCTTGGTGACTGTGCCGGCGCCACAGGCGTAATCTAGTAGTCGGATAGACTCAGATTCTCACGGGTGTTCATGATGAGGGGTAGTGGACAGTTTCCCGGTCTTTGATCTCATCCATGATCATTTCGATGAGGGGCCGAAGTCGGTGTGGTGTGTGGAGGCGACATTGCTAGAATGATGTTAGTGTGTTGTGTGCCGGAGCTATCTATTTCTTACTTGAAGTGGGTGCGGTTGGTTGCTGTGAGGTCGCTCATGTTGGCAGGTTGATTGGACGGTATACTCTAAGGTGAAGAGTGATGGGATGGCACGTCTGTCTTATATGTTGAGGTAAGTACCCTGGGATCGTACCGTGTATAATGTAGCTGCTAGTCTACACATGACTAGCAGAAACAAGTAGATACATCAACCATATGATGGTAGATTTACTCAGAAACAGACTATAGCACTTGCTATCCCAATGATGATAATGCATACACTATATACCTATACCTGTCCAATGCCCATACTCTACATCCCAACGCCATACGTAACTCATGACTCATAACTAATTTTGCGGCAAGCCCTTCCCATCAGACAGATTCCGCAGAATCTCCTTGAGCTGCTTCAGCGGCGTAGGTTTCGTCAGGAACAGGTTCACCCCGCTCATCATGGCCTCGTGCTGCATCGACGCGGAGAGGACGGCAGTCAGGATGATAATAGTGGTCGGGGGACGCTTTTTCTTTCGTTCAAACGCGCGCATCTGCCGCGTGGCTGTGAGGCCGTCCATGACCGGCATGGAAATGTCTGCAGACATTAGAAGTGAAGAATGGAGAAACGACCGAAACGACTAACCCATGACGACTGCGTCGTATTTACCCGCCTTGAACTTTTCCAATGCCTCGAGCCCGTTCTTTGCCGTGTCGTAGGAGAAGCCGCCGGTTTTGACGCACATTTCAATGATCTATTCGCGTTAGAGGTGGCAAGGATCGCGGGTTGAGCTACGTACCTTCAGATTGACCGGGTTATCCTCTACGAGAAGAATATTCTTTGCTCCTTTGCGGTCATCCCCATCGGTGTTCTGTTGCTGCCGGGCTTCACCGTTAACTGCTCGTCCAAGGACAGGCTCTAGCACCCGATCTTTCTCGCCGTTCACCATGCCCTCAAACATGTTATCCGTGTCCGGGGGCGCGTCCTCCACAGGCCGCACGGGCGAGGGCAGTCTCCGCGGCGATGAACTGTTCGATCGCTCTGGCTGGCCCATACAATGCTCAAAAGCCGTGGCCAGCGTTTTCGGGCTCACCCTATTTGCTATTAGCAACGCACATAATTTGCGTGGAAACACTTACGGTTGGGTGAGGAAAATGACCGAATCCTCGACGCTCTCTCCCAAGGCCTTCCAGCTGCTCGTTCGGGCGGAGAGAACAATCAACGGGAGCGCAGGCTGGATCTCTCCACTGTCTGGCTTGGGCTCGTTCGAGCCTTCGATATAGTAGTTGCGATACTCGTGTTCCGTCACGATGGCGAAATCCGGCTTGGTCGAATCGAGCTCGTCAGGGGTCAGGACGCGGAGTCCGAACCAGCCGGATACCATGCGCCCGAGGCTGCTGCGGATGCGGTCGAAAACCCGAGGGTCGAATCCCAGGTCGCCCAACTTGGAGCTGCGTGTGAATAGTGAAACCGTCATGCCGCTCAGCTGCTCCTTCAAGGGGGCAAATGAGCGAGGGGACGAAGGACTGGACGCCTCGGGTGGTTCGATAGGCAGTACAACATCGACGTCCGTTCCCTTGCCGACTTCACTGGTGAACTTGATCTGCCCTTTGAGTGACTTGACGATTTGATGGACAAGATGCAGCCCGACTCCCAGGCCCGGAGAGGTCGTGTCTTCCTGCAGAAAGGCGCTGTAGAGATGATTTGTGAGAAAGTCCTTGGACATGCCGCGGCCCGAGTCACTGAACGTCATGCGAATCGCAGGGGTTTTCTTGCCATCCACCAGCAGGGTATCGCGTCTCATCCGCAGCCGGATGTAGCCCGCCTGGGTGTATTTGAGAGCATTACCGAAGAGATTCATGACCACTCGGCGCCAGGCACCGGCATATACACTAAACCGCCAGCTGTCCTGGCACTCGATATCGACGATGGTGATGAGACGGTTCTTCGGGCCGAGATCCTCCTTCTTGGCCAGCGCGTCACTATCCCCATTTGCGCCCCGCCGCTGGTACTCTGCGCCGGCAAGCAGACCCTCCACGACCTCTTGCACCAGCACGCTCAGGTTCTCGTCCTGAAGAGACCCTGGCACGGCACTCTGGGGCTTGGACACGTCGCTGCCGTGCGCGGCAGCCTTCTCTGATGGACGCGGCCGAGTGAGCGTATTGATCTTGGCATAATCTAGAAGGTGGTTCAATGTGTCCAGCAATGTGCGACCGCAGCTGTAGACCGTCTCAATCAGGGACTTCTGCGCGTAGCTATTGACCATTTCCTGCAGCAACTCGACCGTGCCCAGCAGCCCATGCAAAGGCGACCGCAGCTCGTGCGAGATAGACGAGATAAAGTCACTCTTGGCTCGGTCGGCGGCCTCCAAGTCGAACCGGGACACCTCGGCCATGACGGTGTTGCTAAAGGCAGCCAAGTACGTCAAGTCCTTGGGTTCCGACAGCACTCGGCCAGGGTCATTGGCCCATACCAGGCAGACGGTGAACCACCGGCCCCGCTGAAAGTCCCAGACGGGATAGACGGCGATACAGCGTGCATCCGGGAGGACCTTCATCAATTCCTTGATGTCCATGGTCTCCTGCTGGATATTCTTCTTTTCCGGCTCGGTCGACATTGCTCCGCGGCTTCCTGTGCGGGAGTAATTCATTTCATCGGCGACCCCCTCGTAGCTCAGGGAAATGGACCCATCTTCCTCGATATGGAAGATCTTACCCCGGGGATACTGGTCGATGAGATGGGTGATGAAACTACCCGAGAGCGAGACGTAGTGGCTATCGTTCAGGTTGACTCCTGCCTCGGAGGTAGTCGAGGTATAATGACCGAGCACGAGACTTCGGGACTGCGAGTCGTCATCCGACGCGTCGGTATCGGAACGGGACCCGGGGATGGACATCGATGGGGCCTGCTCCTCCATGCCGGCGGTGTCCAGGGATTGCTGGCCAATGTAAGCTTCAGGGTTATCAAGTTTAGACTCGGTAAATCCCACTGTCTGCCGCCGTGCGTACACGCTGGCGTCGATGAACATGGCGCCTTCGACGTCGAGGGCTTGGTAGATCATCGAAGCGGCGCGGTTGACTACGGACCGGACGTTGGTGGGCGCTAGGGAATCCTGCAATTGGCTAGTGGTGGGGGAGAGTGTTGGTCGCTTCTTGTGGCTCTTTTCGTCGGGCTTTGCGTCTTTCTCTTCTTCGTCGGTCTCGTGCTCGCCACCTTGTTTGAACCTTTGGACGGGGGATCCATGCTTGCCGTGCTTGTGCTTGGAGTGAGTCTCTGGTATTTCGTTGTCCTGGTCCTGGCCAGCATTGTCATCCTTGCCATCCGTATCATCCTTGTCATCCTCGCCATCCTGGCTATCCTCACGATTAGACCCGGTGATCTGTAGCTTCTCCAATTTCTTGTTCAGAAGACCCATCTGCCCCCCATATTTCTTATCCCGCGCATCCCCACTGTCAAACCACTCATTGAGATCCGACTTGCCTTTGACGAACAATCCCAGCGCCCGCACCATGCGCTCTTCACGGTACTCCTCCCGCATCGCTCGCTGACACAGCAAATGATCCATGACGGTGGCCGAGAGCTCCTTGAGAAGATGTTCCTGGTCCTCAGTCACCCCATCCCGCGGCTGATCATCCAGCACCGCCAGACTCCCAATCACATAGTCATCCGGCGACGTGATCGGCACCGAGACATAGAACCGGTTGTGGGGATGGCCTGTGACTGAGGGATGATTCTTGAACCGATCGTCGCTCGTCAAGTCACTAGCCACGAAAATATCTCGACCCTCTTCAATAAACGACTTGACCGCATGATAGCACATGGTCACCTTCTGGCGCGGCAGCCGGCGCACCCCCAGCCACAGCGCATCCGCCCGGTCGCGGCCGTCCGCCGCCCGCAGACTTAGGTCTGGTGTCGCCTCCGCAACCACATGCTGCATTGTCTTATCAAACAGGGAGATGAGAGCGCGCTGCGCGTTCATGCGGAGGGCGGCCAGCTGCGCAAAGACAGTGAGGACATTGTCGCGCGACACGTTCGGGTGGTGTCCGACCGACTGCTGGGCAAACTTTTCGGAGTCGGAGAAGCCCCAGTAGGGGAGGTAGCTACTCTGAATTAGTCATGGTCAATACAGAGGTTCAACCAAAATGATTACAGGTGCATTTCTCGTTCGCGAGCGCCCTCGCGGTTAAAAGCATACTTGCGTGGACCGCCTTCGCGGCTTTGGTTTGAACTGGCTGGCGAGTCCATCTATGGCTGTCAGCTCATGATCTAGCGGTGTGGCAAGTAAAACACACACTGGATTAGCCTGGTTGATGCTATCGAGAGCGTCGAGTCATTTATACGGGCTCAATGGGAGCAATTGGAATGGTGTGTGGTGTTGTTATCGGTAGAAAAAGGAAAAGATGGGCTGATTGTGATAGATGGCTGCAGCCGCTGGCGTCATAGGCTGTTGTCGCGCGATCTCTCACCGACGGCGGCAGAACCGAGAAGAAAGCGTCCCACCGCATATAATATAACCTTGGCGGGTATCTCGATAGTTTACTGTACATCGGTACCAGGGTACGATCGGCGGAGCCAATAATAGATGATGTTATACCGAAAACCGGAAACCGGCATACCCAGCTTCTAATTCATATGTGCGATGTGCTCAGTGTACGCCGAGTACTTGGTTGTTGGTATAAGTACGTGTTTTTCGGTGGAGGATGGATCAAGCAGGATCTGTGCTGACGTCATTAGCCGCGTCCCCCTGGACGGACAGACGCAGATCGACATCCCAACTGCTGCACAAGATGTCATGGCTGAGAGACATTTCCAGGCCGATTGATTGGATGCTTGCAGGCTTGGACAAATGCCATCATTTGGCATCCTACACTGACACCTCAGGCAGTCCTGTCACGTGGTATTTTCAATGCAGGATATCCAGACTGAAGACAAGGCAGCATAAATTCAACTGCCCTAAAGTGAGAAGCAGTTTAGATCTAACTGCATGATAGCTGTTAAATTGATCACCAACACTAAAGGCAACCCATGTTCAATTCCAGAGCACAGCCAGATGCACTTTCTCCCGCCTGTCGCTGGACAGTATTGGATTACTGATTGATTATATGACATTCCGAATAGCTTCATAATCTCTCAGATAGGTAAGCGATGATATAATCTGTCATACCTAGGAGTAAGCCCTGGTAGTACAGGGTTGTAGGATCAGATGGTTGATTCCTCTCTAGGAAGGCTGTGATACAGGGCGTGCTGATTAAGCAACAGGTGACCATCCACCAAAATATATAAGAGCTGATCGATAAGACTGCCGACTACGCGATCAGTGTTAACATGTATTGCATCACTATTTCTACTACACTACAAGTGGTAGACTGGATTCCTTTAGTTGAGCGTTTATGGTTAACAAATAAGGAAACGTAGCTTCTCCTGTTTGCCAAACGGACATAGGCCTATCTCGACTATCTCCGCTATAACTCCGCAGTAAGCGTAAGCGCAGGCTGTAGTCTGCAGCATATATTTAATCGATAATCCCCAGGTTACTTACTCGATCCTAAATGAAATTTCGAACACGAGTTTGAGTTGATTGAAGAATCAACAACATGCATCTCATCCTCACCGGCGCCACGGGCCTAGTTGGCTCCGGCGTCCTCGACGCTATGCTCGCCATGAAAGAAGTCACCAAAATATCCATCTTAAGCCGACGACCAGTCAAAATGGCCGAGGACGCCCAAGATCCCCGAGTGAAGGTCATCATCCACCCCGATTTTGAAACCTACGACCCAACAGTCCTCTCCCAGCTGCAGGGGGCAACAGGCTGCGTATGGGCTCTGGGTATCAGCCAAACAAAAGTCAACAAAGAGTATGTCGGCCCCTTCATTTCGAAGGAAATCTACTAAAAAGAAAAGGGAGTACATCAAAATCACCAAAACCTACGCCCTCGAAGCCGCAAAAGCCTTCCGCACTCTCCCTCCGCCAAACCAGCCCTTCCACTTCGTCTATGTCTCCGGCACAGGCGCCACCACACAGCCTGGCTTCTTCGCTTCACTCTTCGCCCGCGTCAAGGGCGAGACCGAGCTGGAACTCGCAGAGCTACGTCGCGAGACCCCACTGTTTAGGACGAGTTCCGTCCGGCCGGCGTTTATAGACCATGCGCACCACGACGCGATCAAAAAGTACCTTCCCCCGCGGCCTACATATGAGAAGCTGTTCCAGCCCTTTGGGCCTGTATTTCGGGCAGCGATGCCGGGGCTGTGTAGTCCGACGGAGCATCTGGGGAGGGTTCTGACGGAGATGGCGATGGGGAGGTATGAAGATCGGTTGGTTGGGGGGAAGGATGTGCAGATGGTGGGGGAGATGCCTATCCTCGAGAATACGGCGTTTCGGCGGTTAGCTGGGTTGAGTTCGTGATGCGACTGTTGTATATTGGTATAGTGAGGGGGCCATTGTATGTTAGGTTTGGCTTACGCGTATTTACATATGGTATGCTCTGCCTTTGAGGGGAGCATCGCCTTATCTACTGTCCTGGACCATCATAGCGTTGACTCGTTTCTTGCGCATGCAGATTGACCAGAAGGATCTGCTGTAGGACTGCTCTTACAGCTCGAAACGTGGATTGTGGTACCATACCTGTGACTTGCAACCGCGCCATTGAGGGTGAGGTCAGTACCTCTATAGTATACCCTTTGATGTAAGCGACAACTTCACCAGTTTATCGCAAGGTAAAGACATCTATATACACGTCTTCCTCTAGTCTATCTGAACCATCATGATCAATGAATCTCCAACGCCATAACACCATCTTTCTATGTGTGTGCAATCTACTGCTCAACCTCGCGAACAGCTCTCTCTACATCCCCAATCTTCCTCCGCCCAAAACGAAGTTTATACATCAGATTCTTCTCCTTGATCAGCAGCGCCCTCTTGCGTCGTCGGCGCGGATAGTTGATCGGACTTTCTGCCCCGGTGAAGATAGCCAGGTCATAGAGGAACGTCCCACAGAGTCCGCCAGTGATATCCGCAGCCCAAGGGCCCCATATCCACCAGGCACTTTTCTCTCGGAACACCTGGCCTCCCCAACCGGCCATGAGCGCAACCAATCTCGGACCAAAGTCACGGGCCCCATTAAAGCATCTGCACGGTCAGTAAATCATAACTGCAGACTGGAAGTGCTAAACTCACCCTCCAGTGTTATACCCCAACGCGAGAACAAGCACGCTAATCAATATCCCCAGGATAAACGCCTGCATGCCCGCCCCCGGCGGCGCATTGGTATCATCCCCCAGCGCCATAATCGTGCCGACTAGAATCGCCGTCCCAACAAACTCATTAAAAAACGCCGTAACAGGGTGCACAAAGTCCTTCGGCGCGGTAAGCAGCGCCTGTCTCGCCAGCGACTCGCCCTGCGTGACATGGTTCGCAAGCGCAGAGTCCACAATCGCATCGTGGTACAGCGCGTACGCGATCCCACCGGCCGTAATACCGCCGACAATCTGCGCCACGACGTACACCGTGCACTTCCTCGCTGGGAAGCCGCGCCAGACAGCCATGCTGATCGTGATCGCTGGGTTCAAGTGCCCGCCTGACACCCCGCCCGCCATGTAGATGGCGATCATGAACGCGAACCCCCACGCTGGCGCGAGCGACGGGAACGACCCCGCCTGGTTCTGCGAGGTATATGTCTGCAGGCCTGCGCAGAGGCCGAGCGTCATGGCGATGGTCGTGCCGAGCCACTCGGCCAGCGGTTCGCGGAACCGGTGTCTGATCTCTCCCCATTTATTGAAGAAGCCGCGTTCGTCCGGTTGGGCGACTCGGGCTTCGGGGTGTTCCTTTTCTTCTGCTTTGAGGTCGCCATTGTGAGGCGGGTGCTCGGTTGGTGGTTCGTCGGCCGCGGGGACTTTTTCTTGGTGTGCGTTGGGTCGTTTGGTCTTGGCTTCTGTGTCTTGATCGTCCCCGTTCCTCATCCCGGATCGCATAACATGAGGCAACGGTTGTGCCAGACTCCAGATTGGGGCGTTTTGCGGCTGGCCATAACGGGGGTTGTAGTGCATGTAATCAGGGTGCAGGTAGACGCCGCCTTGGTACGGCGGAGGGCGGTTTGAGCCTGTTAGGGAAAACTGCTGGGGAGCATTTGGGATTGGCCCATTGTCTTGGGACGGCTGCTGTATTGTTTCATCGGATTGGCAGTTGTGGGATTGCACATCTGTTGATGTTAGACAATCAGTGGTGATAGAGGGTACAGGTACACGTACGGTTTATCTCATGCAGTTGAGAGTTGTTCTCGGCCTCCATGGAAGCTTGCTGAGAGAAGCCCAAACACAGACCAAAAGAAATACAAAGAGCACAATTGATTGACGTTGCAATTCATCTACGGCAGGATTTGAGTATTATATGCAGAGTAGAGATAAGGCACCTATTACATCACAAAACAGCAAACTTGTCAGTCGCCCACCAAAATTCAATTCTGGCCAAATCGCGTCAATGAACGGAAAGTAAAAAAGTCTTCATCTAAAACCAGGCTGGAACCATGAAAATCCAGGTTAGGTGAAGACTTGTTGGTGCTGCTAAAGACCTCTGCAGCCATCGACTATGTGCACGCAGGAATCGCTCCCAGCCAATCATTTCTTCTCAGTCATAATGTCGACTTGATGTCATAGTAAAGGATTCTTGTGGAGATTGAACGAACAATCTAAGATCAGCGGGGCAGTACCCTAGTAGATAAGCCGTTTCATTCGCGGCATCTGTCGTCTTCAGGGATTTCCCGGCCACTAACAGCCCTGTGGGTTCGCCGTTGCTGCCAAGTTCTCTTGCGGAAGAGTCACTTAGTAGGATGATTTGCAGGGAGATTCATATTTCTTTAGCCAAAGTGCTTTGTGCACTTTTTGAATCTGAGCAATTAACTTTCATGCGAGAAATTCTACAGCCCACGAATTCGAGTACTTGCTCAATCAGTCCCGACTTTGCCTTCTTCCGCTGTAAACGGTCCCTATTTTGCAAAAACCACACTGGGTTAGGTGTGGGTTATACCGCATGCCCCTTCACATATGTATTAGGATGCGTCGGGAGCGGACCCAACTTCAGATGCTACCTTTCTATATCGTCCGCTTTGAAAACAGCGGGTGACTTCTCCCCGACCCTACCTATCTCCTGATCATCCTCGCGTGGACTTCTGTCTGGTTACTAATACCTTACCTTTGAAATGCCTTGCTTCTACGGCAGAGATCAGGCCGTTCGTATGCAGTCTAGCGGATACCCCGCTTGACACGTCACCTAGAGCGCATAAACTTATGAATAGAGAGGTTCTGGTCTTCTGTGCAATATAGGTCGAACAAGTCTTCCGCGCTCAATATTTCTTCGACAAGAAGATTGCCGTAAATAAAGACAATAATAATGCCATCCACTCCAATTGACGAAGTCATCTGTCAAACAGACAAGGACTATGGTACTGTGAGGGATTTCTTTGAAGCCAGGTCACAGATTTTTCGACGGCTTATGACTACACAAGAACTAGTAAGGCTAAGTACATTGGCACTTTGGGTTATAATGGTTCCCAAAACTAATAAAGAGATGGCATTTCCGGCAGGTCCAAGCAAGCCCTAAAGCAGAGAAACATTACAAAAACCAGAGAAAGCGCGCTACATATCCGACTGAAAAGCAAAAACAATCATTTTACCGCATGATGACGAAAATTGGTGATGACCTGCAGGTTAGAGAGAAAATCATACTCGGCCCCCACAAGACGATACATCTCCAGGCTCTCGATATCTGTTTAGCCCCGGGAGGGTATTCCGCGACCGTCTTGAAATATAACCCTCATGCTAAAGTGTGCGGTCTCAGTTTACCAATAGATGAGGGCGGGCATGATGTTCTTCTTCCGGGCTGGCAGACCGACCGCCGCGTGCAAATTAGGTTTACCGACATTACTATGCTCGCTGCAGAGATCGGCTTTCCCGATTTACCTTTACAAGACCATCCACAAGCATCCCAATTTTCGAATGAGTTACCTTTTCATAGTCGAACTTTCGATATCGTGTTTTGCGATGGACAGGTCCTGCATACACACGTACGGGCGAACGATTCCAAGAATGAGGCTTTTCGACTTACTAGCGCACAAATTATAATCGCACTGCAAAGAGTCAAGCCAGGCGGGACTATGGTCATGCTTCTACACCAAGCTTATAGCCCACATACTATAAGGCTCCTCGAGTCATTTAGCCACTTTTCTCAAATTTCGTTATTCAAGCCGAAAGTAAGTCACGCACAACGGAGCTCCTTCTACCTCGTGGCAAAATGTGTGGAGTCTAAAAGTGAGGCGGCGTGCCAATTGCTACATCACATGCGAGGAGTCTGGAGTTCGCATACAGTTGAGCAGTTTGGTGTGGATTTGCCGGAGCCTTACACTGGAGCAACGCAGAGAACTCTGCAAGAGCTCTTGGAATCGTTTGGAGAAAAGCTGGTTTCTCTAGCTGAGCCATTATGGGAGATTCAGATAGAGGCTATGGAACGGATGTTTCTGTGAACGCATGTGTTATTTATCTTCATTTTGTTTCCTTTTAAGAAAATGTCGTACGAGGCGCCAAATGGGTATGAAGGGCAGATATCCACGTTCTCTATAGGTATCAGCACATACTGCATCCGAGGAATGAACAGTATCCAAGGTAGCTGTAGGATATATAAAGAGCTTTATTCACCATTTCTTTACTTAATTATCGCAACACAAATCGAAACTAATCTCTTGCGGGTACTACTATGGCTATCATATAGTTACATGCTGGGCTTATTTGAGAATCCTTACTGTAATTCCTAATCTTATGAATCAACACAAGTGGGATTGGCTAGGTTAAGAGCTTCTGGTTTATAACACTGCCAGTAGAGTGTCAGCCAAGAAGTAAGTGAAGTTTGATATTAAGGTTGCAGCTTCTAAATCTGGCAGGTAATATACATGTTTACTGCTACTACAATAACTACGCTACATCACTAAAACCAATAAGGTTGGCATTTGTATTACCTAAACCTGTTCCACTGCCATTGCGTTTCTTGCTGGGGGATCCTCCTGGCTTGTCTGGATCAGGTGGATGTTCGGATGGGCCTGCACAGTCTCCGTTATGAATTGCCTCGTCCGCTGTCTGACTGCCAATTTCATTTCAGGACCCTGGTTTTTCTGCTACCGATCTTGACATCCGGGAAGGATTCGTTGTAGTACAAGTAGCATGTAGCACAGGGAGATACTTCAAGCATTCCTCAATCAAGACTGACGCCAGAAAGGTTTTTCCTAGAAGCAATTAGTGATTACGGACCTGGAATTGCATGCAGCCCTAGATATTACCTGTCCCTGGACGCCCGATGATCCATACGGAGATAACCAGTCTTGACCTTGGCCTCGTCCAAAATCCAATCACCGCTGCTGGGGTACTGCTTTCGATCATGACATATGCTGTTATGCTCAGTTTCAGTCTCCGGTCCTGCAATCCAGCTTCGGACTTCGTTGAGTTCTCGCTCATTGAGGTCAAGGATCTCCTTGTCAACCTGCCGCAAATGGACACGGATTTGCTGCATGCCCACCTCGTATTTCCCGGGGTAACTGTTGTGTATGGCTCGTGTCTTGTCCTCGATCAGCGTTGTATGGGACCGTATCGGTGTAAAACGCTCTCAAATCTTTTGCCGAAGTTTTTGCAGAGCGGACTGAATACAGCCTGCAGGGCTGCAACTTGGGAGCATTAGTATAGCCCATCGGATCAGTTGATTGACATCGCAGACATGTTGCGACAGTGCGGATGCTGCTAGGAGAAGATGAAGGACCATACAGTGAGGCGCTACTTGGAGCAGCTAAAAATGGCCATTCCGCAGTTGTTCAGTTGCTGCTGGAACAGGGAATATCAATTGACTCAAGAAAGGAGCCGACTTGGGAATCAGCCCTATGCCTAGCGACTGCCAACGGAGATGAAAAAATGGTACGACTCCTGCTCGAGAAAGGTGCAAGGACTGATGGGTCAACGGATTGTGGATTGACGGCGCGGCACAGAGCTTGCAGTGACGGCCCATGGACGGTTTGTTCGTTCTCTGATGGACGGAACGCTGCTGAATGGGAACTTAGACGGCATGTTTCCGCTCACACCATGTTGGATGGATGTCCGCTTAAATGCTTGTCAATCAAGGTCCATTAGATTACACATGAGGTAGTGCGCAAGGATTTCCCCTGTTGTACGATAGCTATTCTCCGCCCCCTTGGTGTTGAATTAAATCAGCTGTCATAGGCGTTCGCACAAGTGCAAGTGTCTCCATAAATATCAAACAGCATTTATATTAGGATATCGAATACTGGCATACTCGAATACCAGACCTACTGCTGCTGTTTCACAATCACCACGGGCCCAGAATACTCCTTCCGCCCCTTGACGAGGTACATGACAAGACTGATGATAAAGACACCTCCGAAGATCACCACACTCCAGTTAAAGTTGTCCGGAGTCACTGACGTCTCGCTAGGCCACAGGGACCAGAAAAGCGCAAAACAGCAGTAGAGCAGCCCGATGATGTTCACTGCTAAACCCCATCGTCCCATATTCCACCGACAGGGCGGGAGAGTCTCGGGATGTCGGATCTTGCGGTAGATCACGCAGCTGATGGAGATGATGTAGGTGTACATCAGAGCTGCCACGTTAAGGGAAATGATTGCGTTGAATGCTGTCAATGATCCGATGTTGATGAGGGAGAGGAGACAGCTGATGAGGCAAGACAGGGCGATTGCATTCACGGGGATCTTGCGCTTTGGGTCAACCTTGGCGATCCAGAAGGCGAACGGGAGGCCCTTATCGCGAGCGAAAGCAAAGGTTTGGCGTGAGGTTGAGGCGTTGAACAGGATATTGCTGAAGATAACAGGTAGTAAAATGATTGCCGTCAGACCGTTTACTCCCGCCGTTGAGGTAGCGTTCTTGAAGACGTAGATAAAGGGAAAGCCAGTTGCATCGTCCAGGGCGTCTTCCACGGATGGGATGGCGAAGAGGTAGGCAATCAGCAGTACGACTGCCATGATACCGTTGCTAAAATAGCCCCAGGCAATGGCCTTAGGTACATTTCGGCCTGCGTCCTTGACCTCTTCAGACATGTGTGCTGTAGCGTCGGAACCTACAGCATTATTAGATATATACCTTCGGGCGAGATCAAGAGACGTGGTACATACTCAGAGAGCCATAGATTGCGGAGATTTGTCCGATCATGACGCTCAATCCCATGCTAGACCATCCTCCCATATTTGTCCAGCCGGTGATAAAGACAGTCTCAGCCGATTGGTGGGGAGCCATGGCCCAGAGGACAATAACCACCACCGCCCAGGACAGAATATGCAGTATCATGAGGAGATTGTTAAGGAGGGGCATCAGATTGGCCGCGTACACATTGAACACGTAGATCACCAGGATCATCGCAAAGACAAACAGCGTGCCCTGCCAGTTCTCCGCAACATACTCAGGATTGCGCACGCTGATTAGACCCTGTATAATGGTGCCGGTGAGAAAGGATCCCGAGGCGGATCCGGCTTGCCACGCTAATACAGACATCCAACCTACATTGCAGGAACACAATCGTCAGAGCGCGCTAGTTTTAATGCGGGGCAAGGCGGAGCCTACCTGTAATATAGCTGAGGAACTTTTGGTATCTAGGAGATGCAAACTCAGAGACCCAATGGTACTGCCCACCCGAGGTTGGTGCCCTAACGATGCAGCAAGTCAGAGTTATTGACAGGAGACCCAATTAGAGGTGTCATACATAGACGCCATTTCCGACAGCGAAGCGATGATGAAGCCAAATCCGACAAACGTCCAGACATATGACCAAAACATACCCGCCAGGCCTCCGTTCTCTAGGCCCTGAGAGTTCGAGCTGTAACCGCAAAATCTCTGTCAAAATGCCCTGCGTCGTTGAATCGGAGACAACTCACATGAGGATAAACTCCCATGTTGCTTGAAGGACTGATGCAAAGCTCAATGCGGCCAAGGGTCGCAAGTTTCTCTTTCAAAAGACGTTAGACAGCACCGTGCTAGATTATGGCCGAGCAGTCACCTTGAGCTCTTGGACTTTTCCCATCCGTTGCATATCATTGTCGTCGGACGCGGTTCCGGCCTCTCTAATGCCATTATGGTCAATTGGGCCGTTATCGTCCATCTGAATTGCTTCTACCACTGAGGCTTTGTTATGCATCTTCACAACGCACAGCCAGCCGCTGTGAAACCTCTCAAAGGAATAAATGGACAAACTGAAGGGTACAGGGATGGGGGAAGAGGGAAGAGCAAAAGGAGGAAAAGAGAATTGTTACCAGGCTGGACAAGGGGCCAAGCTAGCGACGGAATTAAATCCTGCAATCTAGTCTAAGTATTCGACTTCGGGGCCGAGATTGTCTTCAATTATGCGAGAGCGGCATATCACAGATTAATTGGTGGGGACACCGTCGATTCATGGTCGATTTAACCTTGTCTGTTATCAGGAATTTTCCGTCCTACCATCAAGCTATTGTTGTGGATTCGTCGCCGGTGCCAAGTATAGTCAAGTTAATCAAAGAGATTCCTAGCCCTCCCTTAGCGGAATCCTTCGTGCGTTGACCAAGTGGGGTGGTTGCTCCTCGGCCGTCAAACTAGAGACATGCATTACGACAAATGCCGTCTCACAAAAGATACTTCAAAACGGCTCAAGCCTTTCGAAAGCGATGGCAAAATGAAGAGACATGGAATTTCAGTATCGAATAACCAGGTGCACAGTGATCCCGCCGTTCTGATTCTTCATCGACATGGCTTGATGTGCATGATCTCAATCGCGCTACAGCAGACACCCTGGTCAGGGGAACGGAGACCAGTGCTGTTCTAGTCCTAGCGAGTAAGACGGCACTTTTCAGACCAATTTGGTCCGGGCGAGGATGCTAGATCGAAATTCTGGGCCAGTCATCCTGATCGCTCGATATTGCGTATGCAACACTGTGCAGGAGGCTAGACAAATCCTACCTTAGTCCGCGAACTTATGTTACTATATTGATGGCGAATTTTCCGGCCACTCCTGAAAATTTATCCTGAAAAGAGATAAGCAGAAGAGACTGTCGAAGGATGCGCCTGTTGATATTTTTTCTGCTGTTGGCTATGCCGTGTCCTCTCCGGGCATCGTATTGAGCGTACTCCGTACATCCTCGTCATGTCAACTCCTACAGCCTGGCCATCTGGCGTGAGCGCCCCTCTCACTGTCGAGAATAATAACAATCATAGCGCATTGATTGTTTTAATCACGGCGTTCTCTTTCGTGCTGGTGGTGGCCGCTCTGGCAGCACGGGTTTTCTCTTCATATAAAAGGCATACCGTACAGCGCGATGACTATTTATTTGGTATGGCTGTGGTATGTATTCGAATGACAACTAGCATTAATAAAGGGTTCTGAGCTTATATTCACTAGATTCTCGCTTTCGCTCAAGTCTCGGTGGTTTTCACGCAGGTCCATTATGGCTGGGGGACTCGGACAGAGTTAACGGCGGCAGACACAGATCGAATGCTTAGGGTATGTGGTTATCTAGTGATCTCTGTCTCGTGATTCTCACCGGGAAGGCCGCATATGCCGCCGACATTCTCTGCATCATTGCCCTAGGTCTCTCCAAGATCACCACCTCGATGTTTTACGAGGTGCTCTTCTCACAAGTCCGGCGACTCCTGATCCGAGCAGTACTCGGGGGAGTGATTGTCTGGACATTGGTGGCTATCATACTGCTAGCAGTGCGTTGTAGTCATGATCCATGGAACGACATCAGCGCGCAGTGCAAAGGGCTTGTATAATCTGACCCGTCCTCGAGTACAGGCAAATACTAACTGCTCAATAGCTTCCCCGGTGGCAAGCCATCACCGCGATGGATATAATCATCGAGATCCTGCTCTTCCTCTATTCAACGCTGGCAATATACAAGGTCCGGATATCTACCAAGAAGAAATTCTTGGTCCTCTGCGCTTTGGGTTGTCGAATTGTGTGAGTCGCTCACCGGCTTTCAACGATCCTTCCGCTGATCTTCTAATTTGCTAGTCTCGTGCCCCTCGCAGCCATCCGTCTCCACTATACGCAAGCACAAATCGAGTCCGACGATCCAGTCCTCCAGGGAGCCTTTGCCACGGTGGCAACCGAGCTATACCTTGCCATGAGCGTCGTCTGCTTAGTATCCGCCTTCCTCAAATCTTTCATGGCCGTCTATGTGGATGGAAATGGACTCGCGTACACAGAGAGCGCTTCTGTGTCGGTTTCAAAGTCGAGGGTACAAGCCTCGGCGGACGGTATTACTCGCAAGATCCGTCGCAGGACATCTGCTGGGGTCAATCAGCTTAGTGGCTGGGAACTGATGGAGGATGCGTCCGCTAAGCAATCTGGCTTCAATCAAGGATGGGAAATCACGAAAACTGTGCAGCTTGACATTCAAGACGAACCTATAGAGCTTGCAAATAGCAAGCAGCCTCCACGCGCAGTAGTGGCTAAGACTTGAATGCATACATGGATTGTGAAGATGTTAGTTATAGGTTAATGACAGACATGTCGCCTGGGCAACATTCTTATGCTGGTCTTTAGTGAACGCTACATTGAGACAAATGAGTTGCATCCAGTGAAACATCCAATGAACAACTCGGAATTTTGTCCGGAGAAAAGACTGACCAAGTCACTCCGCTTAGGGTGAGCATATACGTAGTACGACAGCCGGGACTCGGAAATATACCCTAATCGTTCATTCTAGCACACAAGGGTGACTAAAATTATCCAGTACGTATACTGCTTTAATTAACTTTTCAGGCTCGTATCAGCCTACTCTCCTAGCTAGACTACCCGCACCGCACCGCCTTAAAAGTCTGCCGTCTGGTGACTGAACGGCTTCTCGGAACACGGGGGAAGTACCGGGGAGTGCCCGGCTACTATACTGGACGGTTCCTCGCTAGCATATTTATCACTGTATATTCCCCGCGGAGAATTGGATCAATTTGCAAGGAACCAGACCTATACTCTAGACCGTGCAGAATGCATCTGATAGAAGACGTTCTCCTCTAGACCTCCACCACTCCGGGCGCAAAGCCATAATTATCCACAGTTATTCATGGCTCTACTAAAAGAGTAAGGAGTGTGGCTAAGATCTATCATCAGGAATGTTCGATATTCCCCAGGAACCTCGAATCCGGGCTTTACAGGGGAAATACAGCGCCATTTCAGACGTAATAGAACATACTAAGTGTGATAGCCAATTTTCCGCCCAATAAAACTTTAGTGATTACTTACAGTAAAAGAAAGTGAAAAAGGAGCTATAATGCCCCATTTATTAGGTACTTAATAGTATAAAGTAACTAGAAAAAGACTATAAGCATGCACCCTAAAGGTATAGCTAGGCACAGTGTATATCCTAGAATAAGTAGCAACAGTAACATAACTGCTTTATATATAAAAATCTAGAATGATATAAGGATAAGCAGTAAGAGGCAACTTACTAATAGATAAAGAGGTAATAGGTGCTCTAGAGTAGACAGGATATATAACCCCTAACCATACTTGACTTAGCTATCAAAAAGGAGTATCAGCACTGGATTACTGTAATTAATATAGTTACTACTTTCTGTGACGTGGAAGAGGGATCACCTATAAGGCTACTAAATATTATATAGAAACATCATACCTTAGATGTCTGACCATCTACTCCTGTAAAAAGGCAAGAATGCACATTATTTAAGGAACAAAAGTCCACTCTTTCCTAAGTAATTGTATCTGACTATATTAAAGCTTGGCATGAATGGCTAACCATTTGCTTTCTTTGCCTAGGAAATTCTTGTATGCTGGAATATAAGTAAGTCAAAAACTATAGTACCCCTAGGTCCCTCAGCCATCACTTTGTTGACTTTCACGCCATATAATATCCACAAGACACGCGGGTCAAATGCAGCACCTGCAAGGAAGAGTTAGAGAGTAAGTCAGCATTGATAAAGCATGCTAAGAGAGCGCATGGAACTGTATCACATCGGCTGTTGTCTGCCCTTGGCCCAATTTAGATTTTATATGCGCCTCCAGCCTGGCTATTTACAGACCCAAGAATCCCTTACTTGTTTGTTCTTTTTTGTTTTTCTTGACGCTGCATATTTAGGGCTGGTCCCTCGACATCCGATACTTCTGCTTGATATTCTAGTTCGCTTTATCTTAGTTGCATAGTTCCCTCGTCATGTTATTGTTGTACCTGTTGGTACAGTGCTACATCAAAGAGTAGACATATGCGGCGCCTCAGTATATTATTTGTAACTAACATGTGGCACCCTTCACACACTATTAAATCTATCTAAAGCCCTTAATCTATGAGCCTGTGCCCTTACTCTCTGTAACTAGGACTCTTATCATGCTAAAAAAAGTGATGAAGCTCTTCCACATCAAGACTCGTTACCCCACCGGAAAGGCGGGGGTGCTCAGCCTCATGCTCAAATGAGTTCAGGCTACGGCTTCCGCTGCCACTTCTTACTCCAAATTCTTTTCTCATTCCCACACCATGCCTGAGTTTCAACATGCTGCAGACGACAAAAAATGTCTATACCGCTACGAATCCGGGGTTATCCAGCTGAACGTGGAACGCCTAGGGCAGAACTCCAGCAGCAAAGCGCCCTGGGCTGTTTTAACCACCGAATCGACCGACAGTGGAGAAAATGCTCAACAACACCCAACACTTATTAGGAGTCAAATTACCTGTGCTTTACACCCTACGCTGTCCGGAAATGACGGGCTCCCGTGGACGTTGAATCGATTACGAATGGAGTGAGTTGTTAGGATCTGCGAAGCTCGACGAGGTGTTTGTTCCATTTGGTCTGTCTGACTTATACTCCTTTCAGGTATACTAAAGGCGCGGAGATTGTATCTCCCGAAAGCCAATTTTGCATCAGCTCTGCTATAATCTTCTGCAATCTTCCACACCTTTATCCAACTGCCAGGGGCAGCAGCTCCGCAGAACTCGAGGTATCATGGGGGTGCATACGACGCGATTATTACGCTCATACAAACGCATTTCCGCTACTGCAAGGATATCATGCTTGTGCTGTGGGCCGATCCAAATATAAGCTTTTTTAAGCGCGACGCAGAGCAAGAACGCGATGCTATGGTGGCTCAGCTTGAGAAAGTGCTTTACCGGGCGGACGAGCTCTATCGCACTCTTGCGCAACAGGGGTGTGAGTTTTCGATCTTTCCATCTCCAAGACCGTTCGAGTTGTGTCTGGCCCGAGCTAAGGAGACTGGTGGGGTATTTGAAGAGGGTGACTGGGATCGAAACCGGGGTGCTGAGTCCCGTGTCTGGCGCAGTGTTGAGCCAAATACATTGAAGAATGAGTCATCAAGCAGCACATGCATGGATGGGAAACCAGGCTATTGGATTCGAACAAGCTTTTTCGATTGGTTTGAAAGGAAGGATATGCAGTTTGTTTGAGATGAGAGTAGTGGTAGGTGCTTACAGTTGGGGGTTCAACCCCGCTCAGAGCATTGGCTGCGACACATCTGCGCCAGGGAAGTAAGAGAGTCGCAGCCTAAGTACAGTAACCAATCAGGACTGCGCCGCAGCAGACATACTAAATATGCCTAAGAGCAAGAAACTCCACATGGCAATGGTTGATTCGTAGGCACCAAATGCGATAAAGGTTTGCGACAGGGCGGAGTTTCGGGAGACTAAAAAGAAATAGCCCGGTCTATGAACCATTAATATGGAGCGTTTCCCTGCTCGAGAATGCCTAAGAGGCAATATGAATTATATGATAGCGGTTTAAGCAGCCGAAATTGAGTGAAGTGGTACTGTTACTACTGTAAGCGCTTCGACACGGAGGCCAGGAAATGACCTCAGCAGAAGCCGATTAATAATTTAGGCGTCGGCACGGATACATATTCGTAAGTTAGTTATTCGCATTCATATTCCTAGTTTGCATGTTGAGATAAGTGACTGTCTGAATGAGTCTTGTTGATTGATGTTAGTAGTAATCTATTACAGGGGCCAGATGCCTTATATATCTGTTCCCCATCCCTGCCATAAGGTTCAGCCACTGTGATACTCAATGTTACGAATATTCGTAACGAATACGATTATATTCGTAATTCGTGTCGACCCCTCCCAGGTGAACACAGAACAAGTTCTGTGGAACCACATGAACGCTCTTAAATTGATGCTTTTTTTTGGATGCATTTTGTATAATATCCTTGTCTCTCCCCACTTCTACTGTGTGCTTTCTCTAAAATACATCTCAACGTCGAGACATCTCTCGTGGAAGTTTATTCTCACTTTACAGTTGCATTACTCACGGCATTTCAATGTCACCCGGGTTTCATCTGGTGGAGTCTCTTCTCTTCATTTATGAATCCCTATTGAGCATCCTTCTGGGATCTATTGCTGGGGTCGTACTCGGCCTTGCTCTCATTAGTACCATTCTGTGCTCCCCCCTGTTGGCTATCTTGTCATGGTTTGGTGTTCGCTCCAACGCCTCTACGAGTCCTACCAGTCGACTGGAGCCAAAAGACCACACAACTCTGCAGGCATATCTCGATCATTTTACACAACTATATCCTGCTCTCATCCATGCCTGTGCCTTAGCCTCGCGACGACCGCACCAAACGGGCACTTTCGTCCAAAGTAAATGGTGGCCTGTAAAGCAAGATACGACTGTTGGTGCAGAACCGGATCTGCTTTCCGTTGAGTTTTTCGTTAAATCGACGTACACATATACATTGGCGACAGGGCTGTTCTTACGGCTAAACGAAGCGGGATGGTCGCGACAGATTTTACTCGAGTTTCTGCGGGATAAGGTGGAACAGAGTGGACTAGCGAGTCAAGAGGAGAGAGAAGCGTTCAGAGACCTAACGGAAAGAATGTTTTCCTCCCCCGAAAAGAATTATTGGCGGTGGATAACGTCACTTTATATCTCACACAAGTATCCACCGTCGCGGAGGAATGAAGTTCCTTCAGGAGAGCATGCTTATTATGTACAAAGTGATTCGCTGGAATGGCTGTTGAACAAAGGACTGTTCCTGGTCCCGGAAGACAGGAAGATGTACCGTCAGATGAGGAAACTGGCGTCGACATTACCGATGTGGAGAGTGATGAAGAAAGATAAGGATATAGAGAACGGGCGCGGACTTGAAGACTATTGGCAAATGATGGACTTACGTTCGGTATAGGGCGTCGAACTGTTACATACTCTCACTATTTTTTACATTTGCAACGGTAACGTACGTAGTAGATACTCACTTCCTTGGTTTGTTGTTCTGTGTTTCACAATTTTTTCAACAAACATATACCTTGTTGTCCTCCTCACCCTCATTACCATCCTCATCATGTTCATGGTCAGACTTAAACATCCTTGCTCTGACGAGGTTGGTATTGACTGCAACCTCTGGTACAGTAACAAAATATTGTCTTTGTGATCTCAGTTCAAGACAGTCAACTAAGCCAAGCTTTTATCAGAATGTAAATATTTCAACGTAGTATATCCAAAACCGAAGAATATAATAAAACCCTTATGGGTGCGCGAGCAGGCAGCCCAATGCCATACCCAGAGGACAAATGTGTAATGCGGTCAGAAATATAGTTATATTAATGTTATTATATTCTTCCTTAGAAGCAGGCGGCTCACTGACCAGCTCACTCGACTATACTAGATTATAATTTATAAGTTAAGAGGGGTCCGAGGGGAATACCTTCTAACTAGATCTCCTAGATTCTATAAAAGTCCACCCTGTCTTTACACCTAAGAAGCTTTATAAAGCCCTATCTATACCTCCTCTGCCTAGCCAGCTCTAGGACCCAGCTCCCTTACTTAAAGTTAATAATAGAGTTGCATTCGGTCTGAGTTCGGGCGAGTTCAAAACCAGTTGGAACTGAACTGCTGCGATTTTGAGTCCAAATCTTAGAAATTGGAACCAAACCTAATCTGTTCTAATTTAGTTTGAGTTTCACAGCAAACTCCGCCACTAGGCCTAGGTAGGCCTAGCTAGGCTTATACTAACTAACCATGATTAGATTTGATCATTTGGTTTGATTTCAGGCGAGTTAAGACTGCTATCATTCAGTGAATTTTTGCTGTTTTAAAATTTTAAATGATCATTAACTGCCATACTATCTACCATACTACTACTATACCTATAGAAAACTAATATGTTTATACATACCAACCTATGACAGAAATGATTATTCCCTTATATCTCAGCAACCACTAAATCTTTTGAATTAATATTTATATATTTAGATAGCCTAGATCTAGGGCTATCTAGTGATATCAAAGTTATTAGATATATCCTAGGAATGAGTGATCTCTATCTAAAACAGTGAGGGTTGGTTAGTCGAATGACTCGAATCCGATAAATCCTCAAGAATCGAAACCGACGGTTTTAACTGAACTTGAATCAGTTCCAACCTAGGGAAACCGAAACAGGTGCGATTCCATAGGCTTAGAACTGAACCCTCACTGCGGCGAGTTCGGTGAGGGTCGGATTCGATTTTAGCGGTTCAGTTAAGCAACTCTAGTTAATAACAAGGATAAATAGGAGGTTAACAAAATACTAGCATCCTAACTCTACTATCACAAGCTCTAATACTAGGTAAGATAGCTTAGTCATGACATTAATCTTGCCTGGTATCCAGCCTGAAATTTTAGGAACTCCCTAATATTACTCTATAACTTCTATACCTAGTATCTAGCCATGCCAGGCCTACTACTGTGCCTACTAGAATAGCTATAAGCAGCTAAAGATAATGTATTCCTTAATGATTACCCTGATGATGATAGACCCTAGATAAGGGCATCCAGAGCCTGGGTGGGGGGGGTTGGGTTATAATAATCTATCACTATGTTCCAGGGTTCCCTGCTGACCTCTTTACGCGGAGCTTTCTGCCTATCTTAACTACTTACCTCTTCAGGGCTGTTTAGATTATTTGCACTATTCCGCCCGCCCTCTGTTTACATATCTCTCTACTATGTACATATTTCTTCCCTCTCTTCTCTATGCTTAGTTTTCTATCGAAATACTACCATACTATCGAAATATGAGCAGTGCCGTCATACACAGTAACAAGCCACTACTATTACCTACACAGGAAAGTAGTATATTAATTAAAGCAGTGAGAGCAGCTAAAACAAATGGTGATATTTCTTTTTTAGATACCAGTCAATGCATTGCGAATAGCTTCAAAATATCATGAAATTAGAAGTTACGCTGTGGTTGGAAGTTATGGTGTGGTGTACCCACACTGCTTCCCAGTGTGGGTGCGCTATGAAGGCACAGATACCAGGGGATTAATAATTCAAATTGAAAAATTCAACCGTCCATTTAGTGATTAGTGACCATCCCGAACAGAGTCATCCTGCAATAGGTCTAGCGTGGGAATTATGCAGACATAAGGCCCACATAGTTGATACATTCGATCCAGCCGCGCATTTACGATAAGATTTATTGATTAAATGAACATCCGCCTTGGCGTGAGTATTATCAAGATCTAGAGACTGCTTGTATTCCACCTCGTTCGATCCTCGTTTGTCAGCATTTTCCTCCATTAGACACCATGCGGGTATATAGCCCGCTGTATTCTCAATCATCTCCAATGACTCTCTACAATATTATTCAAACCAAAAGATCAATCAATCACCATGTCCCTTGTCCTCATCACCGGAGCCACCGGCTTCATCGGCTCCCAGGTCGCCCTGCACGTCCTGGACGCGGGATACCGAGTCCGTCTCGTCATCCGTCGGCCCGAGCAGGCCGACAAGCTGCGCCGCGTTCTCGCTCACGACGAGCAAATTGAGTTCTCTATCGTTCCGGATATTACTGTCTCTGGTGCTTTCGATTCCTCCCTGCAGGACGTGCAGTATATTATGCATATCGCGTCGCCGATACCCAGTGGCGGCAGCGCAGATCTTCTGACTCCGGCCGTTCGAGGGACGTTGTCAATCCTGGAGTCCGCGGCCAAGTTCCCTTCAGTCAAGAAAGTCGTTATTATGGCGAGTGTGCTGTCGTTGGTTCCGCTGGGTGGGTTTGGGAGTTTGGATGTTGTTCGGGGTTTGTTTTTATTTCCTTCCTAGCGATGTCTACTTGGTTATCTCATGCGAGTCTTTATGTCAGACTGACCATAAGTCCAGAAACAAACGCAATCGACTACACGGTCGACCCTGAAAGGGTCCCCTCTTTGGACCCAATGGACCAGTATCACGCCAGCAAGCTCGCGTCATACAAAGCCACCATCGACTTCGTGGACGCCCAGCGCCCATCGTTCGACGTAGTCACGCTGCACCCTGTTCTCGTCTTCGGACGCAGCCTCATCCAAGACAATGCGGCTGACCTGGGCGGCTCGAACGGCATCCTTTTCCAGACGCTGGTCTCGGAGCAGCCCGAGCAGCCTCTTATGAGCCAGTATCTGGGTGTTCATGTGCTTGATGTTGCCGATGCGCACGTCAAGGCGCTGGACGAGAAGATTACGGGATTTGAATCGTATTTGTTGGCGGCGGAAAGAAGGACATGGGCGGAGGTAGAGACTTTTGTAAAAAAGGAGCTCCCTGAGTTTCCGCTGGGGTGGAAGAATGTGCAGGAGACGGCAAAATCCTATACTGTTGATGCTGGGAAGGCGAGGAGGGAGTTTCGGATGGAGTTTAAGGGCATGGAGAGGCAGGTGGGGGATTTGGTGAGGCAGCAGATGGAGTTGAGGGGGAAGGGGGTTTGAAGTGCTAATATTGGGGGTTTTTATTTTTTATTTTTTTATATACCATTATGATTAACTAACACATAGAATAAGAGCCAGTAAGTAGTAATAAATATCATGCTTGAAGCTAGATTCTGTAGACGCTTTTAGTATGATTCTTAAATTCTGAAATGCTTGATAGGAGGTAATTAATACTCCTTATGCTATATAATCTATACTAGGTAGTACCAGTACTAAATGCAGCAAGCTCTGCTCAGTGCAGGTTTTCTACATAATCCCTTACTTTTCAATGGGTTGAGAACGGATATCAGCTCTCAATCAGACACAGGAGGCAAACGGATATTGTACAGCCAGAGTAAGATATGCGCAAGACTAGCCCTAAAGGGCAATGCCAGTATCATACGTAAGACATGCAACGTCCCAAGATTAAGTTAGCTTTGCGCAGTTTTCAGGGATCGGATCGTTCATATCCAATGGCAGCGCGGTGCATTGTTGGGTTACTCGGGCTCGGGGCTCGGATATAAGCCTGTGCTCAAATTTGTAATGTTAGGCTTTACTTTTGATATGAGTACTATAATGCATGACAAATAAGTAGTGAGCGATTCAGGTATAAATAGCACGGATGGACTCGCACTTGACTGCCTCACATTCTCTAATCAACAGAAATCGACTCATCATTTCTATTTATACCCTTAAGACCGCATCTCGGTGCTGTCAAACTAAAGTAATCTTCCTACACTCATCACAATGACACCCACCAACACAGCTGCCTGGCTTTCCGAAGCAAAGAAGAGTCCATTTGAAATAAAAGAATCACCAGTCGGCGAGCCAGAGGCCAACGAAATCTTAATCCGCAACCATGCTGTCGCCATCAACCCAATCGATGGACTGATCCAAACGAAGGCCTTCTTCCCCTTGAACTACCCGACCATTCTCGGGCACGACATAGCCGGCGAGGTGATTTCCATCGGCAACAATGTCACCCGATTCAAACCCGGGATTCGCGTCCTAGGCCATGTCGTCGGGCTCATGGCCGGACGCACCGAGGCCAGCGGTTTCCAGACCTACACTATCCTACAAGACAACCTCGCCTGCGAAATACCTGACCACATCACTTACGAACAAGCCGTCGTGTTGCCTCTCTGTCTCTCAACTGCCGCAAGTGGAATGTTCCAAGAGGATTTCCTCCATCTGAACCTCCCGAGCGAACCACGCGCTGCGTCCACTGGACAGACACTTATAGTCTGGGGCGGTGCATCCAGCGTCGGCAGTAATGCTATCCAACTCGCTGTCGCTGCAGGCTACGAGGTGATTACCACTGCATCTCCGAAGAACTTCGACTACGTTAAACGCCTAGGGCCCAGCCAGGTCTTCGACTACAGCAGTCCAACTGTCGTGGAGGACATCGTCCAAGCAGCCAAAGACAAGGTTCTCGCCGGTGCAATCGACTGTATCGGGTTTACTGCCACGGCAGCGTGCATTGATATTCTGAGCAAGTCACAAGGGAAGAAGTTTGTCGCTACTGTCAAGGGCGGCTTTGCGCCGCCTCCGGATGGGATTCAGGTGAAGCATATATTCGGGACTACGCTCAAGGACAACTTTGTTGGAAAAGCCGTGTACGAGGACTTTCTCCCGCGCGCGCTGCAGTCAGGAACTTTTGTGCCTGCCCCTGAGCCTCTGGTGGTGGGGACGGGGCTGGAAAAGGTGCAGGAGGCGGTGGATTTGTATGGGAAGGGGGGCATTTCTGCGAAGAAGTTGGTTGTTCTGCTATAGTTTGGTGAATGTGTCTTATAAGTAGTTAGAGTGAAGAACTTGGGTTTTATCTGTTTGAGTATAGTTCATCCATACGATATTGCGGTGATTATGGGCTCGGTGATTCGGAGCTACCGCAATAAAGCCGAAGCGCCAGAATTTGCTTGTGTAAGCAGGCAGCAGCCAAGTAAGCCTATAAATATAGCTCAGTAAATCCATGACTCGTATGTATTCTCTGAATCTGATGAACTAGATGATTCCCTCAGGATGGTCTACCTCGGCCCCTCGCGAGGATGTGAAACATGCAAACGGCGGAGGAAGAAGGTTGGTCATACCCATAGCCTACGGCAGAGCTAATTTAATACAGTGCGATAAAGCTCGTCCTGTGAGATTCACTCTATCCTGCACTTTTTGTATACTTGCAGCTCGTTAACCACGGAGCAGTCATGTCTGCGATGCCAAAATTCAAACCGCACATGTGCAGGCTACCAAGAACAAGCCAGCCAGACGCTGATCTTCCAGCGGAACTATACTGAGACCATAACCGCCACTGACTACTGGGCGGGTGTAAAGCCCCTCGCGCGAAAGTGTAGTCTACCGGTTCGAGCACCATACCCTGGTACAGATACCCTACCGGATGACGCTGCTCCAAAAGAAGTGAGCGAGGAGGATGTAGTGGAATATGCCGTGCGTGGATTCTTCTACGACTTTTCCGTTTCCTCACAGGATAGCATCAGCGCATCCGTTGGCTTTCTCAATGATCTTGAGATGCAGGTCAAGCGCAAAGGAATGGACTCGGTTCTTGCAAATGCCTGCACGATGATTAGCTATGCGAGTAATGCTAAGAAGCTGTATCGGCCGTCTTTCATCACCAAGGCAGAGGTTTTGTACCACGAGTTGCTGCGGTATCTGGCAGAGGAGATTGCAAGGTCAGGACTTGTGGGGGAGAGGTCAGAGCCTGTTCAGCTGGCTTGGCTGATGGGTCTTTACGAGGTATGTCACTCTTGCAGCTTGGCTGTAGCGGATTACTGATAGGGCAGGTTGTCATGGCTGATGAGACACGTCTTGAACAAATCGACGTACATGTTAGAGGGATAGCGGGAATGTTGCAAATCCAGAACTCGCCATTGGGCTTTATCCGTGGAGTATTCTCTTGTAACTCCCTTGACCCAGGGACGCAGATGAAAGTCAGTAAATGCACATATTCAGTCTACTAAGCTGACTGTCTAGGACCCCGGTCTTGTGCGCTTGCCACATTGGGCCAGTAACCTGGGATTACTACACGACATCCTGCTTGACATATACTCCCTAAGGTTGGAAGGGGAACAAGTCTTGGCAAACTCAACATCGACAGAGTCGCGTCAACATGCCCTTTTACAGCTGGCTGCTATACTCAATGACCGCCTAGCACGGTGGGAGGAAAGTCTTTCGCCAGAGAGCAAGCCCACCACAATAGGCCACGTACGAGCGAGCAGTAACCCATACATTGAAGTCGGACACTGGCCCGGCCCATTGCACATGTACACTGACATTCGCGCGGCAGCCATCCTGAACGTTAGTCGCGTTGCACAATGCTACCTCCTCGATATTAGTTTCAGGCTCAAACTCATCCAGGCTGGCGTAGAGGACAACGATCAAGAGAGACTGAAGGCTACGCAGCTCATTCAGGACTTTACATCATCAATTGCGTACCACCTAGTTGAGGATTTGTATTCATTCTCTGCGACGGTGCAACGTGGCAATCCCATCGACCAGCCCGGAAGGGCAGCTGGGGGATTACTGTTGATGTATCCCCTGTACATTGCGTCTCAGCTATCCACCGTACCCCTTGAGTTGCAGGACTATTTCAAGCGGTGTCTAGTCTGGATTGGACAAAATATGGGAATTGGATACGCTTCTCTGTTGGCTAAGGTGAGATTTTACTGTCACAGGTCGAAGTCTCTGTCATGCTGATGTAGTATCATAGGCCCATTTCCATATTGATGACCTAACTGCTGCATGTATGATTGTGTACGGTGGATTGCTCTAAGGCATTAGATTTTCTACTGTGAAATGGCGGATTTAGTTTGAGATATGACACATGGTAGAGAACTGCGCAAAAAAGCACCGCGACGGCTCACTTATACCAGTACATACATGTCCATGTAGTATCTTAGAATCGGGACATGTAGCCCAAACCACCTTTCCACTGACATATAACCTCAGGACTAGGCAACTCATTTCCAAAAGGAGAGAGCGGGAGGCTCGTATTGCGCCTCAGCCACCACTAGCGTGCCTCTTATATGCCACGTTGCGCATGGCTATAAAACACAAAAGCCCTCATTGAAAATGACGACCTGACAATGGAAATGTTCTGTTCCATATCCAGTTCCAGCAGGGTAAAGAAATATCTCGACGAAGTAACCAGAGGTCCGTTCCGTTCCCCTCAACCTAGAACCCATACTAACACAGCCAGAATCGGTACTTGACAACCTCAACGAAACACTCGCTCCTCACTGGGCGGGCGCTAAAGACGTGTGGAACATTTTTTTTCTTCACACTTTTCAAGACGGATTCGACCGCTGTATGTCCACATCCAACTTCTACATGCCAACACTAATCCCACAGACTGGGACGTCGAGAGTTTCCGCCGGTTCCTTGCCAGTCAGCATCGGGGCATTGCATCCCAGGAGACAGTGTATCTCCTCTGGCGCTGTCTGCATTTCTACGCGCATTATCCATTCGCATGTAGTTCTCGCGGGAGCAGGATCGATGTAAAGGGGTTTCAGCGGGCGATTGCCCTCCTTGTCTTTCGAGCCACGGACTCACTAGGGATGCGGGAGCGGGGGGATCACGATGAGGCGTCATTTCGGGAAGCGGACTTTCGGAGAATGCTTAAATGCATTAGCGAATCCGCGCAATTCTATTCCGCGGAGAACCAGTGGGCAGTAGACGACATCATGGACGTGCTGGCTACGACACTGCCTCACTCAAGTTTGGCGCCCTCACACGATGAGCTGCGAGATGCGGCCGAGAGGATACAACCTAGGGGTTTGATCAGGCGTCGACTTTTTCGAGATGAGTTCTCCCTTTTCGTGAGGTTACTCCTGCAGCTGAGAGTGTGGGATGTCCCGGGGCCATGCTTACCTTCTGGTATATTCGATGACGAATCCTCATCTGCTTGTCAGAAACTGGCGGACAGTATTGCGGATGCGGTTTGTAATGAAGACCAGACGGTCGATGCGGGAATCGTGGCAGATGTTCTCGTGAGTATATCCCTCATCTTTATGCCTAGATGGCCCTAACCCGTACAGCCGGGTCTTTGCGCACGATTCTACCGCTTCTGGGGCGTTATATTCCAGCCCCGCAGTCTAAGGGAGCTGATGGTAGCACCAGAGGAACGATTACCAAATTATATCCTGGCGGCAGTTTCTCTTTTGCTTCCGCTCGGCATGGACGCCTCCGGGTCAACTGATTGTAGTTTAAAGTTGCTGCCTCGAACGGAAGACCTAGGAATCGGCCACTTGCTGCAACATCTACGAGGCGATCACCATTCACATATTCTGTTGTTTACCGATGCGACTTGTACAGCTGTGCTAGGGGCATATATCCCTAATATGTCGAATCATGAAGCTGAGTCACAGTCCAGGAGCAGCCTGCTAGAGGGTAGGGGCCATTTCCTCTTTCAACTTAGTCCGAGGTTCTCTCTTTTACGGTCGACTGCGCTCGTATCATCGCGGGAAGAGCTGTTCTACGTTGAAAGCCCCTCCACAACAAACCAGAGACAGTCACCTTCCTATACGATAGGTCATGCAGAAGGAGGGGCTCGTCTGCGCGTTGATCCACAAAGTCTGACAGTTACAATGGTGACCAACCTGACGGCATCAAGTGAAGAGAAAGAGATCTATACAGATATGTGCAGGGGCCAGGACCGAGAATGGGAGCTCACAGTCCACCCTCCGCAACTGCATATACTGTGCATGCACCCCAGCACCAGCGCGCGAACCTGGAACAGGAATGGAAGCAAGGAGGGAGTCAGTGGAGAGGAATTGCGAAACAGAATTACCGGTTTTGGGTCTAGTATCAGCGAAAGACCGAGTCTTACCGTGTTGGAACGGTGGAATAGGTGGAATATTCGGCGTCAATTCTATGGTGGGACTTGCCCGTAGATTCGACAGCTGGAGATGGATGATATTGGATCATAAATACTTCTATCATTTACATGAGGATTCTTCGTCTTTCTCGTTTCCTATCCGATGCATAATACGTAGGTCAAGCATGTCAGGACAAACATCCATCCAGAAACACCGCGATACATGTGGCATTGTCCCTCCGCATGCCCTCTGCAACATCCCGGACCAGCTGGTCAGCTACCTGCTGCACGCTTAGTCCCCCTTCATGCCGTGTCTTGATTTCATCGATGATGGCATTGTCCTTCATCACGTTGGTCACACCATCTGTCGTCAAAGCCAGGATATATCGACGGTCTTGCCGCAGATCTACCCGGGTAATAGACGGTTCAGTAGACAAAAAGTTGCCCTGTTCAATCGACGGTGTCATGGCCGCTAGTTCCTGCCCTGTCGTGCTTGGGCCTGCAGTATCATTATTAAGCGGGTTCTTGTACTGCAGGTCTCCGAGCGCTCGCGACATATTCAAAGCTCCTATTCACGTTAGCTTTGTTGTAAGGAATGCAAAGCAGCATACCTATCCGTGCAGTCTCGGACTCATAGTTGACTACTCCCCCTGCATCTTCGATTCTCTCCTTCTCCTCCGGACAGTCGGGTTTGTGGTCTTGTGTCAAGCGACGCTACACTCTTAGTTTTGTCTACGGCACTGAAGGGGGACATAGCATACCACAGTCTCCAATTGCCCGGTTATATCGCACTCGCCCATGAGGACATGCGAGTCACCCAGGTTGCCCACTACCATCACGCCCTTGTTAAGGTTGATAATCACTACCGAGACCGTTGATCCCGAGATCGCGAATTTCTCCTCCCCCTCTTGACACTCCTCAAGAAGCGTTTCCTCTTCTTTTTGGATGGCCTGTCGGATTGCGTCCTCATAGCGACCGGCTTGTAGCGCGTCGCCTTCAAAGAGAAGCTCCCTGATGTGTCGCTTTGCGTGGTGCGCGACCTTTCTAGAGCCACTGTCTTCATTAATACACTTCAACCAATAATGAAAGGTGTCTGCCTTACTGTCCGTCGTAGACCGCAAAAATGGCTATTTCATCGTGAATCGTCGTCTTGGGAATCTCATCCGGAAGGATTATAGTGTATTGATCCTGCTGCGAGGGTCGGGTTCCTTGCGCCTACTGTCGTTAATATTTGACAGCTACGCGCCTCAAGGAATGCTTACACTGGCCCCTCCTGCTCCTCGTAATTTGATGGCATGTTTGGACGACTGTGCATGTGCACGGGAACCCATGTTGGTTTGTCAATTGCGATAGGACGGATGGAAATGCCAGTGTAGTACAACTGATTTATTTACTTTCTACTATTATGAAACGCGCACCTTGATCACTATTTATGGAAGCTGAGGCTTGAGTGGACATGCTTGATGACATCACTGGGAAGGCCTTGTAGAATCAAGCTTCAGGTTCCCGCATATCCTTGGCTTTTAGCCTTTTGCATTGGATTTGGGGATAGAAGCGGATGTTGGTCTGTGGTTTAGAGTCTGGATAGTGAGACTAAAAGTAATAAATATCCCTGTCACAATGGATGTTACAATGGCCTATTATTATGTCACATTGTGCGTCTATCGATTCACTGGTGAGGATAAGTCGGGTTTTAGTAGAGTCAATGAGCCTGCCAAGATATGGCGTCACTCTTACCACATCCGGACACCAGTGGAGATCTGACATGGACAGATCTACTAAGAGCTGCTGGAAGGAATTAGCAGGGTATCTGTGTGTTCTAGACCGGATGGCTATCCTTCCATGCAAGACTGCCAGTATGCAGATCAATAAATAGTACATACACATTGGCATTGAGACAACGTTACAATCATCACGCCAGTGTCTGTTAGCAGTAGACTGCTACTACTATCTCATGGTGACGGCAGCGAATGCTGGAAACTATATCCTCCTATCCTGAGTGATGGATACTGGCAGTGACGACATGACCAGTAAAATCAGCTGGATAGCTAAGCTGCCACTCTCTCATCATGACATCGTACCTCCAGCTATATAACCCAATCGTTCCTGTAAGAAGAAGCCCATAACCGTACAAAATGGCTGTTCCCGTGCGACTCCTACGCCCCATCCCACTCTCCATCCCCATTTCCAGATTCCAACCCTTTCCCATCGCAACAAGAAGCGTCTCCGCCTCTCCCATCCAAATGATCGGACGAATTACCGACACGGTCAAGCAGGATCACCGCGAGATCGAAGCCTGCTACCAAAGGATCATCAACGCAAAGGACCGCGATGAGCAGACTCGCTATCAGAATCTGTTCACCTGGGAATTAGCCCGGCACTCCATCGGCGAGGAGCTCGTCGTCTATCCTGCGTTCGAGAAACATCTCCCAGATGGAATTTCTATGGCAGAGAAAGACAGGAGGGAGCACCAAACTGTACACTCTCATCTTACTCTAATCTCCAGTGATAAAACTGACAACCACAGGTGAAAGAAAAACTCAAGAAATTCCAGAACTTGGACCCCTCAAACGCCGACTTCATTCCCACCATCAAATCCTTGATGGCCGATCTCGCAGAGCACATCAAGGAAGAAGAAACTAACGACCTGGTCAAGCTCGACCAGGCTCTGTCCCACGACGACAGCGTCAGTCTCTCCAAGAGCTTCGATCGGACCAAGATGTTTGTGCCGACGCGCTCGCATCCCAGTGCGCCCAACAAGCCACCCTTCGAGACGGCTGTGGGATTGTTAACTGCTCCCCTTGACCAGCTGGCGGATTTGTTCCGCAAGTGGCCGCATGAAGGACAGGAGTCGCCTATGGGTCATCAGCGGCCAATGGGTCATTAGTAGTGTTTGTAATAGTACCAATTTTATTTGCCATTATAGTTCGTGATTCGGTCTAGACTGTAGACTGTAGACTGTAGGACATATCTAAATCGACTGGTCACAGTGTAGATGTGGCCGGATCTAGACCAAGACAGGCATCGGCATCATAGATCACTTGGACGTCATTGGTAGCTCAGGCCACATGTCCAGATACCGGAAACAAGATCTGAAGCCAAGTTTCCGGAAACGTGCATAATCAGGGTAAAGTCAATCAGACGGTGATAGCACAATGACGCGGTGTGCGCTTAGCCCTAGTATAAACAGCACAACCTCACCCTTCCAGCAGCCAAGTTCAGGAATTCCGAACAATTGAATTGACACGAATTGACGAGAATTGACAAGAAGTGACAAGAATCGACCAATTGCTGAAATGTCCCGCACAGTCTGCATCACCGCGGTGGACGGCCACACTGGCTTCCTCATCGCCGAGCTACTCCTCACAAACGACACCTTCAAATCCCACATCAAGTCCGTCACCGGCCTCACCCTGCACCCCCACGCAGAAAAATGCAAGGAACTCGCCAAGCTGGGCGTCAAGATTGTTGCGCACGAACCAGGCCGTCTGAAGCACACCGTCCAGACCCTGCAGCAGATCGGCGCCGAGGCCATGTGCCTGATCCCGCCGGCGCATAAAGAGAAATTCGACATCACGATGGAGATGATCGAAGCGGCGAAGAAGGCTAATATTGCCAATGTCTGCTTCGTCAGCTCAGCGGGATGCGACCTCGCTGAGAGAGACAAGCAGCCTCATCTCCGGAGCTTTATTGATCTCGAGGCGGCATTTATGGCTTCCAAGGGGGATTCGTCTACTCAGACTGGGCATTCGCCTGTTGTTGTTAGGTATGCACCTCTTCCTTATTCTTAACTTGCTCCTAGAGGCGATGGCAAGCTGACGTGTGTAGGGCTGGCTTCTACGCCGAGAATCTCCTGCTGTACTCGGAGCAGGCGCAGACGGAGGGTATTCTCCCTATTCCTGTGGGACAGAATCATAAATTCGCTCCTATCGCGTTGGGTGTATGTTTTCTCCTCCCTTTGTGGGAATCAAACTGACCAAATAGGACGTCGCACAAGTGGTCGCCCATGTCCTCTGCGGCAAAGGCAAGCATGGCTTCGCCGATAAGCACCGCGGGCAACTAATGGTTCTGACCGGTATGTGCCTCAATAAACTACCTTGAGCGCAGGCGAGCTAACAGCGCAGGACCGATGCTCACGACCGGTGACGAACTCGCCAGCGCAGCCAGCCAGGCGCTGGGCACAGACCTCAAGTTCGAGAATATCTCAGAGTAAGATCTCTCCAATCATCTGAAAGCGACGAGCTGACAGTCCCAGGGCCGAGGCAAAGAAAGTCCTGCATGCGCAGTCGGAGAGCGACGAGTCCGAGCTGCAGTATCTTCTCGAGTACTACTCCCTTGTCCGCGAGGGCAAGACCAACTACATTTCCACCACTGCATTCCACGATGTGACGGGTGTTCATCCGCAGGAGCCGGTGGAGTTCTTCAAGGTGTACGCCGAGAGCTTCCGTCCTAAGCACGTGAACAAGAAGAGGAAGATGAGCAAGTGATTCTGCTTTTGTGAGATATGAAAAGTGAACACTGTATTCTACCTAGCTATCCTCAATATCTACTGCTTCTACACTATCGTTTTCATGTCCGTCGCTCTTCGTCTCAGCGCTGAGTAACCGTTCCTGCACTGTAATCTCTCCCTCCGTAATCCTCACCCTCTTTCCACCCACCTTGCTCACCCAATCCTTGCCATCTTCATCCAAAAGCACCAACCCCAGCACCCTCCCCACAGCCGTCCTCTCCAAAAACCCCTTCAACCGCCTAACCCCCGTCCGCCGCATACACCCCAAAACAACCAAACTCGCCACAATCCCCAGCGTCGCAGCCAACACCACAATCCCCGGAACCGCATACTGAAGCCTATACCGTATCCGCCTCTCAAACACCGTGACCGGTCGCACCTGGTTCTGGTCTGCAACAGCCCTCGTCCCCACCATAGCGTTCGCCGCGAAATCTGTCCACACGAGATCAAGAATCTTCGCTGCGCCGGCGGCAGTTGTCGAGAGATTCTGCCATTTCGCGTAGAGAGCGAGACTCGTCCAGCCGGTGTAATCTGCAAATGGCTGGCCGGCGGGTCTGCTGATGCTTAGTGCGCGGTAAAGCGACTGCGTGTAGAAGTCTACGCCTGGGAGGTTTTGGCCCGTGGAGACGGGGACCGGCGCGAGCCCTGTGAAGGGGGTGGTGGTGGGGTCGATGTAGCCCGGTAGGTAGAGGGATGGGCTGGCGATTGTAGACAGGTTGATGGCCGGGTTGGTGGGTGAAGTCGCGTTTTCGGGGAGGATGCCCCAGAGCGGTTGGACTTCTTCGAGAGTTCGGTCTGGGAGGTCTTCGACGGCCCAGAGGGGTGGAGAGGGGTACGTCTTTGCAGACAGTGAAGTGATTGACAGTGCGTCGAGGCCGGTGCCGTTGTAGTGGAAGGAGACGGTCTTGAGGCTGGCCTTGACCGCGCTGGCGCAGATGTAGAGCGGGATACTCCAGGGGGAGTTTGGGTCTGTTCGTAGCGGGGAGACGCCGTCTGTGCGGTTGGCCGCGCCGTAGACGAGGCCGCAGCCGATGAGGGCACTGGTGATGGTGGAGGGGCTGGACGAGGTTGTCCCGCCGCAGAGGGTTGTCGCAAGGTCGAAGTCTTTTTGGGTGATATTGTTGGGATTAACGGTGGAGTTACTCAAGCGAAGATTGAGGTACTCTCCCAGACTGATTGTCGTCTCGATGTTGCGATATCCAATGGTGAAGTTTGCATCCTGCAGCTTGAAGGTCTGTCCTGGCGTGACATCCAGACGCGTGATATTTGTAGGATCCCGATCCGTCGCATTGAAGTACGCCAGGGTAAGAAAGTTGTTATACCACGCCGCATTCCACGCTCTCTGCCGCAAATCAAACTTCTGCCCATTGACAGGAACACTGATCGAGGGACGAGGCTGCGCCAGATTCGACAGCCCCCCGTGGTCCTTCAGCACCAGATTAACAACAGAAAGACTCATCTCCAGAGCCGGCGGCAGCTGGAACTCGATCGAAAAGTTCAACGGCACGCACTGCGTCTCCGGCTGGATGAACAGGATATCTTCATCCCATCTCGAGCCGTACTTCAGTGCCTTGGCCGGCGCCGTATGATTCCTAAACCCTATCCCCCCGTCCACCATATCAACAATCAACCCCTCCACAGCCTCGACCTTCTCATCTAGGATCAAAACCTGCAGCGAGCGATACGACGGCTTCGCATACCATCCCAGCGCACTGTACTGGTCCGTCCCATTGAAAAAGGTTCGGTACTGCATGTCGAAAATACTCGAGACCGAAGGACCGAACGCGCTCGCCCCGTCGCGAAATACATCTGCCAGTTGCTCCGGGATAAGACTATCGTAGATGGCGCTACAGCTCTCCAGCAGACCCTGCTGGTGACATGTCTCATTCAGGCTCGTCCCCGGACAAGCCTGCTGGAGGCCGCAGTTGCGCGTAAATGGGGCATCGATGCGATCCGGCGTGCCGTAACTGAACGCGGATGTGCCTTTGATGTAGGCGAATGGTACAGGCGTTGGTGAGCCCGCCGGCTCGATGGAATCATATAGGCCCAGTGGAGTCACGATTGAGGCGACTGACACGACGCCTAGGATGATCGTGTGCATGTACCCGGTTATAGTCAGCCTCTTTTGCACGCCGGATACGGCCGCCGTGCTGGTGCCAAGGATGCTGGGCCATAGGGTTGAGTGGAGAAAGCGGGCGAGCACGTTCCTGTCTCAGATCAGTTTAATGTGGGACATGGAAGATGGCCGTTCGCGTACCAACTGATGATTGAGTTCTCGTCGGACAGGAAAGCGATGAGGATAAGTGGCAGAGACAGCGGGAGGAGTAATTGCAGGATGAACACGCCCGCGGCGATCAAGCCGGAAGCCTCTGCAACTGTGAGGCTGGCCATTATCTCAGACTCATCAGCCTTCGGAGATAATCGTCGTAAGATAGACTACATTATGTAGCCTCAAGGCTAGCTTAATTCGAGGCACCACCCAGAATACGAGACTACCCACCCTCGCATTGGTGGACACGATCCAACACGAGAACTAAATTACTTTCCCTTGGCGATGGACAATAGCCTCATCCTACTGGTGAATAAAAATTATCGCCTCGTATCCAGCCGCATTGGCCTTAGCTGCAACTGCAAGCCATCCCTGTTCCTGTCAGGAGACAATCAGCGCTCAAGCCTATTTACAACCCCAGTCCAGCCACAGCCACTCCCACTCCCACTCCCACACCCATCAACGCACCATTAATCCCCGTCGCGAGAGCCGCATTCGTGCTCTGACTCGGACTGGACGATGCGGTTGCAGTAGCAATAATGGCAGACCCAGAACCCAACGTTACCGAGGTCGTGCCCAACCCCCGCGTAGACGCAGACACGGACCCACTATTCCCACTGGGCAACGCAGTCGCGACCGCAGGATCCGGCGTGATAGCACTGGCGCTCTAGACACCTCCCGTCAGGCTTGATCGCAACAGGGAGAGAAAGAGAGAAACATACAACTAGATCGCAGCACCCCTCGCCGAAACATACCGTCCCCTCGGAACAACAGGTCTGGTACTTAGGGTTGTAGCATACTTGGTCGGGGTAACTCCCATAGCACCATTTCAGGGACGGATAAAGGCCGTTCTCGGAGCAGCATTCTTCGTTGGTTTGCTGTGGTGTGCAGGTTGTGCCAGACGACGAGGCGGAGCCCGTGGGGGAGGGGAGGAGGCCGTCTGTGCCTGGTGTTCCTGTTCCCTTCTTGTCGTCAGTATGTGTAGGAATTTAGGGAAGGGTAGGGGGGTACCAGGGCGCTGCAGCAGGAGTTATCCTTTGCTACGCAGAAATCTAGATCTGTTAGTACTAATAGGATATGTTGATGGAAGGGAGGAAATATACAGCCGCCTTTGCAGCATTGCTGCGCCTTTTTTGGATTGATGCAGCCTGCGTTGTCGCAGAGGATGTTTCCCGGGCCGTAGCAGTCAGAGCAGGTGTTTTTGGCGGTGCAGTTGCCGGTGGAGTCGCGGGCGAGGAGGGAGATATGGCCGGGGAGGGGGTTGTGCAATGCTGCGAGGGCAGTGCTGGCAAGGAGGAGAAGCAGCTTCATTTTCTTTGCACGGAGTAGTAACTTGAAAATAGTTGTTGGGTTGGAGGGATGGTCACTGAGTGGAGACTTATATATAAATATGAGCATAAGTTAGCCAAGGACATAGCGCAGTTTGTGTCGGAAAGGGATTGCTATGGGTTCTGGCTATGCCTAGCGCTATTATAATATCTCTTCGATCTTAATATAACTAGGTCACATTCTATTTTAGATTACGAAGGGTTATCTAACTGGGTAAAATCAAATACTAGTTTAAAGACTAGTACATAATCCTATGAGTTAATATACTCAAAGGATCATTATACCTCTAAAAGGTACTAATACTAGGGTGACAGAACTAAATGACTAAGATGGCTGCAACTTCTTACAGTCCACAGTTCAGATGTCACCCACTTGAATATCTGTAGTATAGCTGCCATGTTAGACAACTATTGTAACTCACTTTACCATACTGTTGATAATTCCATGTTTATAGAATGGACGGCAGTTCCATATCTTCCCGGCCGTAACCAGCCTCAACAAGGGATGCAAACTCAGCAGTCTGCTGGTAAGCTGCAAACAGGTCCGCAAGCCCTTTGTCTTCAGCTACGTCTTCCGCAACTGTATAGTTTCCTGGAACCAGGTCTCTCTTTATATAGCCGCAGCAAACAGGCGGGGTAATACAGGAAACGGGAGCGGTTTCCAGGTTACCGTTGAAGGCCGACACACAGAATTCGAAGTTCCAACTTCCTGGGAACAGGAAGCCGACTTCGTATGATGTCTCTGTCGTTGTACCATCCAGCTTCCGCGCCGTATTGTCCCTAACACTTCTGTAGTAAACGCCGTAGCCTGAAGTGCCGAATACCGCGTTCCACTCGAGTCGAATAGTGGTTGCATCGATGGTGTGCACACACAGCCCACTACTAATCACTCACTTTTTATATACCTTGGATGTGGGATTCCCATGGTCTTTTCCATAAGTTCGGAACACTTCGTTCCCCCCGCCTTGAGTGCTGAAATACGCGCGGCAGTTATCCTTGCTCGTCCAAACAATGTCGCCCCCTGTAGAAAGGTTCGGTAATTTGTCGGTAATCTTTTCAATAGTCTTGAGACCGGACATGGATGCGACAAAATCTCCGAGGAGGCCGAAGGCCTGGTATACGCGCTTGTCGTGCTGGCCATGCTCGGTGAGGTTCGTCGACGCTCTACAGGGATAACCTCGCCCGTGTTCAACATCCTGATCACCTCATCGTGCATTGCATGCAGTTCCGGCAGGCGCGCAGGGTCAGTGATCAATTTGTCCCCTAAAGGCCCACTGGAGTTGCCCCATTTTTGAGGTATAGTCGAAGAGACTTGAGCCAGCGGCGAGAGAGCTAGAAGCAGGTTGAGCAGTCTCATATTGTGATGACAGCACGAGGCTATACTGTTTGGCTACAGCAGACACCATGAACAATGGACCCTCCATCTCAATGGGCAGTTCCCCTTTTATATGCCTTACCCCTGAGCTGACATGCTGGAGGGTCCAACCCTCAGCTAAAAGAGAGCTGAAAAGCAGTAGTGAGCAGCCAAGTCTCTAGGATCATCTGCCGTATTCAACTCTTTGGTCCTTGCTAGTACTTATCATTGTTCCTAGACTCCGATACCCACGTCTTGCGCAGGGCATAAGCATGAGCACCCGACTTTTCTAGTGGTATTCTCACATAAGATTGAGAGAACATGACCACTGAATGCTTGGAACCGTGCCAAGCCCTGGTCCTTGGCGTGCATCTAGTATAATTAAGGCAAGACTTCATTCCGCTTCAAGATACCAGACTTCCTGCAGACATCCAGTGGGGGTTCGAAATAAGTGTGCTGGTTCGTTGGTTCGTATTTTTGATTTAGCAGCAGTACATGCTTGGTCAGCAAATCGTTGCGAGATCAAGAGGTAAGCGTGGAGGTCAGCGCCTAAGCTGGAGTTTGTTTCTAACATATGCCAGAGCAGCCATACTGTTAGCCCACTCAACTGACTTACTAGATTAATCACTGACTGATTCATTCTACCAATCACAAGTAAATCCCTAGTAATTCATGACCCCGTATCGCCTTATATCTGCTTTCTCCGCTTCAACTCCAGCAGCCGATGAGCCGCCAAATCATTGACGACTTTATTCGCCAGCTTCTCAAAATCCACCTCCCCGTCACTGCACTCATCCACAGCCGACTGAAGAGCCTCGCACTCCCAGCACAGACAAATATGATACTCCATGCCAAAGTAGTCTCTGAACAGCAACGACGTCTCGTCCGACTGCGTCCGCAGCACCCCCGGCGGGATGGTATCGTCGTGGTTGATGAACCGGCCCGCCCGTTTCTCCATACCGGTTTTGTACATGCTCGCCGAGCATTGATGCGTATGCCACACCAGGTCGATGTCCAGCGTTGGGACCAGAGTCGTTCCCGGACGGAGTTTGAATAGCTGTAAGAAGTACTCGTAGCGGGTGATTGCTCTGGACAGCGTCCCGTGGACGCCAGGGCTGCGGATCCAGAGGTATCCGACCATCTTGTCGACGAAGACGCGTTGGCGCTCGATTGCGGCGAATAGATATGTCGCGTATGGGCCTGGGTAGGCGGCTGCGTGGCAGGATGTAATGAAGGCGCTGTGCGGTAGCTCCTCTTTCTTGTCCAGACTGAGACTGACCAGCACATTTAGGTACACCCGATTGTCAGGTGCCGAGTCCTTGTAAGCGTGTAGGAGAGAGGTATAAGCCTCAGGCTTTGGACTCAGAAGATAGGCCAGCAGGTCTGCTTCCTGGCCAGTCAGGCTCATGAAGTGCTCCCTTGCGTCGGACGGCAGACTGAAACTCCAGTCTTCGTCATTGATGCATTGGTGCTAGACAGTCAGCTTCGACCAGAATTTGAAGAAAGGACTTACAATCTGGCCCCATGGGAATACCACGCGCCGCATGCACTTGATCCCACTGTTCTCACAGTACTTACTGAACCATGCCGGGTTCAACAGGGCAGAGTGCCACGCGATGAGCACATCTAATCATTAGCCATTGCTCTGGAATTATTGGATAACATACCTAGTGGAGGACAGGCCGGCAACTCAAGGACTTTATTCTTATTTGAAGCTAACGTCTCATCCATCTTCTTCAGCCAGAGAAAGAATCTGGCGACTCCCAGCCTGAGATAAAATGGCCATTTGATCTGTCGTTTCTGCTGAAACCTAGGATCTTTTACCTCCATGGTTTTCCGGGAGTAACGTTGCACCACTGTCCGCTTCTCTGGCTTGATGTTGAGGATCACATCCAAGTCCTTTGAATTGAGCACTTCCCGGCGGATATGGTTGATCGCCTGCAACAGTTCCAAGTGCGCGGCACATTGAGCCATGTTTGGGAGGGATGTAGCATCAGTCGACGCAATTGGATCCTCGAAGATCCTAGGATCGGGAACTCGTATGTCTTCATTGAGATCGCCAAAATTCTGCTTTCGAGCTCTGTCGGACGCCAACACCGCGTTGAAGGACCCGGCGTTCTTGTGCAGCATTGTCTGCGATGCAGTGCATAGGACGGCCATTTTGATCGTGATGCGCAAGACAGAAACCTGCTGGTTCCGTGTCGATTGTTAAGTATCCAACGGTAGATATATGCTCAGACCGAGCAAACGGTCAGTTGAACACATCCAGCCTTGCCAAGCGTGGGGCGCAGCTTGCCAGTCATTTGATGTGCGTGAATTTGATGCGTGAATTTGCCTTGGTGCCCAGAATACGAGCATCACAGCCCCCCAGGCTCGGATAGGCACACGTGAACTGCTCCTAGCGCAAGGCTGATCGTGTGATGTTTCTGAATACTTAAGACTGCATTAGAAGCAGTTATATAAGGTTCATACTGCAGTGTGCAGTCATTTAATCACCACATAACATACCAACTCAATTTATCTAATGTCGCGACTGTCCCGGTTATTCGACAAGTCTAAACAGACTCAACCTGTTTCCTCGGGGAACCCAGGCGATCCTGCCTGGACTGACGTCGGAAATGCCGCCGATCACCTTCTAGCAGAGCTTGAATCTCTCTATTGGACTGGTGTCAATCAAGAGCTGAACTGCATTGTTTCCACTCTACGACAATGGCAGCAATCCGAGTTCCAGCATATCCGCCCTGACGCAGACAATGCACTAGTCAACGGCTTCGACACGTTTATCGCGAATGTCGTCCCACCGTCCACGCTTACACCCCCCACGCTACCATCCCAAGTATCCACTAGCCTCAACCTAAAGGTATGCGTGGTGAGGAGCGCACAAGTCCGTGCGATGGAGCTGGCAGCAGCGAAGACGAGGACGGAGGTGAATGCCGATGTACATGAACGCCTTTTACAACGTCCTGTTGAGACGGATGCTGCCAAACGACGAGCACGTCTGCTTCTCCAAGCAGCTGGGTTCTTGGACATCGAAAAAGCCATTGAGCACTCACCGGCAGGAAATACGCCCAGCCCTCTCACTCCGCAGTTACGAATGATCAAGAAAGGGTTCAAGGGGTGTCCAGTCGTCTCAACCCTCCTTTGCAGTAAATGCAAACGTGTCATCCGGGGGAGTATGTATCAAGCCACTGGCAAGTCGACACAGACAATCTGCGAGGATTGCTACTGGGAGCACCATTACGGAGACCCGGCCTACATCAAGCAATACAAGCATTCCATTGCTTCTCAGGTAGACGACTACATCAGTAAGCATACTCGCTGCAGTTCCTGTCGAAAACATGCGAATGAAATTTGGCGACCATCTGGGCTACAGGGCAAACCAGGGGTGCATATGTTGGCCGACGCAAAGTACTTGAGCGTCAAGGAAGCACAGAAGAAATCAGGTCTTTCAAGTCGTCCTACTCCCTTGGCGAAGGTAATTCAGAGTGATTACAATAGTCGGTCTGGCATCTACTCTGCCGCTTCAAGGTCTGGCAACATGCGCCTGGTCGGGGACGAGTGGCTGTACAAGGATTTCGTGCAGGAGAACCCATGGAAGAACATTCGCGTGGCCGTTCGGGTTGGGCCACTGGTGTTTGAAAACGGTAGTGAAGAGTAAGTGTGCTCCGACAGTAATTGAAAATGCTAATGGTAACAGGAGTAGAAATGGGGTCGGAATATCCCTTCGCGATCCAATTTTCGGACAAGAGCAACAAACGGCAGACCTCACTTTCCTTGCCGTCTGTGGGGAAACAGAAAGACAGCTATGGCGCCATGCCAGTGGTGGACCACAAAAAAGGAAACGCTTCCAAGCGGTTCTGAAACAAGTCGTCGGGACTCCTTTCACAGGCTGGCCGTTATCGGAAGCAGAGGACCAGATCATTACACTACTGGTGAAAGCAAGCAGTGACAGTGCGGAGGGTACACGCCAGGAACTGCACGACAAAATCAAAGCGTTTCTTAGTCCATGGCTGTCAGTTTACTTCAAAAGTATTGCGGGAAGGTTGCTGGACAGCAAGACCAGACTCACATGGGACGGATTGACCAATAACTGCCAGCAATTCTGTAACTCGCTGATCGACTGGGAAGCCTTTGGACCACTTGTCGCTCCGGCTTTAGTCACTCTCTCGGACAACGACCCCCCGCAACCGCTCTACCGCATGAGCTTCGTCTGTCGCCCTCGCGCGGCACAAAATCCGTTCGAACACCCAAACACCATCACCAACGTCCCGTACGGGCTGACAGAGGAGTATATCCGCCGCTTTCACTTTGGCTGCTATACCGGCCCCGACCTGATTGATTCCCTGCACGAATACTGGTACGACTGGGCCGGATTCAACAAACACCTCTATCCTCATCAAACCCTCTTCCCGTGGGACTGCACCGAAGCACTCCACCGCTACCCAGCCAAGTGCGGCACCTGCACCCTCTCCAAACACCTCTGGGCCTTCCCATTCGACTCCTGGTCAATTATCGCCCTGCACCTATCCAGAGACAAATTCGCGTATCCGCCCTCCAAACTGAGTCCAAATCCTACCTTGGAAGCATCATGGATGCAAAACCGCCTCACCGTCCTCACAGCACTGGATTGCCTCTCCGCCGGCGCAACAGCCATGTCCCAGAGCCTGCACTTCCGGTCCGCAACGCAATGGCTGCACCTCCAATCCGACCCATCAACCGATCGAATTAAGCTCGGCGGTATCAACCGCGCACAGCCATACAGCCACGTGCTGGAACACCGCACCCACGACGACTTTTTCGTCGCAAGGTGGCTTTCTGGTTATAATCATCCCATTCAAACCTACGAAACCATGCGGGAGAAGCGGCATTTGCCGCGGACGATCCAGGAACGGGAACTGGTGTTCTGGGGTGCAGAGGGGGGCGATCCGCCGGGGGAGTATCCGACTTACGCGGTGGAGTACACCCGTATTCCGAATGCGAACTTTTCGCTGTCCGTCAGTTTCAATACCGGGTGTGGAGCTTGTGGGACGCAGGCTACTGCGGCTGCTTGTGGTGCGAACTGTGGTGCGAGCTGTGGGAGTTGTGGTGGAGGCGGGGGC